AGGTTCTGTGTTTTATCTTTCCCCTTTCTTCGACCTGGGATCGTCCGCTGTTCTTCTTCTGTGGGGTCGGGCGGGCTCCGGCCGGCGGGGAGGCTGCGCGCGGTGCGGGGCGAAGGCGAGAGGCAACGGGGGGAGGGGCGGGAGGAAGGATGTTTGCAAGAGAAGGACGGCGCGCGCTGCGGTTGCGCGACGGCAGCGGCATTGTGGCACAAGAAGAGAAGCATCGAGAGGTGCAAAGAGTCCGAGAGAGATGCATTAGCTGAGACATGATTCCACCCTCCAAACTCGCGATGAACTTCCAACATATTATCTATTCACCCCGCGCAGCGTCCCGCTGCCAAACTTACTCCCTACAACGTCAGGGGACGATGGTGCACTGGACTTGGCGATTTCCTCTTTTTCCATTTTTTCTAATAGGTGGCACTACTAACGAAGTGGCAAACAAGGGTAGTTGAATTGGTTAAACCCAAGGATCCTTGTCGTGGTGGGCAACCACGGGGGTCGGTGGGTGGAAAAGAAAAAACTAAAAAGTTGTGTGAGAACTTTGATTCTGCAAGTCCCAAAGATAAGGCGAAGAAGAAGAGCGAGGGAGAGTAGTAGAGGTAGAAATCATGTTATCAGCAAACGTCGGAGCCATTGCTCCTCATCCTCCTCGTATCATTCTTACTCTTTTCATCATTCCACTCTTTTCGTAAACTATCAAAAATGCGTAGCTGTTGTTGGCGCGGGGCGCTGCGCGGCTTTCGCTTTGGGTTTGAGGGAGTTGCTTGCAACTGTTGTCCTGTTGCTCTTATTCTCGTTCTTTCTTACTGGTTTCAGGATGATGTATGAAGACAGCGACATTCTGGCGTTGGCAGGCCGGCGGCGTAACCGCGGTGGCGGAAAGCCTTGCGCAGGCGTGCGGGCTGCTGACGTCGCACGTTTGCAGAGAAGAAGAATAGTAATAACAATAGTAGAATGAAAGCCCCAAAAAAAATTTAAAAGGAAAAGTGAGGAGAGAAAGCGTAAGGAACACTTCGAGTCGGGCGGGAAGACTGCCACGCCACTCTTTCTTTAACACGTGGCTCGCGACGCCGGCGCGCACCCGCTTACAGTTTCCGCGCGAAGTACACGCCGTCGCCGATGATGCTCATCACGGCCGACACGCGCTTGTCTGCCCTGATCATCTCGTTCGTCTTGCTCAGAGCGTCGGTGTCCTGTACCGACGGATCCTTCTCCACCACACGGCCAAACATCAAGGTGTTGTCCACAACGATCACGCCGCCCTTGCGGAGTAGCGGCACGGCAAGGTCGTAGTACTCCGGGTACTGTTCCTTGTTCGCGTCGATGAAGATGAAGTCGTAGGTACCAGCCTCGCCCTCGTCGAGGAAGCGCTGCATGGACGCGGCGGCGGGGCCCTCGATGAAGTCGATCTTCTTGTCGACGCCCGCCTTCTTCCACGCCTCGAAGCCGATGCCGGCGTACTCGCGCGAGACGTCGAGGGCGCGGATGACGCCGTCGTCCGGCATGTGCAGCGCCAAGGCCAGAGTGGTCACGCCGCGGAACACGCCCACCTCCACGGCGCGCCTCACCCCGAGCGTCTCGCACAGCCAGCCAAAGAACTGGTACTCGTCGACGGCCGCCATCATGACCGGCAGCTCCAGCTGCAGAGCTTTCTGCCACAGCTCCTTCTGCAGGGGCGTCTCGTTCACGAACTCGAGGACGTACTCGTAGTACTCGCGCTTCATCCCGGCCGTGCACGCAGCGGGATGACGCTGAAAACCGCGGTAAGTATCACTCATCTCCGGTGGTAAGATAGTCGTGACAAAGGGTGTTCGTTGAGGGTTCGATAAGTGCAACGGCTTAGGGGGGATGCGATTCGGTGAAGCTGTCGAAATTCGCAATGCGCAGCACGCAACACCCGCGAAGGCAAGAAAGGAAGAAGACGTGGATCGTTGAAGCTGGCGTTTGCCTTCACGCGGGCAATGGACTACAAGCGCAGCCCTCAGCGGGCCTCGTGCATGAGAGAGACACGCTACAATTTGCGAAGATGAAACCACCCCGAGTGCACAGAGATGATCCGCGGGTGTCGGTCTAAACCGGCTTCTACAAGAAAGATGAGAGGCGTGCGGAAGGCTGCCTTCCAACACGTTTCGGTCTCTCAGCTAAAAACGCCTTCGTTGCCAGGGTGCGAAGCGCCGAACAGATTCTGCATAACAAGGAGGCGGCTGTGAGCTTTACTTTTACATACACACATATATATATATATACGTTTTTCTCTCGGTTGCTCACAGCAAACTACATGAACTAACAAAAGGCAGAACAAGCAAGATCAGGGACCATGAGACGCAACGTCCCCAGCACAGCACTCTCCACCGGACAGACGTGATGGCTGAAAGACGCAGTTGCCTGTTGGGTATGAGCACGCAAAGTGGCAAAGAGCAAACGCCGAGGGTGATGAGGCGTCTGCGCGGAGAAACGACGGGGAAAGGAGCGTAGCAAAGCAGGAATACGCGTTGAGGTCGCACTGCGGCAAAAAAACCTCGTGTGAGGAGAAACGGCAGCCGTTTTCTACTTCCTGTGCGAATGCCCTTCTCCACACGGCGGCACGACGTGTGTTGGCCTCCACCTCTTCTCATGCATCCATCGACACCGTATACATATGTGCCGGGAAATATATATATGTATATAAAATAGATAAATGAAAGGGCTCTACAAAAAGGAAAAGGTAATCGTCATGGTGGTGGAACGACTTGAGCGCACTCACTCCTCCATGCATCGTCTCTCTCTCACACACACACACACACCGATGGCACACAGGCGAAACGGCACGGCGAAGGCGCAGTTAAAGCCGTCAAAAGAGAGGGAGCGCGATGGGGGAAATTGCTGCAGAACGTGACGCCCAGCCGCTCGAGTGCTGACGTCGCTGTCGTACATCGTTGCCCTCCTCTCCCGCCTCATTCGGGTTCTCCGTGTCGCCACTTACGCCCTTGGGGCAAAATGCCACAAAGAAAAAGGAAAGGGAACAGGAAAAGTCGAAAGAATGATAGATAGTCATCTATATATTTATCTATCTATACATACATGCACATAGAACGGAAAATAGATTGCCACCGGAAAAGTAAACAGCGCCGTTAAAAGAGACAACAGAGCGCGGGGTGTGTGTGTGGATGTGTCGGGACGGCCGCCAGGCTCTGAAGTGCGGAACCCGTGCAGAGCGGGGTGCAAAGAACTTTCGAAAGAGCGACACGACACGGAGCGCGTACCCCCCTCCGCCACAACAGCCGAGATTGCCTCTACAAGATCATCTCAAACTCCGCGTTGTGCTGCTTCTCCCCTTTGCGCAAGTTCTCTCCCCTGAAGGTGTGGAACACCTCGTTGCCGTCCTTGGTCTGGTACAGCGTGTTGATGTTCGTTAGCGTACCGACCTCAAATGTGGCTACGTTGCGGAACACGGGGTTGTCCTTCGCGATGCGGACGATGTTCACCTCGATATCGCTGGAGGAGAGGGAGACGTCGCTGCGGATGGCGATGACGTATTTCTTCTTTTGGTTGTTGTTGCCCGTGTTGCTCTTCATACGGCGCGGGATCACGAGGTACTTGTGATCCTTCGTGAACTCGAACTTGAGCGATACGGAGCGGGTCTGCTGGAAGAGGTACTCGGCAGTGGGCTCCTCCACCGCCTCGCACGAGTTCGCCACGATCTTCTGCTGGCCACCGTTTATGTCTCCCTCCGACACACTCAGCATTATGGCAGCGTACTTGTACTCTGCGTCCTTGGTGCTGAGACCGCGGCGATCCTTCTGATGCAGGCTGAGGTAGGCGGAGAACTTCTTCTTCTTCTTCACCACAATCTCGAGGGCTGTGTCGCACCACAGGTCCTCGAAGGTGCCGAAGATGCGGTAGTCATTCCACGATTTGAAGAAGTTGCCACGGCGGAAGCACACGGAGCCGCTGTCGAAGAATTTCACGACGTCCTTCCACTCCATCCAGAAGGTGCCGTCGGCCTTCTTTTCCGGGCGACAGGCGAGTTTGATGATGGTGTGGCGGTCCCAGAGCGGGCTGTCATCGCCCCAGTCACCGGTCCACTCCACGTTAGAGCCCCACGGATTGCGGATCTTCAGCAGACAGAACTGGTACACCGGAAAGTACTTCACATCGAGGACGGAGTAGGCGTGCCCAGTGCCGAGACCCGCCTTGTCGAAGAGGGTCTCTGCCTCGGCGGCGGAGAGCTGCTTGCCGGCCATGGTCAGCTTGCCTTCACCGGGGGTAGCGATGGACAGCAAGTACTTCTTCTCGTTCCACTTGTGCAACGAGTCGAAGAGCTTCTCGCGCACGCTGGCATCGGTCTGCGCCTTCCTCCAGCGGTCCTCGAAGCTGTACGCTGGGAAGCCGGTTAGGTCCTCCAGCGCTTGCCAGGGGAAGCCCGCCACGATGGCTTGGTAGGAGCCGAAGGCCTTGGCGTACGCCTTCTCCAGGTAGGACACCCACAGTTCGTTTGGATGGTGGCGGTTGCGTGCGAAGCAGGGCAGCAGCTGCACGCTGGGCAGGTAGGAATCGAGGATGATGGTGCGCCACCACCCGTTAATGTTCAGGTTCACACGCCACGCCCCGTACTTCTGCTCCTGATTGCGCACGTAGCACCAGTGGTGGTTTTTGAAGATGCCCTCGATAGCGGCGTTGTACTCCGCGAGCGCGGCAATCGCGCAGAGGTAATAGCAGTCGCCCAACTGGCCTTGGTCGATGTCCGACGGCGCAATGCCATCCCAGAGGCAGATCTTGCCGTGCCACTCCCTCGGCAGATAGTCCTGTGGACGCCGCCACGCAACCGTGTCGGGCTTCTTCAAGCACGCGTCCGGAGCGGAGTCGATGCCGGGCCGGATCAGCGACTGCGCAGTGGGGGGAAACGTGGTGTCGGTGTACATCTTACTCTTGATACGGGCAACCTTGACGAGGCGATTCTCATTCGTAATCTTCGTGTTCTTCTCCTTGAGCTTGCGCATCTCGGCGAGGTCGGCGTTTACCTTTGCGACGGCTCGCTGCCGAAGTAGCAAACGCTCCTGCTCCGTGAAGGGCACACCGGAGAAGTCTATCTTGAAGCCGTTGGCCGTCTTCACCTTCACCATGCCTTTGGTTTCTAGCGGCAACAAGGCCAGGATCGCCGTGCACGCCCCTGACTCGTCCTGCCGCTTCATATCCGTTTCGTCCGTCAGCGCCGTGACATCAGACCCCGCGCCGAAGACGGCGGTCACCTTCATCTCGTAGTCCTGGGTGTCATTGTAGAAGTACCACTTGTTTCCTTTGACCACCTTAAAGAGGCGTCCGTCTTCGAAGCAGGGCGTGACCGTGCCGGAGACGAGCGGCGTACCGTTCTTGTAATCCGGCTTTGCGGCGCAACAACCACAAAGACTACTGCCCATCTCTGCTTTCCCTTTTCCTTTTTAAAAGTCTCGTGTTCGGATGCTGCTCGGCCGGTTGGGCGTTGACGCGGGACACGGCAGCACAGGAAACCTTGGACAACCGCAGCGCGGTACGTCTGCCTCGGGCAAGTCTTCTTTTTCCCCTCTTTAAAAAAAAAAAACAGTTTAGGCGCTCACTCTATGCAAGGGGCGGATTTTTCTCGTGTCGTGTAAGCGAATGAAATACTGCTAGGATGACGAGGGCGGGGCCACGATGGAGGAGGCGCTGAAAGATTGGAAAGCAGCAGCAGCAGCAGAAGCACAACAGAGAAAGGTGACGAAGTCAACCAGCGCGCAGTGCGAATTACAAGGACAAGGCAATGCACGATTAAGAAGGGAGAAGTAAAACAAAAACCAAGCTGCGGAGAACAAGAATGAATGGAGAAGCAAAGCAAGAGGAGAAGGAGGGGGGAGAGGGGGGAGTGCAACGCACGTGTGTGGTGCAGAGGTATATATACAGAAAGGAAGAAGCAGGAGTAGATTCTGCAACAGAGGGAACGAGAGAGGGAGAGATACGGGGTGAGAAGGGATAACCACAACGAACAACAAAGAAGACGAAGACTAGCGAAAAGCGGAGGTGTGGTGCCGCACAAACCCTGCGATACAGATTTCTCAATTGGACGAATAACGTCATTGCCATTTTCATATTATTTGTTGTTTCTTTGGCGTTACTAACAGCATGGGAGTGCATTTGCATGGACCATTCTTCTATTGCAAAGCAACCATCACTTAACTTGACTGACGGCACTCGCCAAAGGGTGAAGAAGAAGGAGGGTCTATCGCTTGTGTGATGGCCGCTGAAGCAATACGAGGGGGGGGGGGGGTAACGCCGACAGCAGCAACCACGACCGGACAGAACAACAATAAAAACGGTTCGCCTTCGCCTTCTACCACACATTCTCCAGCACGATACGCTGTTCTTCTCCAGCGGCTCACAGGACTTCTTTTGTCAGCGCCAAGGCCATGCGCATGGTGTGCGCCGCGTCCTGATGCACGACAAGCTGCTGAAAGCAGCCACACGTGTTCAGGGGACGCTCTGCCATGCAGGTCAGCCGCACCATACTCTCCTGCACTACATGGCTCTCTGGTCGCACAAACTGCCTCGCAAAACACGTTGCCCACACCGCCCGACTCACTGTTACCGTACGCAGCTGCAGTGTACTGAGTGCGTCTTGCTGTCGCAGCGGCTGCTGGGTTGAAATATTGGGGGCGCACAACGCACGCACCGTGGCCGCCGCCTCTGCATCGGCGGTAAAGCCCAGCAGGTAGTGCACCGCCACCGCCGTGCAGAGACACACCTCGATGTCACCCACCTCGCGTACGGCGTTGGCCATGAAGGTGCGGAGCATCTCCAGCTCCATCGCCTCCACGGCGCTGCTGGCCAAGATGGCGGAGGCCGCCTCGAGGTCTTTGGTGAGGCTCGTGCACTTGGCCTGCACGTAGCGATGCAGCGACCGCAGCCGCGGAGAGGCGGGGAGGGGGCTGCGGTGGCGACAGTCCGATGCGCCGCTCATCAGCGCGCGGCCTCCACGCCCACCGCCGTCGCGCGTGCTCGTGTCGCCGAGAAGAAAACGGTGGCACAGCAGTTGGTGCAGCGCGTTCGCCACACAGGCGTTGCCGACCTCCAGCAGCAGCGCCGTGCCGGGGAGAGCGGCCAACCAGTCCAGCACCCGCGTCGCCTCCGCCAGCGGTTGGAAGAGGGTGCGCACAACGTCGTCGCGGGAGCGGGGGACGGCGCGGCGCCACAGCGACCACCACACGTGCGACGAGCCCCGCCCGCCATCCGGCTGATCCTTCATGCGATCGGACAAGTAGTCGCTGTCAGAGCGCGTTGCCGCGCCGGTTACGTTGGGCAGGGCAGGGGGGACGAAGTCACGAGGACTGTGCCACTGCACAAAGTCTGGGAAACGCACCACACGCCCGTCCTGCGCCTTATTCACGTAGAGGAAGACGCACATGTCGTTGTAGAGGGCCTCGCCCTGCAGCCACGTCGCCGAAGCGCTCTGCACCGCCGCCGCACCAAGGGCGTTGAGCTGCATCGCTCGCTGCAGCACGAGATCAGAAGTCGTCGGCGGTGTCGGCAGCGGCGCCGGTGCGATGAGAACTTCGCCATTGGTGATGAGGTGTAGCACCGCGGGCGGCGAAGGCACCTCGCCGGTCTCTTCGTATGCGTCTCGTGTTTTAGCAACCGCACCCCTGTCGACACCGTCCGCGGCGCAGATGTTCTCGGCGGGATGAAGCAGCGAGTCGAGAGCAAAGCGCAGAAGCTGGAGCTTTTGACTGAGAAGGGGCTGGCTGAGGTCCACAGGGGGGTCGGAAAGCGGCAAGGCCAGGCAGTCCAACAAGCGCCGCCAGCTCCTCTTCTCTTCCTCGTCAGTGGATGTGGTGGCATCACTCCCACTGCTCGACGGTACGAGAAGCAACGCCTTCAGGCGATCCAAGCACAGCTGCCACAACACTGGAACATCTTCAGCGTGGGACAGCTGGGTGGCGCAGGCGTAAGCGAAACGGGCAAAGAAAGATTCAGGAAAGTAATGAACACGCAAGTCTTTTGCACTTGCTGAGGCAACGGTGGTGCTGCTGCCGCTGCCGCCTTCCAGGTGCTGCTGCTTCCGTCCTTCCCATTTTAGTTTTGCTGCGGCTGCCGCCGCGTCGCACTCCGCGTCTTCAACGGACGTCCCACGCTGCTGCTCCTCCGCAGAGCCTTCTGACTTCGCATTGGTGCTCTTAATTGGAAAGAGCTGTCGGTGCGCCTCCCATTCATCCCAGAGGGTGCGCAGGCGACGCGCGACGCCGTTGCCGCTACGCCGGGCGGCAGCCGCTCGCACACCACGGCGTGTCTGCCCCTCACGCCCTTCCTCGTCGTCGTCGTCGTCCGGCGCATTATCCAGCGTGCCTTCGCCATGCCGGTCTTCTGGACAAGGGCTGGCGAAGCGACGGAGCAGCGACTGCTGCAGATTCACGTTCGACCCGCTCCACTCCACCACGTGGGCGGCCAGCTCGTGCAGCGGAGGACCTTCCGCGTCGCCACCGCCGGCGTCGCCCGATTCGCCCCCGCTCTCGCCACTCTCCCCGGGCCGAATGGAGCGTGTCGTGGGGCTCTGTCGCGATCCCTCCGTGTCGTTGGCGCCACGTACCCCACCAGCGTTGCTGGCTTCCCCTGTCCTCCCTTTTCGTGGGGGGCGGCCGGGCTCGGATGACGTCGGTGAGCGCGTCGCGAGACTCGGCAGTGAGTCGAAGTAGTTGCGTTCCACCACCTCGTGCAGGCGCTGACGCACACCGCCTTGCACGTCCTCGTCGTTGCGCGCGACGGCCTGTGCCGTGATGCAGCACTTCCGCTGTGCTGCCTGCGCTGCCGCGCTGAGGGGGCCGGAAGGAGAAGGCGCGGTGGCAAACTGAAAGGGATTCAAGTGGCTGCCTCGGCCGTGCGGCTCTTGCGCCTCCACGTCTTGCAGTTGGTTCCATTGGAAGCGAAACAATACATGCTTCAGCGGCGGGGCCGTGGTTCCAAAGGGATGGGTGAAGGCGCCAGACAGCAGCCGGGTGCAGGCATTCTCGCGCTCCAGCACCGCTTCCCACGTGAGAGAAGAGGCGGCCGCGCTGGTGCTTGTCTCGTGCGTGGCGGCTCCTCCTTTCGAGCTGCTCGACTTGGACTTCCGCGTTCCCGCAGTCGCTGCGTCTGGCGGCGGTGGACCGTGTGGGTGAAACTTCCACGGGATCTGCAGCGCGTACTCCTTCCAGAGGGAGACGCAAATTCCCTCGAAGTCGTCACTGCGGATGCGACTGTGCTGCCCCACGTGCAGCAGAAACAGGTCGATGAACTCCGCGAGCGTGCGGCAGTGCTCGGGCGGGTGCGCGAAGGCGTCGGAGAGGAAACGCGTGGTGAAGGTGCGCTGATGGAGTAAGTTCCACTCCGCCGTGCTCATCTCCGCAGGTGACGATGCTGACGCTGACGGTGGTGGAGTGGAGGGCATCGAGCCGCCCATCGTGGGCAGCGGTGGGGCGACGCCCACAAAACTCTGCTTGTAGGAGTCTCCGGCAGGTACAAAACACGGCGCGCAGCCATCCGGAAAGAAGAAGGGGGAGGGGAGGGCTTCCGCGGCAGATTTGGCACATCGAGACGGGAGCGACGGAGTCATCATCGAGGTGTTTGTTGTTGTGGATGACGTGAACGGCACTGCCAGGCCAGACGGAGATGTCGACGCCCCAATGCGCAGCACTGCGCGGTTTTTGAGCTGGCGCAGCACCTGCCACACCGCGGTGGAGAGCAGCGACAGCAAATACGTCGTTTCACTCTCGCGATAGGCGGCGCTGGCCGCGACTTTGCGAAGGAGGAAAAAGAGCGGGGTGCAATACTGCTGTGTGATGAGGTGAGCCGCGTCCCGCACGTGCACCTCGACCGCCACCGAAAGCTCCAAGTCGAGTTGTGCGGCTCCATCGGCGCCACTGGTGGCGGTGGAGGAGGGGGGCGGTGCGTAGAGCGTCATGGTGTGACTGAAGACACGGGAGAGGGCGGTGCGGTTGTGCTGGGTGCTGTCCTCGAGGAGGGACACAAGAGAAGAGGGGGAGGAGGACGTGTCACTGCCATCATCGTCTTCATCGCCGCCGCCGCCACCGCTGGCGGACGCCGGAGAAAACGACTTGCTGGGGCCGCTCGATGACAGTCGCAAAGGCGACGATGTGTTCGTCCTGGCAGCACCTGACGGGGCGACAAGAAACGATTGCAAGAGCGGTTCTGCGTCAAAGAGAGCGGCGAGGTACTTCTCAATCATGCGTACGTGCTCTTCGAAGCTGTTGGCACAGCTGTAGTCCTGTATGAGAAGCGGGAGCTCCTCCTCCGCGGCGGCGGCGGCGGCGGCCATCGTGCACCCGTGACGCCCAACGTTGTAAGGAAGAGAGCTCCGCGAAAACGCAGGTTGGAAGACAGGAATCAACTGAACGGGGGGAAAAAGAAGAAGAAGAGGCGATGTGCATTTACTGGAAAGATGCACCGAGTTTTTAGAATTTTCTTTCACGTGCACTTTACCTGTGCTTGCGTGTGTGTAAAGGGAGAAGAGGAGGGAAAGAGCAGTAGTAGCATAACCACTTCCTCTCCGCTGGTTCTCTTCCACATGTTTGTACTTCATCGTCTTTCGATATATATATATATATTTCATTGTGCCTTCCAACCCCACGTGCAACGCAGAGAGGACGAGGGACGGCGACATCGGCAGATGATCGAGTCCGCAGACACGTCAGCGCGCTTTTGTAGGTGGTCGACGAACAGCTTTAAAATGCTGAATGCGGTGGGTTGACGCAAGTTACGGGGAAGAAAGGCCCCCGCTCCTCGGTGGAAAACAAAACAAAGCAACAATGCGCCGTTGCGCTAGCTGTCGTGCCCGCCACAGAGAAACACCGCAGCAAAGAAGCCGACGCTGTCTTCTGCGGGGTCATCGTACTCGTCAAGGGGACGGGGCATGAAGCGAAAAACAAGCAACGGCGCATCGCTGGATGGCGACACATGAGATCCACACGAAGCTGCAGCCGCCGCCGCTGCGTCTTCCTTTTCCTTCTGCAGCGACACAATCTCCTGCGAAAGGAGAACCGCGGGCGACGACGGCAAACCACCGGCTCCCTCCTCTTCGTGTACGGCCGCCTCCGCTGAACGGCGTGCGTAGGCAGTGACGGACAGGCGGCTCAACGCGTGATGGGCCGGCGTGGTGGCGCGTGCGAGCCGCAGTGAGGGATAGGTGCGAAGAAAATGTACGACGTTCGCCTCGTTCTCCTCCAGCGTGGTGGTGCACGTGCTGTAGACGAGAACTCCCGGTGCCGTCGGTGTGCAGCGCAGATGCCGCACACAGGAGTCGAACAGCTTCCGCTGGTAGTCAGCGGACTGCCGAATGGAGGCGATAGAGTGCGTGTGCGGGAGCAGCTTCGGCCGCAGCCCCAGCCCCGTGCAGGGAGGGTCTAGCAGAATGGCATCGAAGGCGTTGGTGTGCTGGAGCGGCGGTGGTGGCAGTTTACGCAGGTACTTGTTCGCGTCGATGCAGTGCGCCTCCAGCACCCGGCTCAGATAGTCGTGTTCCACCCTTCCTCCGCCGGCCATCGTTTCTTCCGTACTAGAGAAATGCTGCTGCAGCAGCTGCATCAGCTTCTCCTGTCGAGGCCGACTGCGCTCACAACACACAACTCGAAAAGGCGCCCGGGCGGCGGGATCGCGCAGCTGCGCGGCGAAGCCTTCCTGCGCTGCACGCGCCTGCAAGAGCGAGAGCAGCAGACTCGTCTTCCCCCCAGGCGCCGCGCACGCATCCAGCACCACACAGGCGCGCCGAAAGACGTCCTCGGAGAGGTGCTCCACCAGCAGCGACACAGGGACCATGCTGGAGTAGTTTTGGAGAAAGAAGGCGTCGTGTGGTTCGTCCTGCGCACCACCCTTCTCGTCAACTTCGAGCGGAGTTGTGCTCACCGCAGAGTCGGTAGGGCTGGCCACGTGGAGGAGACCCCGTAGCGCGGCACGGGAGGGCTGCAGCTGCGGCGTCCAGTCGGTACGCAGCACCACGCCGCGCGTGCGTCGGCCCAGCACCTCCTTCCACCCCTTCAAGAGAGTCCCACTGCCGACGCACACGAGAAAGCGGCGGTGCTGTGCCAGCGCGGCCGCGGTCGTTTCGTCATCCGCACCGAGCAGCGGAGTGTACTGCGACGGCGGGAGGGTGATGCCGGCGGTGAGGGAGCTCACAACCCGCCAACATGCACCGTTGACCTCATCTGTGTCGTGTGGGACTGCTTCAGCGGGTAAAGAGACCACCGCGTCCATCAACACACGTTCCGCGTAGAAAGCCACGAGCGCCTCCTCCCCTGCGCAGAAGACGCGAGAGGCGGTCACGAGGCCCGGGGCGTAGAGGTCACTGCCTCGCAGCACCGCCTCCGCAGCCCCGGCATCCACGACAATCACAAGAGGGAGTTGCGAGGGGTCCTCCGTCGTGGTCGGCAGCGTAGACAGCGGGAAGGAGGGCGGCCACTGTGCGAGGCTGCTTACACGCGGCTGCACGCACGCACAGAAAGGCAGGCCGACTTTATCAAAGACAAGGGGCGCAGCGTACCGTGAAGAGCCTGCGCTGTCAGAGAAAGCTGGCAGCGACGATGACGGCCCGTCTGCCGTAGTTTTTGAAGCGGAGGCCGCCGCCGCAGAAGAGTCGGTTCTCGTCGTCGTGACACAACGTCGAAGCTGCTCCTCGATGTTCGCGCCGGTGAAGCGGAGGTTGGTGGTGATGGGTGGGACGGCGTAGAGCGACGCATGCGGAGGACGAGGTGAAGGAGTCGTCATGGAGGCGGACTTTATAGGAAGTCCTAACGGCTCCCACACGGTGCGGCGCAAGTGCTCCGTGGTGGCGGATGGCGCGTACTGATACACATGCTGAGCGTAGGTGGCAAGTGTGATCATCTGCAGCGGAGAAGATGAGAATAGTTTGAGAGCACCCTTCCGCATTAATAGCACAGAAGAAAATGAAAGGTTCCAGACAATCTCTCTCTCTCCCCCCCTTTCACCAAACAACGCGGACAGCTGTGATGTTGCACGCTTGATGGAGAAGAGGCGAATGCAGGTGCAAGTGAATGACGGTGTACTGCAAAGCCGCTGCGTACCTTCAAGAGAGAGACACAAGTACGATCCAATTTCAATTCGTGTTTCCGTTTTCTATCTCTCTCTCCCTCTCTCCCTTTTCTCTCTTTTGCCGTGCGCCTCTTCCCCTCATGGAGGTCGCAGCATCGACCTCTTACGCACACTCCACAAGCCGGCACCTCCCGTGCACCTTCGCGAGGCGGTGGCCTGCGAGTGCTTGCTGAAAAACGGGGGAAAGACAAACCTGTGCGGCTGACTCGGGCAGGATGACGTGGCAGAGTACTCTCTTTCTCACTGATACAAATCTCATGGGTAATGCCAAAGAAAAAAAGGAAAAGAAAAGCCGCCCTTCACACGTCAACATTCTGATGAGCGATGTTGAAATCGCGGCGGTGAAGTTTTGAGCCCCCGCCCCTCCCCCGCTTTCGTGAGAACGCTCGTCTTACTCCGGGAAGAAACCTCGCGCCGCGTAGGGCTCAAAGCGGTTGGTCGACCGACACAGAAAGTACGATCTCGATTCCGCCTCTTGCCGCCGAGCGCACCGCCGCGCCCCTTCCCGGGCATCGTCGACGGCCGGCAGCGGATGGGAGATCGAGAAGGGCGGGAACGGAGTTCCGCCAATCAGTTCCTGCGGCTGCGCAGCCAATGGAACGGACGAGGTCGTAGAGCCAGAGGAGAGACCCTCTGTGCTGACCGCCGCGTTCTCTATCATGCGCAGCACGCTCGTCTCGGACGCGCCAATCAGCACGGGATCGGCCCTGTGCTGTCTGTGAGCTGGGGCATGAAGCGGCACCGCGCTTTCTGCGCTGCTGCTGTTGCCGCTGTAGCGCGGAGGCGATAGAACCGCACTCATCTCCACCGTCAGCGTCGACGGGTCAACGACAATGTTGGGACTCAGTCTTTCATCATTGCCGCTCAAGACCGTCGGTGCCCCACCAGAGCTGCCCTCGGCAGCCTCGCCGTCTGTCATGCTGTGACTGCGACTGCGCTGGTGTGGGGTGGGCAGCGGTGTGGTCTGCACCAGCGCCGTGTATTGCTCCTGAACAGAGTCGTTGAGGGGCTGCAGGAGACGACCTTTGTGAGCACAGGAAGAGATGGAGCGCTTCAGCAGCTGCTGTTGCGAATACTGCTGCTGCTGCTGCTGCAGCGCTGTCTGGCTTTCCGGCACCGCTAGTGCGTCTTCCATCGCTGCGAGCACCTCGGATGCAAAGCAAAGAGCCGTGTCAACCTCGGGTGGTGATGGGGGCGGTGGAGAAGAGGCGGCGGCAGTGTTTCTTGGTCTCTCTTCTTCTTCATTGATTCTACCTGCGTCTTCCTCGGCGAGCGCCGTTGCCGTTGCCGTTGCCCCATTGGTGGAGTCTCCAAAGAGAAGCGCTTGCACCTCGGCCTCCTGCGCCGCTTCCCGCGCACGCCGGCGAGCATCACGGTGGGCAGCCGCCGACGTGGCGAAGTGCTGCAGCGAGGTCAGGTAAGCCGCCCCAGCGAATCCGCTGCCTTTCCGCGTCGTCCCGTTCAGGTAATCCGCCGCCTGCTGCGCACACTGGTCTGAAGCGTGCATCATGTAGCCGACAACGGCGTCGCCGAGAGCGTTGATGAGGTGTGCCAAGTGCGCGTTATCGTGCTGATGCTGGAGCACCTCCACGTCTTCCGTGATCGATGCACCAGCGGAGGAGAGAAACGCGTGTGGAGTCGGGTGAGTTTGGTCCATAGAGTGGTTTGGCGCCTCGACCGGCACGTATTCTTCCTGACCCAACACCGAAGCGTCTCGCAAGACTTCAGCGAGTTGTTGAAGGGTTTGGACGACCACCGCAGATTGTTGGAGGAGCTCTGGTGCCCCCAACAGATAGCCCCGCACGTAGTACGTCTCAATTGCTTTGCGCAGCCCGCTGGGAAGGACCTGCGCCAAGACCAGGGCTTTCAGTTCACCCTCGTGTGCGCTGATAAGCGCACTGGCCACCTTTTGGCAACACGCATCTTCGAGTACCACATCACCATGTATAAAATTGATGAGTGGCGCCAGTAGACACTGCGCGGCACTCGAAGATGCTTCCATTTGCATGGTTGTCTGTGTGTGTCGCTCCGGTACGTGTGTGGTGTGTCAACTCTATACTTGCTCGTTGACCTTCTCTGCAGAAGGTAGAAGCTCGCCTGCTCTAAGTCACCAGAAAATAAGAACAAGAACAACAACTTCAGGTGGTTTCTACGCAGCGTCTAACACCTTCCTGATTCTTGGTGCTGCTCGTGGACGCGCCGAAACGAGATGAGAAATAACGCAGCGTGGGCGTCACCCTATGCGCGGCGGAATCGCTTAGGAGAAAGAAAAAGAGAGACGAAGGAAGGAGGGAGAATCAGAAAAGTGGAAGAAATAGAAACGTCAAAGGAGTCGTTTCTCATCGTGACCGACTTCTGCGAAAAGAAGAGGAAAACCCACACACAAACGGGAACAGCAGAGAGGTGCTTGTGAGTGGGTCAGCGAAAGCGACGGTCATACCCGCCCATCGCTCCTCGGCCTGCTGCGCAGGTAGGTGCGGTGCTGTCTTACGGGGGAAGGCCACGTGAATCTTCTCTCAGTCCACAACGGTGACGTGCGCGGCACGAGCTCACACTGGCGAAAGAATGAAAGAGAGGAAAACAGAAGAGTTGAGGCGACACAGGAGAGCAAAATCGAAGAAAGAAGAAAACAATAATCCAGACAAAAGAACCATCAAAGAGCCGTAGAAGAGTTCTTACATAACGGCTAACACAGCGATGCGTAGGCGCGCTGTTGCGGCCCACCCGCAACCCTCAACGTTGTGAGGGAGAAGTGAGCGCTCCTCTTTTCTTTCTTCTTTTCTACATACGTTGGCGAAAGGGAAGGAGACCGAGAGGGAAGATGAGAAGCTCCGGAAAAGCAACAGCTTGAATTCACCTATGGAGGATGAGAAAAGAAAAATACGAGGAATAAACGCAGGCACCAAACACCAGTAGAGAGAGAGAGAGAGATTGTCTATCTCGAGCAAAAGCTGATGCGTAACATACACACACACACAAGGTGTCTTCTAGGCCTACTCAGACGTGCAGCAACAATAAAACCGCTGTTGCGTGCGTCACAGCTGAATTGGGGAAAAAAGAAGTCAAATACTGAAGTTGAAGAACCTAGTATTAAGGTACGTGCTTGTCTATATATTCTGTTTGCAGTGGAAAATAATAATAAAAAGAGGGAGGGGGGGGGGGGTTGGTTGGTTGGACGCGCAGGCGCAAAAGCGCAGCGAGTGTGCCGTTCGTTCCCGTTCTGCCTGTTGTTTCTGTGTTGACGACGGCGATGGACCAGCGACGCTGATGACACCTACCAGCACAAAGCCCTCTTCACCGTTCCCAGCGTGCAGGTTTGCCGCTGCGGCTCTCGCTCTCTTTCTCTCGTCTCCAGCTGGGACGTCTCCCCCCACCTCTCCTTTCCGGCTCCATCTCACATCTCAGAGAGCGCTTTCACCACGTGCGCTGCGAACCAACGGCTATACCAATCATCCTTCCACATCCGCACCCGATCCCACCTGTCGATCGGGTTGTCGCTGCTGTACGGTGCGGAGATGTACAGCACGTAGAGGGGCGCCGAGCGGGGATGGGGGTGCTTGCGCTCCTCCGCATCCGGCACATCCGGGAGGTCGAACCGCACCCCGTAGAGGGGCGCCACGTGCGTCCTCTCCGTCGTCGTCACCTCCGCCGGCTCGCCCGCCTTCGGTGAAGGATGGGTGATGCTGATCTTCTGCTGACCTCCCCGAATGACGGCGCCGTGCGTGCCGTCCGACTCGAGCAGGGCTTCGTAGCGCACATCGGACAGCTTCTCCACCGCCTCGGCGGCCTCGCGGATGAGAAGCTCCCGCGCCTGCACGTCGGGTGTGGTGGCTAACGTGGTGTACATGGTCGACATCCACGACGGCCGGGTGCGCCACCACACGTTGAAGGTGTCGGAGATGCGGAGGGTGTCGCGGAAGGTGTGCCACATCCACCCCGTGCGGAAAGGAAAGGCTGACTCGATGGCGTGGAGCGCGTAGAGCGAGCCGAGAGACGGGGCGAGGGGCTGCGGGGCGGTCTTTGTGCCGTCTTGATCGTGGGGATTGCCTTTGTCTTCGTCGCTGCTGCTGCTACTACGTTTGCGCAGGAGGTGTCCGCTATGCACCTGCTCCGTGGCGTGCTTGGAGGGCATGAGTCCATCTACGCGGTAGGCGTAGATACGTCGGTGCGACGGGTGGTCAGGAGAACCCGACGAGGTGAGCTTGGATGCGTTCCGCAGTGCGTACGCTTCTTCGACCGGCAACGGCTCAATTTGGCTGATCGTGGAGCGGATGGAGAGCGCACCACCGCCGACCCCCGCGCAGGCGGCGATAAGTAGCCCCTGCAGGACATTTTTAAATCCCATGATTTTCGTGTATGCTGAGACACCACAGCGGGGCGACAATGGAAAACAACAATAATATATCAGTTGAAAAAAGAAAGTAATGGAGTGAGAGAGCAGTGCAGGTGAGCGGCAGAAATGCTGCAGGTTTGCTTTGTAGCCGATATCGCTCTGTGGGACTTGGCCTATGGCGAAGCGTGCACATCTAACGCAGTGAGTGTTGTGCAACAGCAACAAGAGCAAACACACATATATCGAAGAAAACGGGAGACGATGAGAGAGGTGTAGGAGGAAAAGGTTGCCGATTCGAACTCGAAACTCGTGAAGAAGGAGAGGAAGTGCATAAGCGCGTAGGACTCCGCCTTTTTCTTCTTCTTTGGAATTATTCTTGGAAGGGGAGAGCGTAGCGCCTCTAAAAAACCACTTACACGCCGTGTACACAGTTTCATTCTTATAGGGAAAGCTCCACTTCAAAAAGAAAGAAATAAAGCGTCAACAGAGAAAGCCAGAGAATGAACAGAAGAACACCGTTGTGTGATTACTTGAACGAGCCACCGCAACTGCACACGATCCAGGAAAGCAGCAAAAAAAAAGGGAGAAGAAGAGAGACAGCACCAAAGGGGGTAACGACAACGCACTCGTGCAGGTGTGCCCATGATACATCAGCAAAGACCAGCAGTGTGCAACCTTGCACTACCCAGCACACGTATTGAATGAATACAATCGAAGAGAAAAGAGAGAGCCCGTTAGAGAAGGCGCTGGGTATAATAAGCATCCATCCGAGCAGTGACCAACAACAACAACGAATGCTTAGGGGGAGAGGTAACCTCACCCTTTCCTCCCCTTTCCCGTTTATCTTCGTGTGCCTTTTCTTTTCTTAAGCGTGTGCTCAGCCGTCGCCTAAGCATCCACAATCTTAACGGGGTCCGTCTGCACGCCTTCGTCCACCCTCCGTGTGGGTGACGAGGCAGGAGGTGACATGATCGACCCCGTCGTGGAGCTCCGCAGACCACGGCTGATGCCGCTATGACTCAGCGGCCTCGTCTCGCGACGCTCTCGTGTCAGCGAGAGACGACGTGCCGGCCGTCCTCGTCCGTACGACGGCGACGGAGGTTGCTGCAGCGGTTGCGGTTCATCGCCCGTGATGGTGCCGCTGGCAGGACGCGTGGACACGAGGTCAATCAGCGCCGTCGTCGACTGCAGCTCCACCACACGACTGCTGAACAGGTTTGCGTTGTCGGGGTTGGTGCTGTCGTTGCCTGCCGTCGGCCGGCCGGGGTGCAGTCGTAGCGCTGCAGCCGTGGTGGACGTCACGGCGATGCGGGGGCGATTGTGCGAGGCGTGCGCGCTGTTCTGGTTCTCTCCCACGAGGCCGTTTCCGAGCGGCGACGAATCACTCATCGCCAGCGCATCCTGCGGCGACGACGGCGACTTCACGGCACTCTCTCTGCGCGTCCGCTCCTGCTGCTGCGCCAGCAGATCCCACTGCGTCAGATCATCCTGGTTAAACATGCGCAGGATGGACTGCACAAACGAGGAGCCTAAAATGTCCGAGCAGCGCGGCCGCTTCGCCGGGTCCAGCTGCAGCATCGCTTCGATCAGCTTCATCATCTCAGGCGGTCGCCCGTAGCTGGCCTGACGTGGGGTGCCGAGAATCACGCTGCCGTCGTTGCGCCGGTCCGGCAAGGTGGCATCGAAGGCGAGGTAGTACAGAATGATCCCGAGCGACCACACATCCGAGAAGACGGTGTGGTGGTTGACGTAGTGCTCATTGACGCCACGCGGGGAGGCGGCCACCTCGAACAGCTCCGGCGCCATGTACTCCAGCGTGCCGGTACCGCCAGACCGTTCGTAGGAGATGTCGTCGAGGATGGCGGCCGTACCGAAGTCGCTGACCAGCACCCGCGGCGGCCGCCCTTTCGTCTCGGCGAGCAACAAATTCTGCGGCTTCAGGTCGCGGTGGAGGATGTGTTTGCGGTGCAGGTGCGCCGTCCCGGCCACCGCACTCAAGAAGAAGTACCACACCGCGAGGGTGGAGAGGTGGGTGCCGTACTTCTCCAGGTACGCGTCGAGCGAGCCGGCCGAGGCGTACTCCATCAAGATGAACAAGCACCGCACGGGCGGGCCGAAGTCGGCGAGCTGGGCATCCTCGACCCAGCTGTGTTTGTACTCTACCACATTCGGGTGTCGGCGGACCTCCTCGAGAATGCGCACCTCACGCAACACGGACTGCAGATAGCCCGCCTTGTCCCCCACAGGGATCTTCTTGAGGGCGAAGACGCCCAGATTCACGCCGCACATAAGGTGACAGCAGAGGTAGACGCCACCGTAGGTGCCGCGGCCGAGCTGCCTCAGTTCCTTGAAGTAGTGCTTGTAGTACCCGTTGTTAGGCTCCGGCCCCGGGGCGTTAGAGGAGTACGCCGACGGCGGCGATCCGTCGCTGTCCTTCTCTTCCTCGTCATCGTCGAGGCGCAACGGCGCTTCGCGTTCCGTGTCGTCTGGCAGCGAGATCTGCTCATTCGCCTCGTCTTCCCCGGACTGCATCAGCTTCAGCGGCGAGGAGGGCCCTTTACGGGTCGAGGGGCTTCCCCGGAGGCGGCGGGAGGGGGTGGGGCGTGCCGGGACGAGGGCCCCGCTGTGGCCGCTGAGGGACCGCCCCGGCTGCCCACCCGCCAGCACCGCTGCGTAGAGCGGCGGCCCCCCCTCCTCCTCGTTGTCGCCTCTCGCGTCGGGGTCGTGGAAGTCCTCGATGGCCAGCGGCGCCGTCCCTGCGGCGACGGCGGCGGTGATCACGGCGGGCGGTGGCAGGGCGCGGAAGTAGTGCGTGGTGAAGGCCACCGCAGGCGGGGGGAAGACCGGCTCGCCGCTACCACCATTACTGCTACTATGCACCAATGCGGGGTTCCGTATGTGTGGCGCCTTCGATGGGGTGCCGCCGGCTTCCCCGCCCACCCCGCCAGGCCCAGCCGCCAGAGCCTTGGCGAAGGCCGCCGCGTTGGGTGCGCTGGAGCTCAGGAAAAACGGCGATCGCTGCTGCTGCTGCTGCGACTGTTGTTCGTCCTGCTGGGGTGTGTTCGGCGCCGTCAGGGCACGCGGTGGGGGGAGTTGCCGTGTCTGGCTCGCGGCGGAATCGCCGGAGCGGTACAGCGCGTCTGCGGGGTCGTACATGTCCGCGTACGGGTCTTCGCCGTAAAAGCCGTAGGGACGTAGGCAGTTCGGGCAGACACGCTCGGTAGAGAGGGCCGTAGGGGCCAGCTCCCCGTACGCTGCTGCTGCGGCAGGCGGGTAGAAGCCTCCATTGTTGTCGCTACCATCACCGGTCTCGTCGCCATTTGCACCCGCCGCGGCGTTGGCGTGGTTGCTGTGCGGGCTGCGGTGCACGCTGCCCGGGTCGTGGCTACCGCGCACAAAGGGCACTACCGCCAGCTCCATCGACTCTGCCGTGGCCGCCGTGGGGGACGGGCTTCGTGGCCCGCCGTCCGCCGGCCTTCCCGTCATGTTCGGTGGGTGGGCGTAGAAGACGCTCGGCGGCGGCTGACTCGACCCGCCGTGTCCGCGGGAGCGGAGGGGCACGAGGAGAGCGCGGAGGGCGGCGGGCGGCGCCTGGTGCGTCGAGCTGCCCACAGCAGGCGCGGCACTGGACGCGAGGCGAGGGAAGATGGTGGAGGGATGCGGTGCGGGCTTGCTTTCCTGGGGCGAGCCCGGCGTGGGGACAACGGAGGGGGTCGACGGGCGACGCTCCGAGTTGGACCGGTGTAAGGGATCCATGGGGATCCTGGCGAGAACACGCGTCAGAGACGGAAAACGCAAAGATCCAAGCGGAATTCAGTCGAAATCAATAAAGAGAAGTGAGAACGTTTTTCCCTCATTTACCGCGTGAATGCACGACGGGGGGGGGGGGGGTAGGTCGAGTGTGTTGCGTTGATGGCGTCGCGCCGGCACACACACACGCGCCCTAAAACTTAATAATAGAAAGGCAAGTTAAAAAAAAAACTGTGCGCGTCAGAGCAAAGAACAGTGCTAGACCTGCAGGCTGTGATGGGAGGGAGGAAAGGGGAGTAACCGATGCTTTTGCGTTGGGTTCCTTCGGGGGAAGAAGAACGGCAGTTTCTGTGGTGTGCCGACCCCGGCGGTCAGTAACGAAGAGGACACAGCACCGTACACGCACCGAGCAAAGGGATGGGACGGCCAGAAGGGGAGAGTGAGAAGGTCATGGGGCTCATCACACGCAGCTGCGAAGGTGAACCGCACCGGACGGCTAGCCGTGACACCGCAGGGGGATGAAAAGAACCACGTTGCACAGCGCATCCGCATGACAGCGAACGCGAGGGTGATGTGTAGGCGAGCGAAAGAAAAATATACATGTCAATGTGAGATTGCTTTCCAGTCGTAGCACGTCTCTCTCTCTCCATACAACCGCACCAACACCGGAGCGGCAAATACACAAATGAGGGTATTATGATGCTATTATTATTATTATGGTGTACCCTCGAGGACGATGGTTCTCAGCGAACAGGACGTTCGTTTGTAGATACATGTCCAACAGCCTTTTACGAAAGGACTTGCTTGTTTTCATCGATGGAGAGGCGCCACGCGGCTAGCTCGTGCATGGCCTTCGCGAGTGCCGTCATGCGGACAAAAAAATCGATGGTGCGGGACTCCATCGAGTACGGGCAACCATCCAGAGCCAGCGGGTCCTCGACCTCGTCGTCGTCGTCCTCCACCACCACGTTGGACGGCGTTTGCACGATAGCTGCGTCAGAGGAGCAGACCACCGCCGCCGCCGCGGAAGCGGACGCTGCCGTGACGCACGCCTCGGGCATTGGAGTGTCTATTGCGTACGTCTCCACGACACGGATGCCCTCGTCTGCGCCATCCACGTAGGAGCGGGGGAGCTCATCACGCGTGGCCACCGTGCGATGGTGCAGCACGTGCGCCCTCACCCACTCCTCGGTGTCCTCGACGTACACCCAACGCGTCGCCACGCGAAACGGCACGACAGCGGCACCAGCGACCGATTTACCCAATTCGTGTTGACGTAGGAGGAGGTCCAGCTTCGACTGGGCGAGCGCCTCCGATGCCCACTCCATCGCAAAGCCAATGACAGCGGGGGAGTACGTCTGCGAGGAGGCGCTTGCATTTTCAGGTCTGCCGTGCCCGTCTTGTCCGTCCTCTTCCGAGTCGAGAAGCAGCAGTTCTGCTGGCGCACCTATCACACTTGCGTTTGGTAGCACGGCGGCGGCGTACGTGCATTCGGCGTCGCTTTCGAACTCTTCCATCACTTCCTCCTCCACACCTTCGTGGAAGAGAATGGGCTTGAATAGATACAGAATATGACGTGGCTGCTGGTCGGCTGCAGCACCACCCGTCCCGTCAGCACCGGGAGCGCCTTCCAGATAACCGGAGAAGCGAGACAGGTCCATCATGTACAGCAAATGACAGCAGAGCAGTAATCGGCTAAGGATCACGTTCAGTTCCTCCGTCGACGACCATGCACGGGCTTCACTTAGGTGTTCTCCATCACCCGTAGGATGAAGCCGCACCAGCGGCGCGAAGCTGTCGCACTCGGCGCAGTAGAACACGACGATGGGACAGGCGGGGGTGCCCATGGCCGCCATATAGCAAGCATGGCGACCCGCCTCCTCTGCCGCCGCCTCGCACACCGCAAGCCCTTCATCCGACAACATGTCGGTGCCCATCTCGGAGCTGCCACCGGTCCCGTCTTCCAACAGCTTTAAGTAGGTGAGGTAGCGGTTGCGGTGCTCGCGCTGGTGTGCCTGGAGCGAGGCGGAATCGCGGAAGTCGGTCACGATGGGTGGCGGCACGCCTCGCACGGGCGGAGTCGTGCTCTGGAAGGCCGAGTGACAGCAGTAGAGGCAGTGCACGTGTGGTCCGTGACCGGTCGCAGGGAAGGGCTCCGCTTTCTGCACATCCCGTGCATCACAGCAGCGCACGTCAGGGATTAAGTTGGCAGACGGGTCTGACCAGAGCGACGCGGCGCCTTCACGCGCCAGGTGCGCGCACAGCGGCGGCTCACGTGCCGCCGAGGAGGAAGAGCTCAGGGCACCAACATCCGCTGCCACTGGACCCTCTTTGCCGTCATCGGCGTTCTCGTGCATCTTGTGAGAGGGGAAGAGTCGCTCAGCGTCGTCGGTGGTCAGCCCCAGGTTGGAGGCGATCATCTGCACAAGAGCCTGGTATTGCACCTCGTTAATGGTCGCGTTTCCGTGCGCCTCCGCGGAGGTCGACGACGAAGGCGACGGCGCGATACCGTCAACATCGAAAATATGGAACACGTCTGCCTCCTTAAAGGGGTCTGGTCTCTTGTGGGACATCGCTGGGCAGGGTAATTGTAAATGAAGAAAATGCTACGAAGGCGAGCACGGTGCCCAAGGAAGCTGCACCAGCCCGTTCTCCTCGTGGGAGATTGATGCCAGCCGGCACACGTGGACAGGACGGAAGACGAAGGCAGAAACAAAGAATTATGCAAAGAAAAATAGTTGGAAAGATCACGAAGGTGAAGATTGCCATTTTCTGTCCGAGTTGCAGCGACTGCGGGGCAACGAAGCGTGCACATACGTTTCTCCGCCGAATCTTACCGTACTCCGGGCTGAACCCGCTTGAAACGAAAAGAAAGCTGATCCGCTGCTTGGGGCATTGAGCAAGTCGGCGGCACATCAAATAACAACAGAAGCGTACCTCAGGTGCAGGTCCACCCGAAAGCACCACTGTCTCTCATAACCTTTCTGTCTCAACGTGTATCCATCCATCATCTAAATCACTTTCTGTCTCGTACATACGTATAGAAATATGCTTGGTTCGGCCAGTTTGTCTGCGTTGAGGGCAGCTGGAAAATGCCACCGAAAGTTTATCTGTTTGCATCTCTTCCCTTCAGAACACATCACCGACAGGCAGTGATGAGAGTGCGGAGGCGGTTCAGCGCGGCGCCGAGCTCAAACACGCGCGGTAACGCCGTGAATCCCGCCGGCAGGTAACACGACGGGGTTTGCAGCTCCAGTCGGGCCTGGCGCAGCCGACCTTCGCAGTTGTGAACGAGTTGGCTGTAATCCGAGGCAACAGCAAGGCGAGCCAGGGACGGACGTGACGCCCCGTTCGCGGTGAAAACCCCGGCCGTGCACAGTGGTGGCGGGTAGGCCGGTGCGGGCACGCGCTCCCTTTGCAGCTTCTCCGAGGCCAGACGCTCGCCATCGTACAGCATCGCCAAGCACTGCGCGATGGCGTTGAGCTGCCCTTCCTCCACCAGCTGCTCCACGAGGGACAGCTCGATCGTCTCGTGGCCCACGCGCACGCGCTCCGTGCCGGACCCGCTTACCTTCAACCCGCCGCCGGGGCCTTGCCGACTGCGACGAGCAAGTTCCTCAAACGAGGCATCGTACTGGAAGTGACGCTGCGGCGGGAGGTGGAAAGCGGAGGTGGGGGACAGCTGCACTGCCGCCGACTCCACCAATCCACCACGGATCGTGTTGCTCCTGTTGTCGGCGTCGGTGGAGCAGCTCCGTCGCACAATCTCCTTCGCTTGCGCCGTAGCGTCACGCACGTGGTAGGCGTTCATCACCAGCACCACATCCGCCGCCGGGAAGTACTGACCGGAGCCGCCCACCACTAAGATGACCGACACCTTGTGATGCTGCATCAAGTCCCCGACGCGGTGCACAAAGGAGGTGATGGGCTCCTGCGTCGACGGCACCAGCTGCTCCATCAGCGCATCTCGGTACATAAAGTTCGTCGCCGACGTGTCCTCGTCCATCAGCAGCGCAGACGAGCCGAGTTCCAGGGCTTCCATGATGTTCGCGGCCTGACTCGTGCTGCCGCTCGCATCGCCCGTGGAAAAGGCCGTGGTGTCGCTGCGGAAGGGCAGGTGGCGAATAAAGGGCGAGATGTCCACCCCGTGCACAGCGCGGCGGTCCTCGGCGCGTATCTTCACCGCCGTCGGGTCGACGACGACAAAGGTGCGACCGTCATCCGGGACGTGGTTGTACACCCCGAGCTCCAGCGCACGCAGCAGCGTCGACTTGCCGTGGAAGCCGCCACCCGCAATTAAGGTGAGTCCGTGCCGGAGGCCCGCCCCGGTGATGGCGCGTCCACTGTACGGGAGAACAAAGGTGCGGGACAACGACGGCGGCGAGGAAAACGGGATAACGGTGGTGTCGGAAAGCGGCAAGTCGGAGTCGCCCGCAGCACGTGGCAGCACCGCGCCATCTGCGATGAAGGCCACGAGTCCGGACGCGTGCAGTTGTCCTCGCAGCCACTCCTGGTCAGACACCGACGTCACCTGCGCCCAGAGATCCTCGTGACGGCACCGCGCGACGTAGTTCTGAAAGACCGGCAGCAGCTCGGAGAAGATGATACGGTGGATGCCGTGGCTGTCGATGCGCCTGCCATGCCCCGGAAGCTTCACGCGTAGGAAGACGTGAATGAACCCGTTTGGTGCGTCCCGAAGATGTGCAGCGTCGTCGCTCCCACTTTCGACCAGCTGCACCGTGCTGCGTGGCAGGACGTGTTGGGAGACCTGAAGCATCTGTATGGCGGAGCTGCCCTGCAGACGGGCCAGGCCCTGGCGCACACAGCGGAGCAGGAAGTCCTCCGCGGCGACGCGCCGCCATGGAACGTGCTCAGGTGGAACAGCAGCAGCAGCAGCAGCGGTGGTAGTGGTGGCTTTGTGGGAGAGAATTGGCGTCGACTGAGACGCGTGCAAGAGTGTGTGGGTGCAGAACGGGGCGGGCAGCGAGACGTGTATTTGGCTGCCCGGGGCGAAGGGATCTGGCTGAATACGCAAAAATCGCACCGTGACGCTGCCCGGGCCGGGCATCATCTGCGGTGTGAGGCCGAACGTCTGGCCCGTCAGCTGCTTCAGCTGGGCGTAGCTGCGCCCCTCCACTTCGTTTAGAAAAGACGTGAGCGCACTGCAAGGCTGCCCAGGTGGTGCGACACTCGGGTGCTCCTGGAAGACATCGTAGGCACCATGGCTGCCTTCGCTGTCGTCGTACGACCCCGCAGAGGCGGCGCCGACCTCCTCGAATTCGGAAGCCGCGACGTTCGCCGAGCTGCGTGGACCACGAGGGAAGCCACTGCCGCCGCGACCGTTGCCTCGGTGACGGCCGGGGGCGCCGCCCCTCCCGCCACCTCTTCCGCGGTAGTACGAAGACATGCTCGCCTTATTTATTTGGTATCGAAGCGGAAAGATCAGGTTAATGTGAAGATGAACAGCACGAGTGGTCAGGACACAAGACACCAACGAGGAAGATCGCGACAGCGGCTGTAATTGTCGAGACGTTGGGCCGAAATTCTGGTACGCCGCAACGTCACGCAAGGACAAAAGAAAGAAAACAAAGAGGAGTAGAGCGCAGCGGCGCAGATGAAGAAAGATGACAAGAAGAAACCTCGGCGGCGCGCCAACTCAGCCCGACCAAAGGGTTGAACAGAAGAGCAGCACACAAGCAACGGTAGCACATCGCTACTGCTGCCACCGACGAGCAACATCGGTCCCGTGATTCAATCCTGCAACTAAATGCGGAGACAGCTGGCCAGTGCATCCCTCAAAAACGTTGAGAACAGCAACAGAGAGTGTATCCACTGCGAGTGCGGCGCCTCTCAACAAAACCAGCACGGGCACAACGACGGGCAAAATTCGAAATGAGCACCGAAAGCCAAAGATATTCGGACACAAGTGACACAAGATAACCACCGAGGTGATCCAGAACAACAAAACAAGTATATAGCTTGATGACAACACGCGGGCAGGTGGCGAGTCGCGGCACGCGTGCGAGGGGAGTGCGGTCAGACAGGGATAACTATACAAATGCGTGCTCGTCACTGACGTTGTCAGACTAGAGGTGTCATTACATGAGCTTGTCATCACTCTCGCACCAGGGCACAGGCACGTGCACGCGCATGCGGCGGCGGCACAGCGGCACGGCGGCAGCAGCGCACTCTTGGCGGGTGTCGGCGCCGCAGTCTCCGATGGTTGTATTGCAGAGCACGGCTTCTATCACCCGCCTCCAGCGGCGCACCGCCCTCTCTCGCTCCACACACACACGCACACAGGCACGCACATCGGACGCAGGGCACAGCCATTGCGGTGGCAGGCCCCAGGTGTTGTTGCTCCACAGGACGGGTTGAATGTCGTTCAGACGGCTCTTACCTCGTTGTGAAAGTGAATTCGTCATGTGCACGCGCGCGCGGACAGCGAGTGGGGAGAGGGGAGGGCAGGGCAGGGGGAGGGAACAGCGGCGGCGGCACAGCGACCCCGGAGTCAGTTCGCAATGTTGTGTCAGTCACGGGAACGTTCAGCGGTATCGGAGTGTTGCGTGATCGACATCATGTGGGGGTGCTGCGGCGCGGGTCGCGACGCTGCGGGATGGCGCTGGCGTGCACGCGTGTGGTCAGCCACACCGCGGAGGGTGTGTTCGTAATCAAGACCGTGGGGTTCAGGCAAGAGTGAAACGTGATCGGCTCATCACACACACGCGCGCGGGCAGGAGGCAGCGGCAGAGGGACAAGAGACGATACGGCAAGGGGGCAGGTGGCGAGTCGCGGCACGCGTGCGAGGGGAGTGCGGTCAGACAGGGATAACTATACAAATGCGTGCTCGTCACCGACGTTGTCAGAAGAGGTGTCATTACATGAGCTTGTCATCACTCTCGCACAGCGGCGCAGGAGGATTGAACTGCGTCCACATTGCAGTACCTGGGGGTGTAGGTCCGTGTTTACAGCGTTGATCGGCGTAATACCGATGGACTGTGAGTGGAAGGGTGAAATGGGAAAGAGGAAAGGAGGGTAGAATGGCAGAGATGGAATACGTGGCTGTACGGTCACAGGGCCAGATAACGGCGGTGGCGGAAGAGAAGTACTGCTTCCATGTGACGTTCCAACCAGCTTGATTCTGATCTTGTGTCTCTGCTAGATAGGGAATGCCGAACGAAAGAGTCGTGACGCGGCCTGTACATGAAGAAGCTTGCCGTTGTATCTTACATGGGTTTGTGCGTTATTCGCACTTAGTTACGGTGGGGAACCAACAGGAGAGGGGCCGGAAGGCAGAAGACCGTTTAGGGTAGCGCAGCACACAAACCGCATGGGGTGCGGAGGGCGTGTGTGTCTGTGTCAACAGCGTGGAACGATAACAAACTTCCACTACACAAATCGCCACCAAAGAAAGAGATGTGATAGACTGCAAACACGAGAGATATAAACAACAACAACATCGATAGCGGACAACGACACTATTATAGTTCTAGCTGTTCATGCCGTGTCACTTCGCTGTTCAGGGGACCGGACCTCCTGTGACACATTAGCCCTGCAAACCAACGAACGCCCAGAAAGCTGACCCTTGCGCAGACAACAGGATCTAATCATTAAAAAAAAAAGAGAGTTTGTTTTTGCGTGACCAAGGCGAAACCCAGCTTAGAGGTTGCCGCTGGCGGCATCCTTCATCCACTGATAAGGCAGGGCGCCGTCACGCAGCTTCTGCTCAAAGTCCTTCTTGCTGTCAATCGCCATGTAGAAGCCGTTGCGCACCTTGCTGATGCAGCGGTCAAAGCACGCCTTCTCACCAGGGTTGTACGGAATGGACTCTTCACCGAAGTGGGTGATGCACTGTTTTGAGCAGAAGAAGAAGCCCTCGTGGCTAATGTGATAGAGTTTCTCCGACAAGATGACCGCCTCCGCCTGGGAGAGCCCGGGAAGGTGGTTTCGCGGCTGCACCGGCTGCATCCTTCTCGATGGTGTGAGTACTACAGAAAGAAAGAGCGCGAGAGAGAGAGAGGAGACTTTTTCCCTTATCTAAAAGAGCCAAGAGAAACACCCGACGTGGTACGAGGCTGAATCGAACCACCTTGAGCGGCTGCGTTCTAACAGGATCTTCTCGATGGAACGGAAGTGATGAGACCAGTGGAATGGAATAGAGCACGCGGCAACATCGTGACCACATTCAGAGACAAAGAGGACAGGATACAACAGTAAGAAGAGTTTGTTTGGAGAGCGTACACACCGCCGGCAGGTCTGCTTTCATTCACCATTTCTCCCTCTTTCTTCTTTTAATGGTCGGAGGTTTCGCTTCACCACTAATAGTGTATTTTCGGGTTTCCAAGAGCCTCACCCCCCCCAAAAAAAAAGGACGCACTCCGTATGAATTGAGGTGTGCCGGCAAAACGTTAGCGAGTCGATTGTTGCATCTCGTAAAGGGTCCTTTTGTGTTCCTTTCTGTCTCGGTTTGCGCGGCGTGCCCGGATGTATGTGGAATCGAATGAGAAGAACTACCGAAACGAAGGCGCGGATGACGGACACCGGCGGACAGCATCCGCAAAAACAGATCCATTTCCATTCGAAAAGAAGTTAAAGGTAACGAATCGATGAAGAGGGGGGGGGGAGAACACTGCTGTCACGAACACAACCCCGACGCACGTATCTTATATATATATGTATATATATGTTGCCTGGTGCACCGGGGGCGGCTGAATCCGTCTTCCACGTTGCGCTATCGAGCGGGGCAGACAACCAACCAACCAATCAACCAAGCAAGCAGGCATAACAGCTCCAAAGCCTCCCCATGGCAGTAACACCGCAAAAGGTGATTGGTACTCAACGCACCTACGTACACGTTTTCCCTCTCTCCTGTCTTTTAAAAACAAAAGAAAGTTTTTCGTTCTCTGTTACTCCAGCAAGAGATTCATGTGAACAGGCCGCCGATTACTGCCAAGCAAACGACGAAGTAGGCTCCCCCCCCCCTCCCCCGGCCTCACAACAGCGAGGGCGACACCTGCGGTACAATGCGGCAAAAAATGACAACGGAAAAAAAGCATTTAAAAAAGAGAGGAAAGATACAAATGCGCGGCCAGACGGACAATCCCGTAAAGTGAGGAGCTCCGCACCGCTACCTGTCACGCTCGCTAAAAGACAACCACAATAACAACAGGGAAAGAAAAAAAGACTTCTACGGCGAACTACGACGATGCGGAGAAAGCAAAGCGAAGGGAGAAGTCCACGCCGGTGTTAGCTGCAGCAGCAGGAGCAGCACCGCAACCAAACGCTGCTGTCTCCGCACCTCACCTCTCACGCCTCCGCCTTCAACGGGCTACATGTTGCTGAAAAACGGGTGCTGCAGCGCTTCCTCTGCCGTAATGCGCTTGAAGGGGTGGTAGTGCAGCATGCGACGGGTCAGGTCCAGCAGGTCGGGCAGCGGGGACAGAATTTCGTCCAGCTTCGGTTTGCGTGTCACGTACTCGATGTCCTCCGGTAGCGTCTCCTCTAGCGGCTCCAGGCCCTCCTCGTCATTCTTGCCGCTGGGGTGCGAGGCAAAGCGCTGCTGCTTCGCCTGCTCCTGCACCGCCTCCTTCGACACCGGCCACTTGAGGTCGAAGTCGCGATTGTTCGGTTGGAGAGTGAAGTAGTGGCGGAAGGTGCGCATGTTGCAAGCAAAGACGCTGCGCAGGTTGACCGCCGTCCCGTTGCGGATGCCCTCCTTGTCGTGGAAGGTGCCGAGGACGTGCTGCATCATGGCCAGATGCTCCATCGTGTGGTTCGGCATAAAGAGACAGTCGCCCGTCAAGAGCTCGGAGATCATGCAACCGAGGGAGAAGATGTCGGCCGAGGTGCTCCATCCAAAGCCGAGCAGCACCTCCGGGCTGCGATAGTGCGAGGTCTGAATGGGGTTGTAGCTGACGGGCACGTGCGCGTAGCCGGGGACGAGGCTGTAGTCGCGGAAGGTGGAGAGGAACTGCGCCGCACCGAGGTCCATCACGCGGATGCTGTTCATCACCGGCATGGCGACCCGCACGTAATGCGCGAGGGTGATGTCGTCCTTGTGCGAGGCAAAGACGTCGATGGGGACGGTGTTGGTGGCGGTGTCACCGGCCGTGGCGTCCGCCCCTCCCGACATCACCCGGTTCCCCTCCAGCGAAAGCATCATGTGTTCACCGTCGTCTTCCTGCGGATCGCCGTGTGCAGTATTGAGCGGCGAGGTGGCGGGGGAGAAGGCCGCCTGTTCATCGCGGTGTGCGCGCTGCTCCAACGAGGAGCTCTGAAACTTGTAGCCGTCATTCGAGCGCTTCTTCGTCTCCGTCACGGGCGTTGCGGGTGCGGCCGAGGCAGGACTTGTGCTGTTGTTGAACTCACAGTCGTGCGGGGTGTAATGCGTGTAGTAGATCCCCACGTCCACCGAGAGCACCTTGGAGGACTCGAAAAGGACGTTTTCGGGCTTCAGGTCCGTGTGCACCACGCCGCGGCAGTGAATGAAGTGCAGGAAGGTCAGCATCTGGTAGAGAACGGCCTTGAGCAGAGGGAGGGGTAGTCCACGGTAGTACACGCGGCGCTGCCCGGGTGCCGCCGCAGCGCCGTTGGCCTCCAAACCGCAAGCGGCGATGTTCGGCTTCGGTGCGGCAGCGGGGGCAGTCGTTGGGTGTGGGGGCGGCGGCGACGCTGCGCTCGTTTTGCTTGTGCGACCCGCGAAGTCCCGCGGGGCGACCACCGCCGGCGCGGCCGCCTCGATGCGCGGGCGTTTGTGCCGTGAGGCCCGCGTGACCTCCTTACTCTTCTGCCGAATTGCATCCAGCACGTTCAGCAGCGTCGGCCCCATCACCGGGAAGACGATGGCGGGGTGCACCGGGTGGGCGACGTAGCCGAGGGGGACGATGAAGCGGCCTTGGTCGGCGAAGTACTGCTGCTTAATGCCGCACGTGGAGGCGGTGAACATCACGACGGAGCGGATGGAGATGTAGGGCGAGGGAAACGGGCTGGAGCCGTGCCGGTGCCCGCTGCCCGCCATCGCCGCCATCACCGACTCGGGGGTCACCGTGGGCGGGTCGACGCAGATCGAGTTCAGGATCGTGAACTCGTCCCAGCAGGCCTCGATGTACTCTTCTTTATCGCGGAACACCTTCAGCGCGACACACGGCGGGACGTCGCCGGAGATTTGGTTCGACAAGACGGTCGAGGACGGCGAGGCGTGGCCGAGGACCACCTTCGAAAACGTGCCCTTGCCGAGCGTCTTCTCGTACACGTAGGTGTCGTACAGCACAAAGTGCTTCTCACGGTGGGAGATACCAGAGAAGGAGCCCGGCGCGGAGGAGGAGAACGTGCTTGCGTCCGTCGCCTTCGCGGGGGACACACCGCTCATCTCCACCACTCGCAGAAACGGCGTCGCATCACGGCGGAACTTCTCCGCGTAGGCCTCGGTAAACATCGGGTACTTCTTCGCCACATCCTCGGCGTGGTTGCGCGGGTCCTTCTCGTTCGTCTCGTCCTCCACTTCCTCATCGCTGTAGGACGACGTCGAGGAGGACCTGGTGGGGGCTGAGGTGGGCAGCGGCGGCGGCGGCGTCGGTCGCACGCTGTGACTGCTGGCACGCGAACGGCTAGTGCTGGTCGAGCTGTTGGTGAAGGCCGCCGAGTGGGTGGAGGTGCGGTCGCGGGTGGTGACCCGCCGCGTCCCCGCCGGCCGCGCAACGACGTCCCCTTCCACCGCCTCATCGTTCGTGGTGGATGTCGGCTTGTCAGGTATCACGGCGTCGGCGCCCACGTTGGGGTCCGAGTGGACGTTCATCTGGGGGGCGGCGCTCGGGAAGCCGCCGGTACGCTCCTCGCGTGGACTGCGCCGCTGCAAACCGAAGTCGTCTTCCTCGTTCCCGTCTGCAGAGCCGCGGTTGCGCTTCAGAGGGCTATTGGCATTATTGGGGAGCATCGTTAGCCTTTTTATATTTGCCTTACTACGCTGATCTTTCCTAGAGGGTTTTGATCTGTGTTTGACGTGAGGAGACTGTCCGTGTGTGCGTGTGTGGACGTGCGTTCACGTTGGTGAGCTGACCGAGATAAACAAAAAAAAAATGGTAACTTACTTGCTTTCCGATTTACAACTGCGTTTATATGAGTCTATGAACAGAATTATACTTTGGTAGATGTATTCCTCACCGCGATGGAAACACGACAAGGCACACACCCACACACACAGAGTGAAAAGGCAATGGGCTTTGATATGCTCCCGTGAAGTGTCCTCCTCGAAGTCTTCGTATTTCCTTCGGACGTTCGCTTGCGTTGGGTCCGCCGTGGAGACCACCGAAGACCGCCAAAAAGCACGGTCCTTAAAAGGAAAAATGTGAAAACACAAATCAACACGTCCAGCGTGCTACACGAGTCTTTCTATTAAGGAGAGAAAAAGAAAAGCTTGCAGGGGGGTAGTGCCGTTTCTCAGGAAGAAAGGCTGCCACGCAACACACACACACACACACACAATCGAAGCGCTGGTAGGGCAATGATGGACTCTGGAGGGATGGACGTTGCGTCGCTCACTCAACACGACAGGTAGATCAATAAATGTACACGGTGTCGCCGTTGTGTGGGGCGTGCAACGCTCGTTCAGCGATGGAAGCACAACCAACAGTTCAAGAAAAACCAGAGACGCCAACGTGCTGCTGCTGCTGCAATCTGCTTATGCGAAAACCAACGAAAAATGCCAAGAAACAAAAAGGAGAACAGCGGGAGGAAGAGGGGGAGTCGTGGAAGCCACCGCAGCTCCTTTTGTCATCAAGCGCCATGCAGAGAGAGAGTGAGAAAATGCGTCTCCATGAGTCGAGGAGGAAAGCGCGACTGCCACAGAGCTTCTGTGGTGCCACCCGTCCGATCAAAGCTCACGAAAAAAAAAAAACTGATCGTTCAGAGCAGCTTTCACGCTGCTTTGTGAAACGGTCAAGTTCGTCGTCGGCGCGTGGGCTTAAAATACCTTTCCTTCTTCATTAGTGTCTCAGCATAACAAACAGAGGATCAGCAAAAAACAAAACAAAGCGGGTGCGGTGCGGCGCAGCACGTCAGCACACTTCATCCTTCAACACAGCCACACACACACACACACACAGACGCACATCTCGCAGACAACTAAGGGTCGTGAACACAGCACATCACCAATGCTCATTCCATCAGAGCTCGACAACGTTGAGAGACAGCGCCGCAAGTTAACAAGCTTGCAACAACAACAACAGAAGCAGCTTTCGTATTAGGCGAGCGGGTGCTGCGCTTCCTTGCCGGACTCCACTGCGGACGAGCCCGACGACCCTGATGACGAACTGGAGCTGCTACTGCTGCTGCTGCTGCTGCTCGTCGTGGAGTCAAACAGAGGTGCAGGGGATAGCTGCTTAGGAGCCGGCGGCGACAAGGGTCTCACACCGCCAAAAGCAGCAGTGGACCGCGTCTGCGCAGAGTGCGACAGCTGCACCGTTGAGGGAACCAACAGAGCCGGTGGCTGCCCCGTCGTGTCCGCGACGTGGCGATGGGGGAGGTCCAGCGTAGCTTCCACGCTCTCCACCTCCGTAAAGTCCTGCGAGTTGGCGGGTATCTGCAACGGCGTCCCGCCACTCCTCATCTCCGTGAGGGTGGCGGTGGCCAACACCGAGTCAAAAGAGCCGTTGTGGGTGCCCTCATCACCAGACTCCGCGCCCTCCATGCGCGGCTGACGCAGCAGATCGGACCCGCCGACGCTGCTGTTCTCGCGAATGTCGAGCGTCTCGGCTGCTTCGGCTGCGCGACGGCTGAAGGCGACGGCGGGGAGGTGCAACGGGCTCGACGGGGCACCGCTGTCTTCGGCCTCCGCCTCATTTACGAGGTTTCCCTCCTCCGTCACGACCGCGTCTTCGAAGTTGCTCGCGACGGGGCTCTCCCAGTGGAGGGGCTGGAAAAGAAGGCGCGCAGAAGACGAGCCCGTCGCTGCCGCCTCCGCCTCCTCGCTCGGGGCGGCGGTGACCAACGTCGACCCTACCCCTGCCGCAGGGACGCTGGCGCTGATGAACGGGCTCGCCTGCACATCCACCACGAGCGCCGGTCGAACAGGAACGGACGAAGACGTCAACGTAGGAGACGACGAGGAAGGCGGAGGGAGGGCAAAGAGGCCGGTCGCCTCCCCGGAGGCAGCGATGAGGCTGTCCTGCTCGGACGGTGCGTCGGCGGCGGCGGCGCTGGCGGATATGTAGGGAGAAGGCGGCAAAACGGCGGCACCGCCGAAGTGCCGCGCGGCGATTGCCGGGGACCCGCTCAGCAGGGCCGCCGAATTCCCCTTCGCCAAGGACAGCGAGCTGTTCGATACAAGAACGCCACTGGCGCCTCCGTCGACCGATTTCACGGTGGGCCGGTAGACGTACTGGCGAAGGTAAGGGTCGGCATTCTTGCTGCCGCCGTTGCTGCTTGCCTGAGAAGCCCGCAGCACCTCCGTCTCGAAAGCCTCGAGCTGACGGAATAACTTGCGCGTCGTCTCGTGCGGGTGCGCAGAGCCGATGGCGGAACAGGCGGTGAAGGCGCCAAACGCCGCGTCGTCGAGCACCACCCGCGTCAGCGCGGGCGCCGTCTGCGGGATGATCTGACTCACCGTGGCACTGGCAGCGCGGCCACGCGGGGAGAGCTGGCGCAGCACCTCCGCCACGCGGGCGCCGTAGCGCTCCACCAGCGTCGTCACACTGTTCACCGCCGCTGCCTCGGCTAGTCCTCGCGGGGAGCGCGCCAGCGCCTTCCAGTGATCCAGATTGCTGCTGCCCGCATGGATGTCAGAACTTGAGTTTCCAAGCGTGTCCGCCTCCCGTGCGCCACCACAGTCCTCGTCACCAAAGTACTGCTGGGCCGAGGCAACCGCACGGGTGGTCGTGCTTGTCGTGCAGGACGGTGTGCGTCGCTCGAGCAACGCACGGACAAGGGCGGGAAGCGTCATGCCAGTGCGCATGAACGGCCGCACGAGAGAGGACATGGAGCCGTTCTCGACGCCTTCACTGTCGCCTTCCCCTTCTGCGCCGTCTTCCGCCTCGACGCTACCGTGCACGAAGCAGATGGAGACGGCTCGCAGGGTAATGCGCTGACAGTCGACGAGGCCAGGTCGTAGTGCGTGTGCCGTGAACTTCACCTCCAATTCCTCACTCGGCATCAGCAGAAACGTGTAGACTGTTTTGCCGACAAACAAAATGGGCACCTCTCCACTGGTGCGCCGTGCCGCCGAGGCGGCAGCTTCCAGCGGGGATGAACTTCGCGGTGTCGTGGCTGCGCTGGGCGACGACGATCCCGCCGCTGGGAACTGTCGCTGCGCCTCCGACGTCACGCCGGCGTGCAACGGGGAGGCGGTGGCCAGCTGGCTCGGCAGGGCCTCCGCCGTGACGAGGAGGGGGAGAGGCGAGAGGGACATGCAACGCAGCGTCACGGAAACCTCCGCCGTAAGGCAGCGGGTAGCCCCACTCCCCGCACCGCACAAAGAAGCCCGCACGACGGGCGGCACGTGGACGTGGGAGACGACAGCGCCCTGCCACGGTTTGAGGCTGGCGTAGCGCACCAGCATCGCCGCACACAACTCCTGCTGCGTCTGTTCCACCGAAGCTGCGGCCACCACCGCCGCCGCCGGCCGGAGCTGCGTTGCCGCCTCCAGGTCCGCCTGCCGCTTCTGCTGCTGCGCCAAGGTTTGGTAGACATGCTCAATTGGGTCGACAAAGAGGAACAGCTGTCCTTTGCGCAGACCGTCGCTGCCCTCCCGCACCCACGTCACGGCGAGCGCTATCGGCGTGTACTGCTCCATCGCCGCACCGCAGAGGCGACGCTCCTCGGCCACCTCGTCCCGGCGGCGCTGCTGCGCGGTTTTGGGCGGCGCCTTCTGCTGACCGGCCTTGTCCGCGTAGAAGGCCAGCCCGCCATTCGTTTCTTCGCTCGAGGTCTGGACGCCGACGCGGCCGGGTCCCAGCCACGACGTCTGCAAGAAGAACAAGTTGCGGTCCGACTGCGAGACACCAGCACCCAGGTGGCCCTCCACGTTTCTAATGCGTGACGGAGACGGCAGAGCCTTCTCGAGAGGGAGACAGGTGGTGTCCGCGTACGGCGACCCTTCCTCCTCGGTGCGGTTCAAGAAAAGATGTCGCGCCGTCGTGTCCGCCGCCCCGATGCCGCGTGGCCGCCGCTTCACCAGCAGCGCAAACGAAAGGCAGTCGCCTTGGGTGAGCAGGCACTGCACGGCGCGGTCGGCCACCAACTCCTCCGTGCCGTTGCACTCGATGCCCCAACGGGAGCTGTGCACGGCCAACACACGTGCAATGCGCAGAGGGGCGTAGGAGGACGCGGCGGATTCTTCTTCTGCTGCTGCTGCACCGCCACGGGCCGTCTCCGGACCGTTTGGAGGCGTGGCGTCGTCGGCTGCGGTGACAGGGATGGCGCGCACGGCGTCTTTGGACTGCGAAGGGGAGAGCTGGGCGCCCGATGCTGCTGCTGAGGCATGCGGCCCGCTGCGGGACTGCGCTGGGCAGATGTTCTTCACCGTCAGCACAATCGCGATCTTAAGTGACGCATTGGAAGGCGGGAGCACCGTGGAGTACATCCCCAGCATCGGCAGCACGTCGCAGCGGCGGAGCAGGCGGTGTAGGCGCACCATAGCAGGAGGGCTGTTGGACGGACACTTGCCATTTGAAACAGGGCTCGGCAAGGACTGATGCTCCGTGCTTGAGGTCAGGGAATCCACGCCAGAGCCCGGCATGAACTCCGTCGGGGGTGTACCGAAGCTCGTCCCATCCGCTTCCGACGCACTCAGCACGGCTCGCTGCGAGCGCTCCAGACGGCGTTCGTGGTCCTGCGGGGTGCCGGGGAGGTAGGCGAGCAGCAGGAAGATGTAGTTACCGCTGCCCTGCTGCGAGATGTCGCCGTGGCGGTGCTGGCCGCGAATGGTCACCGTGAAGATGCGCGTCTCCTGCGCCTTGAGCTCGTCGGCGAGGACGAGCGGCGCGTCAAAGTCCATATTTGTGGCAAAGTCGAACTCCTCAATGTACATCAAATGTGCCGTGTTGGGGCTGCGCTGCAGGAATACGTGGGTGGCGTCTTGCTGCGTGCTGGCGTTGTGCACGACCAGCTTCGTGTGAAAGTACTCGCCGTCGTACAGCTGCTCCGGCAGACGGGGGTGGAAGCCGGCCGTGACGCACGCCTTGGACGGCTGCACCGTGACGTGGATGTTCTCCGCGGCGTCGAGGGTCGGCATGGGGTGCTCAATGGCGTACTCGTACAGGCTTTCCGGGCAGCCCGGGCGACTCTCCCGCGTGGCGAAGTAGTAGTACCCTTCCTGCCCCATCAGCGACCAGCACAGGCCGATGATGGCGTACTCGCCTTCCGTGACGGGGTCAAAGGAGAGCGAAACACGCTGACGCGCCCCGGCAGCCAGCTTCACCGTCTGCGTCGTGGAGCTCTTCCACAGTTGCTCTGGCGCGCTGAACGAGAGGTACAGCAGTGTGAGGTCGGTCGCCACAATTGGGCAGCCGACGGTGTTCTCCATCACAAAACTCAGCACCAGCGGCTCCGCACGGGCAATGGTGTAGTGCCGCGGCGGGTCGCCGGGTCGCACCGGTTGCCCAGCTGCAAAGATGTAATCGACGGCTTTGTAGTGGGCCGAGGCGGTAGAGGACGAACCGGCCGCACCGGAGGCGCGACGGCGACTTTGACTCCCACCGTCCTTTCTACCTTCCCTGCTGTTTCCGGCACCGCTGCCGCTGCTGAGACCGCCATGCAAGGAGGGAAAGCGATACTGCGGCTGTGTCGTGAGCACCGCCTCCGTGTACGTCTTCTTCAGCTGCTTCTCGATGCTGCGCCACTCCGCCTCCGCCGTGGTCTCGCTCATCTTGCGGGCCACCTCGTCCGTCATCACGTCGGTGCTGTAGTAGTTGCGGTCGACGTGGAAGGAGGCGCGTACGATGCGGGGCATCGGCATGTGCGGGCACAGCGCGTAGCCCATATTGCCCAGGACGTACTTCTGCTGTGCCCAGAAGGCCTCGAAAGCCTGCTGCGCCGTGTCGGGACTGCGGTAGAGCGGGGTGCCTTGGGCTACGGCGGCGCACACCATCGCGGTGCCGCGCACATCCTGCCCCAGTTGGGTGTACAGCTGCCCTACGGTGATGTAGAGGTGCTCGGCGAGGTCTTTCCACGTCTCCTGCGGGTCGATCAGCCGGAACAGCTCTAACACACGCAGGTAGCACCGTAATGCTTGCTCGAGGGAGTTGTCGTCCCGGTAGAAGGCGCCCGCCTGCTGCAGGTAGCGCGCAAATCGCCGCAGACTGACGGACATGGGGTAGTCCCGCGGGATCGCCGGCGGCATCGCCAGACCCGCCATGAAGGGTGCGTTGGAGAAGACAGAGATACCCGCCAGCATGTCGTTCACCACCCCGTTCAGCAGATTCTGATGCCGCAGGACACCGCTGCGCTGCAGGTGCAGGAGAATGGCGCGGGAGCGGTCCAGCACGGGCGGCAGGCGTGTACGACAGCATTCGTAGATGAGAAACGCGATGCGAACAGCGTAGGTCTGCGTGCCGGCATCCAGGAAGTCGTTCCACGCCACTTCCCACCGGTTCGTCTGCGAGTTGATGCGGTGGGTAGTGGAGGTCACCCCCGTGTACCACGGCGTGGGGCTCGGCAGGGGTGCACGACGCATGAGGAACTGCGCCACTCCTACTCCCTCCTGACAGGCGGCAATCATGGATCGGTTGTACGGGCGCTGGCTCAACGTCTCCAGCAGCTCCTCGATGCAGAGACGGTAGTACGTGATGGCCCCTTCGTAGTCGTGCAGCACGAGGGAGAGGTCACCGCAGCGGCGCATCTGCAGCTCGAGCGACGAGGCCGCGTACTTGGGCAGCGCGGACGGGTCGGAGCCGTGGGGCGGGTACACGACGTCGGCGGTGCGAGGGCGCACCTCGTCCTTTCCCTTGAACCACGCCGCCATCTTCCCCAGCGTGGTCGTGCGCCGATCCTGCACCGAGACGTCCAGCATACGCAGTCGCCGCTCCACGTACTTGAAGAGCGACTGGGACAGGTAGTAGGCCATCACGTTGTGCACCTCCGTCACATCCTCGGGGCTCATATAACACCCGGTGAGCATGGCGGCGTTCGAGTTTGGCCACGTGCCGCAGGTAGGACGCACTGTTCGAAAGGACAGAACCCCACCACTGCGATTGTTGCTGTTGGGTGACGTCGGCGCTGTCGTCGGCGATGCCGGGTCGGTGGGTGTGCTGCTGGAGGGGGGAGGGGAGGTGCCGCTGCTGCTTGCCGCCGCCGCCGCTGCTGATGCGACTCGCTGAACTGCCTGGGCCGATGGCACGTCCATCACCGCCGGCGAGGCGTCCACCCACAGCGACGGATCCAAACTCTTTACCATGCGCGGGTCGAGGACGGAGTTGACTTTGATGAGGGCGCAGTAGTTCGCCCCGTAAAGCTGCTGCACCGCCGTGAGCACCTGCCGCGCCGTACCCAGCGACGGACTCGACACGGCGGTGTTGTCGTGCAGGACGAGGTAGTACTGGTGGAGCTCGCTGTCCATCCCTGGGAGACTCGCCTTCAGCTCCGCTACCCGTCTGGCTTGCGCGCGGAAGACCTGCAGAATCCCCTCTACCCCGCCCGCCTCACTCGTGGCGACGGCGAAGAGGACGCCCACGGGGTGGTCCACGGTGTCGAAGGAGCTGCACCGCACGAGGCTGTGGAAGTCCCGCACAAAAGTGCGGTGCCAGGAGGGGCACGCCCGCTCCAGTAGCGTCGACGGCGGCGACGGCCCGCCAGATGCGCTGGTGGCGGGTGGGAGGGCGCGCACAGGGTGTGGTAGCGAGCCGTCGTGCCGACTCCGGCCCCCCTCCACGATGCTCTCGATCGCCCTGTCCAGCTGCTCTCCGTAGGCCATGTCCATCGCAGCGGCGCTGCGCAGGAGCCGTCGCACGTGCCGCATGACCTGCGAGAGAGCCACGTCCCGCACGCAGTCGGTGCGCATGAGCCGGACGCCGAATTTGTTGCACGTGACGGGGTCGCTGCGATCACCGGTGCGGGACAGCAGCGGACCGCCTGTGTAGACGCTGTGTGGACGGAGCAGCTGGATCGCGTCGAGACCGTGGCGGGCGCAGATGGCGTCGGCAGCGGCGCTGCTCTCGAGGACGACAACGGGGCGTGCGTACCGCTGCTCCACCCACTCGTCGAAGCTCACCTGCGAAGCCATGACTAGTTCAAAATAAATGCTGTTATTTTTCCTTTTCGCTCCCCTCTCTGCCGGTGGTGTCGGCGGCAAGAGAGATGAAAAGAGAGAAACAACGACGGCGCAGCAACAAGAGCGCGGCAACGCCACGTCGGTGCACGCTCCGCTGTGAAGGAGTCCGGCGCGGCACGGAACGCGTATCGTGTAGCAAGTAGCCACGACAGCTGCAACGGTGCCTGCTCGCGAGGATGCTGAGTACCCAAAATACAAAGACGCTGTGCAGGGGTGGTATGGTGTCTGTAGGAAGATGGTGAAGCCGCTGAAAGAGCAACACACGCGAGAAAACAGAAGGGACTACGGCGACGATAGAAGAGTGCTTGCCCTTCGTATATATGTCTATCTTCTTCTTCAATGCTTGCCAGAGTGAGGGTGAGGGTGACAGGACAACAAAGGAAGAGCAGCAGAAGTAAGACGCAGAGAGGATCCGTCGCATGCGGGAGAATACAGCGGAGAACCTCGAGGTGGGGGCCTGCTCAAGAAGACAGCAGAACGGAGCTCAGGAAAGTGGCAGCGCATCCGAGTACCTCTTTGCTGTTTCTCCCACACTGAGGTCGGATAACCGAGAAAAAATAGTGATGGAAAAGGGCGATCGCTGGGGAGCGGGTCGTAGCCATAGCTCCCATCGGTCGCTTAAAAAAATAATAAGAATACAGAAGCGACCAAATGGCAAAACAACAACAACAGTGGCCTCCGTGAGAGCAGCGACAACGACACTGTGTCCATGCTGCGTAAGCACACTGCTGTAGGAGATGGCGTACTCCCTTGCTTTAACTGTATATTTGATGTCTCTTTCTCAATTGTCTGACACGGAAAAGGCTCAGCGGAATACTTGGAACACGAAGGCAAACAAAAGAATGTTTTAGCACTAATAATAGTAAGTAAGTAGTGCTAGTAATGAAGGGAAACATCGAGGAAGAAAAGACAAGAAAAAAAAAGAATCAGTCAAACAAACGAACCGCGTGAAATATAGCTGAGAAGCTGCGCACATAAACTACTGTGTTTACCGTTTCACCGACAGGTGCCGCGGTAAAGCGTGTTTCGACACAGATCATGAACACAAGACAAAGGAAGAAAACAAAAAAACAATCAAAACAAAATAGGAAGAGAGGCGTGGCTGACGCCCGAAAAAAAAAAAGGGCTCACACAGACATACGAAACGAAGAAGAAAGCGAGCAACGCGCGCAACACGGTATTCCAGAGAGAACGCAAAAAGGTCGAAAGGAAGAAACAACGCATGCACGGTTGGCGGGAGAGAAGAAAAGTGAAACAAACAGAGAACGTTTTTAAGTGTTTTTCAATATATCAATGCATATATATATATACATATAACCCTTTCGAACAGCGGCTGCATTTCATCGCAGAATGCGCAGAAGCTGGACAGTTAGCAAAAGAAAAGGAGAGGACGACGACGAAAGCAACGACAGTTTACAGAAGACGCTTTAGAAAACAAAATAAGAAAATAAGAAAATACGAAAACCGGAAAGAAACATAATAGTAATATTAAAAAGAGTTTGAGAAGACGTAGGAAAATTTCACTGAGCAGGTTACCCGCAATTGCGTTCAACTCACCAACAGACGTAGAGGTAAAGCACGCAATGAAAAGTGCATCTACAACGAAGCTACTCGAGACAGAAGAAAAGGAAAGAAAAACAAAAAAGGGAGATAATTTAAGAATGAAGGGGAGCGAAAAGAAAAATATGAAAAGTCAAGAAAAACCCGAAGGGAAGGGTCCATCATATATATATACAAGAAAGTTGACAGCACCGAAGGCGAGGAGGAGATGTTTGTGCATGGCCTACGACCCAGCGATTCAGCACTTCGAAATCCAACATTGAAAGGAGGAAATTGCGGCTGCTGGACTCTCGTGTGTGTGCGAGAGAGAGAGTTAAAAAGAAGAAAGAAAGGAAAAGTACGCGCAGATCAACTCTACAGCACACACACACACACACACTCACTCACAGAAAAAGAGAAAAAAAAGCTTCGTATTTGCATCAGCAAGGCAGTTCACGCGATACATTAACCACCTATCGGTGGCGACTCGACCATTGCAGTGTCACAACTCAACAGCAGCGACTGCATAAAAAATGGAAACGAAAAAGAAGTGGAGGTAGAGGAGAAAATAATTAAAGAAGAGAACGTATTTGAAAACCAACACGCTGAAGGGGGAAAGGTTAAAAGGAGATGATCCGTGAAACAGCAGCGCTACAAACAAACAAACAGTAAATAGATAAGCACCGCGTCTTGCTGTTTCACAGACACTTAATACATGATCAATCACCATACAATGAAGTTGCCCTGCTGCGGCGCATGACAAAGAAAAACAATATATATATATATATATATTAATTCTATGCCCATCGCGGCTAGTTGACCGCAACCATTTTCTCTTTCGCAGTAGGGCTGCTGATGTGGGAGACGCAGGACGTAGTGTACAAGACGAAAACAAGAAGGAGAAAAGCAATAAAATATAACAGCGCTCTTATTGGCGCCTTTTCACGTCTTTCATTAAGAAGGGAGAAAAAAGAAAAGATACACCACTTTTACTGCTCACATCACATGCCGCCAGCTGCGCGAGAAGCGGTCGCCGCACGCCGAACACTGCAAACCATTGACTATTCTTTTCATTGAATAAAAAATAAGATCTGCAACATAGCAGCACTTTACCCTTTCCTCCCCTTTCCTTCTCTGATCGACACATTCAGAGAAAGGCCGACACGCAAAAGAATGGAAAGCGAAGCGCAACGGCAACGACAACAACGACAAAAGAGAGGTGCTGATCGAATACCAGTTGTGGTGGACGAAGATCAACACACACACACAGAGAGAAAAAGAATAATCCTACCGGATACTAATACAGAGAAAGAAAGGAAAACAAACAAACAAACAAATCATTTATAAATATTTGACCCCTTACCTCAAATCATAACTGCATTGTCCCCGAAACAGATACATACAAAGAAAAAAAGGAATCAGGAAGATAAGATGACTGCCGATTACGTACACACACACACACACCGCTCTCCATTGCCCAGAGTTTCACGTTAACGTTTAGGATTACTTTATATCCTTCTTCAGGAGATGAAAAATCGTAACAGTCTTAACAATCAAATCGCAAGGTGGACTCGCTGCTTTCGAACTGAATAGCCATCCCCCACACTCGTATGCGGTGCACGTTAACTTTTCGCAGGCTCTTCCTTCTGATAACAGTTAATGAAAAATAGTAATATATATATTTTTAAAGAAAATAAAAAAACAGTGCCACTGACTCCAAAAATACGACAAGGAGCGTGCACCTTCTGCTTTACATCTCGCTTCTATTTTCAGTAGGAGCCACTCGCCATGATGTGCAGGCCTGTTTCCGTCCCTGTCGCCGTTCCCCGGAAAAGTGGCCGCTTGCTCCCCCTGTCGCTGATCTTCTCAAGGGGGCTGAACATATCGGGATCCGACACGTCCTCCGACTTCAGCTCGCTGGTCTTCAGACCTACATCAGCGGGACGCATGCTCGATAAACTCTGCTGGGTCTGTACGCGGTGCTTCCGCCGCTGCTCGTCCATCCCCTCCCGCACCTCCATCTGCCGCTTGCTGATCCAATCAAACTCCCAGTCATAGGGGCCGAGGAGGGGGTCGGCATCGTCGGACTGCGTCAGGAGCTGCGCCGCCACGGTGCGGGGTGAGCGGTCCACGTGGCTGGCCTTACTCCCAGTGTCCACACTCATGGTGCTGGGCATGTGCGATGCGACCACCGAGTCGTCCGGCATGGACATGCGATGGCTGGCGGAGAAGGGGTTCGACGGCTCCGCCGCACCGCGTACCGAATTGGAGAAGTCGGTGAAGGAGGGCAGCGTGAAGCCCAACCGTTTGCCCAGCCCGCGAAAGAGGCGGCGCAGGTACTCGTAATCGGGCTTCTGCGTAAAGGTGAGCGCGCGGCAGTACTGGCAGTACTTGAGAAACTCCTTTGGCAGCCCTTTGCAGAGCTCCTCCAGCGGCGTCGAAATCTTCTTCTCGCCGATCTTGATCGTCTTGAGCTGCTGGTCCTTTGCCTGGATGCCTTGCCACGGCAGGGTGCTCTGCAGGAAGTAAATGAAAAGAAAGCCAATCGACTCGAGGTCGTCGCGGCGGCTCTGTTCGTAGCCGCGGTGCACGTTGACGCTGCAGTACCGCGCCGTGCCCGTCAGCGGGCGGCCCTCGGCAAAGGGGATGTGGCTGTTCTTCTTCATCTCCCAGTACAGCTTTGACAGACCGTAGTCGATGACGTACAGAATGTGGCCCTTCGCCCGACACCCGAGCACGAAGTTTTCGGGCTTGATATCGCGGTGTACGAAGCCCTTCTCGTGGAAGTACTGAATACGATGGAGAAGCTGGTCCGCAATCATGAGCACCGTCTTAAGAGAAAAGCGGCGGTGGCAGTAGTTGAAGACGTCCTCGAGCGACGGCCCGCACATCTCCATCACCATAATGTTGTAGTCGCCCTCGCTGTCGAAGTAGTATATCTGAGGGATGCCAATCACAATGTTCGGGTGCGCCGCAACAGGGTGGAATTGTGAGACAGACGCCGTCGACACCGTACCGTTCTCGTAGTTTGTCGCGCACGTCTGATGAATGACGGTCGGGGCGGTGTGGTTGCTTTCGGTGGTGGTCGAGCCTTCCGAAGGGGGTGGCCGCGCCACCACTTCGCTCTGTCCCACCGGTGGCTGGTGGAGAACGCGGTAGACTTTACTTTCGTAGGAAAGTTGTGGATAACGAGCCTTCTTGCGCTCCAGCTTGACAGCCACAATGCGCCGGCTGTGTTTATCGTAGCCTTCGAAGATGTCCCCAAAGGAGCCGTTGCCGAGGCGGTGGCTCAGCAGGAACCGACCCGCACCGAAAGGCACCTCCTTCCCGGTCGGCTGGTATACTTCAACAGAGGCCAGCATTTTCGAGCGCGCTGTGTCACCCTTGTCCTTCTCCTGCTATTTTTTATTTTCAATCACACGTCGAGGACGAGAATGAAATACATACAAAAGACACTTATCACACCTCTAACAGAAAGAAAAGGAAACAGAGAAGAAGAACTTGATGATTCTGGAGTAACGGGGGAGGAAAGACAAACGGGAGAACGTCAGCGACAGCAACACCAACAAGAAACGGCGGAAGCAGAAAGGCCTGAAAAACACAATAATGCTAAAAACAATAACAGTAACAGTACGCCGTTGTGGAAGTCGAGTATAGATATCTTGAGAGTTATATATTTAGGTGCCCTAGAAGATGAAAAAAAAAAGAAGAAGAAGAGAAAAGGCTTTTGATGTTCGTCTCAATTCACACGGCTGTCTCTCTCTCTCTCTCTGCCTCTCTGTTTTCTTCCGCGTCTCTATGCTTGCTGTTGTCGTTCAAAAACAGCAGCGTCCGCCGAAGCACTGAGTGAAAGGAGCGGCAAGTCAACACTCGAGTCCAGATGTATACATGAGAAAGAATACGTGAGAGGAGAACGCGCTCTTCTTCTTCGTTCCTATTGTCGTGCTCTACACGTGAGGTAAACAGCGCACCGCTTACGTAAACAACAACACCGAGAGGGGAAAAGAGAGGAGAGACGGTTTTCCGTTGTTGTCTGTTCAGTAGAGTGGAAGTGTGAGAAACACACACAAAAAGCTGAGGGGCAAACTTCGCGGAATTAGCAAAGATAGAAGAGAAAGTGGGACCCCCATAAGAGGGCGGTTCGTCAGCGCCGTAAATATATATATATATATATATATATATATATATATATATAAGAAGAAGGTAGAAGGAAGCGACGAGGAAATTTCCCGTTTTTTTTTACTTGCGGGGTTGTACACGGTAACGCAGCAGCAGCGCGAAACGTAGAATCAAGGTGCACCGTGTGGGCGAGGGTAGAGGAAAGAGAGAGAGAGAGAGAGAAATTCGAAACTGAGAAGTGCGGACGTCGGGACGTCTAGCATCGTACGTTGAGCGGGGCGTTTCTTTTCCGTCGGTGTTGGCTGTTCATCGTTCCCTCCGCCAAGCCGCTGAGCCAACGTCCCGGCAGCGCGCCGGAAGAAGAGGAGCGTGCCTTCCCTCCCCCTCCCCCAGGAGTGAAAAGCGGAAACAGTAATTAACGCTCGATTCAGTTCAGCTTAAGTTCTGCTTTCTTCGCGTATACTACGGACATAGCATTGCTGTTGCCGTGCATCCAGACTTGAGCAGGTGAAAGAAGAAGAAGAAAACGGTCTTTCTACACTCTCATGCCTTTCGTCGTCAGTGATGGCTCACTTCATCGTCGCCTGTACTCCACGTGGACCCAGCGGCTTAGGTCTTCGTCCCTTTCCCCCGCCGATGCCACAGACGGAAAGTCTTTCTTGGGTGAGTGCGGACTGGGAGGCGAGTTTCCAACCCACGACGCTGAAGGACATGGCGGAGAAGAGGACTCTTGCCGCGCCCCTTTCAGCAGCGCAGCGATCTCTTGCGTGTCCGGCTGTTGCGGCGAGTGCTTCTGCGCCTCGGGCGGTCCCTGCGTGCGCTTCAGGTGCGGCTTCGCCACATCCACCGCAGGCCAAGGAGACGCGGACGTTGGCTCCTGCGTGCCGTGGGCGAGGTGGGAATCGTCCGCCGCGAGCCCCGAGGCCAGAGGGGGCGGCAGCGGCCCTAGCGAGGAGGGGGAGGAGGAGGAACTCGCAGAGAACGTGGGGGTCGGGATGAACCTTCTCGCAGGGGTGTGCACAACCGCAGCATCCGCCACGTGATCCTCTGACTCGCTCACGTCTGGACTTGCTGTTGCCTTCTCCTTCACTTCCTCTTCCACTTGTGCATGAGCTTGCTTCACCGTAGACTCGTGCACAGCCGCTAGCTGCGCAGAGAGGGGGTGTGATGGAAGGACAAAGGGTGCCGCATCGGTTAGCTCGCGTTGAAGTATCGAATACAGCAGCCACGAGATGCCCACAATGGGCGGTGCATCCGTGATGGTCTTCGTCGCACACATCACTGTGTCCGCATCCGCTGCCGGCATCTCGGAAAGCCGCTGCAGTGCGTCGTGGTAGGCACAGGTAAGAGACTCCCGAAGCGTGCGATGCTGCAGCTGCTTTTGCTGTTGCCGTCCCGCCTCAACCGTGCTCTCGTAGAACCCGGTGAGGTCGATGACCACGTCCAGAAAAGTGCTGGCGATGTTGCGCGTGACGGTCCCACCGAGCAGTCGTATCAGCTGCGTCGCCTGCTCCAGCGCTGCCGTGACGTCTCCTAAGTAGCTGCAACTCGCTCCTCTCCGCTGCTGACGGCGCTGCGCCGGTGGTGCGGCGGCGAACGATGCGAGATCGATGGGTGGGACGTAGAGGTAGAACATGCGGTCTTGGAAGATGGGGCGGTAGTACGGCCGCTTGGCCAGCTCCCCGGCCGGCACGTACTCGTCCGCCACCTCCTTGTGCAGCTGACGAAGTGTGGAGGACAGACTCGCAGGAGAGACCACCGACGACGACTCGACCGCCGCAGCAGCGCAAAACGCAGCGTCACTCGTCGTTGAGCGCGGCGACTGTTTCGACAGCCGACGCACGGTAATGCCGTCGTCGTCACCGAGCAGGTCAGCGCCAACTACCAATTGCAGCTCCGCCGTCTCGTCCGCTGCCTTCGCGCTACGTGCGTGGACGGCCGTGACGAGGTCACCGAAAAACGGATGGGCATGTAGGCGCGGCACCACAACTGGAAAGGCGCCAATGGCAACGGCGTCGTACACCCACTGCGGCGTCACAATTGGAATCCCCAGCGCTTTGAAGTACAGAATATCCGGCGTGAGAGCGGTGTGCGGGCCGACGACGAGGTGGGTTGCTTTTCTCCGGGGCCCGTTCCATGCGCCGCCGTGACTGCCATGGTGGGGCCGAGCAGAGCCACCAAACCACAGCGAATCGCTGTCGCCCACCGTCGTGGCGCCGAGCTGCTCCACGACGTCTCGGAGGAGAGCAAACTCCGCCGCGGCGGCCGACAGCGGCGGCTCGAAAGTGCCGTTGTCGTCGTCGTCGTCGTCCGCGTCGATGAAAAAACGCACGCACACGTCCGCTGCGTCGCTGTCGGAGAGGCGCTGAAGGAGGACGGCGTCGCTGAAGGCCATGGAGAGGGGCGGCTCCGCGGGACCGCGGCAGAGGGATTGCTGCTCCCACGTAAGAGTTTCTTTGCCTGCCTTTGCCTTTGTGAGGTGCGAGCCGCGGCGGCGACGTCGTGCTGATGACGGTGACAATGGTGTCGACGTTGACGATGGCAGCTCCGGCGCTTCCGACTTGCATTTCTTAGTTCGTGGAAGCCTTTCCAAAACCCTGTTTTGGACTTGCGGATGAGCTCCGCTTTCTTTCGCCGATCCACGAGCACGCTTTAACTGCTTTGAAGAAGGGCGTGACAGGGAAGACTCCTCATTCGACGGATCCAGTGTGGCGAGTGGCTGCGTGACGGCCATACTGCTGAGGTCGCTGTAGGAGATGTTGAGAGACGATGCGGACGGCTGTTGCTGCTGTGGCTGTTGCTGTGGCTGTTGGGTGCTGGTGGCGGAGTAGAGGAACGGGTCAGCCGCATGCGACTTGACTTTCTTGATGGATGGAGTGATGCGAAACTCGTCCATTAGAAGAGGACTTCGGCCACCGTCCTGGGTCTGATCTTGCCCACTTGTTTTAGCATGTTCAGACAGTGTAACGGAGGTCTTAGCAGCAGGACGAGGGGGCTGACCGCGCCGTCGGGTAACCGCCGCCGCTGCGGTGGAGCACAACACGGCATGCCGTATGGACTCCTCCTCCTCCCATTCTTTCTGCTGGTGCTGGTGGCTTGAACTAGCAACAGGTAGCGCCATCTCCTGCGTAGCGACGAGAGACGATGAAGGCGAGAGGGTGCCGCGTCGGTTGGACGGTGTCAGCGTTGGGGTAGCGGGAGAGGGTGTGTTGTTCAGGCTGCCGTGTCGGGGCTGTACAGGAGTCGTCTCTTGCCGTTCCAGATGCTCTGCCCCGCCTTTATTGCTGTGGAGGTGCTTTTCAGGGGAGCTGGCGGGGGACTCAGATGTGGTGTAAAGCGCTTCTGCGCGGAGCACATGCATTGGCAACGTCCCTGCCGTTGAGTGGGGGCAGTTGTCCTTCACAGCCGCCACGTCTTCATTCTCCTTCCTTTCATCCACCTCCTCATCGAGGAGAAGCAGCAGTCGACGTGGTGGCGGGGGCACGATGGAGCCGGCAGACACCCCCTCGCTGGTGCGTGCAGCGTCTTTCCCTTCCCTCGATGCTCGACGGATGACGCGTGACGAGGGAGACGCCCCCGAGGCGGGGCTTAGCGGGTCCGCCGTGTTCGAGAGCGCAGCTGCGGACTTCCGCGAAGGGGTCGAGGCGGACGTCCGCGTCGGCCCACTCCGCCCTCTGGGCGACCGCATGATGAGTGTGGCGGCTGCGGGTTGTTCCTCCTGTGCAGCCACGACATATGGTGCAATGTTTACCCGCTGCGACGCCCCGAGGCAGGCGGCGAGGTAGGCGGGACTGACCACTGCCTTGTACTTCGCATGCAGTGCGTTGAGAAAGGCGGGGCTCCCGTGATGGAAGACAACAAGATCGGCAGCGGCGTCGCTTAAGGCGAGACTGGCACCTAGTTGCTGCGCCTGCGCTCGGAGAGTCTTTACGAGCACCTTTGCAGAGGGGCTGCTTGTGCCCTTTGTGTCTCCTGCGGGTGCATTGCGGATGTGCAGGAGGACGCGCACGCCTGAGAGGGGCAGCGATGACGACGATGATGCAGCGCCAGCAGATGCCATGTTCGTCTTCGTGACACAGATGAGGGGGGGGGGGAGGGAGATGTCTCACTCTCTCTAACTATCTACCATTTCTATACACTTCTTCTATGAGCGCCAAATCTACGGTTGCGACGTACTCCTGGTTGAGATTCGGCGCTGTCGTTTCGATTTCAACTGGGCGCGCCGATCAACAACAGAAACAGGCAAACGATCAACGAATGATACCACCGCAGACAGTGATCTCGTGTTTGCAGCAATCAAAGAAGGAAAAAAAAAACACGGCTGTCCGGCTGCGCTGCCCACCGTCTCCCCGTTTCGGCTGTCAGAGAAGGCAGACAAGCTCTCCGTAAACCAGGTGGTTCCTCCTCTATTATTATGCTTTTTGCAATGGAGGCACACCGGACATGGAAAAATAAAAACTGCCGCCCACGTAGAAGGGAAACGCGAAGTCCCCGGCACCAACGACTGCGTAAATCGACGCCGACCTGATGAATAGAAAAGGTTGAGATGGGGGAGAAGAGAGGAGGTGCTGGCACGTGAAGGGGAAGAGAGTTCATGCCCCGCCCTGTGCTTTCCCAGTAGCCGGCAACACAAGTATTCCTTTCGTTTGGGGGTCTCGTTAAATCACAGCCAACGTTTCGCATTCAGCTGGAAGCGCGTTGCTGCTCTTTAAATCGCGCGCCTTTTTTTGGTCCGCAACAAGCAGAGTGCCTTTGGTGTCGGGACGCTGCGCTTCCGATGCTGCAAAGTCCCTTCAGTTTCGACGATTCGATGCCAAAAGACCGAGTCCGCCGATGACTGGCCATGCCGTTTTTCAAGGGTGACTCGTTGCTTTGTTCGGTGCTGTTGCACGGACACATCGAGGCTAAAACCACACACCAGCTCAGCTCAGAAGAAAAAATAATATATATATATGTATATATAAACAAAAACATAGTTGTACGTGCCGTGGAGCAGATACAGTAGTCTACATCGGAATTATCTTTACAGTAAAATAGTAGGACAAGAGAAACGAGATAACGCAGCATACATGATGAACACGGGGCAAACAACAACAACAACAACAGCAACACGAAGAATGCACAGAGCAAGATAAGCGTCCCGCAAAGCGCGCACCACCACAACAATTGTCAACCAACACACAGAATTACATATATACGAAGGGAGAGGGAGAGGTAGAGAGGTGGTGTTCCCAACGCGCACGAATGTCTCGTCAGCCGTACGAAGAACGCCTACAGAACAGATACACCGTCTTCGTTTTGCACAACCAGGCTGGTTTCGCCTGGGTTGTCCTCGTCCATGTCCTCATTGAACCCCTTTCCACTGTCGCCCCCAGCTCCGTTACCCCGCTGTCCCCCGGTACCGTTGCCCCCCTCCGCCTCGTCGTCATCGTAGTCCTCAAAGCCGAGGAGGTTCTCTGCAAACGTGCGCGCCGTGATGACGTCCTCCAGCATTTCTAGACGGATACCGTCACCCAGCAGGGCACTGAGCGCCGACGCAATCTCGCTCGCTTTGAGCGGCTCGCCCTTCGTCGATAGCATGTGGAAGAAATGATCCCGGTTGATCTCGCCCGTGACGGCGTCTGCGCCGAGGGCGCGGAACGCCGCCTCGATGTCCTGCCGCGCAATGCCGAACACGGGGCGGTAGTTGATGTAGAGCCGCATGAACTGCGAGAAGTCTAGCAGGATGGCATCGACGTCGAGGTCGACTAAGGGCTCGTCGGGCGGGCCGTACATGTTCGCCACCTCGTAGGTCATGTGGCCGATCTCCATGTCAGAGGGGTAGTAGCCGAGCGACCGCAGCAGGTTGGGCATCTGCGAAAACGGAATCGCCCCGAGCAGGACGCGCTTCGCCGTCGTCTCCTCGCCCTGCGCGCGGATCTGAGCGTAGTAGAAGTAGTCCACCACCTCCTTCATGAGCTCGCCGTCCGCCCCGCCCTCGACGGCGCTAATGAGGTGGCGCAGCGGGACGCCGCCCTTCTCGGTGCAGTGCTCCACCGCCACCAGCTCCGCCGGCGGGAGGATGGCCTCCCCCTTCACGCACCACTGCATGACCGACTGGTCGGCCCCGCCGGCGGTGAAGATGTACCGCCCGTCGTAGGAGGCGACCATGCTGAGGATGCTGCCCGGGTGAGCGAGGAGGCCGATGGAGCAGAGGGGGTCGCCGCGGAGGGGCAGGTGCACGAGCCCGATGACCTTCTCCGCCGTGGCGTAGACTAAGCAGCGAGGGCTTTCCTGCAATCCGTTCTCCGCCTCCGCCTCTGCGGCGTTCTCGCGTGGCGGCGGCGACACGACGGCCATGCGCGTGACAGGCCCGCCAAAGGTGGGGCTCAGCACCGTCTTGACACACTGACGACTCCAGTTGCTCAGAAACATCTGAAACTTGTACTCGTTGTTCGCGATGAGCAGCGTGTCGTGGACGTCGACGAAAGCGGCTCTGCCCGGCACATATATTGAAGACGGCGTCGGCGACACGGCGGCCGAGCTGGCCGAGCCGCATCGCTCCGGTCCGCGGGACCCGTTATTGCTGTTGCGGTGCTCTTCCACGTGAGAGTTGTCCATGCTCTGGTAGAAGTCACGCGGCTGACTCTCCGCATCCAGCAGCGCGGCACCGTCGGGTAGCCAAACAAACCCCGTCGGGACCGACTCCTGCGAGATCTTGTGGGCGGCACGCACTAATAAGCCCGCCTCGGGGGTGGAGTTCACCAAGTCGTATTCAATCAGCCGCTTATCGGCACCGACGGAGAGCAGCCGCACCGCATCCTCGCCGACGTCGGCGGTGGAGCCGAAGTGCAGGCCGCAGATGGCTGCCTTGTGCGTCTTGTGGTGCCCGACCAGCTGCCACTCCGTCTTCTTCTTCGACGCGCTGGCGGCGCTCGCAGCACCACCCGGGCTGGAGGTGTAGCTCGTGACGTACTCGTACAGACCGACGCGGCCGTCTGCGCTGGCGGTGGCCATCAGCCGACTGTCCGCCGAGAAGCAGATCACGTCTACGCCGATCGCCGACTTGAGCGCCGCCGTCCCCGTCGCACCGGCAACGTCAGCCGCGGGGCATTTGCCGCCGGTGCTGCGCATCGAGGGAGCCCCCTGCAGCGGCGCAGCGACGGATGGACTCTTGCTTCCCGCCGAAGCCGGGGTCGACCTACCACCACTGTTTGTGGTGGTGGCGGCCGCAGCGTCTTCGCCGGCAGCCCCGCCGTTGCCGGAGGTGCTCAGGGGCCGCAGTGTCTGCACCTCCTCCAGCGTCTCCGCGTCGAGGACTTTGATGGTGCCGTTCGTGAAACCCACCACGAGCCACTTCCCTGATGGATCGAAGGTCATGCAGCGAATCAGCAGGTTTCGAAAGAGGCTGAGCAGCACCACACGCTTCTGGGCGTAGTCCCAGAGGTGCAGGTTGCCGCTGTAGCCGCCGATGGCCAGGCGGGGTAGGCGGGGGTGCGCTGACAGGCACTGCACGGAGCGGTCCTGCCCTTGGACAATGAGCCGGCCCCGTGCCACCTCCGCCGCACCGCTCTTGCCGTTGATGGTCAGACCACCAGAGGTGTGGAAGGCCTTGGCGGGCACATCGATGATCATGCTGTGCGCCGTGGACACCATAAAGTCTGGCGCGGTAAAGGTGCTCGCCGCGGCGGTACCATCCACCATCAGATGGCGCTCCACCTCATCCGGGGCCGCCGCGCGCGCCTCCGCCACGGCGGTGATGGGTGGGACGCGGTCAAAGCTGATGGAGACGATGGGGCCGCCGTTGAAGTCCTCAAACCACGCCACCAACCGCAGCTTCGCGTCGAGGAACTTCACCGTGCCGTCCATGCCACCCGTCACGAGATATCCGTCTACGGTGGTGAGGAAGGTGACCCCACCGGCGTGCACGCGCACCATCTTGAAGAGGGTCTTGTCCTGCTCCTTCATGACGCGGTCCTGCGGCTGCAGCGACCACAGCACGACGTCGCCATCCACGGTGCCGCTGCAGGCCATCGTCGTGCCAGGGACGAAGACGGTGTGGGTGAAGTTGCCGACGGAGGCCTTCAGCCGGCGTTGCAGGATTGGCGCGGAGTAGTACTTGAGAATCCCCTCCGACCACGACCAGAAAGTCACACGGCGCAGTCCGTTGGTGCACAGCAGCTCCGGGTGGTCGCGCGAGAAGGCGATCGAAGTTTGCTCGTCGCGGGCAGCGATGCGGCGCACAAAGACGGGCGCCATGTCCACCACCGCAAAGGGATCGACAGGGGTGTCACTCCCATCAGTTGCACCCACACCCTGTTGTTGCTGTTGCGGCTGCTGGGTCCACGACCAAATCATTATCTCCTGCGGGTCGCGCCGGTTCAGCGTGGCCAGGTACTGCCCCTCCGGGGACATGGCCACACTCAGCACACCGCCGTATTTACCGGTGGCGATCACCTTCAACGGGAGCGCTGTCACGGCATCCCAGACGATCATCGTCGAACCGTCTTCCTCGTCTTCGCGGCGGGCGACGGTGGGGTCGACGAGGAGAGCGCTCTCTTCCTGCACTTCCGCGTCCTCGACATCCTCCAGCTCTCGATAGGTCTTCGCGGTTTGTGTCAGCACGTTGCGCTGCTGGATGCGTTTGCGGGCCTCGACGTCGCCCTCGTCTGCGGTCACGACGAAGCGGTGGTTGTGCGCGCAGCAGCTCGAGCTGATGATGGTGTAGCGATGCCCTCGCATGTGCTGCTGCGTGTTGTGGATGGCGTCGTAGAGCACGCCGACGTGTGCCAGGGCGTAGAAGACGCTGCGCTGCTGGCTGCTGGTGCTGAGATTGTGCACGCAGGCCTTGAAGTCGTTGTTCAGACCAAAGGCCCACTCCAGCTTGAGCGCCTCCTCGGCGAGGGTGGGGGTGGGACACCGTAGGTAAGGCGTCGCCATCCTTCTCGCAGAGATCGAGAGAGAGGATATATATAGGTGAAGTGAGAGATACGACTTCTCCGGTGAAAGGCGCTTTTGCTAAGAAGAGAGGATGCTGGCAGAGCCACTTGCTCGTTGTGCGCTGTCACGACAGCCAAAGAAGAAGGCGCAGTGAGAGCGACTGCAAAAATCGGGTGTGATCCGAATACTGGTGCGCGCAGAGGGGGAAAAAAAAAGGAGCAGACAAAGCTAATAGACATGGGAAGAAGAAAGAAAAAAAAAGGCACCGATAAGCTCATCAAACAACAACAACAACAACAACGGCAACCGATGAACTCATTTGAAGGTTGCGAGGTTCGAAAGGCTTCGTGGGGGTGTCTCTGTGTGAACAGCGCGTGAGATACGCAAGGTGAGCTACTGAGGTGGCTGACAGCGATGACGACAAGACCCCTGTGGGCAAGAGGGGCATTTGCACCTACAATATCTGTTTGCAGAACAAGCCCCCGAAAGTAAAGAAATACCTGTGCTGTTGCCGGATCCTACCTCGCATTTGTTCCTCACCGCAAACATCAACAAGTTGTCAGCACTCTTTTTCACAGGTGTACATGTTCCCCCTCATACACAAGCGTTGGCTGAGAGTCAGCGGACACATGCTTTTCTTTTCCTTTGATATACGTATATTTGGTTAAGCTCTTATCAATAATTAGTAGAGATCTCGGACAGAACAGGCGCACCACCGCACGCACAGAGAGGAAGACAAGTCAGCTGCCAAACGGCCTCTGAAGGAGAGATCACAAACATACCCCACCCACCTAAAAGGGGAAAAAACGGAAGAAGCAACAGTCACGACGGGCAACACACGTGCGGTAAACCACGCAAAAGGATGCGAGAGAACAAACACGCCTAGCGAGGTGTCCCACCCACCACACATCGCCGTTCATTGGCAGGTCCTTCTTCCTTCTCTTACGTGCTCAAATCGCTTAGAAAGGAAACCCACAGCACACACCCACACACCCACCCACACACACACACATACACGTCAACAAAAACAGAGTTACTTAGCGCATCCATTTCAATAAGAAGAATTAAAAAAAAACAAATATCAGTGGTAGGAGACGTCCAATGTCGCGCCAGCGATCGACCATCACGACGTGCCTCTCCGCCATTTACAGTCACGCGGACGGTAGAAAGTAAAACAAACAAAGAAACGCCACCCCTGCACCTTGCCCTAACGCAACTGTGTCCACGCCGCCGCTCTTCTTGTGCTCAGCCGGCGTGCGTCAAGAACGAGTGCGGAGCTCCTTTACTGCTTCTGCGGAGCGGCGGCCTGTTGCTGCTGCTGCTGCTGCTGCTGCTGCGAGTCCTTCGCAGCGCCCTCCTCACCACCCTCGCCGTTCGGACGCCGCTCCTTGTCCTCGGCGTACATGGTGGACAGCATCTCGATCGTCGTCAGCTCCTTGCGCAGTATCGTCGCCGCACACTTGATCGTCAGCGCGTCCTTGAACTGCTGCGAGTTGAAGTCAACACGACCAGTCTGGTCCCGCTGGCGCTGCAGCGCCTCCTCGCGGATCGCACGGAAGCTCTCGACGGCTGCTATCATCTCCTGCGCCTCCCGCGAGCCGCCGCTGCCGCCGGTGACGATTTGCTCCGCGGCGGTCACCGCCTTTTGCAGCTTCCTTTGTTCGTCGTTGACGGCGTCGGTGGAGGTTTTGTTGTCGAGGCTGGCCAGGTAGGCGACCTCGTCGATGTTCAGCAGCTTGCTACGAGGGTAGGGGTGGCCGCCGTTGTAGAGAGCGATGGACGTAATGTGGTTGATCATGACGTCCGACGAGAGGCTATTCAACGGAGCGACGACCACTTTGTGGTTCGAGTACTTGAGGGTGTGGTCCTCCGGGTCCTCGGAGATGATGGAGGCGGTCCACAGAATCTCCGGCACCGCTGCTTCGTCGTACGGCATCTCGCAGTGCAGATGCAGGCAGTTTCGGTTCTGAAAGATGATAGACGGCGCATTGCACCAGCGCTGGTAGTCCTCGGGCGAGAGCTGCTCGTCCGCCTGACCGGCGGTATACCAACCTATCGGATCCTGCTTGGTGAAGCGGCGCTTGGCGGCACGGCGGCGGTGCAGCTCCTCGCGGTACGCCCGCGTGTTCGGAACCTCCGTGTCCTTGTGGGTCAGCGGGATGAAGTCGGTGATGACGATTTCTTCGGCAGTTCGGGTGCCGATGATGTAGCCGGCGGCGAAGCGCTTGCGCTTGGCGTGCTCGACGATGAAGGAGGCCGGGTAGGGCGTCAGCTGAACGACAATCTCAGAAGCCATGGCCACAGAGCTGTGTGCGAGGTAGAGGGTAGGGAGAATGAAAAGGGATGAAACGCGAAAACTGGAGGAGCGAACTTGCCGAATCCGGGCAGGTGAACTTCGCGCAACACGGCACCAAAGATCGCATTAAAGACGAGAGAGAAAAGCCGGATAAAGAGCGCAGAAGGAGGAAGGGAGGAAGAGCACAGTGTGGAGCTTCGGAGCGTGATAGAGAGGAGGGAGAAAGGGCGTCGTACAGGCGACTTCGGTACCGCCTTCACGTCTGCGCGTGAGAAGCCTCTCATTTTCACCACGTGAAAGAAGCCCGCATCGACGACAGCAGCAGCGGCAGCATTTGCCCATCCAGAAAACAACAACAACAACCCCACCATACCAGAGCAGTTGAATGAGAAGGCGAGCGCCGGTATGCGTTGCCATGTCGCCGAAGAGAAACGTGTGCGTTACTGACGGCACACATGTCTTCCCCCTTCTTTCTTTTTTCGTTCAGGAAAAACACGAAAGACACAAGGAGATGCTTCAAATTGCCGGTTTTCCCTTCTTATGACTGTGTAGAATACTAAAAAGTAAAGCAACGATGATCAACGAAAAGGGAAGGAGAAAAAAAGGGAGGGCGCCACACGCGCACACGCATCTTGCGATGAGTCATCAGCATCAAAAGAGAAGGAAAAGAAGACAAAGCAAAGTGCGTGTGGACGTGTGTGTGTTGAAATGCGCTTGGATAGAGAGCGACGATGTCTGGACACTTCTTCTTCTTTTTCTTCTTGTCCTCTCCTTCCTTGCCGCACACGGCGTCAATACCTGACACCGTCTCACACAAACACATGCACTTCCTCCTCGAAATCTTCTCGCTCTCCGATCGAGTCCTATAAGAATTGCTTTTACAAAATACATAGTTATCCCTAGGTTTGTCGCTATTCTCTCTCTGCCCCTCTCCCCGTCCGTTAGTGGTGACCGTGCTGGTTGTGCTTGTGGTAGAAGTCCTTCCCCGGCAACAGGTCACCTGCGGGCTGAATAACGGTGTCCTTGGGGCCATAGGCGGAGTAGAGCTTCTCTAGGTCCGCGAAGGCCTTAATGCGAAGCTGGTCTTGTGGGGAGAGCTTGCGCACCTCCTCCAGCGTGCCGCCCCAGCGCATGATCAACGCCTTCTCCAAGCCGTCGACGGCGAGGGAGTGGTCCTCGTGCCAGCGGTGGTAGAAGTAGATGGTCGGGATGCCGGCCGCCCAGAAGCGCATCTCACCGGGTACAACCCACTGCGCGCAGCTGCTCCACGCACGCTGGAAATAGTAGTCAGTGAGGGCACGGGCCTGCATGACCGGGCCATTGAGAAATCCCTTGGCGACGATGCGCTTGCTGCGGTAGGTGGAAAAGAGAACCATTTTATCTCCCTTTTTTTTTCTGTTTCGTCGACTGGTGCTGCGTGCAATGGTGATACGACGTCGTACAATCTACTTCAACGGAGTGAAGTATATATAGGCAGCGGAGGAAGATGGGGGAAGACGGAGAGGGGAGTGAGTGGTGGAGCAGGTGGAAAACAGCGGCAGCAACATATCCATCTCCTTTGAGCAGGAGAAAGGAACTGCCTTTTTTCTTGCTTGCGAGAGAAGACGACAACGAGCCTGGATCGTCGCCAAGGCAATAGCAAAGCTGCGGAGACACCGTTATCCGTTGCACTTCACGGTCGACATCAAGACCTTTTTTCTCCTTTTGATGAAGTTGACGACGCGAGAGATAATGGACCTTCGCAATAACCGATTAAAAAAAAAAGGCGGCATGCGTAAGCGGCAGCTTCGTTAGCAACACGCGCTAAGTCAAATAAACGATAAAAAAAATAGTTCATGCAGATCCCGCCGCCGTGTCTGCCTGTTTTTCTTCAGCGGCTGCATTTAAATGGTCTGCGCATCGTAGGTCCTTCGAGGGCGAAGAGCGGCGACGCTGTGTATGGCGTTTGCTTCTCCTTCACAACCCTGTTATGTGAGAGCCAGACAACAATTTTCCTTTTCGGGGAGAAGTCATCTTCCCCATCTTCATGGGAAGCTAGTTTCATTACCGAGACATATTTTTTTTTCCTTTTGGCCAGCTTTATAGCTAAATCCGAATATCCGCATCGCCACGCTTGCGGGTGAGGATGAGGGAGAAGAAAAGTGCGCGTGTAAACACAGTACAGACTCAACAACGAGCAAGAGAGAAACACGGAAAGTCCCGATGGCCTTTCACGACAGCGAGTTGAAGCGCCAAAGATAAACATTATCGTTGCAGGACGCATAGCTTGCTTGCTTTCTCTCCTCCCCCTCCGCTTTATCGCATGATGCGAAGTCCCGTCGATTCGAGGTCGTAGATACCGCGGTGCTCGTCGTACAGCTTCTGCAGGCCCTCAATGTACTTCGCTTGCCACTTGTCCAGGTCCTGCGCGGTGGGCTTCGCAATGTGCGGCACCTCGATCGGTTCCCCCATCACCACGACGATGGGACGGCGGTGCGGCAAAATACCGTAGCTGAAGTTAAAGAAACCGCGACCCCGCACGAAGGGGATGGTGAATCCAAGGTAACGCTTGGTGAGCCCCGTGAGGCGCTGCACCCCCGGATCGTTAGCGCAGTTCGCCACGTTGTAGACGTTGTTCTCACCAAAGCCGTAGACGGGCACGAGCGGGGTGCCCTCCTGCATCGCGATCTTAATGAAGCCTTTGCGCTTTAGCAGGAGAAGGTCGTTGGCGTTCGGCTTGGCCATGAGAGACTCCTCCGCCCCCCCAACCACCAGCATAATGCTCTGACCGGGGCCGGAGCGGAGGGTCTTGCGGATGCACGCCGCGCTGGCATCGCCGCAGCCCATCCAGATCGTCAGGTGCCGCCAAAAGGGAACAAAGAGGTTCGCCTTGAGGGTCTGCAGGTGCACCGTGATGCCGGGCAGCAAGTCCCACAAATCATTTGTGTCTAGCCCAAAGTTGAGGAGGGCGCCGAAGGTGTGGATGCCGTGGGGGTGGTAGACGAAGAAGTAGTTGCGTGTCTTATCCACCTTGCGCCGCACCGCCTTCGGTACGACAAGGCGGATCGGGAAGTAGTCGCGGTAGTAGCGCCACAAGAAGAAGCGGGTGAATTGCTCGCGTTTTGGATGGGGGTGACTGGGCCGACCGAAGGTGAAAGTCCAGATGGTGTAGGCAATCATGAGCGGGGCGGTGTAGCGGGACAGCAGCAGCAGAAAAGAGATGGCGAGGCAGATGGGGATGCCGGTGAAGAATATGAAAATCGACATGACGAGGGACTGCAGGCGGCGCTTACCAGGGGTGTGGAAGACGCTGCGCCACGAGAACTGTACACCGTTCACGTCAAACGAAGAGGACGTCGGTGTCACTCCCACGTACTGCTCCAGCGCCGTCAGCACGTGATCCGCCGCCGCCGCCTTTGGACTGTACTCCATGATGTGTTCCCCGGCCTTTCGATCCGGCGCGGATGGCGACATCGTTCCAGCCGCAGAAGGGTCCGCTTGTACGAGCAGGATCGGGGCCGTTGCGTCGCGCGACATTGGAGTGCCCGTGTCGACGACACTCATGGCGTTCTCCTTGCCTTCCTCCTCGCCGTGCGAGGTCGCACCCGCGCTCGCGGACATCGCCGGCGTCCCCGCCGCATCAGCTGTACGCGACTTTCTTGTGCTGCGCTGCGCGTGAGTTTTTCTTTTGCAGCGGAACGCCGGCGTCGTGGGAGTCGACGACGCTGCCCGCGCCCCGTCCGCCTCCGCCTGCACCGCTTGGCGGTACAGCTGCTCCGCCCCTACCGCGAAGAGGAAGGCCCGGCGCAGACTGCGCACCTCGCGGGCGGCGATGTAACGCCCACGCCGCTGCAGCTGCCGCAGCTGGTTCGCTGCGTAGAGGATGCGCTCCAGCTGCTCGTCCACCTCATCGGGCGAGGCGGGGGGGCGGGCGTGGGTGAGGGGTGGCTCACTGACCTGTGAGCTCGCCTGGCTGGTGCGGCTGGTGGTGCTGCAGCTGCGCGGTCCACCACTGCGGGCAGGGGCCTCGCTGACTACGTGGGGCGTCGTGGCGGTGAAGGGTGCGCCAGAGGTTGCACAGGTGGGACTGTTGACAATCGCCCTTTCATCGGATTGGGAGGGGGGTCGCTGCGACTCGCTGAGCTTCGTTTCCACATCGGCTGGCGACAAAGACGCTGGTGCGGGTCGCTGGGCTTGCGGTGGCACGCACTTCATCTTTGTCGGTGTCGTTGAGATATCGTGTACCTCAACAGTTCAAAACAAGACAAGAAACAAGGAAAAGAGATTGTCGTATGATGACAGAGCAGAGGGAGGAGTGAGAGGGCAGTGAAGGGGGGGGGGGAAGGCAGTGCGGACACGCTTCATAAAACGGAGAAAGCCAAATAACAAGCACAAGAACACCGACGTGCGAAGGGGGAAAAGGAAGAGAAAGGAGAGAGACGATATAATTAAAAAAAAAACGGGGTACTGCGGAAAAGGCCAGGTGATGGAAGTTGCTTGCGAATCGGTCTGCGCCGAGGTGGGATGAGATAGGCGCGGAGAGGCAAGAACACTGCAGCGCGCTACCGCGCTTGCGCCAACAATATATATATATATATATAAGCTACGTTATGAATGAAGGTGGTGCTTGCGCAGCACCAGGAAAGGAAGAGGGGAGAGGGGTATATCGAGTGCGGTGGGGGCGGTACTAACAGCGATTCCTGGCTCTCTGCGATCGGGTAAACGTGAAGGCTTTGTAGGCGTATTGGTGTATACGCGGCCCACGCAGCGTTCAGCAACAACAAGGAAAGAAGCAAAGGGATTAGCAGCGGCTTGCGAAAGCGGTGGAGAAAAAACTTCCAAAAGAACGAGGAAAGGTGCAGGACAAAAAATAGACCGGGGAAATAGAGAAGCGTAGTAGGGGGGCGCCGTGGTTCGGGGGGGGGGGGGTCGTGAAGGGGCGGAGCAGGCAGGCCCAACACTTCTTGCAGAGTCTCCACACACACGCGGTCCATGCCGCCCCGTTAAAAAAAGAAAGCTCTTCACACGCGATCAACGTGCCTGCAAAACCACGCATATTCCTCTGTGCTTGAGATGCGAGGAAAGCGCAGCGCTCCTTCGTCACCCAAATTGCTCCCTTACTATTACTATATATATATTTGGGGTTCATTGAATGTGGACTCTGTTAGTTGACAGAAGAAGAAAGGTAAACGTGTAACAACAAACGAGATCACCATCAGCGTCAACACACACACATACACACACACACCACACAAAGAAAGGTGTCGTCTCACCGAACATCGACTGTCTTGCATCCCCACCACGACTCAACGATGACATCAAGAACGATACACACGCCCAGGGATACTCCTTCAGCATGAGCAGCAGACATCAACTGCACAGGCCAAAAGGACAGCCTGACCTTCTTTCACCGCTTTTGGCTCTTACGCGGCGGACGGCCTAGCCGCGCCTCGCTCCGTCGCTCCGTCTACCTCGTCATCCAACGCACCATCCTCCTCCTCATCCTCCACCCCCACGTCTCCCTCATCCTCCTCCGCCTTCAACGACGCGGCACCGGAAGCTCGATCCGCATCCGCCGCGGCGTCCGCCATGAGCGTCTCGGCCCGGCGGTCCGCCGCTGCTGTACGCCCCTGCTCCTCTGCCTCCGCCTCCTGCTCGGCCGCCTCCTCCTCCAACACGTTCACGTATGAATCGAGCATCGTCTGCCACCACCCCGGCAGGCCCGCGGTGCTACTGTGCAGCGCTTCCTCCGCCTTCAGCACCTCCGCGATGACGTTCTCCGCGGTGATGGTATCCGTCACTGGCGCATCCTGTGATGGCTGCTGCTGCTGCGGTTCCTCGTCAAGCGTCACCGCCGCCAACTTCTCCGTGGCTCGCACGACAACGCCCTTCTGGAAGCGCTGCATATCCTCCGCGTTGCGCTGACGCAGGTCCTCGTGGAACTCATGCGACTCCTTCAGTGTGCTCACAAAGTATTCTTCCATCGCGTGCAGCCGCCGCTCCACGAGCAGCGCGAGCTCCTTTGCGCGGTCGTACGTGTCTTCGTCGGCGTCTTGGATCGCCGTGTCCTTCAACGGGTCACCACCTTCGACGGTTTCCTCCGGTGGGGGAACCGGCAGCAGCGCTCCGCTCTCAAGAGAGATGCGACGCTCCTCCAGCTCACCCGTCTCCTTGTTGCGCACCTTCACCATCTCCAGGTGGCACAGCTCGTTCGTTGACGGGTCGATGTGGCGCACGCGGTGGACGCTGATGGGGTGCTCGCGCTGCACCACCTGCTCCGGCCGCGTCTCACTCGCCGGGATCACGACGTCCTGCACGTTGATGTTCTGCACGAGAATTTCGTTCTTGTACTTCACCACGGCGATGATCGACCCGCGCTGGCCGACGCCCTCGCCGGAGGTCACCTCCACGATGTCGCCGGGGTACCACAGCCACGGCTTGATTTCGTAGTTGGGCGCGAAGAAGGGGTAGCGGGATGCAATTTGGCCCTTTTGGTGCTTCTCCAAGTCGCGCGCGATCCACTGGTTGTGGTAGGTGTGATCCTGGTAGAAGTCGCGTTCTTTCGGGTGGCGGATCGCCTCCAGCATCTCCAGCCGCTCGCGATCGCGCAGGTCGACCTGCTGATCTGTGTAGATGCCCTTCAGCAGGCCGTTCTTCACCTTGGGGCGGCGGAGAAGGTTGGGGCTAACATTGTAAGCCCTGAGCGCCTTCTCTGGCCGCTTGTAAAACCGAGAACGGGTGCGGTAGCGGGCGTACATGCGTGCTAACGGGGGTGGGCGACACGGTCGCGTAAATACGCGAGGACAGGGGAGGGGGAAATAAGGAAAAGACGAGTCTATGGGTGAGAGAGAGGCACGAGCGACTCGCAGACACAAACACGCGCACCCGCTCGGATGCAACGACGTGTACTCGATCTTTCTCTTCCTTCAGGCTGAAAATGAAGCAGAACATGTGTATGTATTTAGCAAGAGTTCATACAGGAAAGGTAGTGCGAGGATCAGAAAAAAAAGGGGGAGGGGGAGAGGATGACATAGTGCGCACATGCACGTAATCGTCGCGACGACCTCGCTGCCTCACTGTCGGCCTCACAAACTGTCATAAAAAGGATTTCGTGTAAAGACGTGAAGACGCAACCGAACCGTAATCCCCGAGGAGGTTGCACGTTTAATGATTCATACATTCGAGCTTGTCCGCCAATTTCTCATGGGCTGAACAGAAATGAGGAAAACGCGAAAGGAGAGAAAGACCCTTCTTTGATCGCCAGCAAGTGAGAAACGATATATATTTATATAACAACATCAGCATATCCGTCTCGTCTTCCCCCTTTCCCCTCACCAGAACTTCCACCACGGTCGATCCTTATTGGCAATGTACTTCTCCATACACGTCATGTACGCCCGCAACTCTGGCTGACAGTGTTGCAGCGAGTTATGCGCCGTCACCACGTCGTGTTCATTCATCATCACCGCGTGCTTCTCAAAGCACTGAAAGAAGGCGTCGGTCTGCGCGGCGCATTGCGGACACGCCGTGGGGAAGTAACGCGGGAGGTGCGTGATCTGCTCCTGCGCCTTGGATGCTGGCTGCTGTGCGGCCGCAGCATTCGTCGCGGTAGCGTTCATGCTTGTAGAAAAGAGAGAGAGAGAGACCAATGCCTCTGAGCTACAAGTGAGGAATTTAGTTTTGATGTCGGAGTATGTGTATGTGTTTTGCCTCGTACGTCTGAAGGGCCAATCGAGCGGCGGCAACCTGACACTGCGCTGCTGTGGTGTGCGCACGAGGATCTCCCTGTTTCACGGCGCAGTGAGATCCATGCCGAAAGATCGAGAAAGAGAAGAGGGGGGAAAGGCAACGAGAGAAAGGGGCTCACAGAGAAAAGTGAGAGAGCGAGAGGGGAGCGAGTCGCCATGACGCCCGCCGCTTCAGCTGTTTACGCTGTTCAACTTCAGCTTTCTGTTGTGTTTGTACCGTTCAACGGGCAAAACGGCCGAAGGATAGGACTTCTCTACCCCCCTTCTCCCCCTCCCCCCCCCCTCCCTTCTCTCTTGGGCTGGATTGTCTGTGAGGAGTAAACATGCATCACCGTCGCTTTCCATTCAGGAAGGAAGGATAGAACGAAACAACAACAATAAAAACTTCAGGTTCTCCTTGTCCTGCTCCCGCTTACTTGCAACCGTTGGCGGTGATGATGCGGATGATGTGGACAAACAACAGAACAATAACGCAAGCACAAGCACACACACATTTATGTATCCTCGCCTTTCGCCTTTCACTGCAGCGACGAGCACCAAAACATGCCTTCGACCCACCTTCACAGCCTTACGCGCTGGCACGGCCACCAAACGACACAGTGCCGTCGGGCTTGATGACAAGCTTGACCTTGTCACCCAGCTGAATCTGATCATTCACGCTCACCGTGCCGTCGCACTCCACGAAGGAGGCCATCTTGTACAGCCCCTTCAACGTCAGCTTCTCCACCGTGTACACGTAGCTGCTCGGCATTGTGATTTCCGTCCACACCTCCTTGTCGTCTTGCACGTCCTCATCGGGGATAATGTGAAGCACATCCGTCGGCATCCCGCACGCGAGAAACTTTTGCTGCACCTCCGGCAGTGAGTCGGCCGGGATGTTGATTTCCTTGCCCGCATCAGGGCTGTGCTCAGGAAAGACGAAGCACGCGAAGTCGTCGTCGTCGAAGCCGCTAAAGAGCAGGCGGATGCGCTCTGCCCGCACCTCGGAGAAGTCGTGACCCTGCCCCGCCGTCACCTCCTTCTTCCGCGCAGTGCCGACCTCCGTCAGCTTGATGTTGAAGGAGGCAGCGTTTTGGCCCTTCTGCGAGCGCGTGTTGGCCACCACACGGAATACCTTCTTGTCCACACGCAGGACCATGCCGGCGCGCACTTTATCCGCAAAGACGCCGCGCTGCTGCAGGAGGAGATGCGGGTGCGAAGTGCAACGGGCAGCGGCCGCCACCGCCGTTGACGCGACACCCGGCACGACACGGTGCAAACACCGAAGCATCCGTATCAAGGACGCTAGACAAAACACACGCTTCGTTCGTGACGGACAAGAAAAAGAACCGGTGCCGATATGATGTGCTGGAGAAGGAAGGAGACGTATTTGGGAGCGCAGTGCGGGCGTCACGGTGAGCACACACGCGGAGTAGTTCCCAGTTATGGCGCACCCCGGCGGCTGGAAAGAAAGGGAAAAACCAAAGAAGAGGCGGCGGAGAGAGAGTTGGTGTGTTTCCTTCCGTCGAATACGCAACGTGTGACAGAGGAGAGATGCACGATTGCCGCTGTAGCGACGGGCGTGAGTGGGCTCGAAACATGGTACCCCACGAGCTAGACGCGTGTGGCGCTCCCGCGTCGCTTGCTCGAAGAAATGACGCGGCCGATTACACGCAGCATCGTTATTTCTGTTCTCTTTTCTTTCCTCTTCAGCGACGTGGACGGCCGCCTAAAAAGAGCCTTGTCGCTTCGCGTGCGGATTACCTGCGTTGAGGTTAAGACTGTAGGAGAAGTATGTAGAAGGGTTCGAAAATGGGGAGAGAGACCTCCGTACATGTATATTACATCGGTAAAGGAGAAGAAAGAGAAGATCACGCAGAAACAAACGGTGCGACCGCAACGCCGCCAGCCACCTCGAATACATTGAAAACGAAATCAACAACAACGACAACAACACTCCAACGTCACTCGCTCAACTCTTCTTCCTCTTCGTGCCAGCTACCGTGCCACCTCGCTTTGCCGATTCGCTCTTGCCGGTGTTCGTCGTCGCCGGATTGGGGCTGATACCGAGCTTGTTGTCCAGCGTCAAGAGCTGCTTCGTGTACTGCTCCTCACGCGTCTCCAAAATGGCCGACGTCTCCGCTGGCACTGCCTCGTGCGTCACGTACACCTTCTCCACCACCCGCCGCAGCGAACGCGGCCCTTTGCCGCCGTAGTCTATCGTATACGTCTCTAGATCCACGGACAAGGTGCCCTCCTCCAGCTTCTGCACCGTGCGTGAGTAACCAAGGAAGAATTGCTCTACCGTGACCATGTACTTCCGCTGAATGGGCTCCCACACCGCCGGCTTCACCACCCCCTCGTCGAGCAGCTGAGCGTCGTGGGTGCGCACCTGCCACTCCACCCGCTCCGTTGCCTCCACGTTGTACTTCGCCATCGAGGCTCGCATGGCGGCGTTGTAGTGGGATAAGTACTGCGCGCGTATCAGCGTCGGTGGGTGCAGGCGACGCCGCTCGCTGTGTCGCGCGCAGAGGGCAGTCAGCAGACTACACGACGAGACGTAAAAATCCGTCTGCTCCGCCTTGGCCAGGTACTTGCTCAGAATCACCGTCGCCACGCTTCGATCGCTCTGCGGCAGGTCGCTGTCGTTGAGCTGACCCACGAGACTCCCCTCCATGTCCACCACGATGTGCAGCACCTCGTGCTGGTCCTCCTCCACCGTAACGACGCGGCACGACGTGGCGAGAGGCAGCAGCCAGGCCCGGTTATAGGGCGAGAAAGACACGTCCGCCAGCTCCAGCGCCTCGACGACGTGGTGCAGTTCGACCACCACGGCGTTGTCCGGAATCACCGCCACCGCCGCCCCGTCGTCGTCGTCGGCGTTGTCGTCGGCCTCAACTTGGCCCGCGCGCAAAACCGCCTCCTCCCTTCTGCCTTGTGGACTGGCGGCGGCCAGGCTGGACGGCGTCACCGCGGCGTAGGGCAGCGACTGCCGCGCCAGGGCCAGAAAAGGCAGCACAAACCAGTCCCCCCGCTTCAGCTCTCGTAAGGAGCGCTGCGCCTCCATCGGGACGTCGCGGTAGCCGAGGTAGAGCGTCGGTGGCGGGCGAAGGGTCGCGACGGCCCCGCCGCCGCCGCCCCTCGCCATGGCTGCACCGCTGCTGTGACGATGACCGGCACGTGCGTCGTTGGACGAGAACGTCGATCCGTCCTGGTCGCCCGTCCGTGCGGAGTCCACACGCGGGCCGCCGCCCTTCGACGATCCGTGGCCCTCGCCCTCCACTGCGTTGCCGTTGTGGTTTTCATACCCACCGTGGCCGTTCTCCGCTGTGGCGAAGGCGCTATCCACGATGAAGGAGGCAGGCAGCAGCGCCGTTATGAGGGCGGCCCACTTGTCCAGCGTGGCGCCGCACCGATCGCCTGACCCGTCCTTCTGCAGTATTTCGTCCAGGAAGGCGGCCGTCTCTGCCGGGTCGTCTCCCTCTCCGCTACCGTCGTTGGTGTTTGTGGACGTCAGAGGCCGGGAAGCGTCGTCCGCACCGCCGGCAGCGTCCAGGCTGGCCCGCATTCGAAACGCGCTCATCAGGTCCTCTGCGATAGAGCGAGATGGCAGCGGCGCGACACCCAGAAACGCCCTGCCGACATCCTCCGGCTCCATGGTCAGCAGACAGGCCGCGAAGAGGGAGGCGCGGGGGAGGCCGGGGTAGAGCCCCACCCACTGCACGCTCAAGAAATCGTCCAGCATCACCACCGCCGCCGGCTTCACCCCCCAGTTCCGCGCCACCTCGCGATGCACCGCCAGGGGGTCGAAATTTTTGATGCAGTTGATTGCGTTCTGGACGATGCGCTTCACGAAGCCGCCGGCGGCCTCGTAGGCCATGGAGATCTCCTGCACCACCGTCCACGCCATCGGCACCGGGTAGCGGCGGCGGTACTGCGCGGCCTGCCAGAGCTGATCGGTCTCCTCGACCGAGAGCTGCTCACTGAGCTGTCGGTCGTCGATCTGCAGCCCACCGTCGCGTATCACCTGCGCGATGCAGTGCTCGTACACGGCGAGCTCCTCCACCACCGTCTGCTTTCGAATCTCCGACGAGGCGAGAATGATCTGCTTGAGGATGCGATGATTGTCCGCCAGGTAAATATGAGGGCCCTCTATCTTCAGCCTGGAGCTGTTCGCCGGCAGCTTGTCCGGCGAGACGATACCGAGGGCACGCGGAACGTTGAAGATGAGAAGGGCGTTCGCGGGAACATCTCTGAGGCACTGCAGCAACAAGACCTGCTTTGGTGGGGCGCCGCCCTTCTTGCCGCGCTTGAACAGCACCTGATGCACCGCGGAGGTGACTTTAGCGGTGGTGCCCGACCAGAAGCCTCGGAAGTACGTTGCCGTGTTGATGCCCTCGCCGCCGTTGCGGACGTCGACGGTGGACGACACGCTTTGCAGACCGAATTGCTGCGCCGGCGGGCCGTTGAACTTAGGGAGGTGCACGTAGACGACGTCCCCCTCCATCAGCGAGACGGTGACACGGAATTTGAGAGTGATCGCCACCTCCGTGCGCGGCAGAGGTGGGGTGAAGGATATCTCACTCGTGGTGAACTCGCCGACTTTACCGTTGTCACCGTTGCCGCTGTCGTCGTCTCCACCGGCGGAGGTGGGGGCTGGCGGCATGGCTGCTGATGCGACGGGGGACTTCGCCGAAGCTCCTCCTCCTGCGGCTGTTCCTGGGTTTTGTAGAGGGATGAGAGTAAAGTTGCATACGCGCTCGAATGGATCGAAGACGGGCTTTGCGTTCTTCTTGGATGTCTTCGTACCCGCCGCGCCGGACCCTCCTTTTGGCGGCATTGCTTTTTTCCCGTTCTTTTCTCGTAATGTGCAGTGGCGACGAAGGCAGTCAGCAGCAGCAGCACTTCAGCTCCCTGCAGCTGCGTATTCCGCGCTTGAAGTGTTTTCTCCTTTTAACTCAGTTTAAGTGTGTTCGAGTGAGGGACAGTAGGGAGGGCAAGAGAGACGGGAGGGGAGATACATTGGATATCGCCGAGTATCCGCACGCGCCGACGGCAGGGAGCGTGCATCAACAGTAAGAGAGGCGCTGAAGAGGGAGTGGTGCATGTACGGAGCTGCGGAAGCAAAGGGGAGCCAAAGCAGACAAACACCTTCCACGCAACCAAAGGAGAAGAGGAGAACAAAAAAAAAAGGGAACGTCGTGGCAGACTGTTCGAACAACAACAGTATCTGCTGCGCTTCTAACAAATGCCTTCGTTCAGCTTCGATGGGCCCCCCGCCGTGACGGGAGAGACAAGCAACGGTGTATCGGTCTGTATTGAAACAGTGGAGCTGAGAGAGAGGGAGAGGGAGAGAGCAACGCCATCAGGGCAGCAAGAGAGACGAATTCTAATGCATAACGGTGTCAGCTGGCGAACCAGAATCCACACACACACACACAGAAAAACCGGAGGAGGGAAGAATACGCCAATGAGACAAAAAGGAAAAAAAAAACGAACGAACGCGGCGGAGTTGAGGACGACCACCCACAATTTTCACACCCACACAAGTGCCAGAAACTGACGCTTCTCTTCTGTGGAGACGCCGCTCTCTTCAACACGTGCGCCCAAGTACAACTACTCGCGCCTATCATCTTTTTCTTTTTTTGCTTTCCATTCTCACTTCTACACGTCTTACTCGCGGTACACGATGTTGGTGTCTACGTGGTGTATTGTCGTTGTAAAGGAGCGCAGCTTCACCTCCGTGCCTCCCTTCATCACCTGCGGATCACTCGGCTCCCACGCGGTGGACGGCACCTGGGCATCCGTCGACGTGTACACGAGCAGGTCAAACGCACACGGCACGGGAATCACCGGCAGGAAAGACACACACGCGGTGATCTGCCGCATGACGGCTTGAATCTCCCGCCGCACGTCATCCTCCGACTTTACCGGACGTCGCCGCCGCGCACCGGCTGCGGCTGCTGCAGTCGTTGCGTTTGGCTCCGCCTCGATGTTTATCTCCCACCGCTCCAGCGCGCGCTCCGTGGCGACGTCGGTGATGAGCAACACGAGACGGCGACACGAGCCGTGTGTGATCCACAGCGATATTTGCTGCAACAGCTCCGAAAGGTAGGCGTTGAGCTCCCCATCAGTGGAGATCATTAGGCCGAGGCCGTACTTCTTCACCTGTTGGAAGTCCTCCGGCGGGTAGACGCCGCGCTGGTAGAGGATGTTGTTGATGGCGAAGCCCACGTACTCGGTGACGGTGGCCACGGAGCCGGAGAGTGAGATGGCGTGCGCTGTTTGCGTCATTCCCCCCCCCCCCTTCCTCTTTTCCTATTTTAATCGATGTGCTGAGGGATGGAAAGCGATGCAGGTGTATGTGTATTCCAATGCGATCTAAGTTTGTACGTCTGTGTTCTACGTCCTGTGGTAACACCTGCTAGTGTGTGTGTGTGTGAGAGAGGGACGGCTTTTCACCACTGCAAAGGGGGACGCCGTCTAACAGATCTAGAAGAAAAAAAAAAGCGTGTCTGAGAAGAAGCAAACGGGAGTGTAAAAGAAACAGAGGTTGCGACATGGATGTACGGCAAGAGTAGTAGCAGCAGTAAACAACACCTTCTCACGGTGCGACGTGACCTCCTCCCAAATTAATCCTGGGCAACTGAGCACGCGCCATTGCATATCAAGTATATATCGCTCACCTCCTTCTTTAAAGAGAAGGGCGACCCCAACATCGTGACACCAGCTCCGTGATTAAAAGCGGCTCCGACGTGTGTACCTTGTGGTTGCGCGGGAAGGCGAGGCAGAAGGTAACACGGCGAACTCTCCGACCTCAACAGGCGAATAAAGAAGACCCCACTGCTATCACAGTTCCGTATTATCCTTCAAAACTAACATAATATATATGTATATACACAAAACACACCCACGCCGGCTGACGCATCTCGTCCACGCGCGTCAGCGAAGAAGAGTTCAGGAAAAACAGGCGACAACAACGGAGAAAGAAAATAGCAAGAAATGAGAAAGTCAACAAAAAACAAAAACAAAGCACGCAGAACGGCCGTTGCCCACGTAACGGGTTTGACACGGAGTGTGGCCCCGTCGACGAACTCGGGAAACCGGCAGCGTCGGCATCGATGAAACGTTGAGAATAAACCGAACAGCAACAACAACACTTACAGGAAAAAGAATGTTAGAATTCACCGGCGTGTCCGTCACACACCCGCACGCACACACGCACAGGCAGAAAGAAGGGTGTGAAGTGTGCTTGAACCCCCCCCCCCCGCAACGTAAACAGGCAGAAGACGGGAGTTCGAGAACTACTGAAGCCCCAGCAGGAAAGCAGAGGCGTCGTGTCTTCATTTCTTGCTGTTAAAACCACAATTTCAATAATAATAGTAAAAGAATTATCCATTTTTCGGTTTGAGCCTCCCGTTGAGTTTCTCAATACGCACCAGGAGAAAAGGCTCAAAACAACAACAGCAAAAATCAACGTGCACCCCCACCTTGCTACGGTGAGTGGCGATACCGGGAGTTGTGCTGTACATGCGAGAGGTATCTCTATACATCGTTACATCATGAATTCTTTGAGCGCTGATGGAAGCAAAAGCAGAGCCTAACGATTTCCGCCCTTCGCAGGAAGAAGAAAAAGAGAACAGAGAGGAGATAAACAAACAGACAGCGAAGTAGCTTTCAAAAAAAAAAAGGCACTGAGAGAACACGGGCTAGAGAAAACAATCAAGACAGGTAGGAAGGATCTATCACGGCAGAGAGCAACGTAGCACACGATAATAGAACACGAACACACAACATCGTCGAAGCCACCCTCGAGAGAGAAACATCAAGAAAAGCAAACAACAAAACGGCGCAACTGAAGAGATAACAACTTACACGTGGTTAGACTCATAAACACTCACCCACACCACACCACACCACTCACAGGAGTCGAGGGAGTCTGTCTTGCGCCGGCACATCACTCTGCACCACGTAGGTGCCCTCGTCCTCGCACAAACGCCGTTCAACTACGGCCACCAGCTTCTCCGCACCCGCTAGCTCGAGCGGCCATTGCTTGCGGTAGTGCACGTGCAACAGCAACTCTGCCTTTCGGGCCCAGACAAGAGCGTCGCTGCACTGTGCTGTGGTGTACAGCAGCTTTCCGAGGGTCATCATGACACGGGCGGCGGACAGGGTGTCGCTGTCGAGGTGCAGGGCTTCGAAGATGGCGATGCACTGTTCATACTTCCGCTGCGCTTCGGTGGTGCGGGCCTGCGACTCGAGCACGGCACCAATCATGTACAGCGAGGTGGCCAAACGCAAGGCTTGGTGGACGGAGTCAAAAGAGCTCTGGACGACGGCGTCGCGCTGCTGGAGGAGCTGGAGAGTGCTCGTGGACTCTGCCGCGGCCGTTTCGTGCTGCTCGAAACGCAGCAGGTCCGCTGGCCGTAGCAGATCCGCGAAGGCGAGCAGGACCCCGCGCCGGTCTAACAGCCGCTCCGCCTTCTGCAGGCACTCTACCGCGCTCGCAGTCTGCTTAAACATGTAGTGCACCTCCGCCATGTTCCACAGCGGCTCCACGAGCGCCTCACTGTGAAGCCCCGCGGACTGCTGCACCTTCGAGAGCCGTCGCTCGACGTGGCCGCGCAGTGCCGTCGTGTCCACGTCCACGATGGCCGTCGGCGGGCAGCTGAGCAGCGCACCGAGGAAGCGGGAGTCGAAGTCCAGCAGGTCCAGCTCACTGAGGTGGTTGGCCTGTGCGATGGCGTAGGCCGCGCTAAGATGCTCCAAAGCGGGCCGCCACCGCTGCTGCGACTCCGCCATCGACCCAAACACGTAGTGCGCCATGAGAAGGTAGTGCGACTGGGGGCTGACGGCGCTCTCCAGCACGGAGAGGCTGCGCGCTGCCACGCTGAACGCCTGACGGTTGCCCAGCGAGTAGTGCGCAACGTTCACGTACTGCATGTTCGCCGCCGCCGCGAGGGGGTGCAACGGGCCTTTAATGCGCACGACGCGGTTCGTGACCTCCTTCAGCATAGGGACGAAGTCCTCCTTCGAGGTGGGCTGTGCCCAGGCCTTCGACAGGACAAGGCCGACCCACAACATCGCCGCCATGGAGGCGCGGTGGGTGCGCTCGATGTAGCGGTGCTGCCCCAGCACGAGCTCCTTCACAGTGCTCTCCATCACTTCAATCCCTTCCTCTGCCTCTTCACTCTCCACGAGCAGCGCACCGGCAAACGAGAGCAGATTCCATCGCAGCCGCTTCTGCGCCGCCATCATCTTCTGCACGGCCGCGTCGCTGTCGTCGCCGTCGGCGGCGACGTGGTTCGTCGGCTGTGACCCCGCCGTGCTGCCGCCGTTCACCCCACTGGGGACCCATCCGCACATCGAAAGGGGAATGTTCGTGTTGCTCGACTCCAAGGTCGTCATGGGCCGCGCCTGACTCGGGAACACCGTCGAGAAGCTCGGTTCCATCTCTTGCAGGTCCCCGTCACCGCGCAGCAGACGCACCGCCTCGCGCACCAGCGGCACGACGTCGCTGGCGGTCGTCCCGGCAGTGGCGCGGACCACGTTCATCTTGGCGAAGCTCAGCACCAGCCGCAGCTGCGCTTGCAGGAGAGGCAGTGGGACCGCCAACGCACCACTCGAACCATCGTCCAGCGGCATCACCTTCACCTCCAGCCGCGTGATGTAGTGGGCCAGGCGGTCGCGACGACCTGCGCCGACGCAGGCCAGCGTGCAGAGGGCTTGCGCTTCCCCTAGCTCGTAGGCGTCGGGGGCCACCGCGCACAGCTGCTCCGTCAGCATCACGACGTCCTCGGCAATGGTCACCGCCGTGTCGTAGTCGCCGTAGAAGAGGTAGGCTTCCACCAAGTCCCGTTGGGCAGAGTTGACGACCGCCGTCGTGTCGCCCTCCAACAGACACAGGGCGTGCACACGCTGCACGGCGTACTCGACAGCGTTGCCGTAGGCACCGATGAGCAGCGAGACCGTCAGGGCCAGCGCCAACGTGTCGCTCAAGAGCTGAAGGGAGTCGCGGTCAGAGGCCGAAAGTGTACTGCTGCCCTCCCAGGGGGGCTGCGCGCTCGCCGCGTTGCCGCCGTTCGCGGACGGCGCCGGGGGACTGGAGCCGAGGACGGCGGCAGCGGCCTGCTGCAACCCGTCACGGGTGCCGCGTGTCAGCGTCATGGTCTGGAGGAGGGCATTGTGACAAAGGTGGGAGCACAGCTGCACCACATCCGCGTAGAGCTGCACCGAACTGCGCTCCTCCTCCAGCGCGAGGCACAGGATGAGGCGGCGGATCAGCGTAAACTGTTTCTCCGAGGAACCTGCCAGCCCGCTGGTGCTGCCGCTGCCGCTGGTCGGCCCGCTCATGCCGCTGCTCTTGTTGGCGAGGGTTGAGAAGCCGACGTTGCTGGGCGCGCTTTCAACACTAACGCCGCCGCCGCCCGCAACGGAGTTTATGTTTCGAGGGTTAAAAACGGAGGAGCTGCGGCGGCCGTGCATCGACTGCCGGCGACCGCCGATGCTGCTGCTTGGGTTGGCGCTCCACGCAAATGTGCTGCTCAGCATACCGACCAAGGAGCCCTCCGTCAGCTCCAGCCGTGCCTCTCGCTTGAAGCGCGCACGCTGGTCGCTGCTCAAGAGCTCCTTGTCGTCCTCCGTAAAGAGCAGCAGTAGACGGTCCTGCCACACGGTGAGGCGGAGGTAGCTGACCGGGGACTGCATTGTGTTCATGCAGAAGAGCGTGCTCGGAAGGCGCGACCGGCGCAGCTCACGCACGACCGCACTGTCACGCCCGTCCTCGCCGCCAATCGAGGCGATGCTGTTGCAGGACTCGCTGCGCAGGCGCTGGGTCGATGGTTGGCGTTGGACGCCGCCGTTGCCGCTGCCGTTGTTCAACTCCTGCGACATCATACCCGTGACGATGGGCATCGCAAGGGGTTTGCTTTGGTCGAAGTCCTCCTCCAGCTCCGAAATATCCATCGTCGACTGGTGGTGTACAAGCTGCTTGTCGGCGGCGTCGGTGGGGATCTCCGTCGTGGCCGTGGACTCCAGGGCATGGATGCGGTTTTCCTCCGACAGCTCTCTGCTCGTGTCCTTATCGTCCTCGTCGGACCAGATATCGTTGCTGACGGCGTTGTGCAGCGACACCTGATGGCGTAGGCAGCCGTTATTATTGTTGCTATTGCTGTTGTTGATATTATGAACATTCGTGAAGCTCGGACTCCCAACGGACTTCAAAGCCGCCGGGGACTGCGCCGAACGCCGCTGCTGCACCTCCTCCTGCCTCTCCTTATCGTGCTGCCGCGCGTACTGCTGCAGCCGAGCGAGGCGAACCGCCTCGGTGTAGTGGGCGTAGCGAAGGTCGTGCGGATTGGTGAGGGTGAAGAGGTAGCGCGAGGCCGACGCCTCCCCGCCCGCTTTTCTGGTGGACGCACTCTTGCGATGAGGGCGGCTTGCACCGCCTGACTGGTTGCTGCTGCTGCGCCGTGCACTAGAGTACGCCCCGGAGATGACGGATGAGCCGTTGACGCCCCCCAAGTCTGTATGGGCGGCCGCCTTGCGGGCCACCACGCTCTGCACGTCGAGGTTGTGACGGCCATTCGCACCACCGCCGGCAGCAGCACCGCCACCCCCGGTGGCGTCGCGGGGCAGAGAACCGTTGCCGGTGACCGAGCGCTCCGCGACGCCAGACTCCTGACTGAAGTGGGCGAGGGAGAGGGAAAAGCCGTCGGAGCCGCCGGGGGAGTCGTTGGCGGTGTTGTTGCGGCTCGTGCTATTCGACTCCGTCAACACCCCGTCCGTCCTGGCGTTGCCGCTGTTGCTGTTGGTAAGGTTGCGGTTATTGGGACCCGCCCTGGGCAATCGCGTGGCGGCAGAGGGGACGCACGTGTACTGAGAAGCGTTGCCGACGGACGAGTTCACCAGGCTGCGGCTCCGCAGCGCCGCCGCCGCCGTGGCAGCGGCGGTATTGTGCCGCAGCGTGATGTAGCAAGCGAGCACGTTGCTGCTCTTCTGCACGCTCCCCGTCTTGTCATCCACGCTGCAGCAGTCGACGCCAGTGATAACGAGTTTGGCGGTGCCCTGCAAGGACGTGTTTAACTCCATCAGCAGGTCGCCCGAACTGGCATCGATACAGGGCTGCATAAGGAACAGCTTCGGCGACGTCGTGACCACCTCGTACTCGAGGACGCGATCGAGTCCGACCATCTCACCAAGGCCGTGACGGAGACCGACGAGGCGGCGGATACGGAACAGCCCGCTGCTGCCAATGCGGTCCTCGCGGCTGACGTCGAGGCCGACCTTCTCCTCCTCCTGCAAAAGAGACGCCTTTGTTCCGTTCGTGCGGGTGGCAGCGGCGGCGGTGTTGTTGGCACTGGCCAGTATCTCCGTGGTCGCCGTGGCGCTCGGCGTAGCCGCCATGGTGACTGACCCACCGGCCTCGCTGAGGATGGAGACGCGGCTGGCGGCGGCAGTGGCGGTGGCGTTCATCGCCTTCTCCGCGGCGTAGTCGCGCTGCATCACGAGCGTGCTCGTGTCGACGGCGAAGACGATGGATGTCAGCGTCACGACGGGGTTACCATTGGCGGCGGTGAAGGTGATGGCCGGCGGGGGCAGCGTGGCCGCGGTAGGGATGCTCACGTCCCAGTCGATGCGGCGGCGAGCGTTGGACATCGCCTTCAGCTGGGCCGCGGTGCTCGCCAGCTCGGGCAGCAGCTCCTGCGCGGTGTGGTGCTGCATCCGCGGTGGCTCGAGCAGCCCGGTGCGTGGGTTTGTCTGCGCCATCTCAATCACGTCATCGGCCGTGGTGCCGTAGAGCTGTCGCAGCGTCACGAGTGAGCCGGCCCGCGTCTGCTGCATGGAGGGGGCGTTATCGCCGACGGTGGCGCGGCCGTCGCGGATGCTTTCTACGTACACCACCGCGTCGCTGTCTTCCTCTGGGCCTTCGAACGGTGCGGCAGCAGCGGGGGTCGATGTTTGTGCTGTGGTGGTAGTGGTCGTCGTCGACGTGGTATGGGTGTTGTGCAGCTGCGGTCCAATCCCGGGTCGCCGCATCGCATCCGGCAGCGACGCCAGCGTCGTCACACCGCGAAGTTGGCCCTGCACCGACGCCGACACCGTCAACAGCGGGTTCACCACGGCGTTGCCCACCACATAATAGAGCGGACTGTCGACTGGGGTAGACGGTGCCGAGGCGGGGGGCGGGGAGGAGCTCGGTTGACGCGAGACGGGGCCCGCTGATGGAGAGACGGTGTTGGCGTTGTTGCGCGTGATCGCCGCGGCGCTTTTGGGTTTGCGGGCGGAGTAGTTGGCGGACTGCATGCGCTGCGCCGCAGACGTGCCGCGCATCGAGGTCGATAAGTGACGGGGCGACGCCCCAAAGGAAGCACGGGGAATGGCGGGGCTGTGCGGTGCCAACCCTGCAGCTGCGGTAGCGGCTGGCAGTATTATCTGCGACTGTGCAGTGGGGGGCAGCGAGGTACTGACCCGCTCAGACGGCGGACGACGAAAGGGATGCGGCAGCGTCGAGGCGCCTCTGCCGTCCACGTCACGTGGGATGGCGGCAGGCAGAAACACACTCGGCTGCTGCGGGGTGCTGTGTGCCCGCGTGTCGTTTACCGGCGCCGCCGCCGATGGGGATGGCCGATTCTGCATCGACGTGGAGAGGAAGATGAAAGAGTAAGAGAAGACAGAGAAATACAAAACACGCACTCCAAAAATCGAATGCGAGAGGGGAAAAGAGAGAGAAGAGAAAACCGTCCTCGCGGAGGATCTGAAGGAAAACGGTTGAATGAAGAATCAGAGGGCGAAAACTCCCCCTGGGGAAACAAAAGAAGGCGGCAAACGGCAAGCAGATCCACACGAACACTTCTCTTCGGCAAAGTGAGACGAGGACCGCTGAGCGTACGTCAAACACAGCAATACGAACAAACTACGTTAACAATAGAACTATATAAATATAAATATTATAATCAACAAAATGAATAAATATATATACTTAAAAGAAGAAGAAGAACGACTTACAAACACTTCAAGTTACGAAGTCAGATTCACACGCCGCGCCTCCACGAAGCGGCTCTTCAACACAGACAAACAACAAAATAATACCAGTATTATACATATATATATATACAAAAACAAGAGAGCGCAACAGGGGAACAACAACAAGGAAGAAAACAAGAAGTAGACGAAGAACAGATATGAAATACAACACAGAATTGCGCGCCCGTTGTGTGGTTCCACACGGCCAACAACTCCCCAAAGAAATGACACCGAAGCACCAAACAAGAGAGAGAGAAGAATAACAAGAAACACTGTTAAAAAGAAAAAAGGAAAAGGTCGCACAACACAACACTTATTGCGAAGAAACTAATAACAGCACTAACAAAAGCGCAGTATATATATATGTATGATTAGAAGGACACAAAGAACAGCATACAGTGCCACAGTATTTATAAAAGCCAATGCAAGAGGAGACAACAAAGCGGAGAACGAAACGGGATAGAGGGGGGGGGGGGGAACGACTCCGTAAGCGAAGGCAGCAAATGAAAAAAGAGGAAAAGAGCAAAACAAAAGGTTTGCCCTCCCGCTGCTGCGGCGGCCACTGTCGGTCGTACGCTCTATCTCTCTATGTCTATAGCAGCAGTCTGAAGGAGGAAGGAGATGGATAAACAAACAAACAATCAATCAGAGAAGAAAAGGAGGAGGTACCAGCAAGTACTGTTTCCCAGTTTTTTTTTTAGGAAGAAGTGCCTTTTGTTGCTACTCTTTAGAAAATCGTACGTGCACGAGTAAGTATTGAAAGATAATATAAGAAGGAGGAAGAAAGCACGCGGACAGACGAGCAAACGTACACTCTGGAAAACAAACAATCAAAAAGCCAAAGGAAAAAAAAACAAAGAAAATAAAGAGACGACCGGACCAACTCGTCAATGTCTGTTTTACATGTACTGCGGTTGAATGCTGAGGTGAACGCTCTCCTTCGCTCTCTCTCTCTCACACACACACACACGCACACACGCTCAGGCCGATCGTGGCAGCTTTGAAATGATGTGGAAGAGGAATACCCACACTAATCGTAATTCAATGAATGAAAGAAAGAGAGGGAGTGAAGAATAATTACTAAAAGACAAAACAAAATTGAGGTTGACGCGGGCGGTGTAGCGGGGGCGTCACGTACTCAGGAAATATATACGACAGCAAAATAAAAATGAACTAAGCAAAACACACCAGTGTTTGAGGCTAAGTAAAAAAAAAGAAACCAGAAAGAAAAGGAAAAGAGCAGGGGCGCTTGTGTACCTATATATCAAGAAGTAGTAATAATAACAATGTGTTTGCCCACTGCTGTTGCTTTCCGGCGTCGATCACCGCGTGTGAGGCGAGAGAGGCGAAAAAGGTTTGGGACACACACGTGAAATAGGCAAGAAAAAGCCTACGTGAACGGAAGGAGAACCGGAGAACAGGACGTGCGTGTGCGTTCAAAAGCTGAGCAAAACAACTTCGAGAGGGTAGGGGATCCTCTTATGCGAATGAAGAGTAAAGGAGAGAAAGAGAGGGGGAAGAAAGGCAAAGTGCAGTTGTAGGAAAACTTGTTTGGGTTTAAGAAGTGAGCTGTCGACACGGTCACATCAGCGTTGTCGTCTGCCTTCCCATCATGGAGGACTCGGAATATTAATAATACAAGATCAGAGACGAGACATTTTATCTCGCATAGATATACTCGGCCGTTTCTTTGTCTCTCCTCGATGAAGGGTTCGTTCAATGGAGGAAAAACATCGTTTATGTTCCTTCTTTTTCTTGGTGGCGCATCCGTGAAGAGTGATACCGCAACTACACCGTTTTCCGCATCGGCTCTGTTCGTTTCTACCCCCACATCGACTGCCGTGGCTGAGCCCTTTCCTTTTCCATTATCCCTTCGGAAGGGCTTGTGCTGAGTAAGAGCGCAACCGTGACGACGGAAAGCATCCATCACCTCCACCACCATAAATACCTAAAAAAAAAAAAAAAAAGAAGCAGAGCGTGGGAGCCGCCCTTCGCACAGCAAATGGGCGTATAACCGTCGGCTATTGGATCCCTCTCCATGAAAACCACACACGCACGCACACGCACACGCCACCCAAGGACGCTGATGGAATAATATTAACACTAAGAAAAAACGGCGAGGAGGAAAAGAAGAAACGAAGAGAGGACAGAACAAACCGAATCCGCTTAAAAAAACACACACAGAGGAGTTCGTTTTCTCCTTTTCCGTACCATCACGCACACTGCAGCAGCCGCTCCTTTACGTTGTTCAGCGCGTTGTTCACGTACGTCCACTCCTGCACGGTGTGGTGGAACTGCGCCATATCGCCCGCGCTCCAGTGCTTTACGGCGTCCTTGAAGTAACCCACCGCGCGATCCTCCAGGTCAGCCCGCAGCACCGCCCACTGTCGCCGCACCGCCTCCTCCTTGGCGTCGCCGCCGAAGATGAGCTCACTCATCGTCAGCATCTCCATCAGAAAGTCCTCGTCCATCGGCGCGTCCGGGCACGTCTCGCGCGCCTGCATCGTGCGGCGGTCATCCTCGATCATCAACTCCTCCTCCTCGGCGGGAGTCAACAACACAGCACCTTTTACCTCCTGTGCCTTCACCAAGCGAGAGAGGTAGCGGCAGCGGCTGTACGGGCTGCGCAGCGCTTCGTATGCGGCGTTCGCGTATGTCGAGACGTCGACGCTGCTCTGCAGCGCGTTGGCATCCGGCACACACGGCGCGGGCGACTTCGCCTGTTGCTGCTGCTGCTGCCGCTGCTGCTCCTGTTGTTCTCGTTGCTGGACCTGCTGCTGATCAGGATGCACGCGACGCTGCAGATCGTGATACAGTTTCTGCAGGGCAGCCACGTCAACCTCTGGGTGCTTCTCAAGGGAAAAGAAGGCGAAGTAGTTCCCCTTTCCGCTGCTGCTGCTGGTGGGAGGGGCGGGCGCGGTGGCACCGCAGCGGCGCGGCGTCCACAACGAGAAGGACGCTGCTCTGACGATGCTGGAGTGTGTGCTGACGGGGACGTGGGCGTGAATGGCCGTCGCCAGACCACACGGCAGCCGTCGCAGAAACATCTCCCGTCGAGTTCTGCAAAAGCACAAAAAGGAATACTGAAAGAAGGAGAATAATAAATTGTATAGGTGATATCGATAACGCGTCCCACCAAGTCTCCGCCTCTTCGTTACTTGGCAGAGACGGAGGGTTTGGGACAAACAAGGCACGTAGCGAAGATTCCTTCAGACAGGGTCGAAGTAGCGGAGCCGTGCGAAGAAAAAGAGGAGACACATGCAACAGCAACAACCACAAATGGAACAGAGGCAAGGAATCACCAGTGGGTAGGAGAGGAGTGAAGAGAGGCAGAGGCGGGCGTTCTGTTCTGGGGAGCCACACACACACACACACACACACACACACACACACGCACGCTAAAATGCGAACTCTTTTCAATGTCTGTAAGCGTAGCGGTTGCACGCACAGATACCGAACGCAACATGCGAATGCCGACAGGCAGAGAAGTGTGAGGAGCTACATCAAAATTTAGATGTATTTCTTTTTTAAATCTTTCTTCCGGGAGTAATCCAAACGAGTTGTTATGCGTTACGCCGTTCCCGAAGCGAGTCAACAGCGTGGGAACACCTTTCTATTGTACATGTAGCGACGTGAGAAAATAGAATAGTTCAACAGACCGTTCTTCAGCATACTCCTCATGCCCTACCTATACATCACCGCACCTCTCCCCTCCCCTCACACACACGCATACACACAGAGGAGAAGAAAAAAGACATCTCCCCTCGCATGCGTCGTGAATTTATCGCTGATACGCAAGGAGCACCAGCGAGGGGTTCACCAAGGAGACGGGCTTTACCGCCCCTGCAGAACCTTTGAGTTTCAGCCGAACTTCTGCGGCGGCCGCCTCTTCGACACGCGCCACGTGCGACTTCAGCTCCTGCACGCGGTGGAAAAGCCGCGACAGCGCGGTGACGGGGGGTTCCACCGTTGTCGTCGTGGCCGCCGCTGCCGCCGCTGCGGTGGCGCTCGCAACGGCCCCCGCAGGTGGAAGGGAGCCAGTCTTTGCCCCCGCCGCACCTGTTGATCCCACCGCGATCTCTTTACTGTTCTGTGCCGTGGCGGTCGTCGCCGCTGTGGGGTCGGCGGCTGTGGTGGCGGCTGCCATTGTCCGGCGCACCAGCTCCTGCTCCCAGTGCTGCAGCCGACCGCGCACAAAGGCCGGGTGAAAGAGGAGGGCCGTCAGAATCGAAAGGAGGGACAGCTGCTGCGCCACGGGCGGCGCTGTCTGCTGCATCGACCGGCCGTGCTCGTGCCCGTTGCTCGGCGCGGCTGCGTAGACGGACGCACCGGCAGGACGATGTGCGTTGCTGCCGCCCGCGGTACCCTTTCCCAAGCGCCTTTTCCCTTCGCTGCCCTCCGCCTCCACCGCGGAGGGGGTCGCAGCCTCCTTTTTCGACTTCGACGCCGTCACACTGCCACGACTCGCCTCCGGTGCCACCGCCGTCGCCGCGGTTGCCGCCGCCGCGGCAGTCGGAGAAGGCGCGTTCACCGTGACAACAGCGGCGTGCTGCGTGACCGCGTGGAAGCGGCGGAGATCGTCGCAGAGCGACTCGGGGTTGATGGAGGGAGGAGGCTTGAGGAGCTTGAGGAGAGAGCCGAGCACACGTCCTTCGTACGGGCCGATTGGACGCACCAGCTGCCGCAGCACCTCGGGGTCGTGCAGCGCGCTTTCATCGGCCGAGGTACCGGCCGTAGCGGTGGCGGTGGCCGCGGGTGTGGCAACCCCCGCACTCGCACCACCGACGTTGCTGCCCGGAGTGCTCACTGCTGTCTCGTTCGCCTTGCCCTGACTGAGGCTCGGTGCGTTGCGTCCCGCCGCTCCGGCAGTGAGAGGATGCACGAACAGGTTCCACAGGTACTGCGGCTCCGTCGGCAGCGCGGCGCGCGCGGCTAACATGGCCGTCGCCGCCAGCTCCCCTGCCGTTAAGGAGTTGCGCATGGAGAAGGCGTTCGGGGAGCCCGCCGCTACGGAGGCGCTGCCTTGCGCCCCGCCGCCTCGGCCCGCTCCATTCGCCGCCTTTTTGCGGTCCTCTGCTGTGGCTCGACGGCTGCTACCACCACTACCGCCGCCGCCTCCACCGCTCGTGGCTGCCCCTCCCCCTGGACGTGACAGCAACAGCATTTCTACTCGTGCCGCGTAGAGGGTGTTGATGGGCGACGTCGTGTCGTCCGCTGCCGACTCCCACGCGGGGGACCACTCTTGCAGGGGCAGCAAACGGAGCAGCTCCGCCCTGCCGTACTCCCGCTCCAACAGCTGCAGTTCCTCGGAGGAAAAGAGCTGGTGCAGCAGTACTAAGACCTCAACCAGGGCTTCCTGCACGACGGTGGTTTGCTGGACACGTCCGAGGCTGCTCGCGAGGGTAACCTTGTCGCCGCGCTTGTGTGTTCTAGTGGAAGATTCCTCCTCTTCCTCCTCTGCTGTCTGCTCCCACGGGGGTGGGATGAGGGCGTGCTTGTGGCGCTGAATCACGCGCAGCACGTCGACATCGACAGGAAAGGTCGCTGCACAGCCCGGCGGCAGGCTCCCTTTGTCAGACCTGCGCACCTCGACCGCGCCAGCGGCAGATGCTGGAGGTAGTGCAGGGGGATGGGTGGCATCTGCCGCTTCACTGCCATCCTTGGAATTCATGGTACGAATGATCCTCGTCGAGGCCTGCAGAGCCTGCTGAATGGCGGCTAATCGAACAGGTGACGGCTCGAGAGCGGCATTGGACAGCGTCGTGGAGAAGGCTGTCGCATCGGCTTTCCCCGTCCCACGCAGGAGACCGAAGTACGGGCTCTCGTGCTGCGCATCGTTTCCTTCCATGTGTTGCTGCGATGCAGCGATGAGGGGCAACAGGCGATCCCGCGGTACCTCGACTTTCTTCACCGCAACACTGGCCGTCCCACTCGCCTCCTCCTCCGCAGCAGTCCCGGGGGGCAGTTGGGCGGACCGCGACGAGAAGGGCGTGCGGGGACGCGCCACAGGGCCACCAGGCGTAGAAGACGGCTGTTGCTGCTGCTGTGATGGTGACTTGCGTCCTGGCCGAGACGCCGCGTTGCCGACCGCCGCCGCCGCCGAGTTGTCCCCACCGCTGTTCAGCGTCGAGTTCGACTGCCCCCCGGCGCCCTCGGCTGCCATCGTCGTCCGCCACTTTTCCATGGAGAGCGGCATCCCAGGCTGGGAGAGGGTCCAGACGGCGTGAAAGGCCTCCCGCGTTTCCTCTCGCTGGCGCTCGGCCGCGGCGCGGGCCTCGACAGCGGCCGCCTTCTCACGCGCCTGCTGCCGCAACTGTGCCGCGTACCGGGCGTCGAAATCCTTCGCAATCGCAGACTTCGCAAAGCGACTCGCCGTTTGCTTCGGCCCACGTTTGGTGTCAGCCGGGAGGGAGAGGGAGTCGTCGCTGCCCCGGGAAGCCGCCGTGAAGGTGCACTGCAGACGGCTTTGCAGGAAGTCGTCCGTCGCCGTCACCGCTGCGGCGTCGCGGCGTTCTTCTGCGGTCACCGTCAGCCCATCGAGCACCTCCACCTGCGGAAGAGCGGCGATGCACCGCGGACGGTACGCCGGTTCATCGACGATGGGGTTGCCGCGCAGATCCACGTAGCGCAAGTGATGTAGACGGCGCAGCGGCTGCAGGACGCAATCCAAGTCCGTCAGCTGGTTGTGTGCCAGGGTCAGGTGCTCTAGCAGCCGCAGCCGTGGGATATCTGTATCGTGTGCGAGGTCGCGCAGCTTGTTGTGACTAACATGGAGACGCGTGAGGCGATGACAGCCCCTGTAGAGTGGCGCCGCCGGCGCCGGTGATGCGGCCGTGTTCAACGAGGAAAGGGAAGCTGCCGAGGAGTCGGATAGGTGGGGCGGGGGAAGCAAGTTGTGCAAGGTCCGCAGGGCGTTGTGGCTTAACACGAGGGAGTCGAGCTGCTCAAATCTGGTAAAGTGCGGGTGTAGCGCGGTCAAGTGACGGTGGTCGCACGCGAGTTCACGCAGGGCCACCACGGTGGTCGCGTCCAGTTGCATCTGCTCAATGGGATCCCATAGAGCTGATGGAGCAGAGGGGGAAGAAGACACGCACGCAGTTCGAACGGTCTCTGCGCGCTGTGCGCCTCCCCGCTTGTGAGTGACGGTGTGGGCTGGGTAGGATACGGAGAGGAGAACGGAGCCGCCGCTGGACCCCGCCACCGATCCCCCCTGCGGCTTTCTGCGGTCCTCACGTCGGAGGACGTCGTAGTAGCGCTGCTGCACTCTTGTACGCATGTGTGTGTGTGTGTGTGTGTGCTTAAGAGAAAGGAAAGTAACGTACACCCTACAAATTATCTCCTACCAGAAAGGGCACAGACCGATGCCTTACCATCAACATAAATTTGTCTTTCTCAATTGATAGAAAGCACTGTTATTATCAATAGATACATCCAAATTCCAATACAAGAAACAAGCTCTTCAACAGACTCTACGAAGTGGGTAGCCCGCCGCACGCTTCCCCGCTGGGTGGGCGGAGGAGCTCAGGGTCGGGCAGGTGGGAGAAAATAGGAAAAAAATGATGAACTGCTAGAATTTAGCAGTTGAGGAAGAAGGGAAGATACAAAGAGCAAAAGAGAGATAGGATGAACGCTGCTCCGGCTAGGTCACTCCACTCGCAAGCTCCAAATAATAATAATAATAATAATAGGAAATGAAAAAGAAAAAGAAGACGCGTTGTAAGCGGGACTTTGAAGTAATGAGAGGTCTTCGGGTTGGTGTTTCGCTGCCCGTGGCGCACTTGGGAGGTTCTTCCCTTCCACCAAACGTATTCGATAAGACACTACACCGAGGAAGCGGGAGAAGAGGAGAGGAGAAGAGAAAAGTTCGGACAAGGTCTCGGTTGGGTTGGCGCGCAAGGAGCGATTTACTGTGCGGGGCACAGCGAAAGAGGTAGACAGCAAGAACGTAAGGCTCGCATTTATAAAAGCACGACTGACAGAATAAGAAGAAAATGACGCCGATGTAGCTGCTGAATTACACGGTGGTTGCTAAATCGATTTTCTTCTCTGTGCGTTTTAGAATATATATTTTTGGGCTTTTCCCGTTTCTAAAAGCGCAGTTGGCGTCGTGAACACGGACTGAACAGCGCCCCCCTCCCCCTCCCCCCGTCGACCCCATGAAACCGAGCTCAACGCACCCCTTGTGCAATGCCCCTGCACAGGACCTACCCTCCCACAGAGAAATAATACTAACAACTATCAGGGTTTGCACATGGTGGTGGCCACGGGCGGCATGTCTCGTCCACGCCACTCCTTCACATTCGTGCCCGCCTCCTCGTACACGTCGATGACGGCGATGGAGACGACGTCGGCGCCGCGCAACATCACCGCACCGAGTTGGACCTCTTCCATGGGACTAAAAGAGGAGGACGCCGCACCGCTGGTGGCGCCACGGATGATGGAGCGGCCTTCGCCTCCTTCTGTGTCTCCATCTGCGTCTACGTCCGCCGCATCGTACGGCGCCCCCACCCGCTCCACACACGAGGTGAGAACGACGTTGAGCAGCTGATCCGCAGCGTGCAGCACCCCGACGAGATTGCGGCCGTCCACGGTGACGACAGAGACACGCTTGCGAAGGTACTGGGTAAGCATCGGCGCTGGAATAAGAAGAAATGAATGACCGTACAGTTGTGTGTGTGTGTGAGTTGAGGGAGGGGTAATCGCTGCACATACAACGCAGTGAATCACGACCACTCACGTGAAGAGAGAAGAAAAGAGCTGAGGAGGCGAGAAGAGCATTATTACAGTCACAATAGCAACGTCATTGGCGTCCATAGAGCAACTTACGTCGGAGATGAACGAGTCTAACCTAACCGACGTCAGGAAAAGACACGTTAGACGCCACGGGTGGATGATGTGTGAGCCTCGCACCCACGAAGGAAACGGCGAACGGCAACAACAGAGCGGCTTACCGGAGTTAGTGCACGAGAGCGAGTTCTCGTTGCGTTCCCGTGCCGCGGGACCCCCTCCCTCCCGCCCCTCCCTCCTACACACAGTGAGGGCCCTAGCGGAGCAGCTGCGTGTACGCCTCGTGGCCAAGTTGTGGCACCTAAAGTTGTGTAATGCGGCTACTTTCCTTTTGATTTAACGGACAGACAAGCTTAATTGTCTGTCCTTTCACATATATATATATAGATATGTATGTGTGTGCTGAGAAATTACTTTTCCTTTTCTTCGTTCCCTCCTCTTCCATGCGCTACTCTTAGAACCCGCTGCGACTTCCCCTGTACTGCGTGAAGCAACGCGCTGCGCCGCAGCAGGGTGAAGTAGAGGAAAGGTATGCGGCATCAGCGTCGGAAGAGGGAGGAAAGGCAACGGGTAGCGAAAGGCCGGCCCGCAGGATAACAGAACGAGAAAGAGAAAAGAAGAAAGAGGGCTAACAAGAGACAACAGAGGAGGAGGAGGGGGGGGGGAGAAGGCGCAGAAGGTCCTGCATCTCAACACAAATAGAGTGCTTGCGGAATAGAATGGGCAACAAACATCAACGCTCTACTCTGAAGAATAACAATAGTAGATGAAAAGAAAAACGGATGGCACGGAGACCGTCCGTGCAAGCAGCAGGTCGGACGCCCCTAACGAACTAGTTGCTGACAGCCTCGTTGCCTTTGCCTTGCCTGTATCCCTAAAAAAAATAACAATAATATATAGAGAGAAGGAGAGCAACACAGTTTACCAAGAAGGCAGCGAGATGGTATCTCCTGCTCTTCGTCTCCTTCCCTCGCCGTTTTTCTCCCTTTCCTTTCCCTTCTCTCTCTCCCCCCACTCTCCGCATCATCATCATACGTCCCCCCATTTAGCCTCATCCCTCTCCTTTTCCCCTCTCCTTCGCTTTCTGCCTGCTCGCCTGCCTTCACTTTTACTTACGGCTTTAAGAGGGCGAAAGCGCCTACAAAACAATCAAACACGCACGCACTAAGGCATTAAGAAAGAAAAAGAAACAAGGAAAGGATATATCGAAGTAACCGTAAACGTGCAACTCACAACTGCGACAATGCAAAGCGTTGAACACCGTCTTGCGTGTATCATTCTTTGCCTGAGAGCCGCCGTAGCAGACACACATACAATACGCGCGCGCGCTCTCTCTCTCCGCCTTCAGCGTATGGGTCGGAGGCGACGGAACAGTTACCTTCACAAATACAAGTGCATCCGCTGCTGGGCTCAAACAAACAGAAGCGAAGAGCTCGGATGCACTTGGGACCTAAAAATAATAATCAAGAAACATACGTAAATAAACAGCCAACTCATGAAAACAAAAACATGGAGAAGTGGAACACACAGAGACGAACAAGGTGGAAAGAGAGTCCTGCTCTGCCATTCCGCTGCTACGGCCCCCCTCCCCCCCCCCTCCTCTCGCTTCGTCTTCAACTTTTTTGCTCTGCTTTTAAACTTGTTGCCACGGCTCTCGTTCTCGCTATTCCGTGTGGCGACGCGCGGGTCTTGCCGTTGCCATCACGCAGTGCCGATCAGCCGCCGCATCACCCTTCCACAGGAGCCACTACGGCGCGAGGACAGAAGGAGTGTACGCCGACGTCACGGCCGTGCCGTGCAGCGGCCCCACTCTCAGGGTCTGTGCGCCGGGGAAGAAAAGGAAAGAGGAAGAGAGATGGACGACGCAGGGACGAACACGCAAGAGAACCAAAAGGCAGCGACCACCGCGGCTTGCGTAAAATGAGGGGGATGGTTGGCCACATTCGCAACGAAGCGCTTCTTTTCCGCTCTCGCACGGAGCTCTCTAGCTGAGGACGCGCTTCGCCACGGCGACGACATCGGTGACCTGCGGCTGCGAGGCCACCTCGATCTCCTTGCTGTACGGCGTAGGGCAGTCCGCGCACGACACGCGCTCGATCGGGGCGTCGAGGTAGTCGAAGGTGTCGCTCTCCATCACACAGGCGCAGATCTCCGCACCGATGTTGCAGAATGGGAAGGACTCGTCCACGGTGACGGCGCGGTGCGTCTTCTTGATGGACTTGAAGATCGTCTCGCGGTCCAGGGGACGGAGGGAGCGGAGGTTGATGACTTCGGCCGACACGCCCTCCGCGGCGAGCTTCTCGGCCGCCTTCAGGCACAGCTCCACGCCCTTGGAGAAGCCGATGAGGGTGATGTCCTTGCCCTCCCGCTCAATCTTGGCCTTGCCAAAGGGGATCAAGAAGTCCTTGTTGGCTGCCTCGTCTGAGACAGGGAAGGACTCGCCGTACAGCAGCTCGTGCTCGAGGAAAACGACGGGGTTGCCGTCGCGGATGGAGGCCTTGAGCATGCCACGCGCATCCTCGCTGTTGTACGGCGCGACCACCTTCAGCCCAGGCACGGAGGCGTACCACGAGCCGTAGCACTGGCTGTGCTGCGCACCGACCCCCGCTGAGGCGCCGTTGGGGCCGCGGAAGACGATGGGGCACGTCAGCTGACCGCCGGACATGTAGTGGCCCTTGGCCGCCGAGTTGATGATCTGGTCGATCGCCTGCATGGCAAAGTTGAAGGTCATGAACTCACACACGGGGCGCATGCCGCCGAGGGCGGAGCCGACGGCCATGCCAGCGAAGCCGTGCTCGGTGATGGGGGTGTCGATGATGCGGTCCTTGCCGTACTTGTCGACGAGGCCCTTGGTGACCTTGTAGGCACCCTGGTACTGACCGACCTCCTCACCCAACACGAACACCGTCGCGTCGCGGGCGAGTTCCTCGTCGAGGGCGCTGTTGAGGGCATCACGCACCGTCATGTTGGTCGTAGCGAAGCGGGCCGCCACGGCGGCAGAGGCCGTGAAGGTGGCACGGGAGGCGAAGCGACGCATGGTGGACGATTGATGTTGTTGAAGAGGAAGAGGAGAGAAAGAAAAGGTTAAGGATTCTTTCTTTTATATTATTTTGTGGTGTGGTGCGGTGTGAGGACTACGATGAAAAGAAGGAGACTGTGCTAGGGATTATTATTGTTGCTTTTGCAATGATATGAACGAGGAGGTAGACCACAATTCTGCGGTGCCGTTGCGCGTACCGCCGTAGGCACCCCCCACCCCCAAAACAAGGAGGAACAACGACAAAAAAAGGAACGCGGAAGACGTAAGGGGAAAATATATTAAAAGCGTAGCGCGTAGGATCTCTACTCCGTACAAACAACGCATGCGTGCAGTGCAGGAATCTGAAGTGAACGTGGCCGCAACAGACAGGTACACACACAGTACGAACAAACAAGGAAGACATCAACAGCGCCAATAACAGTACAGCATGGCGTTGGGGATCTCGCTTCCACCAGCCACTGCAACCATCTCGCTTTACTATTATATATGTGTATTCCCCTCTTTCTTCAAAACCGAACCGCGATTGCCAGGAGAGAAGTCAGCTGCGCAGCTGGTTTCATGTTGATCTCCCCCGGCGAACTACACGCCCTACTACCACACAACACCGATTAAAACACCTTCACCGCCGCAAAGGCACACCCACAAGACGTGTCGCAGGCCGTCGAGCAACGCCTCCAGGTACGCTTCCCTTGCTTCGCGTCCCCTCCCCCCCCCCTCCCCCTACGACGTCGACAAAACTAACGACGATGGCGGCCAGAACGACCGGGGCGACCGTCGCCACCGCGCCTTGAACTTCCACGGTCTGACTTCGTGTCTCTGCGGCCGTCGTTGCCCGTGTCGTCTTCCCGCTCCCGCTTGCGCTCGCTGTTGCGCCGTCCGTCACCATCGCCCCCCTCGTCGCGCCTCCTGCGTTCACTGCCGCTGCTGCCGTTTCCCGGCGCCGCTGCTGCGTTTCGCTGCCGCGCCGCACGCCTGAGCTCCTCCTCTCGCACACGACGTCCACCGCGTGGCCTCTTCGGGGAGCCTCTCGCCGTACTCGTCGGCACCGCGCCGGTCGCTTCGCGCTTGACGGTAGAAGGAGAGGCGGCCGCCGCCGCCGTTGGAGGTGTCGATCGGATCGCCCTTGTGGAGCTGCTACTGTTGCGCAGCGCGGTAGTTGCTGCCGCCGAGACGGGAGACGGCGGTGGATGATGAGTAAAGAGGTGAAGGACATCGTCCGCCACGTTGCGGCCCTCCCGCACCGCCTCCTTCTCCATGCGCGTCAGCTGCAGGTGCAGCAACTCCACACAGGGGCTTCTCTTCTTCAACACCGCCTTGCGGATCGACACCCGCACCTTCTCCAGCAGGCTGCGCACCAGCAAAAGGAAAGGAGCCGTCTGCTCGAGCAACAAGACGGCCTTCCAGCCCGACAGCGACACCAGAGTGCCGTCACTCGACTGGCACTTCTGAAAGGCGGTGAGGACGTCGCCGAGGGTGTGCTGCACCAACTTGAAAGCATCCGATTCGTTGTCGGACAGAGACCCATGAAAGGCACGCAGCGACGGAGTCGTCTCGAGAAAGCTCTTCTTGAACGGAAAAACAGTGTTCTCGAACACAAGGTGAAGGCTGCAGGCACTGGACAGCGTCTCTGCACGCGTCAGGTCCGGTATCGTGCTGGTCACGGTGAAGACGAAGCGCTCGCACATGCGCTGACGATCTTGCGCGGACATCTGAATGGGCAGTTGCGAGTCACTGAGGGCCTGAAGAAAGAGGCCGAGGACGGCGGCGCTGATGGCGCCGTCCACCGGCGACAGCTGCGCCCGCGTGACGAGGGCGGTGAGAAGCTGATCCACGTAGCCGCGCAGCTCCGCTGGTGCCAGCACAGGCGCTGCTGCTGTTGTCTGCAGCGCTGCCGACGCTGCGCTGCTGGGCGGTGCCAGCTCCGCGCTTTCGACGGTCTTGTCGTCCTGCATTTGAGGGGCGTCGTCTGCGGCGGGCGTCTCATCCTTCACCGCGTTCTCGCCCCCGTCTTCCACCGTCTCCCTCGCCTCCTCCTGTTGTTTCTCGTGCTTCTGCTGGCACTCCAGCAGCTCCTTCACATCTTCCTCCATCGCCTGCTTCAACTTCCGCAGCGCCACCGCCGACGCCGCGACTTCGTCCGCTTTCAGCTGCTGCTCCACCATCGCACGAATGCCCAGCACTGTCTTGATGGGCGCGCGCTGGCCAAACTGGACGGAGAAGTCGCGCAGCAGACGTCGTGCACAGCTCTGCAGGTGCGCTGGCGCGACGGCGTCGTACGAGCACGTCCAGAACCACGCCACCACACGCGAGGAGAACGTGGACGGCTCTGCTTGCTCCTCGTCTGCCTCATCGATGGCCTCTCGCAGCTGGGCATGCAACGCCACCAGCACAGGGTGCGTTTGGGCTGCCGTTGCTGCCGCGGCTCGCTGCGACGCCCCTATCAGCGTCGCCAGCGCGGCGCTGATCGACGCGCGCGGCACCGCGGAGGAGGGAGACGGCGTCGCGGCCAAGGCGGAGAGCTGCACGGCGCACCAGCGACAGAAAGCCAAAAACACCGCCGTCATGGCATCCGTGGCCGCCGCTTTCGCGGTGGAGGCCGCGGCCCTCTTCGCCCCATTGTCCCCCGCTTTACGGTAGCACCGCCTGTGCGCCACTTCGCTGGCCTCTGCCAGGATCTTCATGAAGGCAGGCGTGACGGGCGGCTCTTGGGTCATCAGCTCACACAGGTACTGCTGCGCCGCCCCGTGCGCGCTCCACGCCACCTCGGCAGCTGGCGTGCTGTCGTGCTTCCAGAAGAAGAGGCGCGGCAGCTCCCAGGCGTAGGCCATCGCGTGTGCGTGAGGGGGATTGGCGGCCAGAGCGAGACTGATGTCGGTGTCCTCCACGGTGCTGTAGTCCAGGCCGAGGGCACGCAGCGGCGGCAGAAAGAAGGCGGCGAATCCGTACCGCTGCTGATCCACAATGTGGTAGCGGATGTACTCGAGCAAATGCACCCCGGCGTGTCCGAGGAAGGTGGAGAGGGCCGCCCGCAAGGACGAGAGGGCGTCACGCGGCAGCGTTCGAAAGACAGCGGCGTAGAACATCAGCACCTCACTCCCGCACACCTCGTCGTTGTCACTACGCATCTGCGCAATAAAAGCCTCGTCCAGCGCCGCGCCAAAGAATTGGGCGAAGAGAGAGGGAAGGGAGCCGGCGGGCACCCACGCGTCCGCTGCTGCTGTTGCCGCCGCTGCTTCGGCCAGCTCCTGTGCGCGCGAGACGCAGTACTGCATAGCGAGATCCATGGCATGCAGCAGCCTGTAATGACGCGGGAAGCACAGCTCCACGATTTCGGCAGCCGTCATGGGTTGATCGCTTGCTGCTCTGGCACGCGCAGAGGTAGCGGAGGCGGCGACGGCGGTGGAGGTGGAGGCACTGGACCCGTCGATGCTCGAGGTCGCAGCAGCGTTCGCTGCTGCTGCTGCTGGTGAAGACGTCGATCTGTCGGCCACACTGCCCTTCTCGCCCACAATCGTGTCCACCTTCAGCTGCAAGTTGACCACACCCGGGGTGATCAGCATGTGCCACACGCGGTCCCTCAGCACTGTCAACGGCTGATGCAGCAACGAAAAGGCAAGCGGGAGCACCTTGGGCGTGACATCGGCACTGCAGGTCGGGTGTGCGTTCTCCGTCGTGCTCAGGACGGAGCGACCCGCAGCGTCCGACAGCACCGTCGGGACACGCAAGTAACTTGCCACGGCAAATGTGTAGTTGCCCACGTTGCGGTAGCGCGGTCGGAGTGGTCGTGCGGACACTGCGGATGCTGCTGCTACTCCGGTTGAGCCTCGTGACGCTCCGGCTCCGTGGCCACTGCTGTCGCTGCAGCTGTAAATGGTTCGAGTCACGTGGTGCAACTCGCGAATGCACGCCTTCCACGCCCCCTGCGACACCGCCGCCGTTGCTTCATCATCGCCAGACGGCGAGTAAAAGAGCCGTGTCAGAAGAGCGGCGAAAGGCGCAAGCAGCAGCGTCGTCTCTGCGTAGTTGCTGAGAATCACGGAGGCGGTCATGGCGTGCCGGCGCAGGAGCAGCCAGGCATCCTCCGCCTCCTTGAGCAGCGCCGCACCCTGTGCGAGCTCCGTCTGCGACGGGTTCGCTTCCTGCTCTTCCTTCCCCTCGTCGTGCTCGCCTGCGCTGGCGGCTTGTACACCCGCTTCGGCGCGGGCCTGCGCGAGAAGGCGGCGACACAACGTCCACCACTTCTCTAGATGTGACAGAATTTGACTGCACGCCTGATACGTGGTCAAGGCTGCCAGAGAGGCAACACTGTAGTCGACTACTGCGGCTCCACTACCTGCTGGTTGTTCGGTGCCTGTCACGGAACGTGGTGGGTTGAATGGCGGGGCGCGAAACAGCGTCGTGCAGTCGTCGTCCTCCATCTCCGTGCCGTGCTCTTCGCTGTACAGTTGTGCGTCAGTGAGGTGCTGAAGAAATAGGCTCGCGGACTTGATGTGGGCGACCGCGGCAGCTGCGCTTTGGCTGCCTTTATCTGATGACGGAGGCAGCGAGGTAGAGGAAGCAGACAACACTGTCGCTGCTGCTGCTTCGGTCACGTCTGTCATGGCAGCCGCACACCGCTGCTTCAACTGAGCTAGAGCAACCCGGTGGACGATTGCGGTGAACAGAGGAAGCTGTGCTGCTTGCTCAGACGGGAGCAGCTGCAGACCCGCACCCTGGAGGAACACCCCCACGTAGCTTACAAGACACAGCGAAGGAGAGGGAATAGGCGGACGTGCCGGTGCAGGCGCCTCCGCGGTGTCCGTTTCGCCCCCGACCACCTGTGCACTTCGCTCAGCAGCCCGCACGTACAGCGGCATCATGCCGGTGAGCCAGTCGTTTGCCGAGCTGCCGACATGAGCACCAGCAGCAGTACCAAAGGACGACGCGGAAGCAAAAGAGTTGGAGGAGCGATGGCCACGACGAGCGTTCTGGACCTCCTCGGATGAGGCAGATGTGGGCGTCGGTGCGTTCGCAGTAGCACGCATCGTCGTGGCAGCTTCCATTAGCTGAGCACAGAACCCGTCCAGCAGCAACGCCACGCCGCGGGCCACGCCATCGAAAACGACCGCCTCCGTCTCGTAAAGCGCCACAGCGGAGCGGACCCCACTTGTCAGCCCGCGCAGAACCGCCTTGAAAAAAGCAACATAAATCTGCTGCTGGAGAACACGCAGGCGACGCAGCAGCACCGGATCAGCGCAGGCAGCGGCCACCACGGACTCTTGCGTAGCCGCAGGCGGCAGAGGGGAGGAAGAGGGAGAGGAGAAGGAGGTGGCGACACCGTTGCTACTGATGTTGTTGCTCGATGCGTTAGGGAGAGGCGGCGCTGCCCCTTCCGCGGCGGCCGCCTCCGCCTGCTCCGCCGCGCGCTCCTCCCAGGCCTGCGCCATCGCCTTGCGCAGCTGACACAGCAGCGGGACGAGCACCGCGTCCAACTTGAGCTGGGCGTAGATGTCCGCCGCGGCAGACGCGGTGTCGGCGTGCGTGGACGCAAGGTACGCACACAGCAGTTCGGCATGGGCAAGAGTGTGCTGTGCGGTTTGGGCTGTGATAGAGGCGAGGGCGGCTGCTGCGGCGTCGTCGGCGGTCGGGTCGAGCGGCTCCGCGGCCTCCGCGACGCTGCAATGCGTCCACCACCACGGAGAGGAGGGGGAGATGGCTGTCGATTCGGCCATGGCAGACACTCGTAGATAGAATCACCCCGAAGAGAAGGGTTACGCTGAAAGAAAGATGTGTATACGTAGAGAATGGTGGCTGCGCGCTGCAGTGAGCTTTTTTGATTTGATTTGACTAACGCTTCCGACTACCTTCCCCTTCCCGCTTTGCTTTGTTTACTTCACTCCTGATCGAGTTTGAGCAGCCGTGAGGACGCACAGAAGCAAAAGAAAGAGCAAGGGAAAACGGCCGTAAAAAGAAAGTAGCTGAGGCAGATGCGCGGGTGCGTTACAAAGGAGCACCGCATCAACGAAGTTCTGCGTGCCGTGGAGCAATGTATTCGTGCGTGACTGGGCCTTCAAAAGCTAAGCCTACTGCAGCGCCGCACCAGCGAGCCACATCAGAGGTACGCGACATCGCCTTGGAAACACGGAGCATGTCACACTCAAAGGTGCTGACACGCGCATAGACGCAGCAATGTACGAGTCTCAACATCACGAGCGTGCCATCAGGTGCGCTCGCCTCCTCTCTCCGTTTATCCGTAGAATTCCCCTCGCAATGCGAATGCGAGCGCACGCCAGTGAAAATATGCAACACAGGACCATTATTATGTTACGTTCTCATTGTATCTCCTCCAAAGGAAGAGAAAACACACACACACACACACAAGATCATCGCTATCCACAACAACGAACGCGCGTCTCACTCGTCACTTCTGCGGCGGTGCCGTCTCCTTCAACTGTTTCTGCAGGGCCAACGAGCGCCGCACCTCAAAGGTGTGCTGACGAGTGTGCTGCGCACGGACATCGAAGTAATTTGGATGCTTCAGGAAGAAATGAAAGGGCCGTGTCTGTGGGAAACCCATGCAACGCAGCTTCACGTCCAGCGACACGTTCAGCGACGTGAACTGCGTCCACTCGTTTGGAATGTACGTCAGTACCTCCTGCAACCGCTCCATTGGGGTGGTGCTCGAGTTCACGAAACCCGTGCCCGCGCCGATGGGCACCGAAGCTGACGTCGTCGCAGCGGTGCTGATGCATGCTCTCGCCTTCTCCTCGCCAAGGAGGCTCACAAGCGCCGGCAGCGGCTTCGCAGTCGGAGGGAGACGCACGGCTTTGGAGGATTGCGGGAGCAGCTGCGGTGGACACACGATGATCCCCGACGCCAGCTGCCTCTGCCAGCCCTTCTTCATCGTCGGAGTGCGATACAGCGCGAAGTTGTGCGGCAGGTGCAGCAGCAGCTCCTCCAGGGGGAGTTTGTGGGCAATCAGGATCTTACGCGACTCGGGTTTGAGGGCGCGGTAGACGTCGCCTAACGGGTATTGGCGAGTAACGATGGTGCGCAGCTCCGTCAGCACCGGTTCGATCGACGGTGGCTCTGACGGCGACGACGGAGAGGGATGTGCAGCGGAGTAGCCCGATGGCTTCGTACGGGCACCATCGCCACCGTCATTTGGTGGTGGCCGCGATGACTGCTGCTGCAGGATGGGCTGAGATGTGTGAAGGCTACGGGCGGTGCAAACCAATGCGGCGGCGACGAGGTGCACGTGGAATGGTAATGCTACCCGGTTGTGGGTCCTACCCGTTGCCCGAGACGTTGCTCCCCATTGAAAAGGAGGGGGGCGGCGACACGGCAGAGGCGACGCCCTTGCTAGATTTCGTGCTAGCGGTTCCATTCTTTTTTTAAAAGCAAAAAACAAAGGACGATTGCTGCGGGATTCAATAGGTGGATAAATTAATAGGAGTAGTGAACATAAAATCTGTGATAGGAGGCTTATGCGTGTTGTCGTGCAGTTCTCAGCTTGCCAGGCAGCGGTGCAGCTTTCACGTAGAGAAGAGGGAGAGAGACGCAGACAGAAAACTAAGCAAACAAACAAACAAGAGAGGTCAGCGAGCGTCAAAGTGGAGGGACGGCGCCTTCACACACACACACACACACAGCCACATAACAAAAAGTACTCTTGACGAGAGAAAGACGCCTGGTTTCGCGCGCGCATCTCCGCCGCACACACGTGTCTGCTTCGGAGAAGCGGTACCCCGAGGCGCACAGATACATAAATGTAGGCGTATATGCACCACCTCCGCGACAACGCACCGGAGTGGCCACTTACCCCCCATCCCGTGCAACGCGGGCTCCTCTACCTCGGGAGGGGGGGGGGGGGAGGGGGAGGAAGGTTCAGACGACGCGATAAGCACTTTGTATGAGAACAACAACAACAACAGCATCGGTACAAGCCAAGGAGATTTACGCTAGGAAGGGTACAGAAAATCGTGTGCGAACCTGCTAGTCCGCACGTACGCACCTCCGCGGCGAGCGAGGGCCAGAAGAGGAAGAACGAAGGCCAGGGGAAGAAGAAAGAGCATTTTATTTTCGCCCAACAACCACACACAGTGCGGGTGTGCGCCAGCAAGCAACAGCGAACTCAAGTCAAGCATTGGTAAAGTAACTACCACGATAGCACGCAGCTGTCCACCCCCCACCCCCTCCCTCCCGCTCCACACATACACGCGCGCGCTCAAAACGGAACAACTAACAGAACGTCAAGAGAGAGAGAGTTCTTTTCGGTACATCTGTCCACAGAAATGAAAACAAAACCGCCTCCCCCCCGAAAACCATGTTGGGACAGGCGGGCTTCTGAGAACGCTAAAGAGGCGGCAACGGCAGCAGCTACAAAACAGCACGTACACACCGGGCAAAGTCAAATTAGCCCCTCTCAGCTGCGAGTGCCAAAGGATTTCGCGTGCGAACCCATCGGCCCCCTATTAGGTCGCTGCGGGGGTCCACTATTGTTGTATGGGTTGGATCTACTGCCTCCTCCGTAGGAGCGGCGATCATCGCGCGGCGGCGGCGGCGGCCGACGGCGGTCACTGCCACCGTACTGCGTGTTGTTACTATTGCTGTTGCTATTGCTGTAGCTGCGATTGGCGTTGTTGCCTTGATAGCGCCGCTGGTCCTGCCCCTGACCCTGTCCGCGATCGTCGCCGCTGTTGTCCCTTCGGTAGTTCCGGTTGTAGTTTCCGCCGCCCCCGCGACCACCACCGCCGCCGCCGCCGCGGGGGCCGAAGTTGCTGCCCGGTCGCTGCTGCCGCTGTGACATGGCAGTTTCCTCCTCCGTAAGGCCCATCATCTGGCGCATCGTCTTGAGCTGCAGGTCGCGCGTGGCGTACTGCTTGGCAACGAGTGGGTTGCCCACCACGTACAGCACCCCGTCCGTCGGGTGCGGCCGCACGGTGAAGATCTGCTTGCGTTGCTCCACGAAACTGCGCAGACCGTTGTGCTTCTCGCACAGCGCCTCCTGCACATCGTCGTTTAACGCAGAGAAGAGGGACTTGATCGAGATGGCGCCCTGCGGTGGGACGTGCTTGAAGATTTCGGTTAAGATGACGGAGTCGTCGCGCATCGCCACACGGGTGTCGAAGCTGAGCTCGCCATCCTTCGTTTTATTCAGCAGTTGTGAGCCTTCACTATCAGAGCGGTTCACAACGGTAGATCTGCCTGTGGAGCCCCCACCCCCACGGCCGTAGGGCCGCGATTGGGCCTGCCAGCGGACGGCGCAGGTGAAAGCGGCGGTAACGGCGGTAGAAGAGGGCGCCGACCTGGAGGCGACACCAGCACTGCACACCGCAGCGGCGCAAAGGGAAGCCCTCGGCACACGAAGGAAGTGCCTCATTTCTGTATTTGTATCTTCCGGTACGTTCTGTTCCGCGGTGACGCTGGCGCTCTCGGCTTCTACTGTGTATGTGTATGCTTCGCGGGTGGACGCCGCAGGAGTGCAGAGAGAGAAGAAGAAGAAAGCGAATGTCAACGTACACGCACACGACTCTAACGATGGACGCACACCAGTCAAAAAGTATTTTTCTTGAGGGGTGAAACATTAACAGACAAAAACAAACAAACAACGCATGCATCATTGAATAAGCGGCTTTATCCATCACCGACGAGACAGGAGCTGCGACACCCACCGGAAGAAAGAGACAACACGATCGACCGTGAAACAAGCACCGTTTCTTCCTTCCTTTTTTGGGGGGAGGCCCGACAGGCGAAGCGTGCTGCCGGACAAGCTTTTTTTCTTTTCGCGAGTCGGTCGTGCTTCTCCAGTCATCGCAACTGTTATACGGCGCTTGATTTTTTCCTTTCCTCCTTCTGACAGTTACTCCAACCCGCGAATAAACACATGAAAAAGCCCACAAAAGGCAACGTACAAACGAACTACAAAAGAAAAAGAGGGAAATAAGTAACCAACAAACAAACCAAGGAAACGACGGCGTTGACTGCAGAGAGCTGTTCTTTCATCCACGGCCCCCCCCCCTTACCTCGCCCTTATCCCCTACCCCGGGGTGCTGCGTATCTGGCAAATGCTGGGCCACATCCCCATCACTCCCTTGCATTCCGTCTTCCTTGATGCCCCACCTTCGCGTTGCTGCAATGCAAGCTGCTGACCGATACGAAGAAAACAGAGAGAGGTGATTACGCTCTCTCAGGTCACGCGCAAGATGCGTCACTTCCATCTCAAACTTCTCCTGTTTTTCTCCATTCTCTCCCGCTCTCTCTCTTCATATTCGGACGCGTTTGTTTGGGTTTCTGCAACCCACAAGCCGAGTGCAGCAGGAATGATAAAGGACATGAGAGGAGACAACAAAGAACACGAATAAGAAGAAGAGAGCAATGAGACGCGTGAAAAGGGAAAAAATGCCAGCGTCAAACGCCATTCGAAAACAACGTTGCTGCGTGTGCGCAGAAGGCTCTGCTTCGAATGCGGAACGAGAGAGAGAAAGAGATAAAGAAATTTGGTTAAAAAAAAAAAGAAAACTAAATACGCAAATGAGAACGAACAAAGAGCATTTCATCAGCATGTACAACGATGCGCTGAGAACTCATCAACAACAACAACAAAAGTCATAATCATAATAAAGCCGCGTCTGTGTGCATTGGCTCGAGTAATGGACCCTTCGTCTCTTCATCGTTCCCTTCTACGTCCGTTTCTGTCTCTTTTGGAGACCTCTGCAAATACGCAAATACATGCGTGAATACATGAACAAATACAAACCGCTTCCGGCCACTCAGTTCATGGCGAGGTGCAACAGCTACAGGAGAGAAAAAGAGAAACGGTTGCCCCGTCGAAGCCGACAACATACATCGTCTATAAACATCCCCGACAACGAAGGAATGGGGCGATGCTGCGAGCTCAGCTTTCGTCCACATGTGCACACGGAGACAGCGAAAAGGAGCTTTCCCATCCTCTTCCCGACCACAGGAGTGGGAAGAGAGGAAACACAAATCCGCAAGGCAAGAGATACGTCACCGACTGCCACGGCGACGGCGAATCGAACGAAGAAAAGAGATTGAAAATAGAGAAGGAACGAAAACGAGATCAACACATCGGACGGCGAAACACGAGTTAAGCGGAGATGCCGCATAGCCTGGACACATAATTCTGGTGTATGTTTACAGCGACATACAGCGACAGCAGAAACAAACAAAAAGGGTTGTCTAGCGCCATCGAAAGTAAATGTTCATGCACACACACACGCACGCACACACACACAGGCGGTCTACGAGAGAGAAAATGAAAAGAAACAATAATAATAATAGAAAGAGATGACCGCGTCGTTCATCAATCTGCGTGGCATACATCCTATACATCTGGAAAACGTCGTACTTCATAGAAAACAATCATAATAATAGTAATAAAAACAACGCCAACAGTACAAGATCCGCCGTTTCAAGAGACACTCAAGTGATCGTTGGATCAGGAGATGACAGAGAGCGTGTGTGATGTTGGTTTCCGTCCGCTGGCAAAGGTAAGAAGGGGGAGGGAAGGAGGGGAGGCACAAACAACAGCGCTATTTTTCCGCCAATGCCTGTAGGTCCGCCACCGCCTTCGTATCGCTCACCACTGAAGTTCACATTTTGGGGTTTCCAGTCAGACAACATAACACCGACACCACTCGGAAGAAAAAAAACAAGCAAAGAATACACCGATGCACACACACCCACTACTGGCGTGTACTCTAAAACTAGAGGGGGAGGGGAGAGGAAGAGTGCCACACAGGATCTTCACTTCTTCTTTGAAAGCTTCTTCTCGTACTTCTCCTTCGACTTCTCCCACTTGAAGCGCTCCGTCACGGGAATCGCCTCGATCGTGCTCGTGTAGCTGCCGGCGACGCCAACGATAAAATCTTGTGTCTCCTTCGGGTAGACGATGATCTCCACTAGCTTATTGCCGTTTTCCAGCTCTGACAGAGTGGCGTTGTGCAGCACCTCAATATCGCTATCCCGACTAAAGTAGTAGCGAATGTGGAACTCGTACTCGACGGTGTCGTTGTAGAAGGCCCACCGCTCGCCATCGTCGTACAGCAGGCGGAACAGCAGCCCATTCTGCTGCTTCGGGAACATTTTCAGCGCCTTCAGCGGCTCCTCCGGCGGACCGCCGTACTTCCAGACGATGTCGTCCTGGGCTGAGTAGGTCGAGTAGCCGCAGCCCATTTTCTTTCTTTTCCTTTTCGGCGAATACGTATATGTCGGTGTGTCTCTGTCTGTGTCTCTCTCTCTCTCTCTGTGTGTGTGTTGGCTTTCCTTAACTGTTTTCCACGGGGACTCTGCAGTCGTTCTACTGCAAAAGTGAATGGGGAAAGGGAAAGATAGGAAGAGGCAATGACCGCGTGTGTACTGCGATGATCCGGAAAGAACAGCGGCAACGGGTCGAAATACTATGAAGAGGAATCTCAATAAGAAAGAAAATAAACTGTTCTTTGGCGTATGAGGGGGAGTACTGTGCCGAAGAAGAAGAAGAAAAGAAAAAAGCGCCCTCACCAAGTTGCGTACTTCGAATGCCAAGATGGAACGCGACAAACTACGCACAGAGAGACCGAGAGAAAAACAATAGAAAAGAAGAGGCGGAGTGGAGAACGCGGTGCGGTATTTGCCAGCAGCAGTCCCTGTGGTGCAACGAGTCGTTGTTCGAACTGCTGGCATTTCCATGACGTGATGATCACAAAACGCAGGCGTAACGCCCACCGATACACACGCAAAGAGTGCAGTCGCAGCACTGAAATGGAGGTACAAAGCAAAGAAGAAGTTACTATTGTTTCTGCCGCGGTGGTAATGGTCCAACGATGCTGCTCTCGCTCGCCCCATTCGACGTGGTGCGCAGACGGAGAGCGGGAAAAACAGCAACAGAGCAAACCGCTGCAGGTGGACACGGAGGGTTGGGAGAGGAACAGGAGCGACAAGCGCTTCCTCTAACACGTCACCCCTCCGGCGTCGCCTTCATCACCTCCACGATGCCGTCGCCCGCACGCTGCACAAGTGTAAAACGACCCTTACCGAACTGCTCTAACGCCTGCCCGACCGCCTCCACCGTCCGCGTCAGCCGCGCCACGTCCGCGGGAGCAGCGGACAGCGAGAGCGCGCGGAAGTCTTCCGCTGGCATGCCGACGAGCTGCCGCAGCCACGCGTGACCGAGGTCAACGGTGAGGTGGTCGTCCGCCGTCACCTCTGCCGCTGCACCGTCCATCTGATGCTGCTGTGTTTCACGCTCGACAGCATCGGGCGATGACAGCTGTGCGAGCAGCGCATAGGTACAGGCGGTTGGGCTGCCGCCCGAGGTGGCCGGGGAATGCGTAGGCGAAGGCTCGTTGATCACCATGTCGGACACCACTTCGGTGATGAAGGCGACCGTCACGAAGGCGCTCTGCGGCGGGTTCTGAGCCACGTGCGCGGCCCACTGCCGCAGCGGCTGCACCAGCGGCAGCGCGGAGGCCTGGTCGGAGGACTGCGCTACCGCCGATGGTGGAGGGCGGAGAGAAGCCGTTGTGTGTCGCTGATGGCTGTCGTGCGGTGGCGGCGGCGAGGAGGAATGCGGAGAGCAATGCTGTTGCGGCTGTTGTCGGGACGGTCGCCCGGTACTCGCCGCTAACTGCTGGCGTGCCTGCGCTTCCCAGAACAGTTCCAGTGCGCGCACGCGTCCCCCCAGCACTTCGGTGTTGCCGGCGTGCAGTCGCAGCACACCGTGTTGCACCGCTGCGATCGACGACGCCGAGAGGCGCAGGACTACTTTAGACCCCAGCGCCAACCCAGCCGGGGCAAACACCGCGCCGTACTGCTGCCGCGTGCGTGCGGAGACGTCCTCCACCGCAAGAACACGCTGAAAGCCGTCGGACAGCTCCAGTCGAAGACACCGCCACTGCCCCCCGCTCGGCCGCAGCGGCGCGTGCTGCTGAGCCGCCTCGTCGTTCTGATCTTCCATGGCCTGCAACGTGGCGTCGACAAGGGCAGCCGGATCATCGACTGCGGCTTCTCCGCCAGAGCTGTTACCGCCTCCACTGCTCGTGTTGTGAAGATCAGCTGCACGCACGAGGGCACGAGATCGCTGCTCACGTGACAGGCTGACGTCTTTGATGGACATCACTTGCAAGATGAAGCTCAGCGAGGACGGCCCTGACCCTGTGTCGGGGAACTTGAAGCAGCCATCTGCGGAGAGAAAAGGCGATAGGGCAGGACGAAGGGACGCTTGGTTCGGCTGCTGCGCTATCTCCTCCATGTCATCGTTAAGGTGGCTGCGAATGAATGCGGCGGAGGCGCTGTCGGTGCCGGAAGACATGTCTGGGCACAGCGACGCTGGGCTCTGCGCGGAGGCGGCGTCTCTTTCAACCTCCCCTCCTCTCTTCTTTCTACTGGGTGCGTCAAGAGCAGAAGAGAAGTTTGCCGGTAACTAGAAAAACAAAGGGTGGTCTGCGGTATTTCTTTAACCTCCGACACACGCGCAGTCCGATGAACAGCAATTTGTGAAGGACTGCTAAGCGGAGCGAAGGGGGGGGGGGTGGAGGAAAGGTTGGCGTTCTTCTAGATCCCTTGAAGAGCAACAGCCTGTTCCGTTCAATAAGAGCTTCTTCGCCTTACACGCACACACACATATATATATTGTAGTCGTGCGTCTGCTATAACGGCCGTTCACGAAGTTTCCGTTGAGGATGTGCGGCTTCGTTGCGGCGCTTTCGATCTTACCGCGCCTTCGACGCACGCACGCGTCGTGGCGTACGGACAAACGACGACGAAGAACAGAGAGAAGAAGACAACAATGAGGTGCGGGAGGGAAGGAAGGGGGAGGAGGGAGGGGGAGACAGCGGATGAGCGGCAAGAAACCAACGTAGTCACAGTGTGGGCTTTCCAGTTGTCAAGCACACAGACAAACACACCGAAGTACGCGGAATGAGTGCGCGTCTCAAAGACCCAACACGCACCACCTCCCAGCGTACAACGACGCTTCAAGAAAAAAAAAGAAGAAGATGACATGAAGCCACCGGTGCGAGAAGAACATCGAAGCCGGCACGGAGAGCAACAAGAGACGTAGATCACGTGGATCTCTCCTTCCCTCAAAACACCACGGGACATACTTTATTGGTCTAACCAGCATTTTTGTTCTTCTTTCATAAGTTAACAACTACCTTACGTGACAAACAAACAGGTCGTTTTAGTACTTTCTACCTTCTCGTTCCTCACCTGAAGAAAAAGAAATCCCATCCACAACTCTGCTCAGGCTAAAAGAGTCTTTGAAGAGCAGGAGAGGAGAGAGACAGAGAGAGAGAGAGGGAGAACAACGCGACGGCACACGACGGCTTGTATCACTCGCTCACTCTCTTTTTCTTTCTTTTCTCTGCCACGTGCAGAAGAAGGCCAAACAGACGCGATTCGGAGAGGGGCGGAGGGAAACGGAAAAGGTCTGCAGAGCGCGAAAGAAAAAAGAACCCGATACCAGACGTGCCGCTACGGTTCTCGTTGTCTTCCTTGTGCCTTTCCGGCCATATATATATATTGGGCCGCTCTCACCTTGAGAGCATACTCTTCTTCCTCCTCTTTACTCCCCTCAAAAAATTAAATAAGACGATAGCTTCGAAGACTTCAGAAATGAAGAGAGACACCCACCCACAGACGTGCACTTTAAGGGGAGAATAACACAGATGAAAGTACCATGCACATCAGTGTTCGATAGAAAATATTTGTTTTTGCACCCTTCCTGTGTATTGTTTGTGCGGAGGATAAGGTGTAAGAAACTCAGGGACCATATATATATGTACTTGTACTTGTACTTTTGGCTTACCGTTGAAGCCTTCTTTCGTTAAAATAAAGATCGCTATCTTGCTGGAGTCCTCCCTCCCCCATCCTCCTCCCCTGTTCAAAGAGCTTCACCGTCTTTCCCTTCTCTCCACGCAGCGCTCGCCACCCACTTCGACCTCGCTCTGACAACCAACGCACGCACACGCAAAGAAAAGACACGAGAGAACGCAAACTGCAGAGAGAAGCACGACGCCTTTTTGCGCTCGGCAGAAACCGCGAATTGCACCGGCGGACAGAAGATGAGAAGCCACAAACAGATCCGATAAACCACTTGCCTTACGTGGATGTATAGTTCTTTATTGTTCTTTTCAATAGTTCGAAAATATGGATGTGGGCGGCAGGAAAAAATATATTATCCCTCACACTATCATTGCGTAGCTCTCGATTCCACTCGCACGCGTGCGCTTACAGGAGGAAGGGGATTATGCACGCCTTCTTCTTGTTGGCCGGATCGGCCTTGACGTAGCCGCGGTGCTTCTTCTTGGCCCAGTCGAGCATCTGCAGGAAGCCGGCCAGGGTGAAGAACCAGGAGGATAGCATGTTCGTGCCGACGGAGAAGGCAACCCACGACATCACCTCAAAGAAGTAATTCGGGCACGACACGAGGGCGAAGAGCGGACCGCTCGGCACGTTGCGGGTGGTGTCGCCGTCGCCCTTGCGCATCGTGCTAAGCTGGTAGTGCACCGCAAAGTTCAGCACCTCGTTCACGATCATCAATGCCGCACCAATGTTCACCTGTACCGCGCCCGGCTCGGTGAACTTCGGGTGGCACAGCACGTAGCCGATGAAGGCCGCGAAGGACCAGTAGTAGGAGCAGTTCTTCACGATGTTGCGCATCGGCATCGTCGGGTGCGAGAACTTGTGCACGAAGAGGGACTCCAACTCGCGCTTCACGAAGTGGGCGGCGAAGAGGCCGATGAAAAGCTTCTGCGCGTAGCCGTAGGCCGGCATGGCGACGGCGCCGTAGATGAAGGAGGGGCGCATGGCGTACAGCAGCAAGAAGGCAAGGGGGCCGGCGTACTCCACCAAAAAGACGGTCCGGTAGCCGATCTGCGGACCGAGGTCCTTGAAGGTGATCTCCATTCCATCCTTCACGCCCTGCTTCTCCAGCGTGGCCCCGCCGGCGAGGGTGATGACGTTCGGCCGCGGCTTCTTGCCATTCGCAGCCGGGGCCGCCGGCTCCGCGGAGGCCGGACCGGGGATGCGGAACGACTTGCGGTGGGTGTCCATTTGTGGGCGAAAGGCCGCCTTGAGGTCGTCGACGGTGGCATTGGCCGACAGCTCGACCTCCTGCTTGCGAGCGCCGTCCTTTCCAAAAACCACGGTAACCTTCATGGCGAGTAAGGCAGTGGCGCTGGGAGAGACGAGAGGAAAGTGTATAGAATCGGTGAGCGAGGGAGAAGCTGTGTGGAAAGCAAAGGCGAAGACAGGAAGGTGGCTCTATCCTTGGTTGCTGTGGTTCTCTGCGTTCACGCGACAGCATAAAAGAGAAGGAGAGAGAGGGAGGAAAGCAATGGAGGAGGGAAGAAATGGTGAGGTGCGTCTTAGGGAGTATGCATCGTGCTCTCGTGCTGGTATCTCTTCCTTTCGAGGAGGAGGGCACGACAGTTGATGGATGACACGCTCTTGACTAGGCATCATCTTCTCTGTTTCTCGACTAGTTCATGTGCACCCCCGCCACCCGCACGGAAAACGCAGCAGGTAACAAAAAAAGCCAGTTCCACAAAGCAGAGGCGTGCCGCAGCGCGAACGGATTTTAACACAAGACGCATTTTCTTCCTTAAAAGAAAAGTTTTACACGCCGCGAAACGCACACGTCAACGCGCGTGTCCAGGACTGCTTGGGCACGGCGAATGAAAGCAATGCTGGTGCCTTTTTTTCTTTCCTTCCAAGAACCAGAAGAAAGGTGAAATGCACCGCAGTCGAGCCGTGGCCGGCGCTCAACAGTTTCGAAACAACAACAACAACACTTACGAACGAAAAAGGAAAACAGTATGGCCAGATGTACCGTTAATGGACATCATCTATGCTTGTATTTATGTGCCTTACGACATTCTATGTCTCTCTCTCTCTCTCTCTGTGTGTGTGTGTGTGTGTCTGCACGTACACCAAGACTTTATGAGCGACCGCATCACAGAACAACAACAAAAATTCTACACGTGACAACGACGTTTTGCTGCGACGCGCGAGAGGAGCAGAAAGAAGAAAACGGTGTATGTGCCGGCACGAGTGTTACTTGCTGCCCCCACCGCCGCCGCTGCTGCCACCACCAGAACTGGAAGCCAACGCACTCACACTGCTACTGTTGCCGTTGCTGCTTGCCGATGACGCACTGCTCGCGGTCGAAGACGAACTGCGCTTCTTTAGAATCCGTTCCGCCTCCCGATCGGCCTTCTCTTTCAACCACACCTGTCTCTTCTCCCGCAGCAATCGCTTCATGGCCTTCGCCTCCACGGTGCGCGCGGTGGCCGGCATCGGGAAGATGACGCTGCGACAGTTCTGTGTACCGCAGCTGCACACGAAGTGCGGCATCGACTCGTCCCGCAGCGTCGCGTAGTCCACCGTCAGCTCCTCGCCGACGTTGATCTGGCGCTTGGCCGCAAAGAGCAGCGTGCGGCCGTGCACAAACTGCATGTTCGGCTCGCAGGAGTGCCGCAGCGCCACGGCGTGGTGGACGCCGTCGCCGCGGCAGATGACGCAGCCCACCGTCGGGTCCTCTTCGCCGAGCTTGTACAGCGCTTTGGACACCACCGGGATGGCGTGGTTCGCATCGCCGAACAGACACTTCCCCGCCGCCACCGTCCTGCTCGCCCGGGTAGAGAACTGGCCGTTGCGGTCGTGGCTGATGAAGTACCACGGCTTGCGCGCCGCCCGCTCCCGCAGCGCACGCGACACGGCGTTGGCGACAAAGCGCTCGTGGTTCCAGTGCGGGTCGCCCTCCACCATCACATCCGCGAAGTCACCCCCATCCTTCGGGGAGTACCACATGCCACAGTTCGGGTTGATCTCCAGAAAGTACGGAACCCCGCTCTGCTCGTCGATGCGGAAGTCTATCCGGCCGTAGCCGACGCCGTTCATAATATATTTGTGGGCGTTGCGCGCCATGTCGATGATGGCCTGGTAGGCCGGGTCGGAGGTCGGCAGGAAGCCGTACGCCTCGTCGTTGCACTCCATCGTCCACTTCTTCTCAAAGTAGGCGAAGTCGTCGCCGTCCTGCAGAAAGTTGAACATGAGCGGCTTGAAGACCTTCACGGCGAAGGGGCTGCCGGCGTCGGCGCAGGCCAGCACCGTGCCCTCCCGCCCCCGAATAAACTCCTCCACCAGGGCGTGGTTGTACTCCTTCAGGAAGGTGCGCACCTTCGTCTTGAGCTGATCCAGGTTGTCACACCGGTTGTCCTTGTTGATGCCGACGGAGGCGTAGCCTGACAGGTGCTTCACGATGACCGGGAACTTGAGATGCCGACACTTCTTGGCGAGGCTCTCCTCGCTCTTGAGGAGGACGAAGTTCGGCACCTTCACCCCGCTCGTCCCTACCATCAGCTTCATATCGATCTTGCTCGGCTCGAAGCTGTTGGAGTCGGTGCCGGTGAAGGCGGCGTTGAACTCCTCGAGGGCCTGCACCACGTCCACGCCGGCCCGCTTCTCATCTCGGCTGCCATCGCACAGGTTGAAGAAGACGTCATACTTGTTCGACGTCACCAACTCCCGCACGGTGCGGTACGAGTCGCTTTTCTTCAGTGCGACGTCGGCAAAGGTGTACTTTTGTCGGTCCTTCTTCATGTAGTGCTGCGGCGTGCACCAGTAGTTGTCGACGTCGGCGGTGGCGGAGTCGGCCCCCTCGTAGCTGCTCGTGAGCACGCAGATGCGAATCTTCTGCCGCTTCGCTTTCGATCGCGAGAGGACTTTGGATGCCGACGAAGAGCGGGAAGGCGGGGACGCCGTGCTGCTCTTGCTCGCTGCTGCACCCCCACTACTACTCGCGCGACCACCACTAGTACCAGCAACATGACGGTGACTGCCTTTTCCAGACAGGAGCTTTTTGCGAGCGACGCTGCTCCCCTTCGCCTTCACGGCAGCACCGGTAGCGGTCGACGTCTGACCAGAGTTCGCGTTAACGGACGTGGCGGAGGCGGCCGATGCTGATCGTGCTTTGCTCTTGCGACGACGCGCCGCCACCCGTGCGCGAGCCGACGATGTCCTGCGATTGGTGCTTCGGCTGCTACGACCAGAACCCCCGCCGCCGCTGCCGCCAGGGCTGCCACTACTCTGGGCAGCTGCGGAGCCTGCGTTGCTGTTACTGCTGCTGCTGCTGCTTGTGTTGTTGCCGCTGCTAGGCGACGAGCCGGAGGAGCCTGCGACGGCGGACGAGGCTGTATTTGCCGAGGCAGACTTTGCCGAGGTGCGCTTGCGCTTCACCCGCCAAGCTGCCTTGCCCTTCTTCACCTTCATCTTCATTGCCGGGGCCGTTTTTGATTGCCTGTTCGCTGCGTTGGCGCTGCTCGACGAGCCGCTGCTGTTGCCGCCACCGTGGTGGTTTAACGCTGCGCCGCTGTTGGACAAATACTGCGCGGTTGCCGAGTTGCTGCCGCCGCTTTTTATGCCACCACCGTGGTGGTGGTGGTGGCTCGCGGCGCTGGCGGAGCCGCCGCTGCCGTTGAGGCTTGGAGACGGTGCGGTGGTGTAGAGGCGACGCTGCCGCACCATCGCGTCGCGGAGCGGTGCGTCATGACGCGTGACATGGCGGTGGATAGGCAGCTGTGCGGCGGTGACGCCGAGGACGGACAGCGCCGCGGTGGACCGCCCGGAGTGATGCGTGCGTACCAGCGTGTTCAGCGCGGATGCTGCGACACGAAAAGGTAACCTCGTGCTATGCTGTCGCTGGGGAACGCACGCGGCACACACCACGGCATCAGCGTACGACGTCAGTAACATACCTTCTTTGCCTCTCCTTTCTACTTTACTTTGCTTGTCGTTCTATGCGTGCTAGCAAGATCGGATGGAGATAAATCCGTCTACGTATTTCTGGGTCGAGTCGACGAGGTGCGTGCACGACGCTGAAAACGGAGGGGCGCGCAATTGCACCCACGTCTACAGCTCCTTCGTGTGCTGAAAGCCAACAACAAATCAACTCGGATGTGCCGCAGCAATAGCCGCCCTGTGAAGAGAAGGAAGACGGAAACAACAACAACAAATGTATGGCGAAATTGGTGCCGGAGACTCGCCGAGGAAGAGAAAGCACCGTGACACGTGTGCACAAGACGGTGTGTCTGCGCATGAGGTTCATCGAAAGAGACGGAGAAAACGACAGCACATAAACAACAAAGACAGGAGGCAAAGAACGACAGGAGAGAAAAAGTTGTTGTGCTTCACAAGAAGGCGCTCCTCTGTCGTTACTAAGAAGATTATCGCAGACAGCGGCGGCGGCGCTTTGTTTGCAGCGCACGGACGACACAACGAAGCCCGTTTCAACGTACCGTTGATTGCGTTTCTCACTACGTGCGCGCCCTCAACGCTCGCCGCTTTCGTTCCTTCTGATCTAATGAGCGCGAGGAGCAACCGCAACGACAGAGACACCACTGACTCACGGCGATGAACACCGACGCGAGGAAGCATCGTACCGATCCACTGTTGGCGTAAACACGATATAAAAAAAGGAAGGGGAAAAGAAAACGTGTTCCCTTAAAAAAAAAAAAAAGAAGAAACGCTTCGAGTACAAATCTACATCGTGGCGGAGGCGTGAAGGGGAAACCGTCGTCACCGCAACAAGTTGGTCTCCACTCTTTCAAAAGAAGAACAAAAAAAAAACACAGGAAGAAACAGCAGCAACTACACGAGTTCAGCGGCGCTCTCCTCCGCCATCACAAATCGCCGCCGTCGTCTCTCAGCGCGTCGTCGTAGGGATCCGACAACTCGCGCAGCGGCAGCGGCTTGCCCACGCGCACGAAGCCAATGATCGACAAGCTGTCCGGGTCCGTCAGGAAACCTTCGTAGGTCGTCCCCGTCTTCACCTGGCGCCACTGAAACGTGAGGATACGACTGTAGTTCTTGCCTCCCCAGTCTTCGTTTTTGAAGTTCTGCTCCGCCACGTAGACGCGACGCGGGTGCAGGCGCAGCTTCTTTAGCTCGTTGAACTTCTCGGTCCCACCGGCAGCCTCCACGTCCCCCTCCACCTTCACAATGACGGCGATGTGCCCGTCCGGCAGTATTTTGCTGTCTTGATTGTAGAGGATGGCGTCGGCTTTGCGGGGGGCGTTGAACCTGCGCTCCTCCACATCCGTTGCCTCGGCGTAGTTTGTAATGTACACCGCCTCCCAGTCCTGCGCCGTTTTGGCTGGGTTGTAGAAGCTGTTTGTCTTCCAGAACTGGCTTGTGTCCTCCACCAGCCGCGGCACCAGGCCCCTGTTCCACGCCATCCAGCGAATGTAGAAGTCCATCGCGGTGTAGCGCACGCCTAGCATGATCACCGTGGTCTCGGACGGGTCGCCGCGGCGGCCGACGTCGAGCGGGTTCATCAGATTGACGTAGTTAACGTAGGTCGTCTTGAAGGTGGAGATGCAGTTGCTGAAGGCGGGGACTCCATTGGAGTAGCCGAGGACGACGCCGAAGGGCGTCACGCAGTGCTCCAGCGGGTCGTAGTCGGAGTAGACGCGGGCCCGCATCAGCATGTGCTTTTCAGGATCGTAGGTGGAGAAGTAGAAGAGCGCGCCGAGGCTCAGCAGCGCTGCGGTGATGCAGCAAAAAGCCAGGCGAACGATATTCATGGTGTGTGCTCTCGAGCAACTTTGCTGCGTAAATGCTGTGGAACACGCACACGTGTATTTCAAACAAAAGTAATAATAATAACGGAACGCAGTGAAGTCACCGATCTGGACACACGCGGTGACAACTGTTTGGGGCCACCGTGGATACGCAGGGGGGGGGGAGGGGAAGAAGGAAGATGGTTACGAGCAGCTCCACACGTACTTGTTCACATGAGATAATAAAGTAAATGAATAATAGATAATGATGAATGACTCTTCACACTCGACACACCTGAATCACTCCAGATTAGGCTTTCAACTCGTCTGCGGAGATGAGGGGAGCACCAGGGACTGCGGAGGTGTTTTACTGTTTTGCTGATTTGGAGTTTGCACTGCAGAAACAAGAAAACCCTTCGAGGATTCTACGCATGAAAGTCGTGGAGAAAGTTAAGGTAACGACCGTACCAGTCAACCAGAGGGAGGAGGGGAGGAGGGGAAGAGGGGGGAAGAGAGAGAAAGAGAGAAAGAGAGAGTACGAAAAGGGTGTGTGTGTATGTGCTCTTCATCAGAGCTACAGCGACGTGCCTGCTTCGGCGTGCGCACGCGCATGCTATGGATGACTCACCTTGTATCGATCGCTACGCAGCAGGCCAATCGCCACTGTAGCTTCCGTGTCCTACCACGTAGACTTCCGTGGTGCACCAAGTGCATGAGATGGAGGAGACGCCTTCCTATTGAAGGCATTATTGTTACTACCATTCTTATTCGGGTTTTTTTTTTTGTCCTGCACGACTCAACCACTGCAGTTACACAGTATCCTTTGTCTTTCCCTTCCTTTCGGAGTACGTCGCCGCGTTGTGGAGCAGCTGCGATGCGGGCAAACCACACACGCACACCCACGAGAATCACCTCCCTAATACTCACAGATGCAGTCGCACCCCTTTGGGCAGCAGTGCACCGTCGGGTCGTTCCACCAGCTGCTCATGTGCTCCACATGGCCGCCGTGCCCGCACCTCGCGCACTGCACCACCAAACAGCCTTCGGCGCGTCGTTCCTGCAGTGCAGCGTGCACCGCAGCGTGCGTGGTTTTGGCCGTGAGTCCCTCTGCCTCTTTCCCTGTCGGGCTGACAGTGGCGGGGGTCCGCGCCAACCCCCTCCCCTCACCTCCACCACCACTGACAGTTGCCGTGGCAGCAGCATTTTGCTTTACGGTGTTACGCAGCAGCGAGAGACCGCACACGGCACACACGCTGAGGGGGGCGTGCAGCCGTCGACAAGCTTCGACAGGCAGGGCAGGGAACGCACACGCGCTCGACACGGTGGCTGCTGCTGTTGTCTGTGAAGAGCTCCCTTGCCGTCTCTCTTCCATGGAGCGACAGCTGTCGTGAAGGAGCTGCTGCCCACGCTGCAGCGCACACCGCATAAGACGGGTCTCACACAGCAGTGTGTACTCCTGCGCCACCGCCAGCACGCGCTCCGTGTAGGTGACGACCGCGATGAGTTCAGCGAAGCGCTGCTGCCACCGACGCAATGACCGCGCACGACTCCCTTTCTCCTTCCTTCCTTCCATGGAAGGCGCAGGAGGAGGTAGCGGAGGCATCACTCCACGAGTGCCACCTCTTCGTTGGCGCCGCTGCTGCTGCGTCGTCCCCTCTTCTTGCTCCAGTACACTCGGCAGCAGCAGGGAGCACACCGCCATCCCAGCCCAGAAGGGTAGTCGTGCGCTACGCAGCACACCCACCGTCTCCATCAAAGCCGGCCAGAGCACTTCCTCCAGATAAAAAGCATCGGTGGCCGACGTCGCGACGCTCTTGGCCAGACGGCGGAGCACCTGCAGGAGGTCGCTGACATGTGGCAGGTGCAGCGCCTTCGCCAGCTTCGCGTTGGCGTGCAGGGCGGCATCGGCGGATTTGCCGGTGAAGAGGCGCACGTCGTCCCACTCGCACTTGTACGGGCTGCCCAGGACGTGGGAGGGGAGCAGGAAGCTGGGGAGCACATGGCCACGCATCAGCTGCGAGGTGCAGCCCAGCAGCGTGCCCGGGATCGCGGCGCGCCGCGGGAGCTCACTCGGCTGCCGCTGCGTCCCAGTCGCTGCTTCACCGTCTCGGCTGTTCTTTACCGGCTCGTACAGGGGCAGGAGACACAACGGAACGCTATCCAACGGCACCGTTGCAACGCCCGCCTTGGTCGCAGTGGTACTCGTTGATGTGACGCCACGGCGCGCCGGTGCAGCCCCTCCCGCACCACCACCACCACCAGCAGACGGCACACGGCCACAGACCGCGACATCGCCTTGGGGAAGCAATACGGCTAGGAAGTGCCTCACTACACGACGCCGGTACGGGTAGAGCGCGGAGGCGCCGGTGCTGGTCGACGTGGTGGGGACGCCGGCAGCGCCTGTGACACCGAGACTCACAGGGACGGCGGTGGAGAAGGAGGAGCCGGCCGCAGCGAGTGGTGCGGCGCTGACGCCTCCTTTACCGTTGTTATTGCTGTTGCTGTTTACGTTGGCCAAGGTGGACGAAGCCACACCGGGTCCATGAAAACTCCCTGCAACGCTGCTTGCGCTGTTCGACTTCTCTGCTGCCCTGCCCCGCGCCGGCGCCGGTGCGATGCTATTCCAGCCGCTTCCGACCGTATTGCTGATGCCCGCCGCATGCACCTTATTCGGAGACACCAGGACGTTGGCCGACAGAGACACGCCAGCAACAGCAGCAGCAGCAGCAGTGACCCCCGAGCCCCCCGCCGAAGCTGCCACCGCGGCCGTAGTGTTGTTTGCACCACCACCACTGAGGTGTGTCCCCATCATCGCTCGCAGCAGCCGCGCGCCACAACCGCCGTAGGCCATCGCAATACGCGAAGGCAGCAGCAGATGGTGCACGTCCAACTCCACCGCACGCCAGCAGCGCAGCAGACACGCAAAGTCGAGCAGAAATGGTGAGACGCCGCTGTGGCGAGCGTGAGTGCGGAGGGCAGAGGGGGCGAATCGAGTGATGGCCCCCGGAGTGCTGGTCGGCGAGGCCGGAGAAGAGGCCATTCCTGCCCCGCCACTACTCCCACCACCGCCGCGTGACTCGGCAATCCACCGCAGCAGTCGATGGCCCAAGGCGGACACCACGAAGGCGGTCAGCTTGCTCGACACTCCCCCCGCTCCTCTACCCAGTGGATCGTCGTCGCTGTTTGCCCTCATCGCACCATCGCACGCTGTGGCGTTGAGAAGACGGCTGGAAACGAGTCGGCGCGGCAGCCCCTCTTCCCCGCCTAATGAAGAAGAGGAGCCGGCCGACCAGACGCCGGCTTTGCTGCTCGAGAGGGGGGAGCTCGACACGTTGGCCGCACTTCGGCTGCTGCCCGATCGATGACTCGCCGTCACGGCCCAGGAGGAGGTGGCGTGGTCGCCGACCCCGCCGAAGGAGACTTCCTCCGAGAGGTACCACTGGCAGGGCTCGTGTGGGTACCGGGCTGGGAAGACGACTTCGAGGGTGGCGGTGGCCACAAGAAGGGGCAGGGCAGGAGGTGCTGCGGTTGCCGCTGCTGTGAGCGGTGACGCAGAGGGAGCAGACGCACTTGCCGTATTTGGCGTTGCTGCGGCGGCAAACCCGCTGGCTGCACTTGTGTGACTCAACGACACCGCTGCTCCGCCGGCTGCGGAGACCTCACTCCCGGCGCTGGCGTTTGTACTCGACACCGCCCGTCCGGCAATAACACTAGCCGCAGCACCAGTGCCGGCACCGCCGCCAGATCCACGGTGTGGTCCACGGTGCGACATCCACGTCAGCGGCCGCGTCAGCTCCACCAACACCGCGCAGGTACCTTGACGAGGCCGCTGAACGGGGTTGGACACCGCTACCCGAATAGGTGAGGCCGCATGGGCAGGCGGGCCGTGCGCGGTTGGGTCCACAGCATGGGGGACGGCACCACCACCACCACCACTACCACCGACAACGATCTGCTCCGCCTCCGCCGCTGCTTCCTGACCGCCTGGGGAGTAACCCGCGCTGAAGTAGGCGAGCTGCCGCGCCACTGCCAAGTCGCACTCGACAGCGGACACCAGACGTGGAGAGAGCATTTATTCCGGTGGGGCTTCTTGTTCACCTCAACAGATTCACTGCTACGAAAAGTAAAAGAAGAAATGGATTCGTCTGCGCTTCCTTGACGTCGACAGACTTCACGTTCGCATAGCTGCGGTGCACAACGATGCTCGGGGCTGGTAGGGAACAGCGACAACAGCGGCGGCAAAAAAAGAATAGTTTGGGCGATAGGGAGTGACTCACGTCTTCCCACAAGGCCCTGACTGCGATTTAGGTGCAGGTGTGTGTTATGAGAAGAGGAGAGAAAGAAAAACTCACACACAGATTCGCTGCTAGCGGTACGGACTTGCGCGTTCGTCTTCGACCTACGCATGCGCTTTGCCGACTACTCTTCCTCCCTTTCCAAAAAAAAACTATATATATATATATATATGAAAGCAGCGCAATACACATACAGAGAGAGAGAGGAGTAATACAGGTAGTAGTGGCAGTCACCGAGGGAAACACGCAAACAGCAGGCAGACGACGATAGCCACAGCATCGCATGTAAACTGATACCAAACCGGTTCTTTTCTTTCCTTTTAGGAACGCGTACAATTCAATCCTCGTGCTCATGCTCCGACACGCTTCCATGCAATCGTCAGAACTCAACGTTGTCACCCAACACGGTCTGGCATGTCCAGCAAAGCACTTCCACCACCTTCGTTGTTTCTCCTCTTATTCAAATAATATGCTTAACGGTGATTGGAGGAGCCTCAGCTCGGCCGCCGTCGATGAGAGGAAGAACGAAGAGAAATGTGAAAAGAAGAAAAACGCGTGCGGTCACGCGGCAGCGCGTCAGCCAAACCACCACAGCACAACAAGATGGCGAAAGACGGCGAAGGAAGGTGCCCAAAACAGCGCAGAAAGTCATCTGCTGATTCCATCAGAAATGGTGTCGAGCAGCAGCAGTAAACAACCAAAAAAAAAGAAGGCCGCAATCAAACACACACACACGCGTGACGATGCACCACTCACAATGCGCAAAAGAAGAAGCACCGGTGAAAGGCGCGTTGACCCGTAAGCGCAAGAGAAGGAGGGAAAAAGGGCGCTGCCATATCTCCCTCTTCTATCCACCTCCCTTCGCACACACGCAATCCCCTCCCCCTGCCCCTCGGCTCCTGTGTGTCGTTGCTCCTCCCTCTTCCTCCCTTCGTGCTCTCTCAAGCAAACTCGTCTGGCGGCTGAGGGCCATAGACCACCTTCTCCCCGAAGACAGAGCGCACCCGCCATTCATCCAGCACGCGATCCTCCACCTCCGGCTCCACAAACTTCTTGTAGAACCACGACCGTCGCATGGCGATTTGCTTCCAGTAGTTGTGCAGCCGGACCTGCGCTTTGCAGTAGAAGGACAGCAGCTGCTCTTCCGTAATCTCCAACATAGCCGGCCCTGCTCCGGAGAAATACATCTCTTCCGCCTCCAGCGCTGTCACCGGGCGGCCCTGGTTCTTTAATCGCTTCACCTCACGCTCGACGGAGCTGTAGAGCTCCTCGCGGAACTGGGCGGGCGGTTTGAAGTCAATGTCGGTCCACTGCCCGCCGCTGTAGCCTTTAATCTGTGGGAACCGCACCAGCCCTTTCGCCAACTCCGGCACCTCGTTTCTGTTGACGTCGTAGAACTTTAAACCAGGCGTGTGCGTCTCTGCCTGGTGGCACAGCACCTCGAAGACTTTATCCACCGCGTTGCAGGCGGTGCAGTTGTTTTGGTGGTAGCGCACCACCATCACATCATCCGACTTCGAGAAGTACTCGAGCTTCTCTTTCATCTCGCCCACCGAGGAGATCGGCTTCACGCACTTCGAAGGGAAGTTTACCCAGAGAGGGTTGAGACGCTTCTCGTTGCCGGCGGCGAGCTCACTGCGGATGCCGGCGCTGTTCATCATGAGCGACTTCATTTTGTGCGATTCGGACTGGTAGAGCTCGAACTTCGAGCGCTTCTTCGTGATGCTGTCCACCACCTCCTTCTCGCCACCCTGCGGCGAACGGAAGAGATCATCCACGGGCTCTCGCATATTTTCTTCTTCTTCTTTTTGACTGTTTTCTCTTATTTGAGCAAAAGACGGATGTGACACAACAACAACAACACCAGCAAAAACAAAACGGATGAGGGTGCTGTGGGGCGGTACGTCGTGGGCGACACGGAGGTTTCGCCGCGGAGTGCGCGTTCACCTTTGCAGTGCTTCCTTCAATCGCAATAACAATGATGATAATGGTAAAGAACGGTGAAAGTAGGAGGAGGAATGAGAAAAAAAATCAAAGGAACTGATGACGTCAGCGAGTTCTTCCACACACACACGCAACCCACAAGCGCACGTGCACCTGACCTGAGGGAGGGCCTGGAATAGAAAACAAAGACCATGGGCGGCGCTTTCGGTAACACGCTCAGACTAGTTGAAAGGGAAGCAGCCCACCTTGTTCAGTGGGCGAGTGGCTGATCCGCACATCTCCCCCGCCGGCCAGCTCTTCCTTTCACGAGGCTATGCGACCACACACACACACACACATGTGTATATATAGCCGCACCTCTACACTCACACCCGGACATTCCTTATCTTTTCGAATCAATACTGTTTTCATATATACACGCCTTTTCCAGTTGCTTTACGATGTGCCTGAAAGACAAGGAGAGGTGAGAAGTCAAGACAAAACAAAAGCATCCGCTTACATACATCGAAGGGTGGACAGGCGTAAACACGAATTAGATGATAATAACAGGAACCATGAAAGTAATGCGACATCGTGATAGTAATCGAAAAAAGGAAAGAAGGAAAAAGAACTCGTTGAGATGCTTCACAAAGGGGGTATGAGACAAACCAGAGAAACCAGAGAACAGGCCGCTGCAGCGCCGACATATAATAATCTGGGAGAAAAAAATTTTGCGTACTTAACTATAGGAGGAAGAAACAAAGCAAGAAGAAAAACCCCTCGCTTTCCTGTACTAGACAGCTGTAGAGAAGTTTAGTTTCTTTTTCCCTTTTTCTCTCGCTTGCTGCACGGCACACGCCAGAAGGCGTACACGCAAGCCGGCGGATATGCAACTCAACGTGTTTTAAGTGCGCGTGTCTCTAGCGTTTCCCTAGCTCACGGGCTTCGATATGAAGGAGAGAGAAGGAAGGGTCTGTGAGGTATCTCCTGCCGATGAAACAGTGAGTCCGAAAAAAGCAAAGGAAGAACCTCGGCGTGACTCGCACGCGCAGCCACCCGCATACATACATCGACGCACAGAGAGGGAGGACTATGCGTCGTACTACCACTTATCATAAAGTAGAGCCACAGTCGTCACACCCTTGGCGCACACACGCGTCAGCTGCACAGCGTCGCAGCAGCAACAACAAAAAACGTTATAGGTCGGAAAGGCAAGAGAACGGTCGAGCATCGCTCGTCGCTCATCTCCATTTGTCATCCCACCGCATCAAGTACGCTCTCTCCACTCAAAACAAAGAAAAGCACCCACTCAGTGGAAAGACGAGGGGAGAAGAAAAAAGAATCAGAAGACGGAGGGAGACTCAGCGAGACAAAAAAAAATGTAGATGAAAGTAAAGGTACACCGTACAACTGAATAATAATAATAAAAGGAAAGAGAAAAACAGTTTCTAAAGAGTAGATCAACAAACAGAGACACACCGCTAGGTATCACGGTTGTCATGGAGGAGGAAGGGAAGGGGGGAGTGTTGTACATGGAAGAAAAGGAAAAGATCCGTAACAACTTTTTTCTCTTGGCTACAAAATTAACATCGATAAACAAACAACGAACGGCGGGAACAGGCCGGTGCTGTACGCGCGTTGAAGTCCACCTGAGCCAGACAACTAATTTTTTTCGTGCTTCGACTCCTTTTTCTCATATTCCTTTTTTCTTTGCTTTTACATCTCGTCGAAGTCGTCCTTGTAGTCGTCATCGTCGACCTTTTCCTCCACCACCGCGCTAGGCTTCGGCGGGGCTGCCGCTGCCGTCGGCGTGGAGGCGGCGGAGGAAACAGCCGATGACGCGCTGGAGGACAACGCAGCTGCCGGGACTTTCTTCTGCGCCTCCGCCTCCGCCTTCGACGGCGACAGCTCCTCCTCGAAGTCGTCGTCGGCGTACGCATCCGCGGCGACTTCTTCTTTCGGCGCTGTCACAGCCGGGACCGGTGTCTTCTCTGCGATGTACGAGTCCGCAGAGGAGGCTGACGAAGGCACCGGCGAGGGCTTCTTCGAAGACTTCTTCGAGGACAGCTCGTCTTCGAAGACCTCATCTTCATAGGCGACCGTTTCGACTTTCGCCACGTGCTCCTCCGGCACATCGAGCTCCGCATACTTGTCCGACTCGTCCTGTTCTGCGTGCTCCTCCGGGGCGTCCGGCTCTTCGCGCGTCTTCGGCTCGTCCAGCTCTGCGTGCTCCTCCGGCACATCGAGCTCCGCATACTTGTCCGACTCGTCCTGTTCTGCGTGCTCCTCCGGGGCGTCCGGCTCTTCGTGCGTCTTCGGCTCGTCCAGCTCTGCGTACTTGTCATTATCGTCGTCTTCCTCCTTTTCAAAGTCGCCGTCCCCATAGGCGTCCGGCTCTTCGCGCGTCTTCGGCTCGTCCAGCTCTGCGTGCTCCTCCGGCACATCGAGCTCCGCATACTTGTCCGACTCGTCCTGTTCTGCGTGCTCCTCCGGGGCGTCCGGCTCTTCGCGCGTCTTCGGCTCGTCCAGCTCTGCGTGCTCCTCCGGCACATCGAGCTCCGCATACTTGTCCGACTCGTCCTGTTCTGCGTGCTCCTCCGGGGCGTCCGGCTCTTCGTGCGTCTTCGGCTCGTCCAGCTCTGCGTACTTGTCATTATCGTCGTCTTCCTCCTTTTCAAAGTCGCCGTCCCCGTAGGCGTCCTCGGCAGCGCGATTTTCATGTTCCTCTTCCGCGGCGGCGTGCACGACCGTCGGTGCCTCAGCCTCGATTGCTTCCAACTTCACCAAAGCGGGGGCATCGGTGGCGTCCTCCTTTTCAGGGTACATGGCCTCCTCTTCCTTCGCGGAGGACTTCAGAGAGGACTTCTTGGAGGAGTGCTTCGAGGAGAGTTCGTCGTCGAAGGCGTCAGCCGCGTACGGGTCCGCTGCGGCCTTCTCCTCCTTTTCCTCCTCCTTCTCTTCCGCGGTGGCCGTGATGCGCTCTGCGTGCTGCGAGGCTGCCGTGGAGTTCTCCTCGAACTCGTCGTCGTACGGGTGATCGCCCTCGGCCGGCTTCTCTGCTTCTTCCGACTCAGCGTGAAGGTGAGCGGCGGCGGCCGAGGACCGCGAGGAGGTGGCGGAATGCGAGCGCGAGTGGCTGTGCTTTGAGGAGAGTTCATCCTCGAAGGCGTCATCGTCGTAGGCGTGTACCGGCTTCTGCGCCTCCGCTGCGTGCGCCGGTGCGACGGCGTCCTCCTCCTCGTCGTCGTGGGCGCTGTGCTGCGACTGCGCAGACGGCGTGGAGGCGGCGGAGGCCGAGGAGCTCGGCGCCTTCTTCTCCTTTGCCTTCTCTTCCTTCGCCTCATCGTCCTTTGCCGGTGCGTGTTCGTCTTCCTCCGCAGCGTCGTCCAACTCCTCCCGCTCGCCGTCCTTGTCGCCGTGGTGGTCGCTGAGGTTTTTGACCGCGTCGACGACGGTCTCCACGATGCCGCGCTCCTCCTCCTTTTCCGCCTCCTCCGCCTCCTCCGCCTCCGCATCGTCGCGTTCGTGATCGCTGCGCTTCTCATCATCGTGCGCCGCGTGATCGCCGTGGTGTGACGAGGCGGCAGAGTGGCTGCGACTGGTTGCGGCGGACGAGGAGCTCGTCTCGTAGGCCCCGCGCTGATCCGCCGGTGCGTCGTCACGGCCCTCCACGCCCTCCCCCGGGTGGGCGTCCGAGTCGTGGCGGGCCGCTGCTGCTCCGTCCGTGGTGCCAGCGGCCGCCTGCTCATGCTGACGTGCCCGACCGGCGGCCGAGCCGTGCTCGCGTGCGGCCGCGGGCTTGGTTGGCACACGGCGCGACTTCTCCTTTGAGTTGTTGCGCGATGCCTGCTTCATCTGCTCCTGACGCTCCTCCTCCTTTTCCCTCTCCTTCTCCAGGGTCTGGTATCCTTTGCGAGCCGACATCTCCTTCCGCTCCTCCTGCCGGCGACGCAGGAAGCGGCGGCGTGCAGCCTCTCGTTGCTGCTCTTCCTTCTTCAGCTGATGACGCTCATGGCGGCGTTGACGGGCCCGCTCGTGGATCAGCATTTCCTTACGTGCCCAGTACGGCACCAGGTGCGGGTCGTCGAGGTCGTTGTACGGCGGGATAGTGCGCTCCTTGATGGGGCCAAGCGAGAACTCCATCTGCGGTATGCGTGGAAACGTGGTGTACAGCCCGGAGTAGTGCCCATCCGACGCACCGTTGCGCCCCGGGGACTGAGCCCTCTCGGAGGAGGCGTAGGAGCAGACGGCCTCATCGTGGGAGTAGGAGTGGGCCAGCTCCCGGCTGTTCTGGCGGCGACGGCTGTCTTGGATGGGTGGGAGTGCCTTAGACATGATGGTGAAGGAGGAGTTCGTAGAAGCAAGGAATAATGGTCGTCGTAGTAGTGCGGCTATCTGCACTGGACTGTGTCTGCACTTCTTCCTTCTTTGTTTTGGTGGTATGCACAAGCTGATTCTTCAGCAGTTGTAGTGGATTCCACCTGAAAGACGGAGCGAGCAGGCGTTTCGCAATCACCGATGATGGGAAATCCAAAATAAAATGAAAATACAGGAGAACAAAACACACGGTGATATTCGCAAAGATACCAACTGTTAGCTGCGCAGCTGCATGTGTTGTGTGTGTGTGTGTGTGTGAGGGAGGACAGGGGCATGTGCCATTGAAAGAACCGAAGAAGGAAGGAGGAGGGGGGGGGGGCGGCGAGCGAGAGCGACAGCGAGTCAGTGGCGCTCAAACAACAACAACAACGACGAGAGAAACACCAAAGGAGAGAAGCACAAAAACGCCGATACACCGTTCAGCAGACGTAGCACAAACAAAACAGGGGCGCCCCCTCAACAACGTCAAGACGACACCCGCTGACCGAGCAGGGGCGTCTGACACGCTTCTTATTGCGCCAGCGAAGACAAGGAAGTCGCTGCCCCATGTGTACGCCTGTCAGCGGAGGAACACCGAGAACGTTTACGCGGCACTACTTACGTGCTCGCATCGAGAGAGATAGTTTTCATTTGATTTACTTGGTTTTTTTCTTCCACGAGCTGAGAGAAGAAGTTTCACGGATATACAGCACGAACAAAGATGTCTACAAAACAAAAACACACAGATCTTTTCTATCAAAACAGCAATGGACGCGTGTAGTAAGCGCGTGGAAAAATGCAAGCACGTAAAATACTGAGAACCAAAGGTTTGCAACACACGCAGCTCACACGCAAAGGCTGGAGCGACGCAAGCAAGGAAAAGGGCTGTACCCGAGATGGAAGTGCCACACAAGCCAAGTACAGAGAACTACACACACACACACACACACACTGCTGTGCTTGCAGTTAGAGGAGTCTAAGCGAGGTGATGACTCTATGCAGCGGAACCGAGAGGGTTTTTTTTTCTTCTTCCCTCCTTTCTGCTGTCCGTTCCATCACCCCTCTGCGTGGGCACAAATCGATTCGTACGCTTTCTTTTCTAAGTTGGCCTCCAACTCACCTTCCTACACCTCGTTTGCGTCCGCTTGCACATTTCTCCGCTGTTCTCTTTCCTTCTAACGTGCATGGGAAGAACGGCGGCAATCATAGCACGCGTCGCACACAGACGCGATGCACGAGGTCCGCCATCCACAACCAAGCATACCCTCTCCCCCCCCCCCTCCTTCCAATAAACGAGGCCGACCGGAAGACGACAAGAGAAACAACGAAAAAGCCATCAAAAACGGCCGTACATGCATGCCGTCCACACAAGGCTACGGCATACGGCAACGGTATCGCCGCAGACACACGCATGGGGGCTCAACCTTCGCTCCTTCCCCCTCCTCCTCCTCCTCCGTCAATCCTGTGCCTCAGGTCGTTTCGTGGAAAGCGGGGTGACGGCGAGGTGCAGCTGCGGGGTATGGGGACTGGGCCGCACCTGTGCCTGCGGATTCGGCGGCGTCCAGGTAGTCGGTGCGGCGACCAACCCGCTGCCCCGCCGCGACCGCGCAGCAGCGGCCATGGTGATGGCAATGGCCACCCGCTCCCGCTGCTGCGGTGGCAGGCCGATGGGGCTGCGGCTGGGGCTGGTCGAGAGCTGGCTCTGGATCGCCGTCAGTCCGGGCCGACTCTGCGGGCGTGTGAGGGGGGTGGCGTAGGCGACCGGCTGAGACGTTTGCGGCTGCTGCTGCTGTGGCTGCACCGGTGAGTGTACCCGAAATCCGTAGGGCGACTGCGCGAAGCCGCCGCTGCTCGACTGAGAGGTGCTCGGAATGAGCGCCAGCTCCGTCGTCTGCGGTGGCGACTCCCCCCGCGTGCCTGTCATCACTATCGTGCCGGCGCTGTTCGCGGTGGTGATGTTGGGCGGCGCGGCGGTGGTGGAGGTGGAGGCGGTTGGCGTCGTATTGCTGTGGTTGTGGTTGGCGGGGCTGCCGGTGCCACGGTGTCCGGCGCATTGGGCCGCGGAGGACATCGCGTAGGTCGGGCTGCGACGGTTCGGCATCCACGGCTCCCCCAGCCGGTACGGGCTGCCGCCGCTGCGCGGGTTGTGCGGCATGCCAGATGGCGAGCCAGGACCCGAGGGCGCCATCAGCTCGTACTCGGAGTTGAAAATGGCGGTGATGTGATGCGGCACGCTGTTGCGGCTCGGTGGGCGGTGGGCCGGTGTCAGCCCGATGTGCATGGCGTAGTTGCTGCCCGGCGTGCCGCCGTTGTGGTGGGCGTAGCTGTTGCTGCGCATGAACTGCTGATAGTACGCGTTGGTGCTGCTCCGCCCGTTCCCTGCCCCTGCCCCTCCGCCACCAGCACCACCACCACCGCTGTTGTAGTTGTAATAGTAGCTGCTGTTGGCGACGTGTCCCGTGCCGGAGTAGGTGGGATGATACGGCGAGGCAATGCGACTGTTGCCGGAGTTCATGTGGAGAAAGAAGGAGTCGTCCACCTGCGGACCTTCTGCCCCTTCCGACATCTGCGGCCGTGAGGGGGTGCAGGCCGCCGCCGTCATCGCGGAGGCGCGACCAGAGTTAAGGTGCATGCTCAGCCCACTGGAGTAGAGCGCAGAGGTTGGTGTGTTGCCGGTGAAGACCGGACTGCGCGTGTGCGAGGCACCGCCGCCGTCTTCCTCGTCGTCCCGCTGACCTCCTTCAACACCACCGTCTCGCGCACCGTCGTGGTCGTGGGCCATGGCGGCCACATTCGCAATGGAATGCATCACACCCGTGGGCTGTTGCGGGGGCTTGTCATCCGTCGTCGGCGTGTGTGTCGTGGAGGCCGGTGCCGCCGCCAGTCCGAAGTCCATCAGTGTCGCCTTCCCCGACGACAAGAACTTCTCATCCAGGTTGTCGAGGTCGCAGTCATCCCACTGATGCAGCTGCCGGCGCCACGCATTCAGCACCCGGTCGAACTGCCGCTTACTGCAGTCGTACTCGGGCCGGGGGGTGAGGGCGTGGAGGGGGTTGTGGTACTCGCGGTCGCAGGGTCGCGGGACGAGGCAGGTGTACTTGGCATAGCCTTCCGTTTCCTTGCCGTAGGCGATTTGCTTCTGCCGCTGCTCCAGACGCCGACGACGCTCATCCGTGTCGCCGCGGTTAATCATGTCGGCCGGAATGGGCACCGCCGTGTAGTTGAGGTAGAGTTCCTGCTGCACCTCTTGCAGCACGGCCTCGAACTGCGCGGGAGTGAAGTCCTTATCAATGGGCTGGGAGGTGAGAGTCGACGGTGGGGGCGTTTTGCTGTGCAGGGAGCGTGCGTCGTTGGAGAGAGTCGTGGTGTGGTGCTGGTGGTGGCTCTTTGCAGCGCCGCAGCCTTCGGGGGCCGCAGACGGAATGCCGCTTCGGTTGTTTCCCCTCGTGTGTGGGGCCACCTTCGCGGCGGCTGGTGCGGCAGGCGCTGGAACGGAGGGGTATAGAGCAACTGACGGGATGCCGTTGGAGGCCCAGCGCGTATTTGCACCACCGCCACCGCCACCACAGCTGTTGGTGTTGCCGGCGGGAGCTGGCGCAACGCCGGTGCCGGGAACACCACCAGGACACACGTGGAGGGCGGGCGGGGAGGGCAGTTCATGCGGGCTGGTGCGGTAGAGAGCAACTCCAGTGGAGGAGGGAAACGGTGCTCGCGCTGCTGTCACGGTGGGCTGCTGCTGCTGCTGCTGGGGTGGGGCGGAGGTCGATCCGCTGTTGGTCCCGACAGACGAGGAGGGGTGCCGCTGCTGCAGCTGCTGGGGGGGGACCCGCACGGAGGGCTTGGCGGCGTCATGTATCCCTTCCAACCCCCCCCCACCGTCCCCGAGCGTCGCGGTGGGTGCTGGGGGTGTGAGGCCGCAGCTGACGCAGCGCCGGTGCGGGTCGGTACGCCCCACTTCCGTTGACCTCGTCGGCCAAAGCGGCGCTGGTCACGTTGCTCGATGTAAGGAGGAGGTCGGACGGGGCGGGGCGGCATTGATTTGCGGTGTGGCTCGCCCCGTGATTCCCACCGCGATGGAGCACCGTCGGTGGGGCGGCTCGGTTGGTTGGGGCGACCGTCACGTGAGGCCCCACGCGGCTCGCGAGCACCTTTAACTCGCTGTCCTCGCTCAATGCGAACACCAGTGACGAGCTCCCTGCGCGTGAATTGGCTCCGTTATCCGTAGACGGGTCCACATACTGCGGGGAGGACGATGTCGGCGTGTCGAGGTGGCTGTTCTGCTCGTGCATCGCGCTTGCGAGGCGTGTGCGACGCTGCTTCTCCGGTGTGGCGGCGAGGTCCACGAAGGCGGTCTCGTCGCCAGCAGCGGCAGCACTGTGATAGTTGCTGTTGTTGCCGCGGCCGCAGCTGTCATCGTTGTGTGTCGGCCGCATTATCATCCTGCTGGTTTGTGGTTGTGTTTGTTGTTGTACCACGGGCCGAGAGAACCAGGGGAAAGTGGCCGCGGCGGGACGAGCCACGTACGATTCGTTGCCGTGGCGAGGGTCTGCGCTCGTCTTTGTTGTGGCGGTGGCGGTGGTTAAGTGCAGAGAGGGCGCTGCTGCCGACTTGGTGAAGACGTAAGTGGTGGTGCGCGCGGCGTGACTGCCTTGCGAGCCAGCCGGATTGGCCGTATTCTCGCTTGCTCCGGCAGACGCAACCGCCGAGTCGTTCACTGATCTGCTCACGGCTGCCGGCTGCGGCAGGCCTCTGCGCTGTGAAGGCGCCGCCGACATACTTTTGCGCGCAAACAAACAAACAGACAGAAAAGTAATGGACGAGGGGACTCGCACGCAGCGATGCGGGTGTACCTCTAAGCGTTGATCAACGGAGCGGCTCGTCGCGGCTGAAAACTGCTGTCCTCCTCCTTCTTCAGTCGATGATCATACACGCTTCAGTCCAAAGGCAGCTCTCCAGAAAGCGTACGGCAGCAGTTCCTCCAAAACAATAAAAGAGCTGCACTCCGCACAAGAGAAGATGATGTCGCACCCAAGGCAACGCTTTATACTTCGTACGATGCAATGGATACAAGACACGATGAAGCCGCGAAGAAGCAAGCTTAACGTCTACTAAAAAATCTTCCTTTCCTTTTACGTGCTGAGCACTTCAAAACAGCGCCGGAAGCCGTTTGGCTACGGTCGCAGCAGGGGTGGGATGGTCACGGCTGCTGACCGCTTTTACGCATATACTATTTTGTTTTTGGGCTTTTGCAGAGGGGTTTTCTTTCGTTCTGCAGGCGTGAATGCGGACCCGAAAGAAAAAGAAATACGAAGAAGGAAAGGGAAACGCCGGCACGCGGGCACCAGAACAGGTCGTTTACTGTTTGTGTTTCCCAATGCCGTCCACCGTCCCTTGTGGCCGTCTTCGTCGCAGCCAGCAGTTTGTTAGGGAGAAGTTGCAGAGGACACGCCTCCACAGCGTTCTTTTAGCGTGTGTGTGTGTGTGTGTGTGTGTTACTGTTGTTATTTGTGTGGTTTGAAGGCAGATAAACGGAGATCGCGGGAGCGAGAAATCGAATGTACAGAGAACAGTAAACAGATGGAAAAAAAAAATACTTACATGAAAGATATCAGATGGCTTCCTGGCTACGGCGATGGATGCGAGAATGGTGATGGCCACAGTCGACTGTCCATACCACCACGAGAGGGGTGCAGAGGCCACAAACACGTTGTTGTTGTGCATGGGGGATCAACCCAACAGTAATAAAAGAAGAAAGAAGAAAAAGGCGGGTGAGGAGAAGTAAAAGAGGTAGATGTGCATAGAAAGAGACAAAGAAGGTGCTTTCCCCCTCCCCCTCCTTCAATTCCCATCCCGTCAGGTCCGTTGCCTCGCGCGGAGACGTCGCAGGAGAACAGCAAAGCACGCACATCACCGAATACACGCTGGCGCTCCTGCGTGCTCCCTCGATACGAAAGCCAACCAGCCAAAAATCAAATGATCAACCCTCATCTCTTGAAACGAGCACGCGCACACACGCGTCGCTCGCGCAAGGCGGAGATTGAGTTTGAGGGATTCCCATCGCACTGCGTCTTTTCTTTGTAAAGAATTCATACTCCTCGGTTATTGAACAACAGTAAACAACAGTAAACAACAACACACACTCAAAGAAGCATTCACAAACGATGTAAGGCATGAACAAAGCTATCAAGAAAACACAGATTTAGGTATATAAATAATAACGACAAGTAAACAATCCTCTTCGACAACCACCACCACAATGAACAACAACGGTTGACCAAGCAATCACACTGGAAATGAAGAAGAAGAAAAATAGGAAGAAAGAAGAGCAATCAACAGAGCAAGGAGAAGCGAAAGCAATAATGAGTTTAACAAACAAAGGAGCCGTTTGCCGTGTGGTCGAACAACACACATTTGGCGTCTCTTTCATTTTCTCTCTCTCTCTTCTATAGGAGGAACCGCACACACTAACTCGCACGCACACCACGCGGACGCACCACCATCTCCGCCCCTCGCCCGACTTCGACTTTCCGGATGCCGCTCATGCATCGCCAACTCTACCTCAGTTCAGCTCATTCTCAAGGTACTTATACTCAAAAAGGAAGTCATCCGTGCGATCGTGATCCCACTTCTCCTCAAAGTCAAAGAAGGTGTAGGCGCCGCGCTCCTCCGTCTCCGTCGTACTCTGCGGACGCTCCAGTCGCTGATACCATCGCTGCTGCTTCGTGTGGTAGCGGTAGGAACGCGCCTTCAGCTCCTTGGCCGCGAAGTACTGCTGGTACGACTTCTGGTGATAGTAAAAGATAAAGAAGAGGGTGTCGAGGTCCATTTGGTGATACACGTTCTTGTTAGACAGCACCGGCAGCACTTCCTGTGGAAAGTACGGGATCGGGTCAATCGCATTCGGCGGCTCGTAGGTGCGCTGCCGCTGCACATCCAGCGTGTGCGGCAGGTTACCGAGAGACATGTCCAGCAGCTCGTTGATGCTCTTGGTGGTGTAGCGGAACTGCAGGCTGCCTGGTGCGCCAGACGGCGGAGGCGGCAGGGGCGAGGAGGACTGGGACTGGCCAGGGGGAAAGATCCTGGCGGCTATGGTGGAGGGGTTGGCCGGGGAGGCGCCGCCGGTGGTGGCCGCCGCCGCCGCGGGCGCCGACGGAAGCGCGGTGAACACCACCGGCGAACCGGAGGAAGGCGTGAGGGCCGTCGCCGCCGCACCCGGGGAGATGGGGGAAGCGGGGGAGGCCACCTCAAAGACCTGTGAAGGCGGCTGCTGTTGCTGAGCCTTCAGCCGGTTCTGCAGTTCGGCCGCCCGCTGCTCCGCCGCGCGCTTCTCCCACGCATTCGGCGTTGGCGCCTGCATTTTTGGCTTGTCCTCCGAGATGAGGCCGACGTCGCTGAGCTTTACAGATTTCTGCTCCGTCGGCGAGGCGGCCTTCTGCTTCTCGAGGTCCTTCAGCACCTTGCTCGTGGCGCTTGCCATCTCAGCGAGGGAGCCGACCGTCATGCCGCCGCCACCGCTGCTGCCATCGGCCATCGCGTCGTCGCCGAAGGTGTCGTCGTTGGCCGCGTCGAGGTCCTCATCCATCCACTCCGGCACCGTTTCTTCCTCTTCCTCTCCCCCCGTGACGCCGGCGGGGGAGTCGCGCTCTTGCAGGCCGCTGCTGCTGGTCGGCGGTGGTGCGAGAGGCGTGACCGCCACCGCAGCAGCGGCAGAGGCCGGCGTCGTGGGATGAGCGGAAGTAGTAGAAGAGGCTGTGATAGCAGCGGCAGAAGCAGCCGTTGTCGCTGTTGCGGATGCTGGCGGTGCGGGGGCGGCCGTGGGAGCCGACTTCGCCGACGCCGTGACGGCGTCCTTCGGCGACGTGACCGACGGGCTCGCCTTCGTCTGCACGGTCGATATCGGCGTCTTCGCCTTGGTCGTCGGTTTCGAAGAGTTCGCCTTGTCGGTGTCGCTCAGGTCGAAGGGCACGACAGGCTTCACCTTCGGCTCGGCGATGTCGAAGGTTTCGTACATGGACATGTTCTCAATAACGTCCATGTCGGCCTCATCCTCCAGCACCCGCTGAATCGGTTCCTGCAGCTCATCCACCTCATCCATGTCCACCTCCTCGTTGATCACCATGCGCAACAGCGCCTCCCATTTGTAGAAGTGCACCTGCAGCTTCTCCAGCCGCAGCTGGTAGTCCGACTTCTGCTGCGCCTTGCCGCGGCGCACGCGGCCGTTGTTCGCCTTCTGCGCCTCGTACTCAAGCAGCTCGATCTTCTTTCGTCCGTCCTCGATCGCCTCCTTCAGCCACTGCTCCGTCGACGACTCCGCCTTCTCCAGCGCGGCGGAGGCTAAACCTTCGTTGCTGAAGGCCTTCGTCTTCATCTCGCGCTCGATGGCGCGGAAGGACTCCATGCGCTCCTCAATCCGCTTGCGGGACTGCTGCATCTTTGTCTTCTCCTTGTAGTCGTCGTTCTGCATAAAGGCCTTCATGGCCTCGCGGTGGCGCTGCAGCTTCTTGAGCTCCCGCTTGAGATCGCCCTCCAGGCGCTCCTTGGCGCTTGCATTGGGGGCGTTGCCGAGCTTCTCGTGGAGTTCATCGTAGGCCTCGAGCCCCTCGTTCACCTTCTTGAAAAGGCGGTCTGCCTCTGTTTGCACCTTCTTGATGTTTGACATGCGCACAAGCGTGGAGGGGGGGGGGGGCGGATGATTCAGGCTCTCCCGCTACAAAACAACAGCACCGACGGCGACGAAAGAGAAGGGCGACACTCGTTCAGCGAGTTGAAGTAATCGGGCAATGCTGGGGCCGCTGTGGAGTGAAGGAAGGAGAGGAGAAAACACGCACAGCCAAACAGAGCAGGCAGGAAAACTCAAAAACTCAAAAATAGTATGCTAGTAGCCTTACGTGTGTGCGCTTGCGGGAAGGCAAGCAAAAACTGATCAATGCGTAGACAAGACTGCATGTTCGTAGCCGTGAGCGGAGAGGGAAGAAGAGGCCAGGGGTGGGGGTGAGGAGAGACAGAGTACTTAGGCGTTAGCATAGATATATATTTGTATGCAAACAAAGGAAGGCGACTGGATGACATTATTCATGAAGATCAGCATTCGTCCTGACAAGGGCGTAGCTGACTTGCGCGAGTTCGTTCATCGGAAATGCAAACGATCGTAGACTCTCTTAGCGCTGTGCGACGGTAACGTGCACACGGTATTGTTTCTCTTCTTAAACACCCAGAAAGCGCTCTGTTTCTCTCGTTGTAGTGTCAACTTCAGTCTTCTTAACAGCAAGACTTTAAAAAAAGAAACAGTCCGACGCATCTCCCTCGTCAAAGCGAGAACGGCGGCACTTGCTCCCCCAACCCCCACCCCCACCCCCCTCTCCTGCTCTTCGCTAGACCCAGTTGTTGATGTGCCCGTCCCACGCGGCGGTCACCACCTTGGAGGGCTCGATCGGGTGCCACAGGTGCGACACCAACATCTGCGCGTGGGCCTTGAAGGACTTCTCAAGCTTCTTCGTCGCCCAGTTCCAGACGTACAGCTTACCACTGATGTCCCCGCTGGACAAGTAGCGGCCGTCGTGACTGAAGCCCAGCTGACACCGCGTGCCGGAGATGGTGTGTCCGGTGAACTCACGGTCGTGCAGGAGTCGCAGGCGACCGCCGCCGTCGTCGCGGAACACGATGACTTTGTTGTCCAGCGACTGGGCCGCGAGGTACTCCGGCTGCGTTGGGTGATGCAGCACGTGCGTGATGGCGTGCATGGCGGCATCCGCGAATTGCTTGATCTGCACCGGGCTGCGGTAGTCCCAGGTGCGCAGCGTCTTGTCTTCCGACGTGGTCAGCATCTTACTCCCATCGCTGAGCAGCGTCAGGTTGAAGATGGTGCCCATGTGGCCCGTGTACTCGCGCTGGTACTTGCTGCAGCTGGCGCGGACATCGTAGAGCACCACTTTCTTGTCCACCGCCGCCAAGAGCAGGTGGGCCTCATCGGAGGGGTGGTGCAAGTGCTGGACAACCGGCAGGCGCTCGGGGTTGGTCAGCACCTGCACGCACCGGCCAGCCTCCACGTCCCACACCGCCACGGTGCCGTCTACCGAGCCCGTCGACATGAGTGCGGCACTTTTCGTCACTTCGAGGCTTTTGATAGGCTGCGTGTGCGCCGAGAAGGTGGCGAGGAGCTGCCGCGACGTGGAGCTCCACAGGCGGCACTGGCCCGCCAAGTCGCCAGAGAAGAGAAGGTGACCGTGGGTGGCGGGGGCCCAGCGGAGCTGCTGCACGCCGGGCGTCTTCCCGGTGCGGTGCGCACCGCCCTCTATCTTCTCTTTGCTCGCGTGCGCATCGCCGTCCTTGCCGGAGGAGGCGGGCGACGCGGAAGAATCCTCCCCTGTCTTGCGCTGCGGCGCCGCCTGGTACGCTTCGGGCACCTTAAAGACACCGCGCAGCGTGCGTGGGGGCTGGCACGGCTTCTGCTTCGTTTCCTCCTCGTGCTCCAAGAGGCTCGACGGGGGCTCCAGGAACGACTTCCCCAGGTAATTCACCCGCTCAACGCCCTCTACAAATACGGCTGTGGGCGATCCGTCCGCGGCAAGACCGACACGCACCGCCGCATTAGCAGAGTCGTTTAACGAGGCAGAGGAGGAGGACGATGCGGCCAGCGCCGCCGTGGCGTTCTCTCTCCGCGCCTTCTTCAGCGCCTGCGCGATGGCGCCGCTCGATGACGCAGTGCCTGCTGTCAAGCTATTTTCTGGAGCAGCGAGGCCGCTTGTGTCCTCGGAGTCGATCAACATGGACGCAGGGGGGTTTCGATAGGCTTTGCGTGCCTCGTCTGGTGTGGTGTACCGTGCGAGGAGTTCTGCGATGTAGTCTGAGCCTTGCGTGGGTTGGGGACTAAGGTCGCGGCTTGTCGGCACGTCTGCGCCTGCGTGACGGGCGCGGAAAGCTGCAAGGCGAGCCACCGCCGCCGCCGATGGTGCTTTGTCGGTGGTAAACATCGGAGCCGCTTGACAGTGAGAAAGAAGAAAGCAGACAAACAACAGTGCGGTGAACAGTTGGCGCCTCCAAGGTTTCCTAGACAGGAAAGACAGAAGCAGAAACGGGGCGAACACGCGCTAGACGGTCAGTGGGCCGGAGAAGATGCTCAAGAAAGAGAAGGTACGTCGGAGGAGGATGAGACACGCACAGGTCAGTAGGGGAGAGGAGCGTGCGGGGCAGCGGCAGCTTGAGAGCCTCGTGGACATCACGGAGTCAAGGCGACAATTTCTTTGTTTTACCCCCCTTTTGCCACCCCAACGGATGTACTTCGAGTTAGTAAACAAAAAACAAAGTCGGCGAAAGAAAGCTTCGCTTTTGTTGAGCGTGGGGGAAGCCGCTTTGTTCATGTCATGCCAACAAAGCGCCATTTATATTGTTCTTGGAACACGATGATTATTACGTGAGAAGTACTGTAAGAAACAACGCCGACAACGACAACGGCAATAACGAAGAAGTGGAAGTAAACGAAGCAATGTGATTTTAAGCTTCGCCATTCCTTTTCTTTGGTGGTTTCGCCATCAACCATTCGTCGAGCCGCACAGGTGCATGTCAACCGCACACAAGGACACAAACCTTTCGTAGGTTATCAGCCTTTGCGCCCTCTTTCTCCCTCTTCACTCTCACGCCAAACCACTCAACAGTTCAGATGACCAAACGTGTGCTCAACCGGTTCCACCCATCGACTGCGGACGTGACGAAACTCCTGCCATGCAGAACAGAATACGGACGGCGCCGTATTCAGAAGAAAAAAGGGAAGGAAGGATCCACACTCACTACGTGTATGCATCGGTGTTCAGAGCACACACACCCTGCCGTACATTTCTGACCTGACACAGGACAGCGAAACGGGTGTGCGCATCGGCGCGCTGAGCTGGTTTCCTTTCTACAGCTTCAGGTTCACATCCGCCTTCTTATGTGTCTGACTGCCCTGCACAAGGAAGTCGTACCACTGCTTGTCCGCGTCCGCGTCCACCAGCCTGTACAAGGGCAAAAGCACCTCGCGGCCCATGTGGCAGTTTGCACAGGTGTACGTCAGCCGCTTCAGGCCGTCCTCGTGCCGCGTCGGCAGCTTCACCACGTCCTTCTCCAGCGCACACGTGTAGTACTGACAGTCCATGCACTGGAGGCACTTCGTGTTCTGGTGCATGTCGCGCGAGCAGAGCACGACGCTGTGCCCCGTGGCGCAGTGCGGGCACTTCCACACACGGTAGTACGCACACCCGTTGATGAGCTCGAGGTACTGTCCATGCGTCATGAGCTGCTGCAGCGTCGCATCGTCGCGCACGCGGTGCATGAGGTGGTGGCAGTCCGGGCAGACCGTGTCCAGCAGCTGACTCACGAGCCAGGCGGTGACCGCCGTGAAGAAGACCACGCCAACGACCAGGTAGGGCACCTCCTTCACGCCGTACCGCATCGTCTTGCCGGCAAAACGCACCTTGTTCCGCACGGGCAGGGCCAGAAGGCCACGCTCCCACTTGCGGTGCATCTCCTGCGCCTGCCGTGCAATGGCGTAGACGAGCTGCACCGTTGCCTGGCTCGGCTTGCCCTCCCGCACCAGCGGCTGAAAGACCTCCCGCACGGCGGGCGCCAAGAAGTGATTGTCAAAGTACTCCTCGATTGACAGCCCGCTGATCAGCTGCACCGTTGCCTCACGTTGGGCAATAACCAACAACAAACCGTTGCCGTTCGGCTCGCCAATCGCCCAGTTAAAGAAGATAGAGTTCGCGAAGGCCTTCGGCGTGGTGTAACCCACCGTCGGCACAATCACCACGTACATATCCGTCTTGCAGACCGACTGCATCTGATCGATTGCCTGCTCGATCTCCATGCGGTCCTCGGAGCTGAGGATGCCGACGAGGTCCGTCACACGCTTCTTGGCGTAGCGCTGCACCAGCTCCCACGGCCGCTCCGTCTTACGGTAATGAATCTCGTCCATTGTTTGAATCTTCTCGAAGGAGGCGATGATTTCGCGGTTATTGCGCTGACGGCCGGCCTTCAGGTCCGCCGCGAGGTCGCGACTCTGGCCGAGCTTCGCCATCGGTGACAGGAGATCGATGCCGGCGTGGCGTCTAGAGGTGAGGAGAGAAGATGAGGACGACGTGGAGTCTAACGTGTGCGAGGAGCCGGCGACGACGACGAAGCCACTCACCCCGCTGCCGCCGCGGCACGAGAGGCGCACACCGGTTATCGTGCTCGTGCGACGCCACATCTCTATTTGCGTTTGCTCTTTTCCTTTAGTGGTAGAGAACGGTTCAGGTCTACTCGATGCGTGCTGCCCGTGGTCTTCGCTCTTTCCAGCTGGACACGTTAAACTGGTGATGGAGGAAGGAGGGAAGAACACAGAAGAGGATAATATCAGTAGTCATACGCGAACATCTTTTCCGTTCCGTTGTCCATTGGCAACATGCGCCGGTAAAGGGCGACATCCACAACCGTACCTCAGTCTTGTGTAACGCGGAGGGATTATGCGCAGCGTGGAGAAGACGCTGAAGGCATTTTAGTGGTAGTGCGCGCCCTCCCCCCCCCCCCCCCTTTCCACGTGTGAAGTTCTTTCTCCGTTGCTTTACATGCCGTGAAACGTGGAGGAAACAGACGTTGATTGTCTGGCGTGTCTGTGACACTGGGCTGCCAGTGCAGCTGAGGATGTCGAAGACAAAGAGGGAAAGCAAAATAAGAAGACGAAGACGCTGTCGCTAAGCACAACCAGCCAGGTGGCGGTGAACCTGCCGGCGACTCTCAGCGCCATGTGCCTCTTGTGCCAAAGAAAGCAAGGTGTGTGCGTGTGTGACTACGGCGCAGCTCATCCTTCTATGCACGCCGCTCCATCTCCTCGAACTGGAGAGCGGCCTGTGCGAGACGACGGTTCAGCAGCTCCACGTGTCCTTCGTAGGCTTTCTGAACTGTGTCCCACCGCCGCTGCAGAGCCGCGTAGCGCTGCGCATTCACGTGTGCCAGCACTGCCATATCGATCCACTCCACTGCGTCCCCCACCTTTAACGTTGGAGGGTCGGCTGACGTCGCTGGGAGCACCGCCTGCCACGCACGCTGCCACACGTCCCTCTCCTTTTCAGAGGCAATGGTGTGTGCTGGACGGTAAGCGAGGAGGGCACGTAGGCGTTCGTTGTCTTCTTCCCCGCTGAACAGTGTGTCTGTGTCGTGCCGCAGCTGTAAAAGCTGCTGGTGCACGTCGTCGAGGTGATCCGCGTGGCGGTAACGGGCTTCCACCACATCGGCCAGCTCCTGCGCCATACGCATCAGTACGGCGTCCACGTCAGCTGATGCGGCGCTTCTTGTTGCCGTGTGCGTTACTGGAGCTAGAGAAGGCGTTGACACCGGCACCGCCGCCGCCGGCTCCGTCACCCAACCAAAGATGTCGTCCTGCTCGCTTTCCGCCTGCTGCAGTCCGGGTTGCTGCTGCTGCGCCGCGCGGTGGTGCTTGTGCGCGGTCACATCCGCCTGCGATGCCGTCGCGGTGCCATCTAGCGACGACACCACGGCATCCATGTCATCGTCATCCAGCGACGATCGGGCCAGGCACAGGTTCATGTGCTGCTCCTCGCTCAGCCGACGTAGCTTCCGTGCGACACGCCGGCACAGGGCTGTCACGCGCTCTTCTACCTCGGCCGGCTCCTTGCCTGCCTCATGGGACGCCGTCGTCGACGTTCCTTCATAACTCTGCAGGAGGGATTCGAAGAAGGCCGCAGGAGACGCAACAGGGCAGCCGGAGGCTTCCTGTGCCGCGAGAAGTTCAACACGAGCCAGTTGACCTTGTAGTCGACGCAGGCACTCTTGCAGAGGAGCGCCCGTGTCGACCATGACAAGATCGGAAGCCGCGGCGTTGTCAGATGCTGCCATCGTGTCGTTGTGCCGATGAGGGAGTAGAGGCAAAAAAAGAATCTGCAACGAGAGCGACAGCTTTTTTCAGTGGTGTGTGTATGTGTGTGTGTGTCTCTCAGTGTGTGAGCGTGTACGCTATCTTGTGCTGCGGTTGGAAGGAGAGGCGCGTAAAGGAGAAGATAAGAAACGAAATGCCATGTGCGGAGAGACACGTAGTGGATCGCACTCGAATGCAGCTCGCTTACATCCCGCAAAAAAAAAAGGGCTGCATTCACGAAGAGCGATGGGAGAGAGAGAGAAAGAGAAAAGAGAGAGAGATGTTGGTGCGCGACTGCGTCGGATCTTCTTCTTCCGTTGTGTAAGTCGGCGTCGTCCCACCGACAGCGAGACCGACAGCACGGACCGTCAAACAATGAAAACATAAATAATAATAAAAAAGAAAGCACTGACGTGCTAAACCTATTGCGTGCGTCCCTCACCGCTTGTTTTGTGTGTTTCATTTTGATACTGTCATCAGCGTCTGCCGCTGCGCTTCGCCGACCGCGGCGAGGGCGTGTATCCTTCGCCCTGTGAGAAGGGATGGCGTGGTGGTGTGTACAGTCCGGCATGAAAAGCCTGCCGCAGCTGTGCGCTGCGCGTGGTGGGCGCGTCGGACGCGACAGAATAGTTGTCACTCCCTGTCAGTGAAGCGCCGCCGACACTGGAATACGGCTGAGGGCTGTGAGGGCGCCCACGTAAGGGATGAGCTGACACAACCGAGGCGGAAGTGCGGCGTGGGGACCTGCGGCCGTCCTGCGGAGAACGCGCGGAGCCCAGCGAGTGATTCTGCTGCCGCTGTCGTTGCAGAATGGACGACGACGAACGCTTCGGCGTGCGTTGAGGGCGTGAAGGGCTACCCCACTGCACATGAGGCGTAGACGCGAGTTGCTCGTCGTCCTGCAGCTGCGGAGCCGACGACGCAGGCGCCAGCGCATGGACGCTTTGGCTCACATCGACATGCGCCTCTGCGACGCGGCTCGCAAAATACAACTTAGGGAAAGCTACGGCACGCACATCCACCATCACCACTTCTTCCTCTTGTCCCGTAGAGGAAGAGAGCTTTGTGGGCCTGCCCGCATATTTATTGAGGAGCACGGCACCTTCGTACAGCAGACCGGTCGCGCTGGTCGGCACGCTGCCGTTCAACGTGTAGCGTATCTCCACCTGGTCCGCCCGATACCCCGGGACGTGCAAGCGCAAAGACCGATCTAACGCATTGTACTCCACTACAGGCGCTGGCAGCACAGGAGGGACCACAAAGGTGGTGTCTGCTGTAGAGGAGGAAACGGCAGCGGCCGACGTCCCTTCCTGACCCTCATCTGTTTCTTCCACCACTACACGGAGAAGGCGTGGCTGCGACGGCGCGGGCGCTGCGGAGGGCCACGCCTGCCAGGCGCCATCCTTGTCCCGAGTGCGTTGCTCGATGGCAGTCGCACACACCCACGGCTTCGCGCCGTCAAAGGGAATGCACACCGACACCGGCGCACCGAGACGATCGTCTTGAGGACTGGCGGGCGGCACCTCGAGGGAGGTGGTGGTGTCACCGAGGGCGCACCACACCCGTGCGGCCCCTCCCCGCAGCCCACGCAACGTCCCACGCCGTGACGACGTCGGCATCGTCAGTCGGCAGCAGCGGTGGACAACATCGACGAAGCCGGACGGCGGCGCGGCAGGCGTTGGGAGGCGTTGGTGCACCACCTCACTCGGAAAGAGGTACGGCACCGCCGTGCAGGCGGTCAGCTGCACCGCCGCGGCGTGCTGCGCTGGGCGGCCGGTCAACTGCGCGTAGGCGTCGTAGATGTCTGCAAAGGAGAGCACCCCGCTAGATGGCACAAGGTGCGAGGCCGTGACGACGGCGGTGGTGGGGTCCACATCCGCTGCGTCCGACACGGTGTAGTAACACCGAACCGCCTCCTCTGTCCCGCTCTTCGCTGACGACCTCGTAGCGGCTGCAGGCGTCGGGATGCGCGGCGGCAGAGCCACGTGGACGGTGCGACTGCCGGGGTGCACCTCCAACAGCGGCGGCGGCGCCCGCAGCAGCGCGTGCAGGCAAAACTCCTTCAATGCCGCACGTCGTCCCTGCGCCGCCGGGCTCGCCAGCCCTTCGTAACCGACGTCCCGCAACGTGCGACAGTGCTGCAGCAGAATCCGCACGTGCCGCGGACTGCGGGAGTAGAGCTCCACCACACGCTGCACCCCCGCCTCGGCGGCAAAGCTCAGCACCTCTGCGTTGGTGATCCACGGCGCGTGTAGGTCGGTGGGACGACTCAGTCGTGCCTCTGCCCCGACGCCGACGATGACCAACGGCGGTGACAGAGCGGGCCACGCAGCAGACGGCGACAGCCCTGTCGTATCTGCTGAGCCACGCATGGCAGAGGAGTAGCGAACTCCACCGTCTACCTCTTCCTCTTCCTCTTCCTCATCTCCTCCCTCGTTGGAGCAGGCAGCGAGCACGTCAGGCATCACTTTGTTTTGCAGATGCGCAAAGCTTGCGGGGTCGACCACGCGGTAGCAGAGGAGGACCACGTCGCACCACCGGCACAGCTCCGCGCGCAGGGCGGCGAGGTCCTCGATGGCATCCGGTAACGTGTACACTTCGGGGGGAGGCTGCGTTGTGGCGGCCAGAGACGAGGGCTGGCGTCCTTGAAAGAAGCTATTACTTTTATTTTGATGAAGATTCCGATTGTCGCTGTGTAGGAGCTCGGCGCTCGCCTCTTCCGCCTCCGCCCGCAGCGTCGCCGCCAGCTCCTGTACGACGCCGTCATCCCCCAGCAGCAGCAGCTTCGGACTGTACGACTCCAAAGAACGTCCGTCGTCCAGTCGAGACGATGAAGACGACAAGTGACGGACCACCGAAGCGACTGCGGTTACGGCGACTTCCTCGTCTTCCTCCTTGCCGTTTTGAATCGCGTAGCGCTGCCGGCGCATGTACAGCGCGATGACGTCCGCCGCATTCCACGCCGGCGAAGACGCAGAAGGTGGTGACCGCAACAGGGCAGAAGACGCAGAGGGACGCCGTCCTCTCTGCCTCTCCTCTCCCCGCATCGGACGAGTCGGCGCCGTCGCCGCCGCTCCTTTTGTCTCCAGCTGCTCCGTCAGCTCCTCTACCGTTTGATAGGCGTGTGCGTGCTTTCGCTCAGTGACGCTGCTGCTGCCATCACGCGAGGCATGACTGCTGTGAAGGCCATCGACGCGTCTCACCTCTGCGTAGCGGGACATGGGCGATTGCGCAGGCGAGAGAAGGAGGAAGTGCGTTTTCTAAAGAAGCGATATCCCTTTAAATTACAGTTGCTGCGGCCAGCAAAAGATAATGCGTGCGCATGGAGTAGAAGAAAGAAGGGGCAATAAATAATACGCAGCAGCCGCCACGCGTTGTGCGTAGGGAAGCGCACGAAACGGCTACACTTTTCAAGGGGCTTCATCCGATAAGGCGGCACCATCAAAAAAGGAAAAGAGAAAAGCAAGAGAACGTGATGTACGAAGGAGGAAGCAAGACGAGTTATTGAAAGAAAGAAATAACGAGAGGTGACGAACGAGAGCAGGTTCATCAAGTACGCAGCACTGCTGGCAGCTGTCGTTATCGGCGCTGAGACGTGCAGGAGGCACACGTCCACCCCACTTCTTCCACGGTAGACCTACCGAGTGTCTCCGGAAAACAACAACAACAACAACCAGAGAAACGATGTACGTGCAACGCACGATGACTTGTTGGCTCGTTGTGCAGTGGAGTATCGCAGCGGACGTAAAATGCATCGGTGGTGACGCGCAGGGGTCGCACGACGCACCAGCTTGGCAGCTTTGCCTTTTTTTTTTAAAGGGTTAAAGGCAATGCAGCCGAAAAAAACATCGGAGAAGAACTACGGAGAAGCACATCGTTCAAAGCGGGCACTGAGAGAAACACAGAGTGACGTCGAGGTGCGGCAGAAAGATACACGACAGCGGAAAAAGCGGCCGACGCACACACGCACAGAGCAAAGCGTAAAGAGCAAAAAGAAGAAGAAATACAAGACACTACCCATCGCAACGCTACATCCAGCTTTGAAAAAGACGAGGCATTTAAGCGTGTAGACGCTAGCAGCCGGGCGAACGAGAAACACAACTTAATAATAATAGTAAAAATCTGACGACGACAGCATCGCTCGCTTCATTGAATGACACGAGTTGATCATTGTTTCCCCTCATTTCCCTTTTTCAAATTCCTTAAAAATCGTAGCCGTCGTCTTCCTCTTCACCCTCCGCCTTCACGCAAAGAACCGCGGCGGCGGCTACAAAAAAGCATCCCCCCAGAAGAGCTAGAACCAGAGCTGGTCGGCTGATGACGGCGGTGTGGTAGAGCACCACGGCCAGCCCAGGCCCGGACACGAGCAACATACCACCGACGAAGAGACCTATTGTGTTGAAGGCGTCAAGCGGCTCCTCGTCGTCGCCGAAGTCGTCGCCGTCTGCGCTGCGACCACAGAGAAAAAACGGCACAGGCGCGAAGCAGTATGCGACCAGCGACATCAGCGGCCACGCATTGCGCTGCGCGACGGCTGTGCAGGCGAGAATGATGAAGAGAAAGCCGAGCACGAGGAAGAAGGCCGAGAGGACCAGCGGACGAAGGGGAGACATTTTTCTTCTCGGTGGGTTATTCGATGCTGCGATTCGAAGAGGGGAAAAAAAAAGTTGATGAATGTGTCGGGCTTGATGAGCGCACGAAGGAACTTGAATAAGAAATACTTGAAGACGGAGCAGAGGGAGCCTGTAAACACCGGCGGCAGCACATATCACCTTATGCTAAAGGAGAAGTGAAGCGAAGAGCGATAGGGAGAGGTAGAGGAAAAGAGCGGTGGAGAAATGCAAGGACGAGTTAGAGGAGAGTGGACAGGCTGCTGCGAAAAAGAAGAACCGTAGCAAAAACAGCAGAAGGATTCAACGGACAATAAAACAGCGGGTTTTGTGGGTCTTTTCTCTTCGTCCTGCCGACAAGATGACGACGCGGCGTGTAGCGGCAGGTGTGCCACGTGTTCTATTACTACATCAAGTTAAGCAAGCTAACGTGTGCTTCCGTCACTCGCCTCGCGTCTTTCCATCAAGTGCGACGCTACTCGTGATGGGACACGCGCAAATGCCCAGCCGCAACGACACCAGAAAACCCCCTCAAAGAAGCCTTCCTTCACACTCACACTATATGTATACTATTTTTTACTCGGTGGCACGCGCCTCTCCGGCCAGTTCCAACAGTTGAGAGGCCACGAAGCTTAAAAATTCCTTCTTGGCAGCCGCGTTCGGCAGCTTCTTCGACGACTGCACCACGCTCAGGCCCATCAACAGCGGCCGCGCCTCTCCGTAGCGGCGGATGCGATGTGCAATGCTGCTGGCGAGCATGTTCGTAAGGGGGTGGTCACGCAGGCCGAGCAGCACCGTCACGTCCAGCGACGGCGTCTCCCCCTCGTACATGAAGGCACCGGGACCCGGCGCCGGGGCGTCGTAGCGTAGGACGACGCCAGGCGCACACGTCTCATCCTCCGTGACGAATACAAGAATGTAGTCGGTGAAGCACCGAACGGTCAGGTGAAGCGTCAGCGTATCCGGCGCGGTGTCGGAGTCCGACTGCGTGGGCCTCAAGGTCAGGGTGCGCTGACGCTGTGCCGGGCTCACTGCCTGTGCTGTTGCTGCAGTGCTGGACGATGCCGCCTGCCCTTGCTTTTCGTCCATCATCACGCTCGCGCGATGGCAGATTACTGTTGTGTGACCGCTCTTGGTGGTGCTGCTAAGCAAAAAAAGAAGATAAAGAGAGAGAGGCGAGGAAGAGAATTGCGTCTTTCCTTTCGCTGATGAGAAGCGGTGCAACATGCGCTATGTGTTTCTGACGAAGTGCATTCAACGTCTTAACTAGAGCTGCCTGACAGTTAACATTGGCACCCCCTTCTGTTTCTTCAATTCTACAACCACTACCACACGCCTTCACTGCGGCGTCACCTCGCACACCACTGTAACTCCATGGCGCGTTGTCGATATCTTGCTTAGAAAAGAAATGGCAAAAGACGAGCGGTCTTTTGAACGAGGAACGTGTCGATGAAGAAGAATTTGGTTTGCCAGCTGCGTGCGTTGCATCACCGTCAGACTGCGCAGATCATGAACTTCACAACACGCAGGCTTTTTGCTCAGTGGAGAAGTGGGCAGCTGCTGCAACGAACCGGAAAACACAGCTGTGCACAACCGCCGATGCCTGCTGCTGGTCGCCAGCACACAGTCAAAAAAAGAGCTCATTCATTCTTGAGTGGTGCAACGCATCACTTGCAGATCAGAGGAAAAGAGAAAAAAAGAATAGATGACGTTTCGAGGCAAAAGATGTACTCTGGTTCCCCTTATGACATCTTTAGTTACTGTTTTTTTTTTTCGGACCATCACACTTACCCCTGCGACACGCATTTAACGTACCTGTCCATCCCACCTAGAGAGGGACCTCCTGGCAGTTAGCCTCCATTCCTTCCGTGCCGAAGGCACGCTCTCAAGGTGCGGATATGTTTGTTTTGAAAAACTTAAGAAAAATAAAAATAAAAAAGAATCGGTGTCGCGGTAAGGTGATACCCCGGAGTAAGTGGAACCTAAAAAAAAATAATAATAATAATACGAGCAAAGCAATACATGGCAGTAAAATGTATTTACGTTTGCACCACTGCACCGCGGTTTCCTCCGCTGACCACGCAAAAGCGGGGCTTACATGTGCATATTATATGTACTTGCTCATCGAAGGAGGTGAATTTGGAAAAATAGAAAAGAGAAAAGCGTTAAAGCAGCCAACAGCCACAACAGACAAGGCATCATCACCGCGGCGATTGCTCTCCTGCAGGGCCGATAGGAGACGCGCAGAGCAAACAGCGACTGCGCGCCATCAAGCATGCCGCGCTCCTTCGGTCACCAGACAAGCCATGCGGAGAGAGAGAGAGAGAAAGAAAGGGATCACTGGACTGGAGAGTTCATGATGGGAAAAGACGGCGACGAGCGGGAAGACACGCCGAGAAAAGCCGTACTGCACACTCGCCGTCGATATTGAAGGGCACAGACGAAAAAACCGCTGCTGCTGACATCCCTCCCTCCCTCCCTTCCTCCACGTGCTATTTGTTCACTTGTCTACGTACTCGTCCGAATGGAAGGCATCGATACCCTGCGGCCGACTTGCGTACTGACCGGTACACGCTAGAAGAGGCGGCGATTTACATCCTTCGCCTTTTTTTTGTTCGTTTTGAAGTTCCCAGTGCTCATTGCTGCCATCCGCCCCTCCCCTCCTCCCCTCCTCCTTTCCGCAACCGTCACCGCCGTACTCAGTTGGCGAGTAATGCCGCTGCGTTGACGTGCTGCACAAATGAGGAAGGCGTAAAGGTGGGAAAAGCTTGCTTCACTTCTTGTTTTCAAGGAATACGGAAAGAACGACGCTCCGATGTGGCGCAGCGGGCGCGTGCCGGTAAAACAGCAACAGCAGCAACGAAATAGTTCCATTCAAGGCGCTCCCTCTTCTGTCGGTGTACTGCGTTGTAATCTTCGAACAATTGAACTCAAAGAAGGAGAGGAGGAGGGAGAGCGGAGGGGAGCGGAGGAGCAACGCGTTCACGAAACCGATCATCACCCCGGTGAAGCAAAGGCGAAAGGGAGAGGCCGAATGACGGTGCGAAAGCGCGAGTCGCACGTCCATGCCTTCGCCGTCGTTGGATCCCCAGGTGGAACGAGAGAGAGAGAGAGACAGCGCAACGGAGAAGAGGAAGAGCGGTTATACACTCCGTAAAGAGAAAGGAAGAAGAGGAAAAAAAGGCATATCAAAAAGAAACTCGTCGACTGCCGCTTAACAGGAGAAGCCCAAAGGAGCACCTCCTCTTTCGTGGTTCATTTGTAAGAGGTGAGGATACGGCGCGCGAAGAAGCAGTCGAGGCGGAGGCGACAGAGCGACGAGTAAAGAAACCCGGTAGAGGACAGCGATGAAGATGTGAGGAGAGAAGAAAGGAAAAGCATCAGAAGAGGGAGAAAAAAACGAACTGAAAGGGACGCGTGAAAGAAGAAAGCTGAAGAGGGCACGTGGCGCGGATTCAACTTCGTCTTTCACAAACCAACCTACAAACATAAACTCACACACACGCACACGAAACGACGCCGGCGCCAACAAGAGGAGACTACTAACACCAACCAACTTGGCACATGTAGTGTGTGTGGAGGAGAAGCGAAGAAAGAAAAAGAACAAGGGTGAGGAATTGCGGCGCTGTCTCATGCGGCGTGGAGAGCATCAACGCCGGTGATGTCACAACCAAATCTCGATAAAACCACACTCCGTAACGTAGCTGCTCCTCGTGTGTGCGTGCGTGATGTGCTTTCTTAACTACGGGGAATGAGCACGTCACAGAGCGCGGATTCGAGCGACTTGTCAGCCTCCCGCTTCACCAACACCGGCGCGCTGTCGTCGCCGCCCTGGGTGTAGAGGAGAACCCGTTCCTTGTAGCTCTGCAGCATGTTCGCCACCACCGCATCGCAGTGATAGGCGTGCAGGTTTTTGATCGCCTTCGCCTTCATCGTCTCCTCGGAGGTCTCCAGCTTAAAGGTGACGACAAACGGCTGCTTTGCATCGGGGGCACCGCGGTGCAGCCACTCGTCATGCACCAGCAGCAGGATCTTTGGCACGTTGGACAGCTGCAACGTCAGGCCGTCTCCGCCGCTGATCTTCTCGCGTGACATCTTCGGCAGCGGCACGTAGTAGTCCGACACCGCGGCGGCCGCGAAGAAGAGGCAGGGGCGCAGCTGCAGTGCACGGGGAAGGGCGGGACCGCAGAGGGTGCGCGACACCACCTCCAGCAGGTAAATATACTCTACCACCGTATCAAAGGCGATGTAGTGCATCAGGTTCCTTGTGCGATGGTGCAACTCCGCCATCCGTCGCGCCTCCGCCGCCTTGGGCGAGTCGGCCGCTGCCGTGGAAGAGGCGTTGGGCGACATCACGTCGAAGAGCTCGGCAGCGCTCATCGAGTCGAGCACACGTCGGAAGGGCATGACGGCGGTGCGGTGGTGCATCAGCACACACGCCCAGCCCCGCTCCGCCAACGCTTCGACGAGGTGGGCGCCACGGCCGCCGCTGCTGAAGTTTGTGATGAAGCGGACGGCGTTCACCTCGAGTGGGACGGTGGTGCCGCCGCTCGTGACGAAGGCGATGCCCGGGCAGTCGGGGTGCGCCTGGAGGACGTCTGCACAGAAGGCGAGCAGACGGTCCCTTTCGGCGGCGAGGACGGCGCGCGCGTTGGCCGTCAAGTTCTCTGCGTAAAACGCCTCTACTTCTGCCTGCATGATGAATGAGGCTTCTCGGTGGTGGTGGTGGGTTGTTAGTTCCTTGTATGTTCCGTGCGCGTCAGTGTACAGCGCCGATTGTAAGGAGAAACGAGGAACACCTTTGCTTTAAATAACGGGGGATTATTGGAATAGTAATACCTTTTGGCAGAGTTATAGTTTGTTAAGGAGGAGGAGGGAGGAGAAAAAGGCATTGCAACGGTGGCAGTGGGAGATACTCTAGAACGAGCAGTTGCTTGTCGCTGGGGAACAGCAGCAGCACAAAAAAAAAGACACAGCCGTGGCTGCTGCCGTCGCGCACGTTTTCTCAAGCCCATCCTCTCTTCCTCCCCTGTAGAACTAACGCTTATTCCACAGCACGCAGCACCGTCACGTCTTCGCCTTTTACTTTTGCCCATCAACAGTCGTTTACTTTCTTTCCCAAACTCGCACTTGAAAGCCAGAGACGCAACTTCGAAACGGCCCAACGCTCACAGGTCGCTGACTTCGTTCTGCAGCTCCTCACACATGTCTTCGATGGCGGTGCGAAGTGCGTCTTGGCGGCGCACGATGGGCTCCACCGTACGCGACCAACCCACGCAGCGGTGGGAGACAACCGACGGCACGTAATAGGCGATCGGCGTGCCTCGCTGGCCGTTTCCTGCTGCCCTGCCGCTCTCCCTTTTCCCGTACACAGGCAACGCCAGGCTCTCCGCGCCGTCGTCGCCGTCATGAGGTGACAACGACGCAGAAGACGAGCTCGACGCACCGCCTAACTCGTCCACCCCCTCCTTGCAATCCACAAAAAACAGGTGCGTTTGAAAGAGAGGGGGAATGAGGCGCAGCAACGCACATCGTCCGCCGTCGTGCACGCACAACGTTGCCGGTACTGCCGTCTGCTTCTCAGCGGCGTCTGCCTCGGCTGCAGGTGCGGGCGCCGGAGGAGGACCAGCGGGGCGCTTCCCCCTCCATTCAATTTCTTCATTGCTGTCTTCGTCCTCAGAGTCCTCAGGCTTAAAGAGCGATTTAACGTCCGCGGGGACGACTTCACCTGACAGCTCCGTCGCCTTCGCTGGCAAACCCTGCGACTGCATCTCCTCCTTTTCGCCTGTCAGCGGAAGGGCAGAGAGAACGTTCGGCGTGCAGTGATCCACCAGCTGACTTGCCAAGGCGAGCGTGACCCCGTAGTGTTCTCGCTCCAGACTCTGCAGCTGGTCGATCCACTCAGCTAAGTTTCTCTCTCTGCTGTGTTGGTTGTCCGCCACGCGGTTCTCTGCGGCAGATGCGGTGGCTGGATTGGGCACCCCATCACCACCCATCTGCTCCGTCAGAGACCTCTGCAGGGCGCGCAAGGCCGTGCTGACGCGCTGAAGCTCGGGGAGGACAACGCCCTGGATGTTGCGGTGCAGTTCGTCGGGCGTGATGGCGCCAGCGAGCGCGCGGTGGAACTGCGACGTCCACTGCTGGTAGGTAGAGCTGCGCTCCCGTTGCAGCTTCAGCGCCGCCGCGCCGCTCACCTTGGTGACTGTCTCGCCCATCGTGCGTCTGCGTATGCAGTCTTTGTGAAGGCATCCTCAACGTACCAAGGATGACAGAAGGAGAAGGAAAGGAACAACGCGAAGGACGCGTTTGAAGTGTGGAGGCGATAAAGGAGAAGTTTGAGGAGAGCGATGCGGCATATCCCCCGCAATGGTAGAAATAATAATCAACTATCACGCTGCGTTACCCACAAATGCTAAGCAGGGAAGGAAGAAGGGAGGGGGGGGGGGGGCGGGCGCTGCCCTTCTCTGCACCAGTCGCATGAGCAGCGGTGTGCATCGGCAAGCGCGACAGAGAGTCCGTTCAAGGTTCGCAATGAGCTTCCGCAAGCACCCGGAAATGTGTCGACCGAGAAGGGGAGAGAAACAATCCGTCCCACAAGGCACTCGTTCCCTCGTTTCTCTCTCTGAAAAGAAAACAAAATAAACTGTGTTTTAATGGCTCACGTGAGCACCACCACCCACGTCACGCACTGCATATACTGAAGAGAAGAAACATCGTAAAAACACGGCAAGGAGGGGGGAAAACGGAAGCGAAGGGAGAAGCGAACAGTATACATCGGTCTGAGTGGCACAACAACACACTCACTACACAAAACTCCCAAGAAAGGATATGATAGGAGGAGAGAGGGGAAAGAAAAAAAAAAAGGAAAGCTGCGCTGCGTAACGCATGAAGAGGGGAAAAGAGGCGGAACTGCGGAGAGGAGCATCATCATCTCTTTCAACGTACTTATGATATCCAGCGTGCGCCTGCTGGCGTTTGTTTTTCATTAGAGGGTACCACCACTCATCCACGCCAGTTGTGCGCGAATGTCGGTGCAAACCAGCTTCAGATACCCCTCCCCATGATACGCGTGGGCCAGCGAGTGATCGCCGCGTGCAAAACCCATCGCGATGCGCACCTTATCGATCAGCTCTTGCAACCCCGTTTCCACTGCTGCTGCAAAGCTCTCATCGAAGCACTGCAGCGCCTCTGCGTCCAGGCCGCGGGCGCGGTACGCTTCCCCGAGCTGCAGCGTGGCATGACACAGCTGCCGTGGCTCCCCCAGTTCTTTCGCCAGCACCAGCGCTTCTTGAAGGGTGACGGAGGCTTCTAACTTGAGGCCCAATCGCTCCTCTAAATCGGCGACACGCAACGTGGCTCGGCACTCCTGCGGCTTCAACTCCTCGCGCTGGGCCACGGCGCGGTAGCTGCGGCTGTACGCCAACGCACGTGGGAAGTCCCCGCGCGCTTCACTCACGTCGCCTAAGGCTGAGTACGCCGCGCACTCGTCCACCGCGTTCTTCTCCCGCTCGGCGGCCAACCGCACCTTACCGAAGAACGCCGCCGCCGCTACCGGGTCGCTGTTCTTCTTGGCGTTGCCCAAGGCTTGGTAGATGCGCACAAGGCATTGGCTGGCGGTCCGCACCCCGGCCGCATCGCGAAGAGCCAGCGACTGCCGGTACATCGCTTCGTAGAGCACGGCGGCCGCCTCCAGGTTGCCGCGACGCTCCTCATAACCCGCGTACGCCTGCCGGGCCTCGTGCTCCAGCGCCCGGTCGAGCGACTCCATGGTGTACTGCAGGGCCGTCTCATAAAACCACGTCGCCTCCGCGTAGTCGCGCTCGCCTTCGAAGTAGTCCGCGAGCTGCTTGCAGAGGGCCAGCACCTGCGCAAACTCGCTCTGCCGGCGCAGCACCTCCACGGCAGACAGCTGCTGCTGCACCCAGGCCAGACGATCATCCGGAACGCTGAAGTACGTGTGCGCGAGTGTGTCCACGCAGACCGGATCGCGGTGGGCGAGCTGGAAGAGGTGCATGTACGTCTGCACGCAGCCCTCCGAGAGCGCCTCGCAACAGAGGCGGAAGGCGACGGAGTCCCGCTCCGGCCCGGCCGCCACGACGGGGTTGACGGCGTCGTCGGCGCCTTTGGTGTGGAGGGCGCCCTTCTTGGCGATGCGCATCGCTGCTGAGGTGGAGGCGTTGCCGCCGGCCCCCTTCTCAGCCTTGGTGGTGGCGGTCGCGGTGGCTCCGCCGGCGATGGGGCGGCCCTGCTGCGCACGGAAGCCAAACGCGGGGGCTTGCAGATTCGCCTTTTGGGCCGGGCTGATCAGCGAAGGATTCGCGCGACTGCTGGACGCCGCCGCGGAAGCCGTCGTGTTGGGCATCGTGGCGGCCGCATTCATGAGCACCAGCGCGGAGGACGTCGCAGCCGTGCTCGTGGCGATCTGCCCGGGTAGGGGGCTGATGTGGTGTGGACGCCCCGGCTTGTGCTGGCCAGAGCTTCCGTTGGCGGAGCTGGGTGATGGGCGCATGGGTACAGTCGCCGACTTGCGTGGCACACTGGATGAATGCGGAGTGCGCTGCATGGTGGAGGTTGGAATGATGGGCGCTCTGGCAGAGCCTTTTATTGTTGTTTTCTTCTAGTAAAGAAGCTACGTCCTTCTGCTTCCGAGGCAGGCTAAGCAGCGGAGGGGGAAAAGGGAAAACAACGCACCGTATGGGATAACGAGAGGAGAGGAAGAGTGGCGGAGCTGAAGGCGTTCGATGCACAAGGAGGTGCTTGTGTGTGTGTGTGTGTGTGTGTGTGTGCTGCACATACTTGCTCAACGATGACCCGCATTGAAAGGAGAAGAGAGGGAAAGACGGGACTGCGTGCTTCGTGGAAGGCACAGCGATCGTTGGCGTTCAGGGAAAGCGCTCCGAAAGTCTCCACACGCTGCGATAGAGTTGCAGCCGTAGCAGTCACGCACCTTTTGTCTCAGATTTAGAGGCACCCAACACCCAGTCGTAAACAAAAAAAAGTTATCCCGCACGGCTGCCCCTTCGTCGTGCCCATGCCGTACTGTGCGGTGCCACTGTCTGCGACAGCCGTCATGCTGCGGGCTGGTGACCCGAGGCACGCTTCGCTGACGTCGTCCGCATCCGCTTGCGCAGCCGTTCGAGTTTGTCGTAGCCCTCCACCGTCAGCGTATTCGGCAGGCCCAGTTCGCTGCCACAGCGCACAGAGAAGCCCTCATCACCGTAGCCCGCCAGCACCCCGCCGCGCACACGCCAGCGAGAGACTGGTGGGTCCGTCGGCAGCTCCGGCAGCCGCCCAGCTCGGCTCCACCGCTGCGCCGTCAACACATACGCGTGCACCTTTAAGTAGATGCACTCGTAGGGCTGCTCCTCTACGCGCCGCTTCACCTGGCGCAACAGCGGTGGCAGATGGGCATCGGCGTCTTCGCTGTCGTTGCCTGCCCGGTCCGCGGCGCTCGAGCCTTGATTCGAGTGGTTCGCACTAGACGACGGAGACGCGGATGGTGCGCCTCCTTGGGCAGGGGGCAGGTGGTACTCCACAAAGCAGTGACCCCGACTAGCACCGTTGGTGGGGTTGGTGTAGAGGCGCGTGGTGGCAGGTGTCGCAGCGGGGTACACCTCGGTGAGGTAGCGGTGCACGGCCAGCTCGCTGGTGTACCAGGGGAAGCCGGAGATGACGAGCACGTTCGGGGCGGCCATACCAACGTTGGTACGGCTAGGGTCCACAAGTCGAGCTGCCATCTTTTCGAACTTGGCTTCAATACAAAATTTCGACACCGGAGAATCAAAACAGAGGTGCAGAAACAAAAACCCTTTAGTAAAGTCGAGACGCCAACTAATGAAGTTCTTTTTTTGGTTGCTGTTGTTGATAGGGGCCGCTTGTGATCCTCGTACCATCAGACAGCGGACGGCTGCGTCCACCAAACGTGACTCTCTTTCGCAGCTCTCGCTTCTTAGAAGGGAGGAAAAACAGAAAAGGCAGTGCTCCGTCGAGAGTGCAGAGAAAAGAACGGGACGGCATTTAAAGGGATGATGTGAGCGCGAATGCTGCCGTTTGGAGCACCAAGAGCCATACAAAGCGGATGCGCACGCTGCATTGGTTTGAGCGTTGCGCCTCCCCCAAAAAGAGCTGAAACCTGTCTGGGGTGTCTGCTCCGCTGCCCGTGTTCCGCGAAAGTGCGATCGCCGAGTGCTTCTTGAAGCGTTATTTTCATATTTTCCTTATTGCAACGGACTCTGTAAACAGTTTTGTTCTAAATCCAGTTGCGCTTCGGCAGGAGCAGCTGCGCAGCTTCGAGCTGCCGCACAAACTCCAGCGTCTGCGCCTGCTTCACATCACTGTCGCCGTGGCTTCTCTGCAACGCCGTCTGCGCCACCGCCTTCAGTCCATCGCGGGAGAAGCCGTGCATGGTGTGCTCCAGCACTAGGGCACGCAGCTGTGCCTCGTAGGCAGCGCCACCAAGGGCCTCCACGACCTCATGGCACGCAGTGAGTAAAGTTGTCAGCATGGACGCGGTGCCACGTTCCTGCAGCACACGCACGTCCAGCAGTCTGCGCAGCATCTCGAGCCCCTCGGCCACCAAACTGTCGAGCCGAGGATACAGGCTCGCTGCGTTGCCGCCAGGGAGTGACGCGGCCTTCATGAGACGGCTCAGCACCACAGCCAAGTGGCTGCTCTGTGCTGGATTCCACACACCCCACAGCGGGAGTGGCAGGGACGCCGGTGACGTTCCATCCATTCTCCGCGACGCCCCGTTCATGTGTGTACGCAGGTGGGCCAGCACCTTACATAGCATCGCCTCGATGGCAGGCACGTGCGCAGGGACAATCGGCGTGCCTTCATCCATCAAGCAAGCCTCGCCGATCAACACATTCATGGCTGTGTCAACCGGTACGAAGAACGACGTCGCCGTCGAGGAAGACGCAAGTGCCGCCGCCGCCGGTTCCTCTTCTCCACCTGCGAGCGCGTTGGCAGTCCACATCCCTCGCTTTCCAGGTGTCGTGGATGACACGGAGGACGCAGCAGACGCGTTCATCGCCGGCGACGCCGTCCAAAACATTTCGTCCACCACCTGGTTGTGGTAGTAGCGCATGTGCGCGCGCAGATCCACATCGGGGTTGTTGCGGCAGAAGAGCGGCAGGACAGTCAAGAAGAAGAGGGCCGCCACGTGCACGTCGCAGTACCGGTAGTGATACTGAAGATCGCTGACGAGGCCCGGCGCGAGAGAGGCGCGGACGTACGCGGGGACGGCCGCGTCGTATAGAAAGAGTAGGCGCCTGGCCCAGACCGAGAGGGAGCTGCTGCCGCCGGCGACGCGCAGCGATGTGCTGCCACCGCTGCTAAGCCAACCACCCTCTTTCCCAGCACCCGCGTGCGTCGAGGCAGCGGCAGCGGGAAACGCAGAAGACGAGGACGACGGCGTCCCAAACCAGCGCGCCCACTCTCCCTCCGCAACCGGGAACTCGGCGGTGATGCCGCAGCGTTTGCGCAGCGTCGCGGCGACGGCTATCAAAGCAAGCGCGTCTGCGTCGCGATCTTCGAACCGGCGCATCTCTGTGATGACATCACCGCTGCGTGCGGTGGACGACGACGCTGACGCCGCCCCCACCACTGCCGCTTCTTTGCACCTTGTCACGACGCTCTCAACGCCCAACACATCCGTCAAGAAGCGCTGGGCGTGGTGCACCTCCCTTCCCGCAGACGACACAGCACCCGCGTTGCCTTGACCAGGAACGGAGGTGTGGGTGGTTTGACACGCCCACAGCACCAGATCCCGGTACTCGCGGTCATCCTGCAGGGAGATGTTCTGCTGCAGCGGAAAGTGGCGTAGGACCTCCTCCACCATGTCCCATTGAGACAGTGTGATGGCGAAGCTCCATAGCGCCATGACGTCCTTTGAGGAGAGGTCGTCATTCGATAGCCGCAGCAAATCTCGCAGCGCTGCCTTTTCTACCTCCGTCTTCGCCGCTTCCAGGGCGGCATTGGTGTTGGGAAAGTGCTGAACAGCGTTGATACCGCGACGTGCCAGCCGCAGTGGAAATAAAAGACCGTCGCTCGACAGGACGATGTCGCCACGCTGGTGCACCGCAGCAAAACGCTTGGCCAACGCGTCACACACCTCCGTGTGCGCCACGTGGTCCATGTAGGCGTACGTGTAGAGGCCGTCGATCTCGTTGGGGTGGAAGGAGCACTGGACTTGGTCGATGCACTGCAGCAGCGTGCTGTGCAGAAGGCGCGCGAGCGGCTGCACAAGCCGGAAAGGTTGGGCCGACATTCTTCTCTTCGTCTTTCCCCTTCAAACGGAGACAGAGAGAAGCGGGTAGGTACAGCAAGACCAGAAGAAGTGCACAGCTGTGAATTCGAGGCAGTAACAGCTTCCGGAGCGCTCACGGCGAGGCAGCGATTTATGGGTAGGCGACAGATCTGTATTTCTCAGCTGCTTTTGACGGACTCGATCTCCCACTTTACGGTGAGCAGCGCCAACAACAAAACAGAGCCAAAGGGGGGGGAGGGACAGAAAGAGCGGTGGTTTCTAGAGAAGATCATCGCCAGTACGTCCACACGCGACACACGCCGTCCCTGCTTTCCGCCTTCACGTCAAGCATCCAGAGAGAGAGAGAGCACACGACGACAAAAGGACGCCGTTGAATCCACAGCAGGGGGAAAAAGAATCCTTTTTTTGTTTTGTTTTGGAAAAGCTGTAACGCACAACGTCGCAGCCGCAAATGATTCTCCTCACCGAAACACTTGCTATTTTTGCATTGGAAGAGACAGGCAGAAGAACACGATCTAATCGTAAAAGAAAAGAAAGCCGTCAGAACCGTAGTAGGAAAGGAGAAAGGATAACGCAGAGGGCACCCAACGAAGCACCCCCCTCGCAAAACAACAAAAAGAAAGTCAGCCTTGAGGTATCGAAAAAACGCGTGTCGGCGCCGAGCCTCCACCCCGCACCCGCGCATCGCCTCTGTTTCCCTACGGACATCACACGTATAGATGTGAAAATCGAATAACTCGGGGAACGCACGTATACCCACAAGCAGCCCCATCGTCTGTCACACAGGCAGCTGTCTTGCCATAATGGTGCTGCTCACTCGCCCATTATCACCCCCCCCCTTCCCCTCTCTCTGCCTACCCCCTCCGCGTGTGCCGCTCCTCCGCTGAAAACTCAAAACGACAACAAGAAAAGGCCAAATCGAGCCGCTAGACAATCGCCTTAAATCTACGACTTCTGTAAGGAAACAAACGAGAAGAGAAAGAAGACATATAGCCGATACACGGCAATGCTGGCCGGCGCGAACATAAACAAGGCAGCTATTCTCGCGCGTCCACGCTAGCGCAACGTGCGGCGCATCATCGTGGTGTGCCGTGACGACCCATCCCCTCTCTGCGACGCAACATTGCTGCGCGTCCGCTTGCAGTGCCGTTGCTGGGGACTGCTCTGTCCACCGCGATCGCTTACACGGTTCACCGGCATCGCTGACAAGGCCACACTGCTGCGCCGCGACGACGCACGAGCGCTGACCCGCTGCCTCGGCGAAGCGCCAGCGACAGAAACACCGGCAGACAAGGAAAGAGAAGAAGCAACGATCGGCACCGTGGTGCGCCGCGTCTCGCGCACGGAGCTGGTACTAACCGTAGAGGATGACTCTCCCTCCTCCTCCTGTTCTGGGCCCGCGGGTGTGGCGGACGAGCGATCGCGCTGTCGACCACCGCCTACTGCGGTAGCCGCGTCGGAGAGCAGTGGGGGAGAAAGACGTGGCATGGGGGCGAGGTCCGACCATACGAAGTTGCCCACGGTGCCGGTCGTGGTAGTGGTGGTGGTGGCAGCGGCTTTGTTGGCCAGCGGCGCACTCGCTGAAGAGGTGCAGGACGTCGTGGTGTTGCCCGCAAAAACAGCGTTGAGCGCCACCGCGCTGGAGGAGAGTGGGTCGAGGGCCTGCACGGTGAAGGCGGTGCTGCAGCGCTGTACGTTATGGACAATAACGTCCATGGCCGCCTCCGCCGGTGCGGGTGTGCTTGGGTGGGGAAAGGCGTGCATGGCGTGGCGCACCACCTCGTTGCACGCGCTGCGGAGCGTCTGTTGGAAGGGCGTCGCCTCTGCGGTGGGACGCAGCTGCATCTTTAGCTGGAGCTGCTCGCTAAGTGCCTCGCGGGCATCGCGGAGCTCGCGCTCGCCCGCTGCGTCAATGCGCTGCAGCTGTGTGAGCTGCGACTCGAGCTCGCCGCGCAGGCGCTGACAGACTTCCTGCAGCCCCCGCCGACGTTTATCTTCTACTCCGTCGGCGTGACTCTTGTACTGTTCGAAGACAACAAGACACCCCTCGAGCACGGCCACCACCGCTTCGTTCAGCCGATGCACCGTCCGGGTGCACTGAGCGTCATGCTGCGCCAGCACGGCCGACCACGACGGCAGCAACTCCTGTGTGCGCACGACGGGCTGCGACGGCGACGGCGGGAGGCGAATGGGGGAGCAGGTGGGAGAGGCAGCCCCGCTTTTACCGCCGGGTTGCAGCGGGCTCGACGCGGCCACCACCACCGCTACAGCGCCGCCGCATTCGTCCACCGCGGCGTGCTCGTCCTTCACCGCGGTGGAGGCGGGCAGCGACGAAGGCGGCGCCATCGGCGGGTGGTGACATGCAGCCAGAGACGGAGAAGTCTGCGTCGCACGGCGAGACGCGTTGTACGAGGACGAGGCCCCGCCGCCGCGAGGACGCGTGCCCCCACGGCGCGTGGGGCTCACGGAGGCGGAAGTGGTGCCAGCCGAAGCGGCACTCACGCGCTGCATGGAGGCGGCGCTGCCACGTGCGGAACGCGCAGCCCCAAGAGATTGACCTCCTCCTACTCCTGCTGCTGCAGTGGTTGTCGAGGAGGTCGAGGGAGCAACGTACAGGCCGGCATGGGCAGTGCTGCTAGAAGGGTTGTTACCGTTGCCGTTGCTGCAGCGGATCTCGTTGCGCATAGGAGAGGTGTGCGGCGTTAAACCAGGCGGAGGGGTGGCACTCCGATCGGCCAGGCCGGGGTGCACAGTAGTGTCCTCCTGGGTGAAACGTTGCTGCTGCTGTTGCTCGTCTTCCTCTACGGCTCGCTCTTCGGGCAACGTCGGCATCGTCGTCGGCAGCGGCTCCTCGAGCACGCTCAGCAGCTCCGTGCGCCACGCGTGCAAGCGGGCGTAGTTCTCTGCAAAGGAACGCTGCACGGCTTCCTTCGCCTCACCGACGCCACCGCGCACCACACGCTGTAGCGTCGACGCCTGACTCTCGAATCGCTTCAGCGCCTCGGCGTAAACCTCCTTGAAACTCTCCAGCTCGGCTGCCTTGTCCTCCAGGAGTGCATGCAGCACTCGGACTTGGGACTCGCAGATGTGCTGCCGTGCGTCGCTGTTCTGGCGGTCCTGCATCAGCTGCTCTACCGCCTCCTTCATCTTCCCGTACGACTCCGCAGTCTCCTGCGTTTGCTCGTGCTCCTCCTTGGTCACGTAGTACCCGCCCCGCTCATTCACGCGCTCCTGCAGGCGGTTGCGCAGCTTCTGATTCTCCACCTCCATCGACCGCAGCCGCACGAGCAGCTTCTCCTTTTCGGTGTTCGCCGCGTTGCGGATGCTGCGCGCCTTCACAGCGTAGAGAAGGGTGGACTTCGTCTCCTCAATATCGCGACCGACCGACGAGATGCACGCGATCATCAACGTGCGAGCGGTGCCGCCGATCGAGTCCTGCAGCAGCTCCGTCAGCTTCGAGTCGCGGTAGGGCACGTGGCTCGGTCGCGTCGCCTCGTTGGTGTTCGACAAGGCCAGAAAGACACTCTTGAGGGCGAGCAGCGATTTGTTGATCTTGCCGGCCTCCCCCGCGGCGACGCCGGTGGCCAGCGATTTCTTCACGCTCTCCGAGCCCGCCAGGTCAATCATGAAGAGGTGGGCGACGTCGGTTTGGTCGGTGAAGGCGTTGTACTCCTCGAGATCGAAGATGAAGACGACGTGCGAGCGGCTGCTGCGGTCGTTCATCAGCGTCGCCGCGGTGTGCCGCCACGCCAGCCCCCGCTGGATCGTCTCAATGGCGTCGTTGACCCGACACAGCGTTACCTTATGCGTGAAGCGGGGAAAGCCGGAGATCAGCGTCACCTCCTCATCCCCGTTGGGACTCAGCATATCGGTCAGCCGCTCATTGTAGATTTCAATCATGGACAGCGTGATGGCGCACTGATCTCCATCGATCGTCTTCTGCTGCACGTAGTCCAACATCTCCGCGACGACGTTGTGCACGAGCCCATGCTCCGCCGCGTCGTTGCCGAGCATCGTGTAGGTCTTACCCGTGCCGGTTTGGCCGTAAACCATGATGGTGCCGTTCATGCCTTCCTTCACACATTGCAAAATAGGCCGGCAGGCGTGGTAGACGTCGTCTTGCGTCGCGGTGGGGGGAAAGGTGTAGTCGGGGTCGTACGTCTTTGAATCGAGAAGAATACGGCGGCTTTGGATGTCGAGCCCACCGGTGGGACGCTCCTGGCCCAGGAGAGGGCGGCAGCGAATGGCCACCTTAATGCTCGACGAGGACATGCGTTACTGGCGCGTGTGGGGATGAGAGACGAGAGAGGTCTAAAAAGGAAAATAACAACGGGTGTGCGTATATGTAATGAAACAAACGAATCTATAAGGAAAGCCCCCCAACCAATCAAGGGGCTGGTGGAGACGGAAGGAATCTGCGGCAGCCTCGTTGCAGGCGTTGCGTTGATGCGAACTGCGTCCCGCTGTGCCGCTTCTACGAAACGCGTGGGAGAGGCGAGTGATGCAGCAGCGCCGCCACGTATATATGTATATGCGTGTGTGCGTAGACAGCCAAACAATTCTGTGGAGGTCTCTGCCTGTAAATCAAGCAGCGCTCCTGTGCTAAGGCAAAAATAATATACGAGAAGACGTATGAAGGACGGCCTCCAGCGAAATAGGCGACTTCACGTACGCATTAGCAACAACAACAAAAAAACGGCGGCGACAGACGTGAACAGACCGAAGAAAGTCATGGAAAAGATGTTGTGGAGCGAAGAGAGAAGTGAGGTGGTAAGGAGTCCATTCGACCAACAACAACAGCAATGAAGGAAAAGGGGAGATACGCCTTTCACGAAAGCCACCTCTCCCGTGTTTTCTTCCTCCGTTGTCAACTCGCGCATACGCCCCTGTGGAGTGGTAGACGCGAAGACGGCAGAATCCGTTTCTTTCCTAAAAACCCAGGTGTAATCTTTTAATTAGTACTGGCACATGTGCAAACGCCAACAGCAGATAACGCAACACTCGATAAAACAGAATACTAACAATAGTAAGCGGGAACACAACAGCGTATCGTTGCAGACGGTTCTCTAATGTTTCACCTCAAACACGGCTGCTTTGCGAGAGGTGCAATGCGGCACCCGCACCGCCTCCCCGTCCTCGTTCACTACTGTCACGCTAGGTGTAAGATCGGTCACCGCAACGTCCGTCACCACCGCCTTCGGAGGGCCGGTGCGGCACCACGTCTCGAGTGCGTCGAGCTGCGCCGCCGTCCCCTCCGCCAGGATTTCAACCCGCGTGTCTGGCAGGTTGCGCACCCACCCCGTCACCCCCAGCTGCGTCGCCTTCCGCGCCGTGTGCTTGCGATAAAATACACCCTGCACGCGCCCACTCACGAAGATGTGATGCGTGCTGATGAGCGTCACACTCATGCTGCTGCGATACCGAAGATCTTTCCGCTGTCGTATTCGGTGCAGCAATAGTTATAGGAAAATAGGAGAAGGAGGGGGAGGGCGAGAAGGAGGCATAAGAGGTTGCTTTTGCGGTATCTGCGTTCGCAAAGAGCATCTCGACGGCGTCGGAGCTGTCGGCCGATCCGCTGCGCATTGCTGCGAGCGGCACCATAGCAGCTCTGCTGCAACCGGCACGACAACGAACACACGACGCAGAAAAGCTGCGCTGGAGCGGCGCCAGCAACAAGAAGAACCCACCTCTTTTCTCCAACTTCCTGAACAGGAGCCGCCCGTCCTACCCGAGTTCATTTGCGCATTTGACTTCCATTCGGAACCCTTTTGAATGAGAGATGCACCAGAGTAAGGATAAAGAGAATAAATATATAATACAAAAGGAGGAACACATCGTAGAAAGCGACAACAACACAGATTCGTACGCAATTAGATCCCTTCCGACTACAGGAAAACAACAAGCCACCGATTCAATTCCCCGCCCCCCATGTCGTCCCCACCATCACCACGTGCAACAGCGACGCACGCGTCAGGGCAACGCAATTGCAGCGCTGCGTCCTGTCAGATGTCCACATCCATCGCCTTGATGGACGCGTGGATGAGGCCCTGCAAGCTGCGCGCTTCACTTCCCAGCTTCCCGCCTCCCTCTCTCCCATTCACCGCGTCGCCGCTGGACAGCATGTCGCAAATGCGGTCAATCTTGCCGCGCATCCGCTGCTCCAGAATGGTGCGCAGAGCTCGTCGGTCCTTCTCATGGATCGTTAGCTGCTGCTGCAAGCGAGCGACTTCCTCGGCATCCGCGTTGCTGTTGTTGATGGAGGAGGACGATGGAGAGGCGGGGCTGCTCGGATTGTTGCGAGAAACCAAAGAAGCGCGCAGACCCGCGGCTTCACGCTCCAGTTTTTGTATTGCCGCTTGCTGCTCGTTGACCGTTGCCTGCAGAGCCCTCTCACGCGCCTGCGCATCGAGAAGTTGGCGTTGGTGCTCGCGTGGGTCGACATCCGCGCTGACAGCAGGCGGAGAGGAAGAGGGGTTTAAAGGTGCCGATGCGGACGTCGACTTCCTTTCCAGGTTCGGCAGCCGCGACAGGGTTCCCTGCAGGCGAGCCTTCTCCTCCACCTCCTGCAGTCGCTGCCAGACACGACTCACCGCCGACCGCTGTTCCGCGTCTACCGGCGGCGTTGCGCTCTCCAGTAAGTGCTGCATCTCCAGCCGCACGCGGTCCACCTCACGGCCGAGCCTGGCCCGCTCCACACCGTCCGTGCGCACTGCGTCCTGCACCGCGTCGATGGTGGCCGCGTACGCCTTACGCCGCGACTCCCACTCGGCCCGCAACTCACCTCGCAGGCCCTCCATCGCGTCAGCCGCCACCGTGTTGCCGTTCGAGCTGCTGCGCAGACGGAGAATCAGTTGGTCCACTGCCTTGTCCGCCACATGGGCGTTGTCCTCGCTGTTGCGCAGCTGCAGCGTGAGATCCGCCACGGTGCACCGCAGCTGTGCCAGTTGCTCATCGTAGTGACTGCGGAGCATCGAGTCCGCGCGCTGCTGCACCGCACGGGCCAACTCCGCCTCACTAAAGCCCGGCGTTACCGCCGCCGCCCCATCTTTTGACATCGCTCCCGCACCGCCACGAGGGGAGCTCCCGTTGCTGTCCGCGTCGTGGCAGCCCTGCAGCATGACGAGCTCAATGGACAGCTGCTCCGCTGTGACCGTCCGCGTGGGCTGCAGTAGCGATCGATACCGGTAGGAAGGAGACGCACTCGCATCCCCGCTACCTGCCGGATTCCCAGTCACCGCAGACCCAACACGCAGCCGCTGCACGTACGCCGCCGCCTGCGCCTCGCTCAGCCTTCCGACACTTCGTGGATTCACCACAAACGACGGCGGTCGACGACCGCTGCCTCCGTCCCCGCCATCAACCCCGACCGAGCTGCCGCTGTTCTCCCGCAGCGCCTGATCCAACTCCTCCTCCAACGCCAGCACGTGCTGGTCGTAGGCGTCCACTTCCTCCTGCAGCAGCAAAATGGTCTCGTCGCGGTCGTTGAGCCGCGTGGTGAGGCTCAGCATGATGTCGCGCTGCTTCAGCAGGAGGTGCTTGTAGCGGTCCACCTGCTCCTTGTCTTCGGCTACGGCCTGCCGCTCCCGATCCAGCTCGAGCAGCCGCTCGGCGTACTCCTGACTCGTGCGTGGGTTGCCCTCCATGCCGCCCTCGCGCATAATCGCCTCCAACTCCCGAATACGGCCCTCCAGTTCCTCGCGGACGCGGAGTTCCTCTTGGTGAGCCGCGGAGGACTGCTGCAGGGCTGCCAGCGCCGCCACACGGTCCTTCTCCGCCCGTCGGTAGTCCTCCTCCATCTCCGAGAGGAGGACGTGCGTGTCGACCGAGTCGGCCCCGGAGGCGGCGGCCTCCGTCCTCTCCTGCAGTTGCTGCCGCAGCCGGCGCAGTTCCTGCTCATACGTCCGCAGCAGCGTCGCCTGATTGACCCCCTCGTTCACCACGGCATGGGTCTGGATGTTCTTGGCGCGGTTGGCAAACATCAGTGTCGACAGCGACTCCGCGTAAGACTCCAGCGCGGGGGAGATGCAGGCGATCAGCGTTGTCTTGCAGTTACCGCCGAGTGAGTCCCGGAGAGCGCTCGTGAGGGCCGAGTTGCGAAATGGGATGTGCCGCGGCAGGCCGCCGCGACGGCCGTGTGCGGTGGACTTGGCCGCCAAGGCGGCAATGACGTTGCCAAGCTCGTGCAGCGACTTATTAATGCTCTTCGTCTCCTCTAAGCGCTGTCCCGTCACCCCGGCAAGTCGAATCTTTTCGCTGCCCGCGAGGTCCACGATGTGCAGCTTGCCAAAGCGGTAGGCCAGCGGGCTCGCCTCGTCCCCCTCCATCGCCTCCACCACGATGGTGAAGATGGCGTGCGAGCGGGAGGACAGCTCACTCAGCCGCGTGGCACTCGTCGCGCGCTGGGCGGTGCCTTTGGCAATGAGGCCGTAGACGTCCTCTGGCGTCCGGACGACCCATTCCGACAGACCGTCCACGTAGACGCCACGCTGTGGGGTGTGGCGCACCCCGAGACTGCTGCGGGTGCCCAACGACGGGTTTGGCGCCTCCAACAGGTCCGAGATGACCTCGTTGTAGATCTGCATGTAGGAGGCCCGCACGAGAAACTTCGTGTCCGCGCTCGCGCTGCGCTTCTCATGAATGTACGCGAAGACGTCCTCCACCGCGCGCGGAATGATGCCCCGCTCCTCCTCGTTCGTGAAGCCCTCCATCGTGTAAGTCTTACCGGTGCCGGTCTGCCCGTACGCCATCAACGTGGCGTTGTAACCCTCCAGCACGGACAGCACGGCGGGCCGGGCACTTCGCTCGTACACCTCCTCCTGCGTCGCAGCCGCGCTGTAGACGCGGTCGAAGGCGTAGCTCTGGCGCGAGTACACCGCCGCCCGTCCATCCTCCGTGTCGAGAGCGTCGCACAGGGTGATGGTGTTCTCGTGCGCCGCGGTGATTTGCACGACGTCCACAAACGGGCGGTAGCCGTGTAGCTCTCGCGGCAGCGGTGGTCGCACGCGGACGGCGACGCGGAAGTTTTCGCGCGTGTCGGCGCCGTCCGCACCTGCGTACAGGTTCGCGTCGTCGAAGTGCTCCGGTCGCGGCGAGGCGGAGGTCGAGGTGAATCGACTGGCGGTGCTGCGGTGTTGGTGGCCCGCCACGTGTCCCTCGCTGTACACGGACGGCGTGTAGATGCTGCTCTCGGTGAAGCTGCCGTTGGTTTGGCTCACCATCGAGGTGGAGGTGGCGCGTTCACCGTGGCGCCGCACCGAGTTGCCGGCGGGCGACCCTCTAATGAAGTACATTATAAACGGAGGACTAGACTAACAAAAAAAAAGTTTGAAAAACAAACAAAACAAATAACAATTAAGAAGTGAATGAAAGTGCGGCACAGTGGGAAGTGACTAAGCAGTACGAAATATACAGAACAGAACTTTGTGGTCGCCTTTCTTCTTTTTTCCTTTTCTTCGTTAGACGACAGCGGGAAAGAAACGCTGCCACCAACGACGAGCAGGCGCGCACTCCTCTCCCCTCACGTCGGCAAGAGAAGACGGTGTCGCCTCCGCGCCACAATGGGAGCTGGCAAATGTACGCAGGCTCCGCTGCGCGCTCTTCCGTAGTCGTCTTTGCGTAGCAATCGCGGTGACTCCTCCCAACGACGGCAACCAACAGAGCTGCTTGCGGCACGTCCGTGGGTGCGGTGTGGGGTGGAAGAAAATAAGAAGGGGAAACAAAAACGCGGAGAAGCGATGGTATGCGAAAGAGTAGCGAGATTGGAGTTTACGCATTACGTGTGTCGAGAAAGGAGAAGGAGCAAAAATGGAATGACGAAGACCTCAACCGCCGTTCCTGCGCGTGCCGAGAGTTTCGGCAAAGAAGGTAAACGACAAGCCATGAAAGGCCGCGGTAGGGATGCATCTTTTCCACTTTGCTAAGCGAAATGCGAGTGCTAGCGCACGACGAGACATCACGGACATCGTGCCTCTCTACTCAGGAATAAATGGCAGACCATGCCTGTGTGTGTTTCCGCGCGTTTTTCTCTTTTACGTTGCCTCCTTCGTTGCTGCTGATGTTAACAAAATACTGAAGGAAAGAGAAAGAGAAAGACCATCATGCGTACTCGGCATCATGCAAAGTCAAACGGTGGCAACCCACCCACACCACTCAAAGGAGGCCAAATAAGAATAAAAAGCACGTTGCTGCTTCTATGAAGGTGCGTACAACGACACCCCTCCCCCCCTCCTCCCCCTCCGCGCAGGTACGACAGCGGTGCGGGAGAGGTAGAAACAAAAACCCCATTCCTCACACCCGCACCCGCACACGCACGGACCAACAAGCCAAACTGCACCAGTACAATAAATCACACAGCCGTTCACTGAAAACATTTCTATAGAGAAGCGCTACAAGTCAATAGAAAGAAAGGAAGAAAACCAAAGAAAGCTACAGGTTCTATCGATAGAAAAATACATGTCTCCCCTCCCCCGCCTCCACGCAAAGCGATGCATTCAATCACACACACACGAGGGCGAGCCCGGAAAGGAAGGCGAAACAAAGCGAGGTCCGTCAGCGGCGGGATGGACAAGGAAGCGCAGCTACGCCTCTACCATGCGAGAAAACAACGGGGAAGGGGGGAAGAGGGAAAGGAAGATAAAAGTTCTATTCGACAGCCAGCCGGAGTTCACGCCGCTTGGGAGTGAACAGTGAAAACAGCGACAACACAAGCACATGTTCATACGTATTCCCTGGAGTACCTGTTGTTCCGCTGTGGCGCAGGCCAGGGCGGCCGCAAGCACTCACTTCTTCCCCCTCCCCGCCGCCGGCTTCCTCTTGGCCGGTGCCGCCTTCTTCACCGCCGCCTTCACCGTCCTCTTCGCTGACCGCACCGAAGGCTTCGCGGCGGGCGGGGAAGCGGTCTTCCTCGCACGTCCGCCAGTCGCCGCCTTGGCGGCCGCCGGTCTCGCCGCCGCCTTTTTTGCTTGCGGCTTCTTCTTTGCTGCCGCGGCGGCACTCCTGGTCGGTTTGCTCGTCTTCGTCGTCTTGCCAGCTTTGCCGGCCTTACCAGCCTTACCGCGGCCACCACCACCGCCGCCACGCCTGCCGTGCGCCGTCGCCGCTGCTTCCGTTGCCTCTGCCACCGCCTTCGCCGCCGCCTTCGCCGCGACAGCAGCAGCCTTGTCCTTCTTCGACCGTCGGCGGTGCAACGCGGCGGCTACGGTTGTCTGCCGTGCACCCGACTTCGCCGAGTCATCGGCCGCCGCCGCCGTCTTCTCCGACTTGGCGTTGCCACCCGCCGCTCCTTCTGCATCCCCCGGCGTCGCATCCAGCCGTGCGGAGGGCGTGCTCAGCCACGCGGACAGGCTGGTGTGTGTGCGTGACTTCGTTTTGCTGCGGGGGTGCCGCGTCACCCGTGCCACGCGCCGTGCCGCGTCCATCCAGTCCAGCGCTGGTCGGTTCTCGCCGGTCGGGGCGGCCGCGGGCTCCTCCGCCGCCGCGTTGGCGGCCTCGTCGTCCATGTTGTAGCCGCTGATCTTCGTCACGCCTGTCTTCTGCATAAACTGCGCCATCCCACTCACGTTGCCGTGACGGATCTGCCGGCTGATGCCGCTGCTGCTGTAGCCGTTAGTGCCGCTGTCCTCGCCGTTGAGCACGCTGGAGGCGGCGGCCGCGGCAGGCACCGCCCTCGCGTCCAGCACAATCTGCGGACCCCCCGCACCGCCCATGTTCGCGTTCACCTCCGTGGCGCGGTAGGAGTCGTTGTAGATGCGGCGAATATCGTCCTGCTCAGCGGTCGCACCGCCACCTTGCGGAGCCGACGACGAGGAGGAATAGGCGAGATTGGCGCTGCTTGGGTTTGCTGCGCCTTGGCGGGTCATGACGGCCTTGCGCGAGATGACGGGGCGACCGCGCTGGGCAGACGGGTTACTCGGGTCGAAGAAGACGTTGTTGCCGCCCATCCCTGCGCGTCGGGCGGTGGAATTGGCTGAGGGGTTCACGATCGATGCCGGCGCCGCTGCCATGGCTGCCGTAGTGGCAGTGGCGGTGTTCGCCGGCGTGGGCGGGACACTTCCAAAGAGGGAGCTGAAGGCGGTGTTGTGCTGCTGCTCCGCTGTCACCGCGGCTGCGGTGGATGAAGAAGCAAAGGAGGGGGACTGCAATGCGTTCGCTGCGAACGGCCAGCCGGCCATCGAGGAGGAGGAGGGCGTTGGACCCCAGGCTGTGGTGAAGGTAGTGACGGGGACGGCGGAGGGGGCTGCTGCCGCTGCTGTTACTGCTGCAGACGATGGCGGCGGCACTGATGCCGGTGCTGACGGGGAAAGCGGAGCTGCGGTGGTAGAGGGCGTCTCGGCAGGAACAGCGGTGGCAGCAGCGGACGGGTGAAGGCGCGTACGACGCGGTTGCGGGGCCGCGCCAGCCGCTGCCGTCGTCGCACGCGCTTTTTCGTCCTTTGCCTCACCGTGCGTGCCGCGACCGGCGAAGATTTGCCCTACCGAGGAGTTGAAGAACTTCGCGTAGTAGGACACAGGCTTCTCCGCCGCCGCCGCCGCCGCCTCTGTGGCCGGCGCAGCCGACTCCGGCGGTGGCGGAGGTCGGTAAGGGTCGGGCGAGGGAACTGTTGTGGCTGCCGCTGCTGCTGCTGCTGGTGCTGGTGGTTCCGACTGCCGTTGCGGCGGCGCTGGCGGAGGTGCCTGCGCCGACTCTGCCGCAGGCGTCGCCCTGGCGTCCATCGTCACCTCAAACGGGTCAGACGTGTTCAGGTCCAGTGCGAAGTGCGGCCCGTCGTTCCGCGCGTGGGACTTGTCGATGTGCTTCAGCACAAAACGCCCGCGCCGCTCCTCCGCCGGGGCGGGCTTCGGCAGCGGCATCATCGCCAGCGCCTTCCGCACCTGCGGTGAGAAGTTAGCATCGTTGCTCGTCACCTTCGCCAGGAGCGGGTACTGCGAGGTGAGCAGCGGCAGCGTCATACCACTCTGCAGATACACCAGCAGCACCGTGATGCGGGCGGTTTGCTCGTCAGCCTCCGCCAGCTTCGTGTACGACTTCTCCACGAGCAGCGACAGCAGCGTTTGCAGGGCGGGTGTCTTGGCGACATCCTCGTAAAGGGAGCGAAGGGAGATGAGGAGGTCCTCGAGTTCGGACTTCGTAAACGGCGGGCCACTGTCCACGCAGTCGGTGAAGTTGCGAAGCCACTCCGTGCTGAGCACCACCGCCGGGTAGCGCCGCAAAACGGAGAGGTACCGCACCACCGCGGAGAGCGTCATGCGGTCGGAGCGAACAATGTCCTCGCCGCCGACCTGCACAAACTGCCGAATGGCGGCGTCCCCGTCACCGAAGGTGGTCAGCAGCAGTTCTGCCAGGGACAGGAACTGCAGAGGGCCGACGGAGGCCGCCTTGGCAGCCGCCAACGCCTTGGCCACGCTGAAGGTTTGCTGGTTGCGCTCGGGGTGGTGCGCATCGCAAACGAGCGGCAGCGAAAACAGAATGTCGGTGTTCCACTGCGGCTCGGCAAAGACGCGGCGCAGGTGCGCCTGGGCAGCCTGCAGCAGCGCCGGATGACCGCAGGACAGGACGAACTGCAGGTCGTCGGGGGTAAAGCGCTCGCCTGGGGCGGCGAGGCGGGCGCACAGCGTGGACACCACCGGCTCTTCAAACTGGGTGGAGCCCAGCGTGATGGGCAGCATGTCGACGAGCTGCTTGCTCGTCAGCAACGCGTAGTCGACCGTCTCGACGAGGTTCGGCTCATCCGGGAAGGCAATCGCGAGGTTGAGGCGGACCACGCCGCTCGCGTCCGGCACGTGCAGTCGCAGCGCCACGGCCTTCGCCTCCGCCCACCACGTCGGCTTCGGCCCCGGCAGCATGGCGAAGGTAGCGCAGATGTGCGACAACTCGACCAGGCGCAGCTCCCCGAGCACCACCTCAATCCGCTCCGACAGCCGCGCCGCCAGCTCCGGCGTGAGGAGCTGCGCACGCCGCAAGATGCCGGTCGCGAGGGCCAGCTGCGGCGGCTCGAAGGTCTGCACTTCGTGCTGCACGTACTCACCGTACGCAACAAAGACACGCCGGTAGCGCATGTGCCCGCCCAGCTCGTAGGCAAACACGATCGCCGAGACGTCCTCCGCGTTGGAGCTGTAGAGGATATCACGCGGGTCCAGAAAGCGCACAACGCGGGCGCTGAAGTCCTCCAGCAACGCGCTGTAGTAATCCCGAACGCGGTAGAGGTCGTCGGTGGTGGCGCCGTTCACGTTTGGCGTCACAGAAAGTAAGAGCTTCGCCAGAGAGCTGAGTATGCCGTTCGCTTCCATCGCATTGACCGTCATGGCGTAGTGAAAGGCAGCCCGTGTCAGTCGCTCTATCAGCTCAATCGGCAGCGGCACGAGTTGGTTGTGACGCACACAGGCGAGCGCCAGGGGGGTGAAATTATCCCTGCGGAACTCACCGGTGCACTCCACCAACAGATATAGCACCTGATTCGACTCCGGCCGCTCCGCCCGCACCATCCACGCGTAGATGCGGACGAGGGAAGTCTGCAAGAAAGAGAGGTTGCCTGGTGGGGTCATCTGCAGGTGCTTCATGACCGTATTGGCCAGTTCATCGTTCATCGCCGGTGACACCCGCCTCCCGCAGCGCTGCAGCAGCTTGGCGCACGACGCGAGAGGGTCCCAGAGCTCATTGAAACGGCGTAACGTGTCCTTGCTGGCACTCACATCGCCCTGCAGTGCGTTGATGTCCTGCGTGATAGGCGGCACACTCTGCAGCTGCTGCAGCACCTGCAACACCACTTGAAACACACGCTCGTAGTTCTCCTCGGGACGGATGTTAACGAGACTCAAAGCAGCAAGGAGGCGGTTTACAGCTTTATTGGAGCTGTCCTCCGCCTGTCGAATCAGCTTGTTCATCAGCAGCGAGGCCACTGAGGCCTCGGGTTGAATCTCGAAGAGGTTGAGAAACTGTGAGAGAGCCAAGGCGTTGTCGCCAGTGTCCATCCACGTGCTCAGCTCCACCTTGGGCACCTCCGCGTCCAGGAAACGCTGAGCCTCCTCGCGAGCAAAAGCGTATTGCGATTTATAGCGCAGCCGCTTCTTGAAATTCGCGGCACGACGGAAAAAATCGGCTCCGTTCGGCCGCGCCTCATGTTCGCCTTGCCGTTGCGCACAGACGGCTGATGCCGCCGCCGCCGCCGCACCTGTCGCCCACCCAGTCGACTCTGCGGGCTGCCATCGTAGCAGCTGCGAGGTAATACGTAGCATACTTGCGTAGTGGTGCGTTGATACTCACACGCACACACACACAGACACACACACATATATGTATATATCAACAGAGGAGAAAGAAGTACGAAAAGAGTCTATGCGCAAAGGAACAAAAAATGAGGCGGCTATACGGCCACAGCAAAGAAGGGAAAACAGCGCCAAAGAGAGCGGCCTGTGTACGAGAAAGCAGCAACAATACAGCTGCCTCCCGCTCGCTGAGCTTCCACGTCGTTATCGCTGTGGTGCTGCAGATGTTTAGTTCTGCGTTCTATGCAATAAGTGGATCAATTGTGCTTACCTGCAAATGAAAAGAGTTGATTTGCTCCGTTGTGATCGAAGGTGCGTTATCGCCTCCGGCGGTTCTGCCTGTATGATTGCGCCTTCGATTCCCCACGCTCTGCCCAACAGAAGAAGAAGAGGAGGTTGGGTTTGTCGGAAGAGAACAGGCGGATCCATTCAAGGCACACACACCCACACACAGACAGCGACACTTGACAGTTTATGTGGGCCCTAGTACGATCTCTTTAGACGGAACAGAAGAGTGGGCGTGCAGTTCCACCACGCCTGCGCGGAAGTCAGCAGTGAAGCCGCCGAGGCGTTCTACTATTCTTCTGCACGTGATGCCGAGTGTTCCTCACATCCAGTTCCGTTGTAGCCAGACACAAGGGTACATATCAGAACCATGTGTGTGTGTGTGTGTGTGTGTGTGTGTGTCTGAAAGCTTCTTCTTCTTTCTTTCGCGGCCGTTATCACCTGAGTTCCAAAGGAAAACAAACGGAGGGAGGCCTCCTTTTCTTTATTCGAGCAGCAAATGAAATGATCACCGAGGTAAAAGAAGGCGTGTGTCTTCTCAGCTTTTTCTTCGTAAAACCCTCCCCGCCATGCCTAACTCCGCGCTGCAAACGGCCCCGTTCATCCGGTATGACGACTGAGCGACCTCGTGAAGCGCAACAGCGCTCACCAAAGGGGAAGACCCCCAAAAAAGACGCGTCATCTTCGTTGACAGCTTGAAGAGAATAGCAAGAATAATACTAACGAAACAACGCGCTATATACAGATATAAATAAATTTTTAACGGCGTACATCAACAAGTGAGGATGCTGCGAAGCGACACGTCAATGCAGCCATAAGCCGCAACCGCCAAGTCAGCGAACAAGAAGTTTTTCCCCCGTGAAGAGGTTGACGCGCTATTGCTGTCTTTGCCCCATCACCTCGCCGGCGAGCGCTGCGAAATAATGTCCAACCAATAATAGTAACACGCAAGAGAAAGAGAAGAGTAAACCACCGAAAAGGAGCTGCAACGATAGCAGGGTGCGTCCATGAGGCGCGTGTGTGAAACCCTCATTGACGCAGCGACCTCAACGCAGCGGGAAAGGAAAAAAAAAAGAAGAAGAAACGGGAAAGAGAAGAGCATCGCTATCACGGCAAACCGACAACTTCACACGAAGGGTTTGTTTAGAGAAAAAAATATATACAGTTTAGCCTGTTTACTGTGTGCGTGTATACGAGTTCGAAGGAAAGGATGTCGATTCCATTGGTGACGGTTGTGTACATCGAGAAAGAGAAGAGAAAAGCCAACCAAGACGAGAATAGGAAGAAGACGAAGGCGCGGGGATCGAGGCGTCCTCGTTTGATCTCCCCGCCGTTGTCGCACACAAACACCCACGCACCATCAACGTTTTACGGATACGAAAGCAAATCCACAAAGGCGCCATATTTTGTTTGGATGCCACCCCCGCCCCGACCACCATCACGACCGCCAGCACTATCGCTGTTGCCGTGAGGCGGCTGCACAGCCGGCGCGCGCGGTGCGGAGCTGCGAGCGTGGCCAATGCGTTGCCGTGCCGCCGCATACCGCGAATACGCCTCCTCCTGCTCCTCCGGACTGACCAACGAGGCCTCAACCGTCGAGGTGGGCGATGGGAGAAACGTGTGGCGGATGCCGGCGCTGGAGAGCCGATGCATGCCGGGCCGGCTGTGCTGTCCTCCCGCCGCGCTGCCCGCCTCCCCGTTCGAACCGCTGTTGTAGGTGTTGTAACTCTTGCTTTTGCTGTTCTCTCGCGGCGAGGGAGAGGGGGCACGCGCGGCGGTGGAGTACGCTGGCAGGTCCATCGCATCCAACAGTGGCACGCCGTCAAACACGCTGCGCCGCACCGAGAGTTGCGGTTGCTGTTGCTGCTGCGGCGGCGGAGGTGCACCGCTGTCCACGTGCTGGCCTGCAGGCGCCGGCGTCGTTGCCCTCAAGGAGTCGCTGTCACTGAGCCTGTGGGCGATGGACTCACGTGCCGTGCCCGCCGCAGGCGAGGCGTCGCGCAACCAGGGGTGTCCCAGCAGCTCCCTGGCGGTGGCCCGCAGGTCCTTGTCGTACACGAAACAGAGGTCAAGAAAGCTCTGCAGGGTGGGCGAGACGTGCAGGCCGGGCGGCAGGCGAGGCGGCGCCGTGGCGCAGTTGGCGATGCGGAACAACACGGCTGATGGATTGTGCAGGTCGGCACCGAAGGGGCGGGTGCCGGTGACCATCTCGTACACGGTGACCCCGACGCTCCAAATGTCGGCGCGGGTGGTGTAGCCGACGGAGCCGCGGGCGAGTCTGCCCTTACGGATAATGCGCTTCAGTGGGTTGTAGTAGGGCGTGGAGGAATAGAGCGGGGGTGGGTCGGGGCCCGGGGTGCTGGCGGAAGGAAAGGCCGGCATCGCGTTGGACCAGTCCTCGAGGGAGCTCTCCATGGGAGACGGCTCTGCGTACTGCTTTGCAGTCCCCACGTTGTCGGCAGCGTTGCCCTCTCCACGACCGTCGCTTTTCGCATCTTCCTCTCCCACAGAATCACCCTCTTCATCGTCGTCTTCGACACCTCCGTTAATGACCTCGGGCGCCATGTACCACGGCGTGCCGACCGCCGTCTGCAGGCGTCCCTCTCGCCCCTCGCGCTCGCCAGCGGAGTTCGACAACGGCGGATGCCTTGGCGGTGTCTCCTCCACGTGCTTCGCGACACCGAAGTCCGCAAGCTTGCAGCGGCCCTCTGGGGTGATGAGGATATTCGCCGGCTTCACGTCTCGGTGGCAGACGTGCATGACCTCGTGCAGGTACCGCAGGGCCTCGAGCACGTCGCGGGTGTAGGCGCGTGCGACGGTCTCGCGCAGCGGACCGCAGCGCGTTAATACGTAGTCGAGCGAGCCACCGCTGACGTACTCCATGATGATCTGCACCCCCACCGCACTGCGTCGGGCACCGTAGTACTGCACTAGGTTGGGGTGCCGCCCCTCCCGCATGCAGGCGAGCTCGCGCAGGATCTCCGCCAGCTCCGTGTCCTCCCCGCCTGCCAGGCTGGGCTCCATGTAGGGCAGCTCCTTCACCGCCACAAACTGACCCTTGGCGTGGTCGAAGCCTTCGTAGACGATGCCGCAGCCGCCGACACCGAGCTTGCGGTTCAGCTTCACCACCGACTCCATGGCCAAAACGACAAGAACAGCTGCGAAAAAACAAACCTTGTAGCCGCAATGGCGAAAGGAGAGGATTTATGATTGAGGAGGGAGAGGAAGGGAAGGTCTGATAAGACGCGCCAGCTGCTTGTGAACCGCAGACGCCGGTGTCGCGTCTTCCGCAGCGGCGGCAGCTCAGAACAACGAGATTAAATGCTACAGAAATTGGGAAAGGCAGGGGTGCCACATGGCCGACGGCGCAGCGCCGTCCCAGCAGTTCTTGTCCTGTCGGGTTAAAAGACAATGGCGAAGTGTAGTGGGAAGGAGAGAGAGAGAGGCAGAGGCAAAGTACGAGCAGGCACATGAGCTGCGAAGAAGAGAACAGAGAAGATATGTTTGTGTGGAGGGGGGAGGGAAGGGGGGAATCCTTCTCTTCACGGGAGAGCATTTAAAAGAGGAGGTCAACAGATTGTGCCTTCGTGATTGGCCGCCTCCGTAAGGAGAAGCGGGCTGAGCGGTGAAGGGTCGAGATAAAAATGCCCCACCAAACACCGCTCACGCAGTACTTCTCCGTTATCCGTTGTGCACCAAGGCCGACAACGCTGCTTCTCTCCGTCCCTCCTTTTCTTATAAATCAATTGACTGTCTGCAAAGCAATGCAACGGGAGTTGCCGCAAAATGAAGCAACAGCAAGAACAGGGCCTTGAGGACGCATCGCCACGGCCTCCGACCTACTTGAAAGTTCCTCCGCACAGTGGAGCGTAGACATTGATACGGCTCACCGGCAAAGGAAAAGCCGTGCTTCTGTTTTCTATAATGTAAGAGAGGCGTTGGCGTAAGCCGCAACGACACGAAGGACGCGATACGAAGTACAATACTCGTCAGAGCCCACGACCCTGCCTCGATCTTTTGTCTCTTGTCTTTCTACTCCTGTACGACCGGCGCCACCGGATGCGCGCGCAGCACCACCTCCAAATGGTACGATTCCACCGTCTTGTCCTCGCTGTTGTTGATGAAGATCCACATCGGCCACCGCCCCTCCAGCTGGCCGGGCGGTAGCGTGAGCATGTCGAACTGCAACCCGACAAACTGCGAGTCGCCCGGTGCCAGCGCGAACTTCGACGGGCTCACGCGCAGATTAAACTTGTAGTTGTGGTGCACTTGAAACACCTCTTCCTGCTCGCCGCGATGGGCGAAGGTGAGACGGCGCAGCACCGGCCCACGGGCGTTCTCCAAAGACAGCTCGATCACTTGCGTGTAGGATGGGGTTGGGTAGACGGTCGGCACCGTGAGCAGCGTCTTCTTTAGCGCGCTGTCCTGCAGGGTGTGCAGCAGCATCTTCTGCGTCCCGACATCGCGGGGGTGGAGGCGCAACACGTACGAAGGCCCCCGCCGCTCCACCTTCACCTTCGTGTCGCTGCAGTACAGATCCTCCGTGCCCTCCGCAGGGAGGCCGAGGGCGGTCGTCTGTCCCCAGTAAATGTCACGCGTCATGTAGCTTTCACAGGCAAAGACGCACAGCTCCCACGTCTCATAAACACGGCTCATGGCTGCATCGTAGAAGAAGGTGACGTATTCAATGCGCTGCCGCCCTAACTCTTTCGGGATCTGCGTCGTCACCGTCGCCTCCTCCCAGGCCGTGATGTGCGTCTGTGTGATGGGGTCGAGCACCGCGTTGGTGCGCACCGTCGTCGTCCCCGAGGACGTCGCGGCGAACGCGCAGAGCTCGCGCATGCGCCGCAGCAACGCGGCGCTGTTGGACGTGTCCGGGAAGCTCGCGGCAGAAAACGTGCGGCTGAGAAACCGCGTCGACACCTCCGTGCCGGCGGCGCCGAATACCTCGTAGCGGCGGTCCACCAACGGCGGCTCCACCGTGGCGTTCACGCGAACGCAGCAGACGAGCTCGCGCCTTTCGGAGTAGACGCGGGCGGTGACTCGCGTGACGTTTGGATGCTCCGCCGCGTGTGCGGAGAGGCGGACGACCAGCAGCACCTCGGTGCGTTCACGGGGCCCCAGGTAGAAGTTCGCGCCGTCCACGACGGCGCACACGTCCATATCGCCCGGATCGACCTCGACGAAGAACTGCATCGTAGTGCCAAACGGATTCGCAAAGGGCGTGCGGATCACCTCTGGTCGCCACGACACGACGTGGACGTCGTGCTCCACCGTGAGGCGGCTGAGGAGGGCCTCGGCGATGCGCTTTGATTTAACGGCTGCGCGCTCGTGCTCGAGTTGGCGCAGGCGGTACTCCATTTCTGCTGCCTCCTGCGCCGCCTGCACGTGTGCGTCCGGCACACCGGGGAGGAGGGGGCTGCCGGTGCTCTGCTGCTGCGCCAGCAGTTGCTTCTTAATGTACTCGGTGCGTTGCCGGTGCAGAGAACCGCCGCCATTACCGTTTTCTCCTCCCGTTGCAACAGCAGGAGGAGGAGTCGTAGTCGCAGTGGCGGCGGTGATGCGGTCGCTCACGTCATTTCCTGCTGACGACTCGCGCAGCGCGGTGGAACCGCCGTCAGCGTTTGGGGCGCCGCCTCCGCTTGATGATGACGTCGCGGACCCGTTGAGTCGATCGACGTGACGGAGCTTCTTCGCAGTAATGACGCGGCCACCACCACGAACACCGTCAGCACCACCATTATGCGCCGCCCCCTCTCCTGGGAGCCGCATCACATTGGACTGACCCGCCAAGCCCCCCTCCGCCTCCCCAACACCGACGCAGAAAATCGTGAGGTGCACCTGACCGGCGTGCCGCATCACGGGGAACACCTTTGGCGGCACCACCTGCTCCGTCATGCTGAGGTCACGCTGGAGCGCGACGTCCATCGGCATCATCGCACACGTGGCGGACACGGGTCTGCGGAAGGCAGCCAGTGGGAGGTGTGCCGTGGCGACGTAGAACATGGTCAGTGCGTCGTACACGTGCACGTAGAGGGTGGCGTTGCCGGCTGCCTTGAACTTGCGCATCACGCTGCTCTGCAGTGCCTCCGTCGGCTCGCACCAGACCAGTCCGGCTCGATCCTGACTGTCGTACACCTTAAAGCTTCTGTTCGTCGTCGTCTCCTCGACGGAGACCATGCGCAGGGGGCCCACCTGCTGGTAGCTCAGAGGACCAAAGGAGAAGAGCAAACACACGTCAGCCGGCATGTACACCGCGTTGTCCACCGTGATGCCTTCCACACGGAAACCGTACAGGGAGGAGTTCAGCTGGCCCACCATCGGTGCCGCGTCATTCAGCAGCGTGCCGTGGAGAGGGTGGAGAAGGGGCTGCACGCCCTCCTGCATAAGGCGGCGCGCACACCAGGAGACCGCCAGCGGCCGCGGGGCGAGGTCAATCACATCCACCTCCCCATCGGCTAAGCCTTTGTTGAGACGCTCCTGCATGGCGGGACTCAGCGCTGCGGGCCCGCTGCCCAGACCGCTCGTCTGCCGGAGCAGCACGTCTTGCGACTCACGAACCTTGTGCAACTCCTCCATGATGGTGCAGAGCAGCTTGAAGATGCCGACGTCGTCCCCGGCAGCACGAGACGCGGCGAGCGCGGCCGGCATCGTCGGTGCTTGCGACGTCGGAGCGCCCTCTAACGGCGTCACTCCTGGCATCGCCGGAGAGGGAATCTGATCCGCGGTGGACAGCACACGCGTAGGCTTCCCCCCCGCTGCCGCCGGCGGTGGATGGTCGCTGAGCACAGACGCCGAGGCGGAGGACACGTCATCTCGTGTGATTTCCTCAGGCACCGGCAGCGGTGCAGCGACACCCGCACCAACACCGGCCGCTGCTGCTGCTGCTGCGGCGGCGGCGGACGAGGAGGGGGCTACACCGGTGTCGTGGTACTCTACGGTGAGAGTCACGGCTATCGGCACACGCCCGTAGGGACTGGTGGAGTCCAACATCAGCAGCCGCGCATCCTCGCACGAGAAGGGACCGCGCAACGCAGGCAAATTCTCTACGCGAATGTCACGGTCTTCCATCGGCATCATGCAGAGCGGCAGCACGCAGAAGCCGACCACCGCGAAGGCACGCGAACCCGGTGCGCGGCGACGCACCGCCATGACAAGCGACGTCGAGGAGTGCACCGGCAGCCGGTCCATTTCAAGCGGAAGATCGGAGCGGAGGAGAACCGTATTCGGCGCTGCACTGATTGGGTGCGGACTAGACGTCGAGGAGGACGGGGAGGAGGAGGAGCTGCTGCCACTTTCATGGCGCCCACGACCGCCACCATTGCTGGTTTTTTCCGAAGAGCTCACGAGCAGCAGCGGCACCTCGCTGCCTTTCCCGAGCGGCCGAAAGCCGTTGTGGGCGATGGCGGCGACCGACCAGTCAGCGTCCGGGTCGGCTAAGTTCACGGCGGAGTCCTTCGACGTGGCGGCGAGCTCGATGTTCTTGACGGTGAGGCGGAAGGTCGAGGTGCCGGGCTTCGGCGTGCTGCGCGTGAAGTCGGCGGAGACGAAGACACCAGGAGGCACGAGCTCGCTCATCAGCTTCGCCAGCGCCGCGTCTGCGTTGACGGCAACGTCGCAGAGCAGCGCCGCATCACTCGGCGCCGTTGGGAGGCACTCCGCCGGCCAGGAGGATTGGTCCACCTGCAGCAGCTGCGCCGTGCCGCGGTGCAGCGTGAAGGAGGTGCCGCCGTTCTTCAGCTCCTCCACCGGGCAGCAGCCCCAGCGCGTGACGCGGTGTTGCTCCAGCGACCGATCCGGGCGCGTCTCCTGCGCGAGCGTCTCGACCACCAACACCTGCGACGGTGCCGTCTGCACGACGATGGGCCGGGTGAGCTGGTGCCGCTCCAGCTGGTAGGACGAGCCGTAGAACATCTTTCGTGCCGGGTCGAAGAGGACGAGGTTCACGGCGTCCATCTCGGTTGCCTGTAGCGCTTCCGGCGAGGCGTCGCGGAAGGTGAGCTGCAGCGTTACACAGGCGCCACCGTGGGATTGAATGCTCTTTGCAGTCTGCTTGGCTTCCCACGAGTCGTAGCGGAAGCCGTTGGAGAGCAGCAGGCGAGCCATCTGTTCCGCGGACCGCGGCCGTGACGCCGGCGCTCCAGCAGACGGCGGCATCGTTCTAAGTTATGAAAAAGAAGAAGAAGAGTCTATATGTATGTTGCACAGCAGTAAGATGTGCGCGCTGCTTGCATGCAGCTCGTGATACGGAAGTAAAAAAAGAAAAAGGAGGAGCAGGAGTCTTCGTTGTGTGTGTGTGTCTTCTGTGGCTGTGAGCTGCCTCGCCGCGTGCGTATCACGCGGAAATGTGGTGGAGTTGACGATCGCACGTGCGTCTCGCGTCTATGCAAATGTGTAGTCTTTTTAAAGGTCGCTTCGCTGTTGCAACGGACCCCGTAAAGGAAGAAGAGGCGAAAGAAAGCGGAGGTGACTTCTCTTTTGTGAATACGCGATGGTGGAGTACATGCGAGGGCACACCCAGAGAGAGAGAGGCAGTGTGCGTCACGAGCCACTTCTCAATGCAATGGGGCGCTGCTTTCAGTGTCTGCTGCTCGCGTCCATCTCTTAACGCGGTGCAGCTCAGCGGCTACACCTCACTCCCTCAGCTTTTTGTGCTTTGTTTTGCGATGAGAGAGAGAAAGTCCTCTACTTAATGAAGTCACCGCTTTTGAGCTTTTCTCATCTTGAATAAATTTCCCGCTACAGTGTCGTTCTCCTTCTTATTCTTACTATCATTATCATTTTTTCATATCCGCGGCAAAGCAACGACCCCCGCCCTTCCCAGGAAGGATGAGGAAACGCCACTGGTTGGCAGGCGAACATGAGAAAAAGGAAAAGAGAAAAGGCCAAAACGCGAAACAGAAGGCGATACATCTCACTTAACGCAGAATCGACAGGACACACCGTTCTTGTCTTACACATCAGCACGGCAACGTGACGCGGAGACGGAGCAATTCAAGCCTTTGCAACGGCATATCAACGACCATTGATCCTTTCTTTGCCCAGTCTACGGTACTACTTTATGAATATGTATGCATATGTATCCATCTCGAATTGAAGTCGAATGCTGATGAGAAGCACTGCATCGGTGTATGCGAGGTCTTCACGCTCAACCAACCAGCAACAACAAAGCCTGTTCCATCTGGATGTACACGCTCTTCCCAGTTTCAGTTCCTTTCCTAACTCTTTCCCTTTCACCGCACACATCCTCCCACACATTCACACACGCACAACCGGGGCATTCTCTTTTATTTTCTTTGAATTCCCAGATGTTCCCTTTGGACGTTTGATGTCCTTTAAAAAAAAGGCATTTCATTTCCCTTTCTTTTCAGTAATAATAATGATCGCAATAAAGTGCCTGTTCAAGGCGAGAAAGCTTGTGGGGTGAATCCACTAGGTTGCGCTAAGATGCCGACACTCGCTCCACGCATGACGGTCGGCGATGGAGAGCACGACGCGGGGGGCGGGGCACGTGCAACGACCGCGACGTGCAACCGCTGACAACGTCCACGAAATGCACAAGGGAAATAATAATAACAAAAAGACTCCTCCAGAGTAACAGGCGCCTCCACGCGCGAAGCTATCCAGAACTCCCTCACGTCCACAACCGTTCGCCACCGTAAGGAAGAGGGAGAAAAGAAACCTCTTCATCGATTTGCATGTCATTTTTCCCGTCTCTAAACCATAGCAGGAAAACCTTATGAAATGGCGGACTCCTTCAATCCACCTCTTACGTGGGGCGCTGCCTTCGGAGGGAACGTGATCCGTAGCTTTGAGCTGTCGGCCGGAATTGAGGAAAAGAGGTAGTGAGGAGAAGCAGGCGTCAGGGTCCCCCTCCTCCTCCTCCCATTCACCCCCCACTCCTCCATCACTCAGGAGTTGGGAAAACGAAAGCCAGAAAGAAGAAGAAGAAAAAAAAAGGGCGAACGACGGCACCACAACAGGACAGACGCTTCGTGTACAACAGCTATCCTTTTACACGGCGACGAGCGCTTCTCAACGGAGAAGACGTCAACCATCACGCTCCACCGCTTGCAAGCGTCGCGCGCCCGTGGCAGTTACACCGATACAAAACGAACTCTTCTTACGCGCCGCGCGTCTTCCTTGCCGGGTAATTCCTCCTTCTACGCGCGCGGCGCTCATTTGTGAAAAATAGTAAATGAAAAAGCCAGACAGTTAAAAACGAATAATAGTTATGTAAAGAGTGAAAGCCAATATGATTTTTTCCTTCGCTGAGAGACCGTCGCCAGTGCGGTGGCGCCAGGGGGGGAGAGGGGGGAAGCGGGGTCAGACAGCGCTCGCCATCGGCCTCAGCCACTCGCTCCGATACATACGCGGGCACGGACACGGCGCTGCTCTCCGGCTTACACCAGAGCGCTGGGCTGGTTCGTCCACGGCTTGCCCTTCTCGGCGGAGATCTCCTTCAGCGCCTTCACGTGCGTGGCCGCCTGCGTCATCGCGTGGTGCAGCTCGCTGCCGATGCAGATGAAGGTGAAGTCCTTCTCCAGGAACTCGCCGACGCGGTCCGTGCCGAAGAGGAACAGGCCCAGGATCACGTTGTTCTTCTTCGCCGTCGCGATCAGCTTGTCGGTCGCGGCCTGCAGCTCCGGCGAGAAGTACATCTGCGGGAACACGTAGCGGCCGTCGTACAGGCCCAGGGACATGCACAGGTCGTTCTGGCCCAAGAAGGCGATGTCGATGCCCTTCACGGCCATGATCTCCTCCAGGTTCTCGATGCACGACGCCGTCTCCACCTGGAAGGCAACCACCACGTTCTTGTTCGCCGCCGGCACGTAGCCCAGCAGGCCAGCGGCGTTCATGCACTGCTGCGGCTGGTACACGGAGCGGGTGCCCTCCGTGGGGTAGTAGCAGCACGACACGGCCTCCTGCAGCTCCTGCGCGTTGTTCACGTACGGGATCAGCACGCCGTCCGCGCCGCTGTCCAGCGACGTCTGGATGCCGGCGCGGTCATGCGTGCTCGCGACGCGCACCATCACCTTGGCGTGGCCCACGCGGATCGCGGCGATCATCTGCGCCACCGTCATCGAGTCCACGGGGGAGTGCTGGGCATCGATCAGCAGCCAGTCGTAGCCGGAGTGGCTGAACTGGCCGGCGAGCAGGGGGTTGGCGGAGTTCAGGAACACGCCGAACTTCGGCTTGCCGGCACGGAGCTCGGCCTTGAATTCAGCGCCACCAGCGGACATGATGAATGCGTGACGGAGGAGAAAGACGGGGTTGGTGAGTCGTTAACGAACACAGTGGAGAGAGAGAGAGAGAGAGGCGGTATGCGGTGGCAAACTGCCGACGCAGGCGGGTGTATACACGCGTTGTATGTGTGTGTGTGTGTGTTCCCAGGTAAAGTTGGAGAAGACAGAGGAGAGGGGAAAATACGTGGAGGGGGTAAAGAAGGAGGGGAATGCAATGATACGGACTCGTCAAGGAGAGGAAATGCCGTTGAACCGCACGGCCTCGTCTGCATTTATCCGTCACAAGAAATGTGGTGGCCGGTCTTGGGCATTTGATCGAGAAGGCGCCGGTGCAGGAGGGAATGCTGCTGGGGTGAATTATCGGTCATGTTGATGGACGCAATGAAGGAAAGCTGCGTTGAAGCGTTCATCGATTCGGGAAGGCACCGCTTCGCACGGAGTGAATATCTTTTTCCTTTTGAGTGCTCAGCTTCTGCATTCTCGATGCCACCTCGAACGGTGTCGGCGAGGGGAGTCAAGGCCGCACAAGTGGGGTGGGACACTCACAGCTCTGCCCTCAATGGATAAAGAAACACGAGTGTAAACGAGGAAAGGAAAAATTGTATATATATCATTGTTTCCTTACAACGCTCTTGTGAGCTGATCAACATCGCTGAGGGAGAAGCACACCGACACCAACAGAAGAAAAAAGCGGAAGAGGAGAAGATCGGCGCTTATCCGCTTCACCGGGCCACGCTGCACACGCCCTCGCCGCCTCCTTCGCGCCGAATGAAAAGTAAAGAAAAGAAGGGCGAGAGAAACGAAGGGCACGCACTGCACGAAGCAGCGAGGCGTGATGCTTCCCAGGCGCATGAGGCACGCACACCAACGCTCGCGGGACGCACCTCTCCCCCCTTGCCCCCCCCCCCCACCACAAAAAAACAACAGAAGAGGAGATTCTTTGGTGGTGTAGAAGACGACGATTTCAGCAACAACAGCGATGGGGGAAATAACAAGAATAAGAAACAAAATAACAAAGAGAATCATTCCAGTGAACCAAAGCGAGTTTCAAACACAAAAGGGGAGGTGATGCGATGCATCGAAAATGGCGCTGTGCGCTGCCCAGTGACGACCATTTCGCCCATCGCAGACGCGCAGAGAGCAAAGAAGAAAAAACCCTCAAACAGTCAGGTATCTGTAGCAACAGCGCAAAAAGCGAAGGTGCGGCGTCTGTTCGCTTTACCATCTGCGTTATCAACACTTGTACGAATGAAATCCAGGCTTCCCAGAAAGTATATCCGCAGCATTTCGCTGCTCACACACACACACACACACACACATACATATAAATACATACATACATGCACAAACAGACCGCTCAAAACAGAGAAGGATAAAAGGAATGGTACGAGGCAGCTCTCTCACGTTACAGAGCCTCCGCTGCCTTCTCCACCGCCTTTTGAACCTCCTCGTCCGTTGCGTTGTCGCTCACCATCTCGAGCGCCTTCGCCATCACCCGCTGCGCAGCGCGGCGCTGCCCCAGCAAGCCTATCTCGGGAATCACCAATTCAAAGCGCAGAGGGGAGGGAATATAGTCCAGCGTCTGCGAGCGACCCTCCAAGATTACGTTGTAGCCGTCTGCGCTCAGAAGCTTGATGGCGGCGGCGCCGAAGCGAATCACTTCGCCCTGCGTCTGCTGCGCCACCGTCGGCACTTTCGCGCTGATCAGCGGTGTCTTGAGCGCCGTGTTCTGCACATCCGCCACCCGCGTCGTGCCATCCAGCATCGTCTGGAAAGTGCCGTCGTCGCACTTCACAAACGACACCCGCCTCGCGACGTCGGCCAGCAAGTCGTCCGTCAAGTTCTCCGTCGTTATTTCCTTTCCCTGCGCCGCCAGCACCTCGTTGCAGAGGTACGTGTAGCTGCGGAATACATTACCGTTGCTCCAGGTGACGCACTTGGGCAGCGCATCCTGCAGCTTGTTCACCGTGGTGCCCTTGCCCGTGCCGCTCAGCCCTTGTAAAACGATGACGTTTCCGGCCAACGACGGCAGGGCCGCGACAATCTTATCCGCCACGGCATTGGCGGTGAGGCCCACCACGTTGATCTTCGTAACAGGAGACACATCGGGATGGCCGCTAAGAATGCCCTTGCGAATCGCAATGCGAATTCCGTCGCACAGCTTCCCCGCGTCCTCGTTGTCGCGCTGAACGATGCCACGACCCTCGCTCTCGGACAGCTTCTGGAACGTGGCGTTATTCCTTAGTGCAGCAAGCACACAGGAGCTGCAAACATCATCCTGCTGACGTAGGATCTGCAGAGTCAGGCGTTGCATGTGGATTTTCTTCCTTGCTTGACGCGGGGTATTTGTTTGCTTCGGAGTTATCAACACTATTCAAAGAGAAGAAGACCTATGTGCTATCGAAGGCGGGCGTGGGGTTCGCTGGACAGGTTTTCCCAATGAAGGACAGAAGAAGCGGGTGGGGAACAGGATGGTGCTTGTGTATCGTTGTTGCCGGTTTTATTCCAGAACAAAAAAGAAGAGGGGAATGCAGAACGGAAGAGGAGAGACGAGCGTTCTGTATTGATGTAAGGAGTGATACCCGCTAAAGCATTGCCGTGTAACGAGCTTCTTGACGCTGCGTGCCTGTCCACCACGATGTCTCTGACTTCGTGGCCATCACGTAGCCGAAGATCGTGTTAGCGAAAGAAAGGCGGCAGAGTGAGCACCTTGAGGAAAAAAAGCGGCGTCATCCGGCGTGTTCCTCTCGCTCTCTCGCTCTCCCCCCTCCCCCTCCTCTCTCTCTTGGAAGTCTGTCCTCCGATCCATTACGAAGGCTGAGTTCCCGTGCAATCAAAACACGCAGTGCTTGACCTGTAGGAACTCCCACGCACAGGGGGCGCCACGGTGAGCGTAAAACACACTCGCACACACGAAAGATTTCAGGAACGTTTACGTCATGTGCACGAAAAGGACAAAGGAAAGAAGAAGAAGAGACAAAGAGAAGAAAACAGTGTTCTCATCAGCAGAGAACTGGAATACATCGATACAACACCATGGAACCATGTACCACGGGCGACCGCCCTGGGAAGAAGAGAGAAGAGAAAAACAGAGGCGAAATTGATTGTGTGGGTGTGCCTGTGTGTGCGTGGTGTGTGAGGGATGATGCACCTGACCACATACACGCCATCCGCGGCTCAGAAAGAGAAGAAAGAAAGCGTAAGAACAGAGTCGAACAACGCTACGTAACGTACACAGCATGATGAAAGGCAAAGAAAAAAAAGGTCAAAAATAGAAAAGAGACGAGACCAGCAGTCAAACAAAAACTACATGGGCTAAAGAAACAAAAGGAAAAGAAAACGACCAACTGTAAGATGGGAGGCATTGGGGGCAAGCGACACGTACGGATGTATAAACAACGGAAGCGCTCACCTTTGTCCTTTTCCCTTCCTCATGATGGATTCCTTGTTTTGGTTTTGTTTTTCTCTGTTTCGTCAGACATGTGACGACCGTTTATGTGTCCCTTCACCTGCCGAGCCTCGGAAAGCCCACCGCAACGAAGAGAAAATATATATATATGAGACGGATACTAAAGCAGCGCACGGCTTCCATTTTATACACGAGAGAACAAAAGGAAGAGCGGCACGCGTAAACACAAAAAAGGCGTTGAAAGGAGAAAGGATAGGGCCAACACCAAGAAGAGACGAGCGACTCCAAGAGAATGGAGAGGGGCACTGCCTGGTCTCCTGCATCCCGGTTAATCATCAATGCATTTCGCGGATACTTCTTGTTTTGGTACCTGAGGCGTACACTTCAACCGAGGTTAAAGGTGGAGCCATTCGCTTCCACGCCCTTGCCTCTCGTTAGCCCACTCCGTTCCCCGCCTGGAACTGCTGAAGCTGCAACAACGCGTTGTAGTTGTCCAGCACATCGTACACGGTGTCCGCTTCCGCCAGCGCCTCCAGCACGGGAATCAATCGAAGAAGCTCTTCATCGTTGGGGTCGTCAAACCACGACGTGATTGGGATGGCGTTGCGCTGCTGGAAGAGGTACGCAATGGGGCTGTTGTCGATGATGGCGACGTGGTCCAGGTTGCGGCCAAGCAGCGACAAGTCCTTCACGTAGGTCGTCCCCACCACGCTGCAGTGCTCACGGAAGAGACGGAGGTTGCCCAGGATGCGGCCGGCGTCAATCGCGTTGATGAGCGGGTCGCAATACGTGCTCACAGAGGCCGTGAAGACGACAACTTCAAACAGCGGAGCGATCACCTCCAGGAAGTGCCGCAGGTGAGGCCGGAAGGCCACGTAGACGTTCACCAGCGTGTCGCGATCCAACTGAATGGGCAGATGCACGTCGTAGCGCGCGCTGCTCTCGTAAGAGCTGTGCACGAGGGTCTCATCAACGTCCAAAATAAGGCACTTTCTGTGCCGCATCATCGGCAGCGCCTCCGGCAGCAGCGACGGGTGTGCTGATGCGTCGATGGGAGACGTGTTTTTGGGCTGGCTGCGTATTCGCCTTGCTCGCTCCACCAGCTCCGTGGCGTGCACCCGCTGCCGCGAGCCGCTGCCGTGGCCGTGACGCACGCTGACCGGCGAGGTGCTCGTACGCACACCATTACCACCACCGCTGTTGTTGCTGTCTGCGCCTCCGTAGCTCCCCGCACGTCCGCCGCCACGCGGAGCGCAGTTATGTGGTGCGTGCTGCTGGGTAACCTGCGTGATCAACGTGTTGGGCACGATGGCGGAATTGTTGCCGCTGTAGTTCCTCGTATTGGTGCTGATGTACGGTGCAGGCGAGCCAGAGGGTGAGGAGCCGCCGCTGTGGTGCCCTCCTGCGTTGATGGGGGAGCCCCCCTTCCCTCCCCGTTGGCGTTGCTGCGACTCCAACTTGTCGGAGATGCCGCGGAAGAACGACGTGGGCGTCGCGTTGGTCTCCTGCTCGCCGTCCATGACGAAGACGACGCCTTTTCACAAGTTAAAAAAAAAAATACTAATTATGGTAGAGACGTTAACACTGATAGGAAATAGAAGAAGAAGTGGTGAACACCTTTCAAAAAAAGAAAAGAAGGAAATGGCCAACGCTTTACCCGCTGCTTCTTGTCCGGCTGATCGAGTTACGCTCTTCGTAAATGGACACCGCAAACAACGCGGAGGAGGCGGCAGCGCGATGCGGATGGCAAATGACAACGATTTCGCCGTTAGCCGCACTGCGTTCCACGAGAGCACCCAATAAAGTCAACAACTGAAAAGAAAAAAAACAACACAAATGAACGCGCAAAGTAAGTAGTAGAGTGAGAAAAGAGATGAGGAAGAAGCCAACGTCTCGACACGGTTTAAAAACCACGTGTTGCAGAGAGAGTGAGAGAGAGAAAGAGAAATAAAATAACTCAAAAAATAAATATATAACTAAACAAATAAATATATAACTACATAAAGAGGAACCGCTTTTATTGTTTTTCTTACTGTTGTTGCTGCTTCGTAGAACGCTGATAAAAGTACCAAGAGAAGAAGGAATGAGGAGAGAAAGAAAAGGAAAGAAAATAGAAGAGTCGAAGAGCGCGGGGCAGGGCCAACGCAGAGAGCGTGTGGTAACGGAAAAACGGTGACAACAACACAGGAAACAACAACAAAAAAAGGGTTGAAACTGCCGGATTATAAACGAAGAAGGCCCTACAGCGATGAAGAGAAAAATATCATATGGGCGAACTACATACGCAGAATGAGAGGACCAAATCGACCTTGTGTAAGAATTCCGCCAGAGGAGCAGAAAAATCAGAAGGACTGTCTTATGTGGAAACAGAGCATATAACTGGAACGTGTCCGTCGTGTAATCGTACAAGGTCTATTATTAAAACCAGAGAAAGAAAGAGAGGAGAAGCAGCCGATGTTTTGTTTCAATAAAGGGAAAAAAAAACAACAGGTAAGAAAGAAAAGGAGAAATATATATATATCAGCGCAGTGTCAAGTATAATCAAAGAATAAAGAGAGAAGTAAACGCAGGTGCACCGCCGTTTCGCAGCTCCGTCGACGCAGGTATTGAACTGGCACACGTTTCCGCTTTCCTTTCTCTCCCCCGTCACCTTCGTTGCTTTGAAACGAGGCAGCAACCACCGCCACAGGCACAGCAGCAACAAGAACACACACACACACACACACACAGCTCCGTAAAAGGAAGGAAAAATGAGGCTTTAATACGCTGAAAGACACTGGCTTATCAGAAGTCCAGAAGTACTCACGCAGTCCGCTGTAAGTGGTATCGGCGCCACCGTGCTTGCACCGACCAAGAATCGCCGTCGATGCTTGCTGTTAACGATGAAGCACTAGCCAACGCGGCCGCGAGAACAGAGAAGGGAGATGATGCGGAAGATGAGGAGTGTATGGCGCTGCTCTGTACGACTGTAAACGACGCTCACTATTATTGTCGTCGCAGAGGATCCTTGCCGAAAGTGCGGTGTGCAGTGCAGTAAGGGAGTACAGAGGAGGAGAAAGACAAAGGCGGAAGAGAACAGAAGTTAAACGACAGCGACATCAGCTCTTTAGGGGGGAGGAAGCGACGGCGAGTCACGGCCACAGAGTACAAGTCGAAGAAGCGACCGTGATTTCAGTTGTGTTCCCCTTCAAGCACAGAAGTGCAGCGGTACTTTGAGGAGCGCCATCGCGTCTCTCACTCCAACTCTCACCCATCAGGCAGCGATGCAGGATTGAAATGAGAGGCGAAAGCGTTTCATTTCCGCGAACCGGCGTATGACCGAGCGGTGGATGTTTCTCCTTCTCTTGCAGCGCTACACGCACGTCTGCTGAACGGTATTGCGGATGTGAACGAGATGGACGTAAGAGAGTAAAGGTTCTACAACAAGGGCAAGGGGGGGGAGAGGGAAACAGAACGCAGCGACAATTAAGCTGGACGCTTACGGACGCTAGAGACAACAATAATATATAAGAGAAAGAGGAAAGAAACGAAAGCAGCAGCAGCGACAACAACCAAATCAAAAACACAAGGAGTTGCTGGAGAATGAAACCGGTTTCACCGAAACGTCCACACGCGCGCGTGTACGTAAGTTGCCCCGTTCTTTTCCACGCGGCTTTTCCTTTCTTTTTAGAGCTCCCCCGCAAAAACCAAAACAAAATCAAAGGGGAATCACAGAGAAGAAAGATCAGATTCATTAGTTCAACTTTAGTTTACTTGAGACGACACAAGATGTTGAGCACTGTTCGTTTAACCCACGACGGCGGTGTTGCCTGAGTCGTGATCCACTATAACCTGCGCGCGCTCATCTGCCAGCAACCGCAGCTCATACCGAGCCACCATCGCCCGCAGACCCGAAAAGGTCAGTCGCAGGTACACTTCCATATTGCGGGTCTTTCCCTTCACCAAGTACTCCATGTCGATTCCGTCCATCGCTCGCCGCGCGACTTCATTTTTCGATGTCACAGATTTCGGCTCACCGGGCAGCGGCTCCGCCACCGATGGCTGCGCCTGCGCCTCCGCCGTGGAGTACACCGCCCTGCACGAGGTCTGGTCGACGTCCACGTCATCCACCGGGGAAGCGAGCCCGCCGCACGCATCCACCACCGTCTGCACGTTGCGCTGCAGCACGGCGATATTCTCCGCGTCGTACCTGTGCTGCAGCGGCGGCACCATCATCACCGCGGCGGCGGTCGGTGGTCGCTGGAAGAGGCGCTCCACAAAGAGAGCGCCGAAGTCGTCGAAGTCACTCAGGATGACGTACTGAAGAATGTTGAACTCCTCTCCCTTCTTGGGATCTACGTGGAAGCTGGTCACCTGGAAGGTGTGGGGGAAGGCCATGCGAATCCCGTTGATCGTCGTCGCCTCCTTACCTTTCCGCTCCGGATAACGACCGGTGGCAGCTTTGTACCGCTTCACGATGCCTGGCCGCGGCTTCCACGACAGCTGGCACCGCACCTGCTTCGCCTTCTCAAAGTCCACTAGCGCTATGCAGTTCACATGTTGGTCATCCTTCTTCAGCACGACGGTGTCGCGGGGGATGTGCGTGACGGGGCCGAAGTTGTCGATAAGACAGCGCGACATCGCCCGTATGAGCCCCCGCTGCACCGAGCCACCGTCGCTGCCTTCCTGCAGCAGACTCGGATGGAACATGCGCATCAGCCGCTGGTCGAAGCCCGGGGTGGCGGGGTCGGTCAGGAAGAAGAAGAAGGTAAGAAACGGCGAGAGCGCCATCGCCTTCATCTCGCCCGGGCGCTGGAAGATGCCGTAGCGGAGCCCGTAGATGGCCATGGCGACCCACGGCGCAGCCAGAAAGAGAAGGACGCAGACGACGGCGTACGGCAGGGCGCGTCCCACGTACTCCTCGTACTCGCCGCGGAAGAAGTCCCGCATGAGGTGCATCGCCTGCTGCTGCAACGTGGACATGACTGCAAATGGAGAGAAGAAAGACGGTAAAGTGCGAGTAAGGTTTCTATTATTATTATTTAGTACTTGATGTGAGTTCAACAAGCAGGGAGGCGCAACAAGAACAGCATATATATATTCAACTGACAGCAAGACAATTGTTGAAGGCGGCAGCGATAAGATGCGCTAGGCAGAGAACAGAGAAAACAGGAGATGCTATGAAGACGAAGCAACGCTGCCGGCGACTTGCTGACGCAATACGAGCTTAGAAAGAACAGAAGAAAATAAGCTGGTGAGAAGCAGAGAGAACTGCGCGGCAGACAAGGCAGCGGCGGGAAGTACGGATGAAGAGGCAAAGGAGGAAACAGAGGAAGCGGTTACACAAATCAAAGAAAGGAGGAGAGGGAGAGAGGTGACAGCGTGCATAATGGGACGCTTCACATGGGCAGTTGAGTAAGAGCGAGGAGAGTGGCGGCGCTCGCTAACACCTACACACACACATGATCAACGGTGGAGGTGGAGATGCCCACCGTGCGCCGTTTCCATCTTTCCTTCTGACAAAAATGCTACAACAACGACGCTTTTTGTCTTCTGTTTTTAACAAAAGCAGAATTACGACTCTGATTGCTGCGTATAATCATTATAAGTAAATAGAAAGAGCCGAAACAAACTTTGGACTTTGTTTCGCACCGACAGCGGCGGTAGTCACCAGCCCAAGAGAAGAGGTCCTACGCGTTGTCCTCCTCCTCTACCTCTGCCTCCTCGCTGCTCTCCACCTCACCGGAGTCCGACTCCCCTGCATCGTTGTCGTCGCCGTCATCGTCTCCCGCTGAGCCGGCGGAGGAGGAGGAGGAAGAGGGGGACACCACGCCGCAGCAGCGCAGACACGTAATGTAGTAGCACGAGCGCTTCACTTCCATCTCTTCCTTCGCCATATCCGCGTAGGTGCTGCGGATGTGCAGCAGACGTGCTCCGGTTGGGTCCATTTCGAGGTAGCGCGGATCCAAGCAGTCAAAGCAGAAGGAGCGGGGACAGGCGTCACACATGAAGATGGCGCCATCGGCGGACTGCGGCTTCCCGCACAGCGAGCACACGTGACGCGGGCACGTCCACTGCCGCTTCAGCGTCTCGCCCGGCTTCGGCGTGCGTGCACCGATGCAGGCGGCGTGGTAGGCCTTGGGACACACCATACAGTGGTAGAGCGGCTCCATCGGGTGCATAATACCACCGCAGCAGAAGCACTCGTGTGTTTGCTTGGGCGGGGAGCCGAGGCTGCCCACACCACCGCCGCCACGTGGCCCTGCGGCGGCGGACCCCGGCAGGCCCGTGTCCTCCACCGCTAGCAAGTCCGCGATCATCGCATTCTCCTCTGCGTGACCGTCCGTATCCTCTACGAGCGGCGCGAAGTTGAGGGAGTTCGCCGATCCGCTGGCGGCGTTGTGCGTCTTTTGCTGCTCCAACCGGCGGAACATCTCCCGTATGTCCTCGGCGGTGATCCTTGCGGCACCGGCGCCGTCCGCTGACCCGCCGCCACCGTTGCGCCGCTGACCGCCTTTCCCGCCTTCGACGATGAAGTCGCCCAACGACGCTTTGCCAGCCGCGATGCCGCGGATGTGCTCCTCCACCGTCCCCTCCAAGCACAGTCGGTAGACGTGCACCGTGCGGGTCTGCCCGATGCGGTGAGCGCGGTCGGCCGCCTGCCGGTCCAGCTGCGGATTGAAGTGTGCATCAAACAGAACGACGGTGTCGGCCCCCGTCAGCGTGACGCCGACGCCGCCCGCGGTGGTCGTCACGAGAAAGAGAAAGCACGACGAGGTGGGGTGGTTGTAGCGCAGCATCGCCAGCTCCCGCTCCACGCGGTTGCAGCTCCCGTCCAGGCGCTCGTAGCTGTAGTCGCACAGGTGGCACATCGCCTCCAGCAGGTCGAGCGTGGCGGTGAAGTTCGAAAAGATGAGGCAGCGATGGCCAGCGGCCTTCAGCTTCGGCAAAAGGGAGTGCAGGTAGCGCATCTTCGCGCTGGGGTCGATGATGTGCGCGGCGTCCATCGGAATGCCCGCCGCCTTCATGCGGTCCTCCACCGACTTCTGTGAGCCGGTTGTGCGGTTCTCATCGGCCAGCAGCCGCAGCGTCAAGGGGTGGTTGCACACCGCCCGCTGATGACTCAGATGGCCATGCAGCTGGTGGCCCGTGTTGCCCTCCCGCAGGGCGTGGGTGGTGAGCTGCGAGAGGAGGTGCTGCTGGACGTAGGTGGGGGCCAGCTTCGTGAGCGGCTCGTCGATGCGGGGCGGGATGCCGAGCTCCATGTCTGCCTTGGTGCGTCGCAGCATGATGAACTGCAGTACCCTCGCACACTCTTCGGCCTGCCGCACCGGATCGCGCACGCTCGGGTCGTAGCCCGCCATGAGCCACGGATAGAGAAAGCTCAGCAGACTCCACACCTCCTGGACGTTGTTGTGCACCGGCGTCCCGGTGACGGCCACGCGATAGCACGCCGTCAGCTTGCGAGAGACGGAGGTAATCGCCGTGTCGTGCGTCTTCAGCACGTGCGCCTCGTCCACGATCACCGTCACCCACGACCGCTTCCGGAAGAAACCGCGATCGTGCTGGATCAAGGCAGGGGTGGTCACGAAAACGGCGTGGCGGTTGTGGTGGCCAGCGCGGGCCAGCATGCGGGTCTGGCGCTCACCATGGTACTTCACCACGCGCAGCTGCGGTGCCCACCGCGCCAGCTCCCGCGTCCAGCTCGTGAGAGTCGACAGCGGCGCAATAACGAGGTGCGGCCCCTCAATGCTGTGCAGCTGCCGCAGGGTGTGCAGAAACGCGGAGATCTGCGCCGTCTTGCCCAGACCCATGTCGTCCGCCAAGATGCACGACATGCCGCGGTGAAAGCGGTCCAGTAAGAACTGCACGCCTTCGACCTGGTACGACCGCAGCACGCAGCCGGCGAGGGCGCCGACGCTTTCGTTGGTGACGGCGGGGGCGGGGTAGAAGAAGGGCCGCAGCTCCGCGTCCTGCGCGATGCGGCTCAGCGCGCGGTCTTTGAAGAAAGGCTCAAACACGTTGAATAGTTCAGCGTTGTGGCGCAGGTCGAACTCAAACTGACGCTGAAAGTAGCGAGCAATCGTTTCCAGGGCCCGCGCAGACGACTTGTGCCAGGCGAGGCTGCCCATTGTGCAGGCAGTGGAGGCGTCAAAGTCGTCCTCCTTCGACGCAGCAACGGGCGAGGAGGCGTGGGAGGAGGGGGCGGCGGCCGCCTGCTGTTGTGCTCGTGCGATCTCCTCCAGCATGGCGTCCACTTTCTTGACTTGACGTGCCTCCTGCGAGCCCAACAGCAGCGCCAGCTCGTCCTCGTCTTCCTCCGAGTGTCCCCGGCGTGCCAGCACGCGCTTCGCGGTGGTGGGGGAAAAGACCTCCACCGCCACATCCTCGTCACGTAGCCGTTTGGATGAACTTACGACGTCTACATTTCTATCCACCACCTTCGACGCGGGCCCTGCACTTCCGCCGGCACCGTCGAGAGACGTGCGTGCGTAGCTTGGCACCACACCTGCGTCACCCGACGCACGACCGTTGCGTCCTTCGCCGTCAGCGTGCTCGGGAGAACTGCTGGTGACACCTCCGCCTGCTTTCAGAGTGGTGGGAGGACGCGAAGGGACCACAGGGACGCCGGGCAGCGGCACCGCCTCTTCCTTCTTTCCCACTGCCTTTCCGTTACTCTTGTGCAGAAACCTGGCGAAGTAGTTGTCCAAGTTCATCTTGTTTCCTGTGAAGGGGGGAGGGGGGAACAATACTAATGAATAAGAAGAGTTTAATGACAGAAGTTTAGATGTGTTATCCGAAATGCCAAAGCGTCATCAACGGAAACGCCGGAGCTGTTGAATGTCTCGTCTGTCTCTAGACGGCGGTGTGCGAATACAGAAGAAGACAGCTTTCGATGAGCGAAAAGAAGAAGCGGCAGTTTGAAACGGACGCCGCCGGTGACGGGGCACACTCGCGTAAAGATGCAGCGGCAACTAACAGGAAAGGGGGAGGAAGGATAACTCCCTCTTGTGCGAGGAGAGAAGTCGTGGCAGGCGTCTCCGGCGCGAGCACAGAGCGTTTTTTTTTCTTTCTTTCGTTCTATCACCTTCCCTGAATTTCGAGAGAAGGAAGGACGGAGGAGGGAAAGGGAAAGGAGAAGGAGAACGTGGGAGGGAGAGCACTTTTGCTGAGTGACCCGCTTCTTGAGAAGTCTCATCAGTGATGCGTCATTGGCCGTCACGCGAGGTTCATCTTATCTGGCGTATTTTCATTTCTTTTTTCCAAGAGGACGAGGTGCAAAAGCCTCTGTGAAACACAGAATGGTGACAGCACTCTACCAGACAAGGCTCGTTGTAATGTTGACAATGACGAGCGTCGACCAGAGAACCGGCCGGTCACTCCTCCAATGAAAGGCACACCCGCTCACACTTTCTCTCTCTCTCTCATGCGGAGTTTATTGTCGATTATCTTTCGCCCTTTGATGTCGTCCGTTGCAACGTCAGGTGTGAAGAGAAAAAGCGTAGAGCGCACAAACACAGACACACAGATCCGCATAACAACATACCGAGCACCGTGAAAGATGGACGATGCCCATTCAAAGGAGCACGAACACAACCAAACCCGTCCGCCCTCGCGTCGACGTATCCGCCTGCACGCCCGCACTTCTAAAAGAGAAAAAAAGAAACAGCCCGAACAGGCCTATCGGAAACGAGATCAGAAAAAAACAGTATTAATGATACTGACTACAAGTACCTTTCAAAAAAAGAGAAGAAACACCAACGTGTGAATCCTAACGACGGCAACGGCATCACCAACCAATTACAGCGCCCACTTGAATGCCACCTCGGAAATACGATAGCAATGACCCACTTCCTTGCAAAGCCACCGATGAGCAAAAACAAATAGTGCTCTCTCCAAGAGTACATCGCATCACCAACGGCTGTGCGCTCCCTGTGTAACCAACAAACGAAAGAAAAAAGGAAGACGATACATAACACTCGCCCCAACGCGCATCACAACCGGGAAACAACCACATCAACATCAACAGTGACACACACACACACATATATATCGGGAGCTGCAGCCCGCTTTTCCCCCTTCCATGTTCCCACCTTACCACGATGCGTTGTTGTTCAGCTCCTCCCTCGTGCTGACACGACTCAGCAGCACCGTAATGTCATCCGGCTTTCCACCCTTCGCATCCGCCTCCCCGAACTGGCGCAGCATGGAGGACCACGGCGTGCTCGCCTCCGGGTTGATGGACGTCTTGTAGGCGTCCGCCACAATGCGCTGCGCCACGCGGTACGGGTCGACATACTCGATCTTCTCCTCCGCGAGCAGGCCGCTGAGCCAGAAGCCAACAAAAGGGATCTTCGTGATGGCACTCTCCTCCACCTTCCCAATCCAGCCCGCATCGGAGGCGAGGTGCGCGTTGAAGCAGTTGTCGAAGAGGCCGTCGGTGCCCATCACAATCACGTCCCCCTCCTGCACCGGCACGGACTCGCGCACACAGTCCTGCGGCCGGTCGGAGAAGGCGCGGCCCACCATCGACTTGGGCAGCACACCGAGTTGAAAAGGTGCGTTGAAGCCGTGCACCTTCTCGTGTACGCGGAAGTACGGCACGCGGTTGCGCACCACCATCAGCCCGCTGTCGCCGAGGTTCGCCACGTCGAGTGTGTGCGTGCCGTCCTCCTCCCTTCTCAACGCCGCCACGCAGGCTGTGCTGCTGCCCACCTTCACATGACCATCCTTCACCACTTTCGTGTAGGCCGCATTGAGAACGCGCTCCGGATCGTCGTCGTCGCGGTGCGTTTCGGCATACAGCTTTGCATTCTCCATCAGCGCGTTCGCGAAGATCGCCGGGTCCACGCCTTCAGAGCGCCACCCGCCCACGCCGTCCGCCACCCCAATCACCTTGTAGTTGTTCGCGACGAAGAAGCTGTCCTCGCCGCAGTCCAGCTCGACAAAACTCGCCCGTTTGCGCCAGCTGACGGACTGCCGCCGCTTCCGCTCGTCCACGTCGCTGCGGTACATCTTCTGCGGCGTCGGCTTTGCTTTGCAGAAGGCCCAGCTCTGCAGCACCAACTCGGTAGGGTCCTTTTCGCTTACGGGCGCCTCATCGGGCGGCGCACCCCAGGAGGCGACGTCGTAGGCGCTGGCCTGCGCCTGTGCCTGAGGGGTGGGCTGCCCGTCGGGGAGCAAGGGTACACTGTTGCTGCCGCCCATGTCGAACCGCAGGGTGTGTGTGTGTGTGTGTGTGTGTGTGTGTGTGTGTAGGCGGGTAGATGTGTCTATGGAGGTTGCTATGCTGAAGACGGAAGAGAGGGGACATGTGAAGAGACAGAAGAAGAAGCTGGCGATTCGATCCCTTCCAACGAAAATTATCTTCTTTCGTTATTATTGGTGAAAACACCTTCCAGCAATCTCGCCTCTACAACCCATAACATCCACTCGCTGGGCACGAGTCGTTGCCAACGTCAACGAAGCTGTCGCAGCCGGGGAGAAGAATCACGCTCCTCGTTGTGGTGCAGCCGTCAACCAGAACGTTGAACACGATGCGAAATAGTAAATGCATATCTTTTTTTACCGAGCTACGTTGTCGGAAGCTTTTCTCTTCTCTTACAGCGAAGCCCAAAGCCCGCATGTTTGTTTCTTCTTCCGATTTGCACCGCGCTCCGTAGCGGCGCTCCTCATCGAATGCGCAGAGAGAGGAAATACAAAGAAGACGACGACAGACACGAAAGTAAAAACAAAAACATCGCATGGCGACGTGGCCGCACCGTGCAGCGTGTTAAACGGGGCTCGGGTTGGGAAGCAGGCTGCGCGAGCGCCGACGGAGGCGGGAAACAAGCAAGAAAAACACGTGCTCCTCGAGGAGCGGGAAGTGAAGGGTGCCTCTCGCTTGCAGTGAGTCCCGTCGCAGTTCCTCCTCCTCCATTTGCTCTCCTGGTCCTCTGCCTTGCTCAAGTTGGAAAAAAAAGAAAACAAAAGAAAACGAAACGAGCCTGCACAGTTCGCTCGTCACGTAGCGAGAGATCCGCCGTGCCGGTTGCGTGCACCCGCGTACAGGCTTCGTGGTCCTCGGCTTCGCGCGCCTGTACGACCGGCGTGTTACTCGCTGCTTTGCGCCAACAGAAGTTTCACAAAGCCGCACGCTTTTCCTTTTCCCCGCCGGGAACTTGTTGGGCAGGTGAGATGCGTCCTCTCGCTCTATGCATCGTCGGTGAGGATTTGGGCCTCAGGAAGACCGGCGGACATCAACGCGTCGGTGCAGTCGCTCACAAAGTTCGGCGGCCCGCACACGTAGGCTAGCGGCAGGTCGGGCCCAAAATACGTCTGCACCGCCCGCAGCACGTCGTCCTTGTGGAGGTGGTGGTGATGGGTGACGGGGGTGGTGGGCGGGGAGGGGGAGGCGGCGCTGTGCGATTCTCGCGCCCTGTCCTCTTCCTCACCGTTCTTCGCCTGCGGGATGAAAAGCTCCATCACGTACGTCTTCGCGCGACGGCTCTCGAGTGGAAACCGCCGCTGCCATCGCATGAACTCCTCCAGCTTCGGCACCGTCTCCAGGGTGTGATTGGCGTGCAGGTGTACCACGTGCAGCGCCTCGGTGCCTTCAGCAAAAAAGGTGTCGTCGAGTGAGGAGTTCATCGCCGCGTAGGCGCTCGTGATGCCGATGCCGGCCGTCACCCACAACATGTTGCCACGCAGCTTTTGCAGGGTGTCGTGATGGTCGGCAAACGTGAAGGCCCCACCTACGTTGCACACCCGCAGAGGGGTGTGGAGGGAGTGCTGATGCAGCCACGCACTCCCGCTCTTCCGCGGGTCGCTGCCGGTGGCTTTCACCATTAACGTAAACAAAGAGCCGTTGCGGTTCACATCACAGATGGTCCACCGCCGTCGCATCATCGTCTCCTCCTCATTCGTCGCTGCGGACCTCGTCCCACCGACAGAGGACGTGAGGCCGCTTGTATGCTGGGCTGCGGCTGCGTAGCTCTCCTTCACGGGCAGCTCCACCTCCACGTACTCGCCCAACTCCGCGCGCCGCAGCAAAGGGCCCGAGATGTAGGTGAAGTGGAACTCCCGCACGCCGGGGCAGACGTCCGTGATGCTCGTGCACGACACGAACAGATTTGTGGCGGGCGCGTTGACGGCCCGGCCGCCGCGGACGCCGCCCTGCAGAGGCAGCAGCGGCGGACTCACCGGCGGTCGCGTCTTCTGCCCGGCATCGAAGGGGTTCGCTCCGCCGTGCCCGGTGCTGGTCAGTCGCATCTGCTGGAAGACCTGACCGCTGCGCACGCCAGGGGCGACGCTGCTGTGGATCCCAGGTGGGCGTAAGCCCGGACGGATGCCCTCCATTGGCGCTACGGCCGGCTTCTCCCGGTTGGCCAGCTCCATCGACGCGTAGGTGTCGCTCTCCCACTTGGGTCCGCTGAGGTCCACCGTCACGTAGACGTCGTCGGCCTCGTCCACCGTCACCTTGTGCACCCGCTGCTTGCAGCCCTTCGACTTCACCGTCTGCTGCGGAGCCCCGCCGCGTGGGTTGATGGTGATGCCCATGTAAAGGCCCTCCCCGGTGTCGAGGGCGATCTTGTAGCTGTGCCACGGGCACACAATGCAAGGGTGGCCGCCCATCTCCTCGATGTCACCGCGCAGCAAAGGACCACCGTGGTGGTAGCAGGCGTTGTCGATGGCGTAGAGTTGATCCTTGTAGCACACGACCGCGATGTTGCGCACCCCGCACTTGACCAGTTGACGGGAGCCGTCGGTGAACTGCGAGCGCGTGCCGACGCGCACGCGCTGCGGCTGCGACGCACTCCCCGACATTAATTACGCAAAGTAAAAGAGAAATACGCAAGGAAGCATACTGAAAGCTTCTCGAAGTGAGAAGTAGAGCTGTGAAAGAGATGAGAACTGACCGGAGGAGAAGGAGGCTGCTCGACTAGTCAAGAGAAGAGAGAGAGAGAGAGAAGAGAAGGCACTTATTTGACTGCACAATGCCAGTAAATGAAAACCGAAATAGTAATACTAACGAAGCTCTAGAGGTTAGGTGTGATGTGTCAACGGGCGCACTCCAGCGACAGAGAGCGGCAGAGAAGAAACAGCAATAATAATAATAGTAGCACAAAGTGGAAGACGCCGCAGCCACCAGCGCACCGCGTTTAAAAACAAACAAAAAAAATGCCCACCAACACGGCGCGCTGTAATGCTATCCGGCCGCACGCTCACCCTCTATCAAGTGAACCGCCTACGTCGGGCTTTCCTCGGCGTGGACTACAAAACCAGGAAAATGAGAAAGACTGATGAGTTGGAAAAGATTTCTTATTCTTATTCTTATTGACTCATAAGGCGAGTAGCGGAGAAGAACTGGCGCCGCTACACCGATGCTGCATAAGTTCGCTTGTAGGTGTGTGTGTGTGTGTGTGTGTGTGTGCACTTGCGTTAGTCGGCAATGAAAAAAAAAAAGGGAGGAGAAGTAAAACAAGAAAAGGTATTCATGATACATAAAGGAAGTGCGCGCAATCGGGCGTGCAACGGTGGTGCAACGATACAAGTTATACCGCGTCGGAGGACGGCAGAGCAGCCATAATTGACTTACATCGAAGGAGCGCAGTTTGGAAGGAGGAATAGCACGACTCTTGCTCAAGCAGCAGGGCTTACAGGAGAGGGGGGGGGGAGGAGAGAGAGACGTCTATCCCCTCCGTTTTGTTGGACATGTAGAGCAGACTTCATGCCGCCGTGACTTCTCATTCGTTTTTCGTTTCTCTCTTTACTACGACGCGTACTTCTTCTTACTTACTCGAAACGTCATTAGTGCCACGAGGAGAACGAGGTCTGTGCCGTGTCTGGTGATAGCCCGAGAGACGAAGAGACGCACAAGGGTGCCTTTAAATCCTCCTTTTGCTTTCCTCCTTCCTCGGGTCTCGCGTATGTAACTTCTACGCTGACGCTGCAGCCTCTTTGCTCGCCGCGTTTGTGGGATGCGGCTTGACGGAGCTCGGCCAAGGCACGCGGAGAGGAAAAGCGGCAGCGCCGTATCCGCACGCACTTCACTCCCTCCTCCTCTCCCGCACTCCCCGTCTTTCAAACACACAAAAGGAACCCCCCAAAAGGGTTGAAAACAATACAGTTCGGTGCGACGCAACCCCAAATGAGACGCTGCGTCCTGCAAACAGCGACGCATGAAAGCCTCACGCCCCCTTCAGGGAGAATTTCTGCTTCTCCGCGCTCTCCACCACGCGCTCGCGGTAGAGGCCCTTGCGGCGCTTGATGCGCTCGAGCAGCTGCCCGGCGATGTTCTTGGTGGCCATCTCCGCCCCGTGCTCCTCCAGCTCCTCCTTCGTCGTGGGCACAAAGTAGGGGTCTGCGTCAATCACCTCCCAGTGACTCATCTGCAGCTGCGCGGTCGACGCACCTTGGGTCTGCACGCGCAACTCATCCTGCAGGCCAAAGGCCTCCACCGCGGGCAGCCAGCAGCGGATGTAGAAGAGGTCGCTGCCCTCGTTCGGCACCTCCTCGATAATGTCCGAGCGTCGCCGGCTGAGGGAGGCGTAAATTTTGCCCTGCGTCATGCCAGATGAGTAGACCGTACACTCGTATACAGGCTCGACGAGGCGACGAGGGTACAACTCCATCGTGGCACGACAGGCATCCCGCACACACGGCAGCACCATCCCACCCGAGATGCCAGCGTCGGCGTCGACGGACAAATCCGTGACGACGAAGGCCAGCCCGTGCAGGGGCTCCTGCGCCATCGGGCCGCTCTCACACGCGGCCTGGAACCCGGCCACGATGGACTCCTTCCACTCCCACAGCATCGCCCAGCACCGCGCCGCGTCCGCGCTGCCCTCGAAGTTCGCCAGCAGCACCGCACCAAAGAAGCCCAGTCGCACCGGCCCGTGCGATACGGCGCCGTTCGTCATGTCCGCCGCAAACTTCTTGTGCTCCGCCAGGGCGGCCAGCGCCTGCTTGGCGAGTTGGGCGTTGTTGCCGCTATTCTTCTCGTCGTCCTTCAGCAGCTCCATCACCTCCCCCGGCAGAGGGCGGGCCTGCAGCGTGATGGTGAAGGCGTCGTCCATCAACGCAGCGGTGTGCGGCTTCGGCTTCGCGCCGACGTGGCCGACGATCGTCTCACGGAACGACACAATGGGCTCGGAGGCGACGACCTCGACCTGGGCGAAGGTGTCAACGAGGTCCTTGATACACCGCTCCGCGTGCACTTCGCCCGCGGTGCCGATCACATGCTCGCCTGTCGGCAGCATACTCACTTCGACCTGCGGGTCCACCTTGTACAGCAGGCGCAGGCCCTGCTCCAGCTCCTGCAGGTTCTTTGGGTCCTTCGGAAAGACGGAGAGGCGCACAATCGAGGTGCTCTGCAGCACCAACGGCCTGAAAGGCGGCATGTTCGGCTCGCTGCTGATGGTGGCGTACTTGGTGATGTATGGCGTCAGCCCACCGATGCCGCACAGGCAGCCCGCACCCACCTCCGGCGTCTCCTCGATCCCCGCACCGCGGAAGAGAAACACGTGCCCCACGGCCGCCTCCACCACTGCACCGTCGCTGTGCACGAAGACGCGCCGACCCGCCCGCAGCCGTCCGCTGTAGACGCGGCCGAAGCCGATGAAAGCGTCGTCCTGGTTCTCCACCCCGCCCACCACACGACCGACGAGGTACTGCGTGTCGATCAGCTTGCACACGTACACGACGCAAGGGGCTTCCGGCGACGGGTCGCAGTCCATGAGGGCGTTCCTCAAAGGAGCGGGTGTGTCGGTCTCGAAGCTCGGGACGAGCGAGGGCAGGCGGCGGCGCTGCGATGTGACGGGGGAGTCGAGCTTCCGGCAGATGGTGTCGAGCACGCAGCTCGCGAGCGGCATCCAGGTGGAGAGCAGTGCCTTCAGTTTGCCACGCGGGTCGCGCCGCGGGTTGTTCCACCGGCTCTCTGGAATTCTCAGCTTCTCCGACAGCTGCTTCTGGCGTTCCTCGCTTGCGTTGTCGCCCACGAACGCGTCGTAGAGCTGCCAGACGGGCTCCAGCACCAACTGCACACAGAGCGGTAGCTGGCCGGCTTTCTTTGGGTGTGGGCCGACGGTCTTCGTCTTGGGATCGAAGTAGTGCTCGCCCCACAGCGCGTCGGCGAGGTTGTCGACGGGCACCTTGTCTTTGTACAGCTTCGTGAAGAAGTCAATGCCGACGGCCCAGCCATCGCAGCAGCTGCAGAAGAGCACGTTGCCCTTCGACGGGTCAAACCACACGTCGTCGCTGGGGTCCTCGCGCTGCATGTCCTGGTCTTGCCCTTGGATCTTCATCTGCGTCGCGTACGAGGCCAGTAGCGCGTTGCAGATCTCAATGATGCCGCGCAGCCGCACGTACGCCTCCTCCGCCGAGTACTGCTGCGTTGTCACGAGCAGGTCGATCTTGTTCAACACGAGGCACATCGACAGCCCTTCACGATAGGTGTGGCGCAGGATGGAGGAGGTCTGCTGCGTGACGCCGTCCACCACATCCACAATCACCACCGCCCCGTCACACAGCCGCATCGCCGTGGACACCTCGCAGGAGAAGTCGATGTGCCCCGGCGAGTCGACAAGATTCAAAACGTAGTTGCTGCTCTCGTAGCTGTGGCTTAGGGCGATGGAGCTGGCCTTCATGGTGATGCAGCGCTCCTGCTCATCTGGCCGAGAGTCGAGCAGCCGCACCTCGCCGGCGAGCTGGGGAGAGAGGATGCCATTGCTGGCCACTAAGTAGTCGCTCAGGGTGGTCTTGCCGTGGTCCACGTGCGCCACCATGCAGAAGTTGCGGATGTTCGCCGGCTTCTGACTCAGCCGACGCACCTCCTCGGTCGTCAACAGACTCATGATGATTATGGTGGTGTAAAAGGAATGTATGTGTATGTGTATGTGCGTTGTCTATTAACAGAAAACATCACAACAACGTCGGAGTGCGGGCCAGCTCCGTTCCTTGTGGCGGATATTGAAGCGTGAAAAGCCAGAAAAGTATCTTCTCTTCAAGACTGTTCGTGAACATCGGTGTTTGGAAGGATTTCGCAGGTCACGAAACATATGTATATGTATGTATATATATATATATATATATATATATATATTGAGATGACAGATGAGCGTTAACGCCGAAAAGGAAGGTCGCGATGAAAGAGCCAAAAGAGAGAAAGCCCTCAAGAACGTTGGACGAGGAGAAGGTGCTCGAGCACACGATTTCACCCCGTGTGGGATCATCCGTGCAAATGCAAGCAAGAAGCGTACGAAGGCGGCGAAACGACGAGACGCAATCCACGCGACGCCACGCTCCGCGAATGGGCAACCCCACAGGGGTGAAGGCTAGGGGGTCTTCCTTCTCCAGCTGCTGCAGAAAGCGTCAGCACCACTTCTCTCACGGGCACTAATAAAGCGAACACATGCTGTGTGTGAAATTCATCAGAAAGGGAGTTCCCCACCACACCGTTGCCAGCCTTTGGGTCTGCGCCTCACATTATTATAGCCTCTTTCTATACATTGTTTTGGAGATGTAACATTTATTTTCCTACTAACTAAAAGTCAAACGCAGACGAACGGAGAAGAGGGGTAAAAGAAAACGCGCAAAAGGTAAAAGCAAGAAGAAGAGGATAACGTCAAGGGCGCGGCGAGTTCGCGTGCACAGCAGTCACATTCACTTCCGTCTGCCCGCCCGCCCCGACACACAACCGCTTGCTTCTAACGGTGACATACTCGAGGTGTTTCTGCCTGTTGTAGAAAAGGGGAAAAAAAAAAGTAGGCGCCTTTTCCCCACTCCGCATTTCATCTGCTCCCTAACGGCGACCGCACTGCGGTTGGCCGCCAACACACCCGCGCTCTCTTCTGCTTATTATTTTTCCTTCCCCGATACGCAACAGCGAAGCTTAAAACTTCTCCGGCTGGTTCTTGGGGAGCAGAATCCAGAAACCGTCGGAGCCGACCTTCCCCGAGAAGGACTTCTCCTTCGGCAGGAGGGTGTAGAGGTACACCACGAGGATGAGGTAGCCGACACCCTGCAGGTACTTCTTGCGGGACTGAATCTCCATCAGGTCCGTCGTCGACACATCCCACGGCTTCTTTGTGTGGTGCTGGTAGTACTTCGCCTCCGGGGCCGGCATCTTTTCAATGTTCACGTCGATGGGCTGGAAGTAGGTCCACGGCATGTACGTGTCGTAGATCGCCGTGTTCGGCTCCGGGAAGGGCGAGGAGGAGCGGATGCCACGCTCGTTGATGGGGTACGCGTTCTGGATATCAGACGTGTTGTTGTTGTCTCCACCAGACTGGAACGTCGGGCCGTTGCCTACGAGCACCTTGCGGGTCACCGCAATGGCGCACACCGACGTCTTGCGCATCATCGTGTCGAGATTCTGTGTGCTGAGTGTGTGTGTGAAGCTGAAAAGAAATATTCGCCGAACTTCTCTCCTCGATAAAGAGCTGCGAAGGCGAGAAATCGAGGAAATATCAACAACAACAACGGTAATAACAATCGAATACAGCCGTTAAGGGATGTGCGAGAGAAGAGCGCGATGGGAAAGGCGTTGTATATTGACAGCGTAGTGGAGGTGAACGCGGAAGTGGTCAAGGAACACGGCGACGAGAGCAGCATTGCACCAGCGCACGCTGCGAAGGCGGGGAGATGACCTCCACTTTCCTACACACACCAAGTGGTTCGAGGAGGGTGAAGCGTCGAAGCCAAGGATCGCTGAAGACAACCCTGCAATTGGGGTGTAACGCTTGCTCAACATGAACGAGTGATGTGGGAAGCAACAACACCCAACGCGTGCTTCGCGCTGCCAGCCAGAAAACCAGGGTGCCGAGAAGACACCCTTTCATTCCCGCTCCAAGAGCACTGCGATAGCGTTTCTCTTTGTATATTATTATTATTATTATCCTTTTCTTTTTGGTCTCGTTGGAGAATAATTAGGTGACAGCTACCGCTGCCGCTTCTCTCCTGGGGTGCGCGCGGTGTTTCTCGGCAAGCCGGTATTGCCCGCCAGTCGCGCCATCGCCAAAAGCCGGTCCATCAGCTCCTCCAGCCACGCCACCGTCACGCCCTCCTGCGCATTCGCATGGACGCCTTCGATCTCGACCTCAAAGGTGGCCTTCTTGTCGGCAGGACCACCCACGCGGGTAAACGCGTACTCGTACGTGCCCTCCGTCGCCGTCCACCGACTCTTCTGCCGCACAAACCCCTTCGGCTTCACTGCCGGCGCCTCCCGCCTCTCCCGCGGGACCTCCGTGCTGACGGACAGCCGAATATCGTAGGGGCAGCCCGGGACGTGCACCTCCACGTTGCACAACCGCTTCTTGCTAATGCAGCCCACAAACCTCTCCGACCCGTCCTCCGCCATCGCGTAGGTGTAGCGCCCCGAGCGCGTGATGACGTCCTCCGTCTTGGTGTGCTGCGTGGGCAGTTTCTTTGCGGCTTCTACAAAAGTCCGCATGCGCTCAAAATCATCTGCACTCACGCCCACCTCGATACGTCCGTTGGAACCGCTCAAGATGTGAAGGGCTGGGGCGGCGGTGTCAGACCCCGTACTTGGTGAGGGCAGCTGGGGAGCGCTGAAGTGGCAGAGCCGGGCTTCCACCTCGATGTGCTGCTCCGAGAGAAACGGCTTCAGCCGCTCGAGAATGCCCTGCGTGATGCCGCCGTTGCGTGATACGGCGGTGGCGGAGGCCGTCTCGGTCGGCGGAGGCGCAGACGTGCACTCTGGCGTCGATGCGTCCGCTCGGTCCTTCGCCTCACCAGAGGCGGCCGAGGACATTTTATGCACGCGAGTTCGTTTGCGCTGCGTGAGTGGGAATATTAGATACAGGAAGCAAGGAAAACAGGCAGATGCGGTCGTGGGTTCAAAGAGGTAGGAACGTAGAGGTGGCCGTTGAAACGACCGGCAATAGACTGCGAGGTGGAATTCGCCGGACTTTTTCGTTGGAGGAGGGAGGAGAAGAGGGGCCTTAAAACACACGTGACCCTGCCCGGCCACCCTCTCGCGCAAAACATCGACGATGACTCTGTGTTGAGTTCCGTCATTCAGGCATCACATGCACGTATCTCATTCGTTCAACAGCAGCGCACCCATCCCACACCTCCTAAAAGAGAGAGAGAGGAGGGGGGGGGGCAAAGAAAAGATAAGAGCTCCATCACCGCGTCCCAGCACGGCAGCGCTGCCCGTCATATCGGCCGCGATCTTTTTCGGCGCCGCAGCGGGCACTCCGCCCGCGTGTGTCCCGTCTCGTTGCAGAAGTTGCAGTAGGCGTAACTCGAGCCTCGCGCCACCGCCGCTCGGGGCACCGTGGCCGCCGCCTTCACCGCCTGCTCCTCGCACATCTTCTCCGCAATATCCGCCACGCGGTGGGCGTGGTCACGCGCCAGCTCCTCCGCCGTCTTGCGAGCCTCCAGAGCGGCGGGCGTCACCTCGGCCAGCAGCTGCTGTGCCTCGCTGTGGCCAGGGTCCAGGTGCACACACGTGGTGAGGGCATCGTAAGCCTCGACGATCTTCTTCAACTTCGCCTTGGCTGCCGCGAGTCGGAAGAAGGCGCGGGCGTAGGTGTCGTCCGCCTGTGTGGCCGCCAGCGCGTCGTCAGCGCTCTCCTCCATCCGCACGGCGCGGTAGTATGCAGCGCTGCGGTTGCTGAGCAGTGCCGCCTTCTCGCGTGCGGTCGCCGTGGCTGGAAGCAAATCCAGCGCCTTGCCGAAGTGGCGAATGGCCTCCGTAAAGTTGGACGCCTTCATCGCCTCGGCACCCTTTTCTAAGCTCTTCTTGTAGTAATAGGCGTCCTTCGACTCGGCGGTGGCCACGCCACGACGTGCCTGCACGAGCGCCTCGCATCGCTGGACCCCAGCGGCGTAGTTGCGGTTCGTCGAGTCTAGTGCTGCGGCTCGTCTGAAGAACTGCGCCGCCTCATCGTAGTGCTTTAGCCCTTCCTGTGCAGTCCCGGCACGTCCGAGTGCCTTTGCGTTGTCCGGCTGCAACGCGATGACTTCACGGGCCATGGCAAGCGAGTTGGCGTAGTCCTCCAAGGCGGCGTAGCACGCACTGATGTTGCTCAGCGCACGGGCCTTGTCGTTGAGAGAGGTGCTGGGCGCTGCCTCTATCGCCGCGTAGGCGCTGATCGCCTCATGGTACTTCCTGGAGGAGAAGAGAGCGGAAGCGCTGGTGAAGTCTTCCTCTGACATTTCCAGTGTGTGTGTGTGTGTGTGCTAGCGGCAAGTAGGCCGCAGTTGTGTCAAGAACACCAACCACAAAAGCAAAAGAAATGAAATGAAGAGGGGAGATGACGGCTTCCGTAAAGCAAAGCGATCATGAAGGCTGCGAGACAGCAAAACAGTTCCCCTTCCCCCGAAAAGGGTAGCTCTCTTCAAAGAAAGTCATCGCTTGGTAGAGAGAAAAGGCTCTGAGCGTCAGTTGTGATGCATCTCGGTTGCTTCCCACCGACGGCGGAGAGCTTCGATCAGTGTTCACAAGACACAGGCACCGCTGAACAAGTGCGATGAAGGACGCGGACATGAGCAGGCTATCATTATTATTATTATTATTATCAGCAGTTGAATCTCTCTATATATTTTTCATATAGGGGGGTTCAAGGTAATGTACAGAGTGTCATTGTTGTTTAACGTCATTCATTCTTTTAAAGTCGAGTTCAGAGAAAGAGAGTGAGTTCTTTCATTGCACATGTGTTCATGCCAAGGTGAGCAATAGGAAGCACTTCACGCTTGTAGTGGCCCGTCGAACGGATGCTCTCCTCCTGACTTGCGTGCGAGCACCTTTAAATGGATTTGCCAAGAAAGATGATCACAATAATCAGGACAATCAGAATCACACACAGCACCACGTACGTGATGAGACGCGACTTGCCAAGTTTCTTGATCGTCTTCAGCAACCGCCTATTCATGCCGCTGATTTGCGCTTCGTTCCTGCCTACCTGCTTGTCAGTTTCCTTGAGCACGCTACGCTGCTCGTGCAGCTCGTTGTGGATCCCCTGCGCGTTGTCGTTCACCCGCTGCACGCCAAACTCAATTCGATCCAGGGCGGCGTCGATCTGCGCGTCATTCTGCCGCGTCTCGATGAAGAAGTCTTGAAACTCCTGGTCTTGTGCGATGTCGTAGTGGGTACCGCCGGCGCCGCTGCTCTCGCGGCCACCACCGTCGTCGGCGGTCGGCTCCGCGTCGTCGTCCAGGAGCGAGAATGGAGTTGCACCGCTCTGCAGCCCCACCAGGGCACCGTAGTGCGCACGTATCAGCTGCTGCGTGGTCGTGCACTGCTGCTGCAACTTGCCGTAGGACTCCACACGACGCTCCATCACGGCCAGCCGTCGCGCCTCAAGCATGATCGAGCGCAGCTCCGTCTCCAACTTGCGGATGTTGTTGTTGAGCTCTAACCGCCTGGCGGGAGAGTCGCCCGGCGTGAGCTTGTCCACAAGTGTGATGTACTCGCGTATTTCCTTCATGGTGCTCGCCGCACGCAGCTCGGCTTCCTGGTAAGGAGTTCGGGTGTACGCGACTTCATCCTCCTGCAGCGGGAGCAGCGGTGGCGAGGTCGAAGGTGTCAGCATTGCTGTGGTACGTGGAAGAGCCCGTCGCACTAACAAGGTGCGCGAAGAAGGGAGCGCGAGTGTGGATGCGCTCCAACCGGCTCAGCAGCTTTGACAGAGACGGAAGTCAGCAAACAGCAACAGCGGAAAAGAATTTGGCAAATGGAGAACGGACATTAGACGGAGTACGTGCGTACGACAGAGCCGTGCGTACAAGGCAAGACGAAAGACCCGATGTATGTTGGGTATTTAGAGAATGAGAACCGAGAACCGAAAAGGACAGTCGACTAAAAAAAAAAAAGGGACGAGCTTGAATCAATCGGACTACACACCTCTCAGCTGCGTGATGTACCGGACACTGCCGCGTGACTTCACAGCGGACTACGCGAGAATGCTCACCACTTCCTAGATGTATATATGGATGTATGTGTGCCAGGGGAGGCTGTGTTTGTGCTAGAGGCTTTGCGTGAGCCAGCGTCTCTGAAACCTGCTAAATACCGCGGAGATAACGAACAGGGAGGAAAGAGGGGGAGAGGGGAGTAACAAAGCAGAAGGGTGTAAACAAAAAGGCCAACCCTTTCCCTCTCTCTCTCTATATATATAGAGAGAGAAAGAGAGGAAGCAGGGCAGAGAGAATGCTGAAAAACCTCGACCCACTGCAGCACCACCGTTCATCCGGTAACAAACTTGCTTGCCAATGAGCACACACCGTGACCAAGTTGGACGGTTAGTGAACAGTCCGGTTGAAGGGTACGCCAACGTCCAGTTTCGCAGAAGCTGCTTTGCAAAGCAGGAGGGAGAAATCAATGCACCTTTTAAACCTTACAGCTCTGTGGCGGCGTAAGTACACGTTATTCTCCTCTTCTTACACTCTCTCACAGCAGTGGCTGTGCTGGCGCTCCATCTGCCCTACGTCTGGCTACGCTGAAACGCCACCCACAAGTCGCGCTGCTTCACAGGCAGCAGCTTCAGCATTTCTTTTGCAAGTTCCACTTCCTTCGACACCTGTGCGCTGACGTCTGGAGGAAGTGGATTCTTTTCGTGGAACTCCAGGACACGCGTGTAGGCCTTGCAGGCCACTCCGATCCCGTCGTACTCCGCTTTCGGTGTGCTGTGGGCGTAGCTGAGCTGCACCTGCGCCAGTCGCATCAGTGCCCGGAAGAAGGGCAGACGAGACTCTTCCTCCAGCACCTCGGGCATCTGACGCGTCGTCGGGTGTCGCCACGTCTCGCAGAAGCAGTCGTAGTAGTCGAGCGTCTTGGCCACCAGTTCGTTAAATGCCTTGTCCTTCAGGGGCTTATCCTCTGGGAGCGGCTGCTTACGCTGCTGCACGCGGAGACGCATCTGGTCCTCGTAGAGGCCGCCGAGGTCATACAGCAGCTGTCGCACGACAACGGGGTAGGCGTTGAAATTCAGCTGATCTGGAAAAGCCTCAAGAAGATGCGTCTGGCGCTGCATCATCGCGATGCGTCGCGCCCGACTCGGCTCGAAGACCTGCAGCGCAGCGTACAGCTGGACCATATCCCGCGCGATGTCGATGTGCTCCGTGCAGCTCGTCTCAAACGGGCGGCAGGCCTGGGCCTCCTGCAGCCACTTAATGCCCTCCTTAAAGCACTCCCGCGCCTCCTCGAAAGTTGTGACAGGCGACAGCGGCTGCAGCGGGGGGATGCCGGGGAAGGTCAGCCACGCCTCTTCCAGGTTGGCCACGTCGTCGTCCTTCGGCTCATCGCCGGTGCGAAGCCCCGCGTAGTGGTGCAGCCGGTGGAGGTAGAACCGCCCAAAAGCCCAGGCAACAAGCCCCTTCGCCTCTTCCGGCTCCTCGCTGGCCGGCATCACCGTCTGCCCAGCCAGGAGGCAGTGGTAAGCTTTCTCGTAGGCAAAGTGGCTGCTGTAGAAGCCGCTGAGCTGCAGTGCGTTGCTCGCCCACGACTTGGCATTAAACTCCTGTCGATTCAGCAGTTGATAATACATGGTGCGATGGCAGTACTGCGAGGCCGCAGTGGTGTTGTGCTGGGCCGTGTGCAGCTGGGCAATGAAGAACAGTGTCGTGGTGTAGTGGGCGTCCATGTAGTAGCGTAGGAGGACGGGCTGCACCTTCTCAGCGGGAATATCCTTTACACGTAACGTGCCGTCCGCGTCAAGAGGAATTTCGGTGATGTCGCAGTGCGACGGCTGCGTCGACCACCACTTGTTCCAGTCCAGGTAAAGCGTCTCTGCGCGGTCCAGCACAGTCTTCGCCTGGTTCAGATCCACATTGGAGAGGTAGAGCCCCATCGCGTTGTGCACCGCCGTGAACTCCGCACAGGCGGCGTAGCCGGACGCCTCCGTCACAAAGGCCGGGCAGCTCAGTATATCGTCCTGCAGCACCGCGTCGGCCTCTCGCACAGCGTCTGTGGAGGGCAGTTCGGCTGTTGCACACCACCGCAGCACGCGATAGGCGCGTCGCACCTGCGCGTATCCGTCCTCCTCCTCCTCCACCTCCATCATGGTGGTGCCGATGAACACGAGGCACCGGCACAGCTGCTGGAGGGCCAAGGTTGAGGCCTCATCGCGGTAGACGTTGAGAACCGTGTCGCGCAGCTGTTCCGCTTGCGTGCGTGCCTCGAACTTGGGGATAAAGATGTTGTGGGCCGGTCCCTCGCTGGCACATAACGTTTTGATGGCCTCAAGGGAGGTGTGGAAGCTGAGCGGGTCCATTGGGGTGGTGGAAGGCGTGTGTGTGTGGTGGTGGTGGGGTCGGGGGGGGTTTCTACCCGTAGCAAGAAATTTCTTGCAAGGCTTTCCGCTGAGGGAGGGGGGCCGTTGTTGTCGAGACCTGCGGAAACACGTGCAGGTGCCTGTATGCAGCTCACAGAGCGCAGTAGTGAGAGATGCGAAAGTCGAGAATCCAGTCTATGGAGTGTGTATGTTGGTGTGAGCGAAAATGAAAGAGATTGTTGCTGGACCGCTAACGGTGCGAGCCGTTGGGGCAACTGCGTAGAAAGGAGGAAAAAAAATTTGAGAAAATGTTGAAGATCGCGACCATGAGGATGATTGATACGAGCAGAGGAGAAAGCGGAAGTCCCATCGATGCCTCACAAGAACACTAACGATGTGATCTACGGCATTTCATAGCAATGCAAAGCTCGTAGTGGAATCATCTACCATGAAATCACTTGCCTTGAAAAGAGAGGCTTTGTGCTAGCAAGCTTGTAGAGGGAGACATAAGAGAATCACATACACCTACAAGTATGTTAAAGGAAGTGAACCGCCCGCCGCTGAGCTTGTAAACGTGTGCTGAGTTCATAGCGCATCCAGCGCGCGCAGACAAACAATTCAATGATGTGCCCGTATCCCATCATTCGGGCTCCGTGACACCCACACCCTCATGCAGGGCGAGTTGTGCGTCAAATTCGAAGAATTATACTTATAGTGTTGAGTACGTTACCATCCAGCCATGCCAGTGCATCGTGCATGGCAGGCCAAAGAAAAGAGTTAGAAAAAAAGGCACTCGCCATCACGCACTACGTTATCATCAAAGCACACAAGGACTTGCCAAGTATCCTCCCCGCACCGGCCCGCACGCATTCGCACGTGGAGAGCCACACGTCCAGCACGCTTTTCCACGCAGCAGCCCGCCTCTTTGGTAAGTTCCGGTCCTCGCAGGAGAGGAATAAAACTCGAGAGTAAAGGAGTACTTTTCAAAACGCCACCAGAGATATATGTTTTTTTTTTTACAAGAAGACGCAGGCGGGATATCTGCCCAATCGCAGCCGCAGCAGCTCGCAACGCCGAAGGAAAGGGAGTGACGGAGACCAATGTCGGGCGAGCACCAACAACCACAACGGCATCATCACACGCCGCATTACCAGCCCGTCTCGTCCTCGTTTTCCTCCGCGACGTGCGCGCCGCCCTTGTCGTCGAAATTATCCAAGTCGAGGCCGGCCTGCTGAACTGAGACCTTCTCCACCACCTTCGGCTTCGCTTTCGCGGCACGCCTGAGCTCCTCACGCAGGCGGTGCACCCTATCCGACTCCTCCGTCAGCAGCGCCGGGCTCGACATCTGCTTCGTCAGACGCTCGAAGACGTCTGCTATCAACTTGTCGTAGTTTGCGGTATCGGCGAACGAGACAAGGCGCTGCGCGATCATCGCCCCCACGCGGTCCACGTCTTCGTCCGTCGCGATGGATGCGTTGCCGAGGAGCTCCTCCGAGTCGCCGCCCAGGAGGGCGCTACCGGAGCCGATGTCGTTGGCTACCTGACGCATGTCCGTGATGGCGTGCTCCACATTCTCTGGCACGGCTTCCTCGGCCTCCACCTCCTCCTTCACCGGAGCCCGTGTGGCCAGCTTCTTCTCCGCCCGCACCTTGCGCGCTACCTCCTCCTCCTTCACCTTCTGCTCCTCCTCGGCCGCCTCAGCCTCCCAGTCATCCGCGGCGTCATCGTACTCGTCGTCGTCGTACTCCGCATCGTCGTAGTAGTCGTCCATTTTGCTCCTTTATTGTAATGGGCGTATTCAGATTTTGTATAAAAGGCGAAAGGGAGAGTCGTAGTTCTTTGTGTTTGTTTGCTTGCAAAGTGGACGCAAATCGATCGGCTATGTAGCTCCTTTCGCACCCAAGCAGCGAGTGCCCACGTTCGAGTAGGATGAAAGGTTTTTTTTTTGTGGGGGTTGTTTGTTAAGGAGTCATGAGCAATGCGTTGCAGCAGCACACGGTAGGAACCAGAAGAGAAGAAAAACGAAGACGCAGGGGAAGGAGAAACTGAACAGAACGCGGTTAACAGAAAGGCATCAAGAAAAAAAAGCCCCGTACACCATAGACGGCAGCCCAGAGGAAAAAATAAAAATAAAAAGAAAGAAGCGCAGTAAGAGGTATACACTTGGGCCATCGGAGACTTATTTCGTCCCTCCAACGCAACGCGAGAAAGCACGCAGGCGAGTACTCCTTCGTTCACAGCCACCACTGTCACAGTACGTAGCATCGAGTGTCGTCTCATCCGTGAGTCATTATCAGCGTATTCTGCAGCAGTATAAAAGCTACTCAGGAAAACAAACAAAAAACCGTTCGACTAGTAAAGCACGTTCAGCGAAGCTACAACCAACCGCGACTTTCTCCTTTTATCGGTCGAGTGAGTTGATGTTGTTGGATGCACACACCCTTCACAAGTGCAAGCCTGCGAGGTGTTCCACTGACAACAAGAACAACAAAGCGTCTGTTGAGCGCAGTACTTCGTAACAGGAAATAAATAGTAACAGCAATGAAAACAGTTGAAAGTAATTTACGCATTGCATGAGAACTGAGAAGCGAAAAGAAAGGGAAACAGCCGAGCCCGCATTCAAGTGAACGCTTCTCTCCCGTTCAGGTATGCTGAGGCAGAACGCAGCACACACATACGGATACCTGATCGGCTGCATCGGGTTTTTTTTCATTTATTTCAGACACAAAACCTTTTTCTCACTTGCTTTAAAGTGGAAGAAAGAAAAAAGAAGCATTATATATATATATATAAAGGTCAATATGAAGCTCAAGGCGGTATGGCAGAAGAGACTCCATCGCAGAAAATGCTTCCATTTCGCATTTCTCCTAAACTCCTGGGACGACTTCGTAGCGCGACGCTCGTCACAGAATTCATCAGCATATGCGGCTGGTGTCTCTGCGAGCTGTAGACTACTGACGCTTCAGGAGAGGGGAGGGAAGGGCAAGGAGGCCACCGCTAATTTGTGTCGTACCTCGATGACGAAAGGCGCCCTCCTAGGAAAAGGAATACACTACAATGCACCCCCAAAATGGAAGATACTAATACCACGCACAGCTGGTGTATCATTCCGCTGGCACACGTCAACGGTGTCCTTTTCTCCAGTCCCGTTTCATTCCAGGTCTTTTGCACTCTCGCCATTGAATTCGGACACTTTCTCCCCCCCCCCCTCCTCATTACCCGTTGCGTCCCGCGTACCACATCACCGCCAACGGGGTCCAGCAACTCACCGCAACAAGCGTGAGAAGCCACAACGAAAGCAAAGAGAGAAAAATTAATATATATAAACAGTAGAGAGGTACGAAACGAACACGCGTGCCCGTAGTGGCGTGGAACAGTCGTCCCGAAAAAAAGGCGGAGACGAACCACGCGGCCTCGTTTCGGACGCGTTCGTGACAAACAACACCAACGGCAACACCCAAAAGACGACGTGCTACAAAACTCGATTTCGTTCATCTTGTTGCCATTGCTTAATGAGGAAGACGAGCGGCAAGGGCACGGAGGTTGTCAGCTCTTGCAGTTCCGTACCGGTGCATGGAAACCAATGCGAGGGCATCCACATAACCCACAACACTCCCTCAACACCCAAGCCAAAGACAGGCGCCGGCCCATCCACTCGCTTTTATATCCACAGCTGGCGCACGCTCAGCGGCACTTAAATACGCAACTTCCCTACTTCTTCGCGAGGATGGCAGCCATGTGCTCGCCAAGCTGCGCCGGCGAGTCAGAGATGGTCACGCCGGCCTCCCGCAGCGCGTCCTTCTTGCCCTGCGCAGTGCCCATGCCGCCGGACACCACCGCGCCGGCGTGACCCATGCGGCGGCCCGGAGGCGCCGTCGACCCGCTGATGAACGACACAATCGGCTTCTTGATCGGGCTGTTGTGGATGAAGTCCGCCGCCTCCTCCTCCGCCGTGCCGCCGATCTCACCAATCAGGATGATGCCCTCCGTCTCGGGGTCGTTCAGGAACAGCTTCAGGCAGTCCACCATGTTGGTGCCGTTGAACGGGTCGCCGCCGATGCCGACGCACAGCGTCTGGCCAAGCCCCACGGCCGTCGTCTGAGCTACCGCCTCGTAGGTCAGCGTGCCGCTGCGCGACACAATACCGATCTTGCCCTTCTTGTGGATGTGGCCGGGCATGATGCCGATCTTGCACTCGCCTGGCCGGATGATGCCGGGGCAGTTGGGGCCGATCAGACGCGTCTTCGTCTGCGACAGCAGCATCGACTTCACGCGCAGCATGTCCCACTGCGGGATGCCCTCCGTGATCACCACGATCAGCGGCAGCTCCGCCTCCAGCGCCTCCTCGATCGACGCGGCGCAGAACGGCGCGGGCACGTAGAGCACGGAGGCGTTCGCACCCGTCGCCTTCACCGCCTCCGAGGCGGTCGCGAACACCGGCACACCGAGCGCCGTCGTGCCGGCCTTCTTCGGGCTCACGCCACCCACTACCTTGGTGCCGTACGCCATCGCCTCCTTCGTGTGGAAGGTGCCGGCCTTTCCGGTCATACCCTGGACAATCAACTTCGTGTTCTTGTTGACCCAGCGGCGAATGAAGGAACGGGAGAACATTTTTAGTGCTTACGTTAGAAAGGACGAGTCACGCACAAAATGGCAGGGAAAAAACACGTTGGAGTGCTGATGGGAGCGGGAGGGAATGGAAAGGGTTAGAGAACGTGGTAAATCGCTGTCTGCGCGGTCATCCACATTAGAGATCTGCCATAATAAATAAGAATATAGAGTAATCATGTAGTTGAAAAGACCCAAATCAGAAAGCGAGGAGCGAGAAAGGTGAAAGCTGAGTAGGGCGGACGGACGTCGAACGTCAGTGAGTAAACTAACTCGTACACGATCGAAACCTTTTTGTCTGTGGTGCTTTCGGCACGCATAATCGTTCGTCCGATGAGATGTCCACTTTTACTTCTTTGTTTTCGGCTCGCGCAACCCCGATCCTTTGCCAGATGAAGCCGCATGATGTGCAATTAGGGCAGAGTCCAGAAAAGCGAGAGAGAGAGAGAGAACAAAAGGTTGACGCATGACGAAGCGAGCAGTAGAGCACTGACGTAGAGCTTCTATTCGCGATGTCGCCCTCCAGGCACAGGGCAATAAGAGTGTTCTTACGATTACTATTTCTTTGTCTTTCACGTTTTTCCCTTTTTGTTAATTAGTAGTACGATTAGTGTCCCTTTGAATACCTACCTCCCTTATAGGACGCGCTAACCGCTTAAGTTGACGTGGAATAAGTCTTTTCAGAAGTTTCATTGACGTCTCGACAGCTGAGTACGCAGCAACAGTAAGATACGCATCATCAGACGAAAACGGAGGAAAAGAAAAAAACACCAAAGAAAGCTTCCTGACAAGCAAAAAGGAAGGTCAATACTGTTCCAGTCAAACACTATCTTTTGAAAACAAACCAGCGTATTGCACACACATTCATCAGGGCGTCCTAGCACGCGTCACAACCACTACTTTCCTATGTTCTTCTCTTCTTCTCTCTGCGGCGACGCGAGGTGTCGCAATGTGACGCAGAAAACCGTGGGAGCCGCTCGCCTGGAAACAGAGTCGGGATGAAACCGTGCACTCGTCACTTTTTTGTAAAAAAAAAAAAGGGCATCTGCAGCCGACACATCAGAGTTAACATCGTTGTCTTTTGGCCGAATACGTAAAGAGATATTTTTATCAAAAGGAAAAAGAAAAGCGAGCTCAGCGTATTGCATACTCCTCTGCGTCCTTCTTTTCGGTGTGTCATCGTCTCCGTGCATGAGTGAGTCTGTAAAGGAGCTAATATTGATAGAGTCATTCACATATCTGCGCTCGTGAACAGTAAAAAAAAGGAGGGGGGGGTTATTGGCCTTTTTCTTCCTGTCTTTCTCCGTGGCATCCGCGTCCTTTCGCGACAAAGCGAAGCAAGATGAAAAGCAATGATAATAAAAGGAAAGAGAGCAGCACTGCTGTGCCTCCAACGAGGACCACGAAAAAGCGCATTTTTGACACTGTTGCACACCGCACCTTCTTTGCCTTGAGCGACCTCGTGGGCAGCTCCCTCTCTCTCTCTGCGCTTCGGAAATATTCACTCCTACAACTAACGAGGCCTTTACAGAGTGAAAGAAACAAACCAAAAAAAAAAGAAACATAAACAACGCACCGAAATGACTTTCGTGGAGTGCTTCTGGGCACCTTCTTTTACCACGACCGCAAAGCGTTAGCTGCGACGGCAGCTTCCCTACTTCTTCGCGAGGATGGCAGCCATGTGCTCGCCAAGCTGCGCCGGCGAGTCAGAGATGGTCACGCCGGCCTCCCGCAGCGCGTCCTTCTTGCCCTGCGCAGTGCCCATGCCGCCGGACACCACCGCGCCGGCGTGACCCATGCGGCGGCCCGGAGGCGCCGTCGACCCGCTGATGAACGACACAATCGGCTTCTTGATCGGGCTGTTGTGGATGAAGTCCGCCGCCTCCTCCTCCGCCGTGCCGCCGATCTCACCAATCAGGATGATGCCCTCCGTCTCGGGGTCGTTCAGGAACAGCTTCAGGCAGTCCACCATGTTGGTGCCGTTGAACGGGTCGCCGCCGATGCCGACGCACAGCGTCTGGCCAAGCCCCACGGCCGTCGTCTGAGCTACCGCCTCGTAGGTCAGCGTGCCGCTGCGCGACACAATACCGATCTTGCCCTTCTTGTGGATGTGGCCGGGCATGATGCCGATCTTGCACTCGCCTGGCCGGATGATGCCGGGGCAGTTGGGGCCGATCAGACGCGTCTTCGTCTGCGACAGCAGCATCGACTTCACGCGCAGCATGTCCCACTGCGGGATGCCCTCCGTGATCACCACGATCAGCGGCAGCTCCGCCTCCAGCGCCTCCTCGATCGACGCGGCGCAGAACGGCGCGGGCACGTAGAGCACGGAGGCGTTCGCACCCGTCGCCTTCACCGCCTCCGAGGCGGTCGCGAACACCGGCACACCGAGCGCCGTCGTGCCGGCCTTCTTCGGGCTCACGCCACCCACTACCTTGGTGCCGTACGCCATCGCCTCCTTCGTGTGGAAGGTGCCGGCCTTTCCGGTCATACCCTGGACAATCAACTTCGTGTTCTTGTTGACCCAGCGGCGAATGAAGGAACGGGAGAACATTTTTAGTGCTTACGTTAGAAAGTGAAGTGGATAACGGTTGAAAATAGAAAAGTGCCTTGTGGACTTACAGAAGACCGTAAAGTGGTGAATAATTATAACAATCTACAACAATGCAGCGAACGTTGTTGCGTGTATAATGACAGAGAGCGGGTACAACAAAGGGTGAGAGAGGAGCAACAACGACAAAAAAAAGGCGAGGAAGAGAAATCGTTGAAAAAGAAGAACATGATAAGGTTGAACAAGAAGAACCGTCGTGATGCAGCCGGTTGTTTTGACGCATGTTTGTAACTGTTGTCATGTGCGAGTGCAGGAAAAACCTCTTTCCAAACAGTAGTTCATCGAAGTAATAATACATGAAAGGAAACGTAGCCAACACTGACGACAAACGCTTTTATGTCGGCTATCGCGCGTACAGGAGTGAAAGAGAGGATATGATTTAAAGAACGCAAAAAGCAAAGGAGAAGAAAATAAAAAAGAAAGAAAAAAGACGGGCACCCCAAATCAGCAACGAGCAAAGAGATATTGGACGAGGTAAACAGCAAAAGGGAAAGTATCGGTTGCGTTTGACTCTAGTAAAAAACACAGTCTTCACGCTGCAGTTGTGGAAGAAGGTATGAAAAAAAAAAAGATGAGCAATAATCAAAACAAATACCAAGGAGCTACTCCTGTTCCTTTTTGTCTTCCAGTCGGAAGGGAAGCGAAATATCGGGTCGTGTAGCCAGGGGCTGAGCGGCTGGCAGAGGAACTTTTGTTGCGGCCGGCTTCGCACGATGAACCAATGAGTTGATTTTGTTGATGCGCTCTGTGTTGTTCTTTACGGTAGCAGAGCTCAATTCCACAAAACGTTCTCCATTGTAGGGAATCTTAATCTTGCCCTTTTGTGATTTCGTCAAGTAGTCCTCCAAGATCTTGGCGTATTCCTGTCCTTGGGCCAGGATTGACAGTGCGGCATCAGGAGTCTTCGTCATTACATGCGAAGCTGCATGCTGGTACGCCAACGCTCGAAACACGTCCGCTTTCACAACAATCAAAGTAGACACCTTAATAAACTCCTCGTTGCGTGTAGAGACGCGCTGTGCGTTATTTCGGGCAGCTTCGTACATCAAGAAAAGTTGATGGCTTAAACGGGCAGTCGTATCTGCTGCCTCCTTAGAATCCGCCGTGAAAGCCTTAGACACACCAATTTCTTGCGCTTGGGCAAGCGCCAGGCTCTCAAGAAGCACTTGTAGTGCTTTTGCGGTGTCAAGAGGAATGGGAACCTGAGCAACACCGATCTCGTGGCTCTTCATGTTATCGACAATTTCTCCACAAATGTGAAAGTAGCCTGCGGCTTTAATAAGCACGCGATACGAATCTTTCTCCAGAACGGACAAAGAGCCGACAGTGACGCGAACAGACAGTAAGTACTGGGCAATGTTCATGAGACATGCCCCTACGTTATAGTACATCCCCAGAAGCTCATAGCGGTAATCGTCAAATGCCATCTGTTGCGCATCGGCCAGTGAGGAGCTCCAGTAATAGTATTGCCAGCTTGCAAATTGCGGAAGCTTTGCAACCACACTCGCTATCGAAGAAGCGTACGTATCGACCAGGTTGACGAGTTCGCTAACAAACCTTTCGCACGCATCACTGGTGTTCAACCTTTCATCGACTGCGTTTCCTTTGCGGCCAAGATGCTTCCGAACGTTTTCGAAGAAGTCGACGCATTTTTCACGCTCGTTCTTCAGTTTCTTTTTATCAGCTGATGACACGTCCACCTCTACCTGCGAGTTGACGTCGGGCTTTTTTGTTTGCCGTATTGGGATCGTAGGAAATATGTACTTGACGGTATCGTTGCTGAACATCGAGCTGATGGAGGAGTATTAAAGAAATATGTATAGAGGTGCTTCAATGCGCAATTTGTAGGTGTTGAACTTTGTAGCAAAAACAGGTTAGTCAATACACCAATATATTTTTCAACCGAAGTAATGTCGTACACGTACCAGGCTTCAACGACACAGACACATTGTGGAGAAGAAAAAAGGGGAAGAAAAAAACGATGAAATAAAGCAGCAATGGAAATCTCAAAGGCAAAAACATTTGCAAATGAAAAGAAATCGGCACAACTTTAGTATACCTTCCATTAAGAGGACGACCATAAAAAACTCCGGTGCAGGTCGTAATCAAAATATCGAAGAAAAACGTCTTCGTCATAATTACGATAATAACCGGGTATCCCTCTGTGCCAACTCTCTGCCGTTCATATAGAAAACTACAGCTCTCCAAAAACCAGTTTGCCTATTACAGAGAAACAATAATACGGTCTTCACATCAATTTGTCAATGTCGTCATAGTTTTGAAGCAGAGGAAGAAAACCAATATATATATAATTGCAAACGAAAAGGTGTGGTGTGCACGAATCCTTTAAAGGGAAAGGGAAAAGACTGTGTAAAAAAAAAAAGTTCCTCTTTACTCCTCAAGGACTCGCCAGCATTGGTCAAGAAGCTCTGTCAGATCGTTAACAGAACTATGCGCCGAGTTTGTTGAAAGATCAGCTTTTCCGTTTAGGTCGCGCGGCAGCTCTTGTCGCATTTGGGCAGCTTCTAAAGCTAATTGCAACTGGTAATGAGTTGCTTTCTCTATGTGAACGTGCCGGTTATGATATGCGGTAGCAAGGTCGTTGCGGTTGATAGACTCCGCGGTCAAAAGCGACATTCGTTCCGTTAATTCCTCGCTCTCTATGGATTTTTGTTCGTACTGTTTTTTGAAACTCTGACGAAACTGTAAATAGAGCTGTGAATTTTGTTCTACGTTTCTCAGTTGTATCATGAGCTTTTCGATGCGCTGTAAAGCGGTAAACTCAAACAAATTTCCGCTCTCGATAATGGAGGTGACAGCCAATGCGACGTTGGTAAGTTTCTTTGCTGCATCATCATCCTCCACTATCTCATCTGTCTGAGAAACGGCAATTCTGCGACCTGGGCCGTGCTGCACGCTGGTCGAACACGTTGATGTGCAACACTGTGTTCCAGCTGCAACTCTTGAAGGAAGTGGTGTCTGGGTCGATGATGTCTGTCTAGACGGAAGCTCTGGAGCTAAAAGGGAAAGTGCACAAGTGAGTTGTGGCTGTGTACGTGTGAGCGTAAAGTCGTCACGTATTCCCAACGACCGCAACGTTCTATCAATTTCACTTATAGCCGCAGCGGTACTCTGCTCCAGCGCCATTGGTCGTCTAAAAATACGTCTTTTAACATTTAAATTGAGGCAGAGAAAGAGCAACAATAAGGGTTCTGAGGGGAGCAAGAGATGAATACCAAGCGTAGGCTACCACAAAAGAGTGCAAGCTCACTGGTACTTCAAATATTCTATCCAAACACGAAACCAGCGGTGGTAATGCCTCTTTTTCTTCTCAAAAGGCAATTTGAATCTCATTATACCCACGATGGTAACGATGGCGCTTGAGAAAAGCGGGACAGGCAAATAAGTAACGAGGAAACGAAGTACAGGAAAGGAAATTTTCCTCATAGAGTTTCTATCACCTTAAAGTCAGGTCGATAGAATAGAAAAGACCTAATTTGAAATTTTGCTGTGAAAACTCAACAATGAACAACACCAACTGAATAACAACAATTGACGAAATGAAATGATGTTCTTTCTAAGAATTCTGCTTCATCCCACTATAATTATTTCTACCGTGAAAGCCATTTGGTTTTGCCTCGTAGCGCGGTGCAAGGTTCGGCTGAGGCTGCATAGACATCTCCTTATACGGACTCTTCTTCAGTGTGTCCTCCGTCATCTCGTCCACGTTCCAGTCCTTCGGGCGTTCAGCCTCCGTGTGAAGCAGGTGATCGTTTTCCTCAACTGCGTCAATCCGGGAAAACTCATCGATGCCATAGTCTGCTAATGTCTTGACTTCGTCCAGCTCACGCCCGTCAATGCTCAATTTGAAGGAGGAGGTGCAGAGATAGGGAGACTGATTCTCAATCCGTACCTGTTGCATCAGTTCTGCGATTGTGGAATCGCGATGAGCCATTACCTGAACCACTTGCATCCGTTTCTCCCAGCCTGTGGTTACCCAAATAAATGTTTTGAAGCGAATCCGCAGCGGAACAAGATACTGAATTTGTGGATCGTCCACAACTGCACGCCAATAATGCCGATCATTGTCTTGGAGAATCGTTTCGACGCTACCAAGGTAGAAGCGCGTGTCTCCAGGTGTTGCTGAACGGATTGGACCGGGATAAGTTTGCGAATCTGTAAAGCGCCGGTGCGCCTCGTACGCCTCTTGCTCGTACTGCGATAGCTTCCCAGGAACCAGCAGCAACAGAGGGGTCACCTTAAACCGTAGCAGTGCACCGCACTTCATTGCTGATAATTCTACAAGTGCTTCAATCTCTTCGTTATCTTTGCAAGCCTTCTTCGCCACTTTGCATGTTAGAGAAAAAAGAGGAGGTATATATATAAAAAAAACGAGACGAAGGCAGTTAGGCGACCAATCAATCAATCAAGAAGCTGTTCGAAGCGCATTTGCTTTGATGCAAACGGTTGAGTCCGCGGAATCGCTTTCTCTTTTTGCGACAGGTTTGTCTCTTGAAAAATTCAGCGCGCAGAAAATCATCGTAGTTTATGAGAAAGTATTTCCTTTATAGAGGTGCAGCTGTACAGCAACACTAAAAGTTTTTTCTGGGAAACAGCCCTGTCTTTTTGTTTAAGATGATTCACTTTTACTCCGTTCTTCATGGGTCCTGTTGTTCGTGTCCTGAAGAGTTTTCAAGCACCAAGGAGGTGCAAATCTTAGTGAAAAGGGCACGACCGTTTTTGCACGGTAATTCCGTTACGCACACAAAAACTGGGAGACGTGTACTGCATCACCCGTTCGCAGGGTGCGTAAGTCGGTAGCTGCGCCAGGCTCTCTTTCCGATTGACAGTGTTGATGAGTGCTACAATGCGGGTTGCTCCTAGTGGCTCTTTGGGTTGCGAAAACGTGCTTTTCTTCGTAGCGCATTGTGGCGCATTTATTCCCTCCCCCCCCCCCCACCCCCTAACTTTCCTCTTCATACACTTCTTGCTGGCTATTCTCCATGAGCGAAGCTCCTATCAGAAACGAAGCGAGCGGCATTTTCGGAGGATAAGAAACAAGGTGCGTCAAGAGAACCGTGAACACCGAAGATTCGGAAAAATGGTGACTTACAGTTCTTGTTCTCAGTGCGGAACTTTTCCGCCAGTGGTTTTTTTATTTAACAAGTACTTTAAGCTATTCACAATAGTTGGCCATGAAAAGGTTCATCGGATAGTCAAAGAGTGAAATACGGAGCCTTTAGTTTTTGAGTGTCTTTCAGTTGCGCTTTTGTGTTTCTATTTGCGTTCGCACTAAAAATGTTCCTTGCGTAATAATATACTTCTTTTGAAAATGATGTGCCATTTTCTGGTAATAAAGTATCTCTTTTCGTTCTCATATCTCAGGACCTTCTTTTGTTCTTTGTATTATTCTTTTCACAACAAAACACCTCAATACATATAGGGGAGAACGGAAAGATTTGAAATGAACGAGACAGCGGCAAGAAACGAGGGTGGTGTGAAGTCGCTCATCATCACCATTCCAACGGACGGAGAGCTAATCATCATGGTACCTCTGCACGAGCCAAAATGCTCGTCTTCCATAAAATTGGAGCCCTCAACCGGGTTGACAGATTCGCGGGTTGACGTGGCGGGTAGTCCACTTATCGCGGATATTTCATATTACTTTCTGCCTGGTGCGACCTTAAATGTTTTTGCGTGGTCCAGCTGTGCCGTCAAAATTGAGGGGTCAGAGCAACTATTATGCGGTATTATTCGGTCATTTACGAAATCAATCACCCGCCCAGTAGTGGAATACCATTGTGTTCTCCACACGCAACGCGTCGCAGCGCAGCAGTCGCAATCGATGGGTCCTGTGACGCTGGTCTGTGGCGGGCATCTGAGCGGGAAAGCCGCCGTGGTGCGTAGTCTAGTGAATTATGCAGCTCGCGCGGGTTGGAAGCCGCTTTTGGTCGATATGGACCCGAGTGTCTACCAGATGATTGGGCTTCCTGGCTCCATCGGCGCCGCCATCGTCGATTACCCCGTTCCTCTCGACGAGGTTATGGCTCTTTCTTTGGTGAGCACAACCTTTTTCGTCGGTTCCACTGAGGTGCAGAAGACGGACAAGTTAGGCGAAGCATCGATGAGTGCCGCCTATGTGCATTTTACAAAGCAGCTCCTGACGTGCGTGCGCGAGCGATTGTCAACTCATGTCAACGATTTATACGGCTGTAGCGGGGCCATCGTTCTCTTGCCTGAAGTACATGGCAGCTCCGGTATGAGCTTTGTCAGCGAAGTGATACAACAGTACGACGTTTCAAGCGTTTTGTGTCTTGGCGACGATGATTTGTTCCACTCTTTATACCTCCGGCACGATCGTGGTCACGCAAATCAACCCGACTTCGTAAAAGTGGATCGCATTTCACACAATTTCTCCGTCATTCCGCCAGCAAATCCGGACGTGCTTATGCCAATTAAGTACAGCGAACACTTTTTCGGTGCCGGTGCTGTAGGGCTGCATCCATCTCAATGGTCAAAGCCGTTCAACAATATTGACGTTCTACTCCTCAAGGAAGAGAAAGGCCAGGTGGTGCTTTCAGCTGTTCCAAAAGACGAGTTGCTGGGTGTCGTCGGTTGCATTGGAGCTTTGTATTTGTCTAAATCTGTCAGCGCGTTGCAATCGTCGCCTGTTGTCTACGCGAGAGTGGAAAAGGTCGATCCGGAGGGAATTCATTTTCTGACAAGCACCCATTACACCTTTCCTTCTGAAAAATTAGTGCTTCTTGTTGGAAATGTACGCTGGATCACCAGTACCTAATTAAAAAAAAAGAAATATCGAAATATATATATAAGGAAAAGTGATTATTTGGAGGTTAACGAGTTGTAATATATGGATTTATATATGGATTCAAAAGTGTATAGGTCTGCGTATGTCCAAGATTGCTGTGAAAAGCTGCTCTAGTAAATAACATCGTTAATGATTATTTTTACGGATGTCTGTCTTTAATCTGAAATGAATAGCTCTGCGCTGTCAAGAAAGACTAAACTTCATCTCTTTTTGAAGATATTTGTGTTCTTGCAATACTGTTTCTTTCCTCTTCTACTCCACCGTTGTGAACGCATTCTCTTTTTTTTTCTTTTACCAAAACAATCCTGATTTTTGAACATATGGCTAAACAGCTGAAAAGGAAGAGAAGCAGGGCGGAAAACGGAAATGCTTAATGACAGCTCCATTTTAGTCGATGGCATAAATCAAATTCCAAAACAAGAGTTCCTATCTAGTTTAAGCAAATTGGACGAAAACGATGGCACCTCGATTATTTTCGTTGAACAGCATATTCTTTCATGTTTGAGTCGTCTTGGTGTCAACCTAAAAGACCTTGGGAGAGATAAGGGCGTTGTTGGTATTTTCCCATTTCAGAACGAGATTAATTACGTCTCGGCTGACAATGTGGTTTACATTATCAACCCTGACCTCAGCTCCATGCGGTCTTTAGTTATGCATCTGCTGTCGTACACGCAGCGATTTGCCAACTCAAAGCCGAAGGTGCTGTACGTTCCTCAAAAGACACTTATTGCCGAGCAGGTTTTGGAAGATGAGTTTAAGCTCTCGCAAAGGTTTCCGATGCTGCAGATTTCGAGCCTGGACCTCGATTATGTCTTTTTAGAAGAGAAAGTGTTTTCCATGGAGCTTCCGCTCTCGTTCAAGTCGGTTTTTGCCGATGGCGACCTCAGCAGTTTGACCTGGATCGCGCGGCTCCTGCTTAAATTTCAAACCTCACGCTTCGGGGCCATTCCACGCATTCGTGGCAAGGGTAGCAACGCTGTAAAAGTAGTACAACTTCTGCAGCGATTTCAAACGGAGGTGGGTCACGACTTCATTACAGACATCCCATCCGAAGTTCACATGCTGCTCATTCTCGACCGATCCGTTGATTTGGCCACTCCGCTGATGACGCAGCTCACGTACGAAGGCCTTGTGGATGAGCTTTACGGCATTGAAAACTGCGAGGTATGTTTCCCTTTTAGCCTAGGAGAAAGCTCTGGCGTTGGGGTAAACGAGAAAGTAGTCATCAACAGCGGTGACAAAATGTTTGCCGAAATCCGTGACAAAAACTTCACCGCAGTCGGCTCGGTCCTATACCAAAAGTCGGTATGGGTCAAACAAAACTACGACAAACGGAAAGAAGTGCACCAACTCAAGGAATTGAAAGAGTTTATGAAGGGGCTTTCGGAAATGCAAGAAATGCACCGATTGATTGGCATTCACACTAACGTTGCTACTGAAATTAGTAAGGTGACGCAAAGTTCGGAGTTTCGAAAGCGCATCGTGATGGAGCACAATATTATCCAGCAAACGAACGAGGGCGACGTCCTCAAATACATAGAGGACCTCATCTTTCGAAAAGAGAAGTTTGAGGTTGTGGTGCGTCTCCTTGCCCTTCTTTCGCTGATCAACGGCGGGGTGCGTGAAAAAGATTTGGGTAACATAAAGGAGAACATGATGCTTGTGTACGGCATTCCACAAGTCATCAGCACCTTTTTTCTTTTGGAAAGGTGTGGGCTGCTCACGCTGCAAAGCGGAAAAGGTGGGAACTACGCGGCAATTCGCAAACAGCTGCAAACCTGGAACGCGTCGCTGAACGAGGAGCGCCCGAACGATATTGCGTACGCGTACAGCGGCTACGCGTCGCCGCTTGTTCGAACGGTCGAGATGCTGCTCCGCAATCCTCAGGTGTGGGACGCTGCTGACGGCCCATTGAACCTCCTAAGTGGTGAAAAGAAAGAGTGCACAAATAATGCCGAGATTGCTGGTGCAACAAAAACGTCCATTGTCTTTGTTATTGGAGGGATAACAGCATCAGAAATCAGCGCGCTGCGCTTCGTGGAGGAACGACTTTCCAGCAACGGCAGACCGCACAGAATCATCGTCGGTACCACAGATGTTCTAAGCGGGAACCGTATGATTCGTTCCCTCCTTCCTTTCCAGCCGTAACCCTTGCGATTTTCGCACATGCATTTATTTGCTAGGAAAACAAGTTTTCTTTTACATGGTGTTTATTACACGTCCACTTTCGTGTTATCGAGCTGAAGATCGGAAAAGGAAAGCACTTTTTAAGCCTACACAGCGTGTATGGATAATAAGAAATGTTTGCTTCAAAACTATATTTCTACTTCTGGCAAACTCCACATTTGAGATGACCATTGCATCGTACATGCTGTACTACTTCAGTTTTAAAATTAAGAACCACTGCCAAAAATGATTATTGTGCTTTTATTTTCAGAGGCTTTTTTTCGTTTTGCCCCCTTATCTCTCTTTTTTTTTTTTCTGACCCTTCGAGTTGCTTTGACTTCTCACTTTGATGTTTTTCTTTGTGCTTGATAATCACAGGTCACACAGCACACAGTGTTATTAGCGGTACGCAATGACGGAGGGCCGTATCCGGTGCTATTATGAGGTGCTGGAGGTGGAGCGGAAAGCCACCTACGATGAGATTCGCGCTGCTTACAAGAAAAAATCACTTCAGTACCATCCCGATAAGAACTTCGGTAATCAGGAGGAGGCTGCACATCGTTTCAAGGAGGTACAAAATGCGTACTCTATTCTTAGCGACGACAACGAGCGGGCTTGGTACGACTCACACCGCGAAGCCATTCTCCGCGGCGGCGACGGCACCGGTGATCCAGATGAGCTGAATTTGTACGAGTATTTTACTGCAAGCTGCTTTGATGGCTTTGATGACGGCGAGAGCGGCTTTTACACTGTCTACCGTAAGGCCTTCGATCTCGTCGTCGAGGAGGAGGCAGATTACGACTCCCGCGCCAAGTCGTGGCCCGGGTTCGGCGACAGCAACGGCACGTGGGCTGATGTACTCGGGTTTTATAATCACTGGCGTAACTTTAGCACCTTCAAAACCTTTGCCTGGAAAGACGAATACAAGGTCAACGAGATGGAGGACCGTTACTCTCGTCGGATGGCTGGCCGCATCAACAGCAAGGCGCGTGATGGTGCGAAGAAAGAGTACGTGCGCACGGTGCAGAGCCTTGCGCAGTTTGTGTACCGACGTGACCCGCGTGTGAAGGCGGAGTTGGAGAGACAGGAGAAGGAAGAGGCGGAGAAGAAGGCGGAGCGGGAGCGTCAGGAGATCGAACGTTTGAGGCGACGCCGCGAGGCCAACGAGCGCATCTGGGCCGAGGCCGCGGAGCGCGAGGAGAGGGAGGAGGCAGAGCGAGCCGCGCGGGGTGAGGCGATGGATGGATCCACATTGGAGATGCTGTACGAGAAGGAGCGCCTGACAAAGGAGATGATGCGCGGCAACTGCGGAGTTGGGGCGCACGCCGCTGGATTTGCCATGCTGGAGAAGGACGATGACCAGCCTGCCACATCTTTCAACTGCCCTGCATGCAAGAAGCAGTTCAAGTCGGAGAACCAGTACAAAGAACACATCCGCAGCACTAAGCACAAAACGAAGCTGAAGCAACTCGCTGCAAAAGGGACGGATGTGGCCGCTTTGATGGGTGAAAAGACGGGGGATGGTGCGGATGTGCCTGAGGAGTAGGCACACTTAGCATCCCTCGGCTTTGGTTATTTCTTCTCTCTCTTAGACCCTCTTAATCACTGCTTTTTTTTCCTGTTGTTCTTTCGCTCTATGGAAAGACTTTTCTTCTATAACGTAACTGCCTCTCGCACATGCGCTGGTGAACAGGTTTACGTAACTATAGCGGCTCCGTTGGGTAAAACGTTTAACGCACACCATTTGGTGGTAAGGTTCCATAATTAAAACTCTTTTATAGCTCTTTTCCTTTTCTTCACGAAGTACAGCTCTATGCCGTTGAACTGGTGATTTGTGATGACAGCAATTGCTATTATTATTATTGTTATTCTTAAAAAAAAAACTGTGATAAACACGTTGCAGGCTTTTTGAGGGGTTGAAAACATTTATTTTTGTTGTGCACACAACTTGGTGTTAAGGATTTCCTGGACTGCTTTCCGCAGAACTCCGCATCACTCCCCCGAACGCATACACGCGCTCTAGGGGAATTGCGTGATTATCTGAGTTTCAAGAACTTTCTTCTTTTTGTGCTATCCCTTGTTAACTTTGGTACTTCTCTTTCTCCTCCCCTTTGCTCTCTTGCTCCTGTCCAGCTACTCGCACCCGCTTCGAAGCAAAGCTGCGCGGAAAACACGTTCGTTTTACGCAACACCCGCGTGACTCTGTTTTCCTTTGGCTGCGCACAACACAAAACAGAGCTTTTTCGTTAGATCTTCTTTTTCTTTTCCTCCCTGTCGGCGTTACACTGTAGTTTCTAACTCGCTCTTTGATTCTCTTTTTATTGATAAGATGAGCAGCTACGAGATTAAGCCCATCGCCCAGGGGACCAAGAAGGACCCTTCGGTGCGTAAGTACAATAAAGCTGCCGGTGCAGGACCGTTTGGTGCCGCGCCCCCCAGCGCTTCAGGCAAGAAGGCCGCTCCCGCACAAGCGTCCAACTCCGCCGGCGAAGATGCTGTGCAACCCGTGACGGGTGTTCGCTTCCCTTGTACCGGTACGAAGCGCGGCTACGGTGGCGCGAGTAGCTCGCTGCGCAAAGGCCGCCCGCGTGATGTTCCTGATGCCGCCTTCTCCGACAAGGGCGGTGGCAAGAGCGCGCCGCCCAAGGCAGGCGCCTTCAGGAAGCGCATCATCCCGCCCACCGAGTTCCGCCGCGCGTACGATCGCGGTGACCTGCCCCTGGCCATCTGCCACGGCGGCCGCCCCTCCATCGACTGGAAGGTTGAGGTAGAGAAGTTAGACTACCATCACTACCTCCCCATCTTCTTTGACGGCATCCGTGAGAATGAGGAACCGTACATGTTTCTCGCACGCCAGGGCTGCTTGGACTTGCTGGAGCGTGGTGGGCCAAAAATCCTGCCAACGGTGCCGCAGCTCATCCTTCCGATCAAGACGGCGCTGAACACGCGCCACCCCGACATCATCTGCGCCACCCTGCGCATCATTCAGCAGCTCGTGGTCAGCGGCGATTTGATTGGCGAGGCACTTGTCCCGTACTTCCGCCAGATCCTCCCCGTCTTCAACCTTTTCAAGAACGTCCACAAGAAACGTAGCCGCAGTGACGCCATGGATTATGGCCAGCGCAACCGCGACGACGTCGGCGATCTGGTGAACGAGACGTTGCAGTTGCTGGAGCTGCACGGCGGCGAGGACGCGTACATCAACATCAAGTACATGGTGCCTAGCTACGAAAGCTGTGTGTACAACAACTGAAAAAGATGGTGAGTTAGAGTCGCATTTCTCTTTTAGAAGGCGTGCTTCTTTTCTTCGTCCTTATGCTGCTCACAGCGCCGTGCACGGGATATGTTTGTTGGAAGGACGATCTCTGGTATGTTTCTTTTTTGTTCTGATGTTTTGCACATGGGAGGACAAGCGCACGTTTTAAGGGAGAAATAGAGCAATGAAGCTGTGTGCTTGGTGGATGTATTATAGCGCTACTGAATGAACTTACTTTTTAAAGACAATATTTTATGTACAAACTACCATCTTATGTTCTTGCTGTGCAGCGCAGAAGCATATATATCCAAAAAAAAAGAATGCAAGTGCCGTGCTAGATTTTCGGTGTCGGCAGGAGAGCCTTCTCTCTCTCTTGTTTTCATGGATATCTTCGTAGTAGTCGTTTCGAGAGGTGTGGAGTTACACACGGTGCGACTCCACTCCGTGTGCCACACCGGCACGGTGACTAAACTACTATTTTGGTGAGGTGCGAGGTGCTGGCCGTATCACACTGTCTTTTTTTCCTAAAACTATCGTGTGTAGAGCTGGGCGGAGCCAGGCAGCATCCGCCTCTTGCTGTTTCATCCGCTGCCCACCGCGTGGTCTCACAACGCTGCTCTTCCACGATAGTCTTGAATGAGAAAGTTGTCGCGTTCAAAATCGGCCTTTTCTTTCGCTGTCTCTCCGTCTCTGTTTTTCTTTCCTCTTCCAACTGTCACGCGTACCTTTCCACCGCCCGCTTCTTCTTCTCTTCTGCTGCTTTCCCTTTTCTTTTTCTTTAACGCGGGTTTCATTTCAGCACTTCTACGCCAATTGTACCCGTCGCCTCACATTTATACCGCCGCCGACCATTTATCGAAAACAGAAGTCCAACCCACATTTGCCACCGTCTGGACAGTAACCTTTTTTTATTTCCCCGCTGCTCTCAAAGGGCCTTTTGCGCACGCGTGTGCTGATCAGCTTCTGCTGAGAGTCCCGCCCTCTGCTGCGTCGGATCATTTTCTCGTCTCCGCTGCTGCGCTGCGTGGGTACGGCGCCTCATTGGGTGATGCAGGTTCAGCTGCTGCCTCATCGGTTGTGATTGTTGTGATGCCGCTGGAAAACGAGCAAAACCTGCTGACTTCATAACCGCGTTTTTGTCTGTGTGCATGTCTCTCGTGCGTGGGCGCCGACACCGATAGAAAATGGAGGACGACTACTATTACGACGATGAGGGCTACGATGAGTACTACAGCAACGGCGGCGACGAGGCGGCCGACGTCGACCCGCTCGAGGTGAAGTACATCGACGGTAAGAGTTACATGCAAAACAACGTAGAGGAGAGCCTGCGATGCTTGCGCGAGGTGGTTGATGAGGACACCGCGCACGGGCGGTGGACGTTCAAGGCACTGAAGATGCTGAGCCGCGCCGCACGCATGGCGAAGCGGTACGAAGAGATGACGCAGTACTACGCGCAGGTGGTACACTTCTCTCACCCTGATGTGGCTGCTGCGGCCATCGCCAAAGCAATGTTAAAGTTCTCCGAGGAGAGCAAGTGGGTGCCCGCGCAGTGGCGGCAACAGACGCTGCAAATCACTCTCGAGGTGGCCATGCCCAACACGGAGCAGTACCGCCACGTGCTGGTCCCCACGCTCCTACAACGCGCCGCACTCCTCCTCGAGGAGAACAAGAGCAAGGAGGCGCTGGACGACTTGCACGTCGCAATGCAGCACTGCACTCAGTTGGACGCGGCAGTCGCGCAGCTCAACGCGACGTCAGTGTATCAGATTCGCGCACTCCAGCTGGTGGCCTACCGCAAGCTGCGTCGCTACGCGGATCTGCGCAGCACCTACAACGCCATCGGCCAAGTCCAGGCTGCCCTCCCGCCGCTGCGCATGATGGGCGGGGTGATGGAGTCGGCAGGGCACCTCTTTCTGCACGACGGAGACTGGGGCGCTGCCCACCGCGCATTTGCCTCGGCACTGCGCAGCTACACGGAGTGCGGCGACGCCCAGCAGTACGCCGTCGTGAAGTACGTGGTGCTGGCCACGATGATGGCGGACCTGCCGGTGGATATCTTCTCGCAAGACGACGCCCTCGCAGACCACCCTTACGTGCGTCCCGTGCGTGCGCTGTGGAAGGCCTTCGCCGCCTGTGACGTACCGGCCTTCTTCAACGTTCTTGCAGACCCAGAGAACGTGGCGTGTTTCGCGCGCGACGAGGAATTCGCGCCCTACGTGGAGGCGGCGGTCTACCAGCTGCGGATGAACTTCCTGATCAGCTATACACGAGGCTTTGCCACGGTGTTGCTGTCTGACTTGTGTCGGCGCCTGCGGATGGACGAGCAGCCTTGTAAGGAGCTGTGCGCCAGCGCCATTTTGCACGGCCTCCTCGAGGGAGGTATCGACGACGGACGTAAGCTGCTGGTGCTGAGGTCTGCCGCGAAGACAGGGCAGGCGCGCCTGGGCAACGCAGAGACGCTCCGTGACTTTTCTATTTTGGCAAACGAAATGTGTTGTCCGCGAATTCGCTACTAGGAAGTGTGTTGGGGCTCCTTGCTGGCGTGCTGCCGATGGAGGACTAAATCGAACGAGACGATGTGGTTTAACTGCCGAGGAGAAATCTGCTCGTTCTCTCTTTTTATTGGTTTTCTTCTTCTTTGTCGGGGATTCACATTCTCTCTTTTTGAAGTATTCCCGATGCCTTGGTGTTCTTTTTATCGGGATGCGCGCTGCTTTGCTTCCTAAAACGCTTTCCTTTTTAACAAGCGATCAAACAAAAGAGAAAAGGGAAATGATAACGCATTAAAAGTCAAGCGGAAAGCGGGAGAAAAGTTGAGGACAGCAGCGTTGGCAGTGTTGTGAAGGACCGCGTCTCCGTTGACGGTGGGCAGTCTTGCGCGTCCGCAATTCTCACTTCTTTTCAGCTCCACAGCGATGACTGGGTCCTCGCCGAGGCACTCCGACTTGTTTCTTGCTTTCCTTTGTATTGTTTGTCTACAATTTCCTCCTACGTTGTCCTCCCCTGCTTCGCCTTCGCCTTTTGCGTGCATTTGTCGTGGACGACACCACAGCGGCCAATTGCCACCATCGTAAGAGGCGCGTATCTGTGCGGAGAGTGTGCTTCCTATTGAGTGAAGTGCTGCCTACGTTTAGCTGTGACGCCTCTTAGCGACGGCGGCGTCAACGTGGAGCAGCGTTTGTTGTTGTTTTGCAGAACAGCAGCGACGCTGCGGTACACTCTTGCGTTTCGTTTCCGCTTCACATTTTTGTCTTCTGCTTCTCACTCCCTTCTCTGCTTTTCGTATCATAGAAATCGGAGGTCCCACCTTTCTTTTCTCCCCGCACGCTCTCCTTTTACCGCCGTGGCCCTCCACACGAGCTCACCGGCAGAACGAACCCAAACAGGCGAATTCTCTACCACCGGTGTTCGCCACCCGCACCCTGTCCGCTTCCTTCTCGCTCTCCCCATGCCGCGTCAGCCAACGAAGAATCGCATTAACATGCACGACATCGTCGAGCAGCCCCTCTCTGCCATACCGGACGCCGTCGATGCCGTGTTGCGCCGCCCCGAGCCGCTGGACGAGGTGGAGATGCAGAGCATCCTCTACGAATGCTCCTTCATTCTACTCAGGGCGGAGGAGGCCCTCTCAGCGAAGGACGGCAACGCCTTCTGTGCCCTCTTCAAGCTGCTCTCTGAAGGATTTGCGCACAGTGAGGAGTCCTTCGAGGAGGGGATTCGCACCATGATCCAGAACGATTCTCTCCTGCAGACGATGCACACCATTTTCAAGGTGGTGGTCGAGCAGGAGGCGCTGCCCCTGCACAGCGCCGGCACCGTGGAGCTCATTCAAGTCCTCAGCAGCCTGTGCGATGGCGCGGCCCTGAAGGACAAGTGCGGGTCGCTCTTCATGCGCGGTTTCGCCAAGCTGCTGCAGAAGGTCTACGCCAACGCGGAGGAGGCACGGCGGCACTTCCACGTCCAGCGTGGCACCGCCACGGCGCTGATCAACCTGGTCAAAGGCTCCAAGCAGAACAAGCAACGTCTGGCATCGTGGAAGTTCGTCGCGGACTGCTGCGCGGTATCCGTAGACGTTTTCTTCCAGCTGCAATGCGTGGAGATGCTGTTCCGTGTGTCACGGCAGAACAAAGACGTCTTGTCGCACCTCGGCGACTCCTTGCCGCCTGCCACCGTTGAGGCGTTGCAAGCGCTGCCCAACGACGGCACCCTTCTGTCCCGCATGACGCAGCTGATCGAGCATCTGAACGATGGTCGCGCGCAGGTGTTGCGCTACCCGCTGAAAGAAGTGGTGGCGGCCGACACGACGCTGACGAGCTCGACCAATGCGTACTTTACGCCGAACTTCGTCATCGTGATGGTCACGGCAGTAAACGCCGACAACATCACCATTCCCTACCGCATTATTCGCTCCATCACGCTGGGACGCGACGGACGCGTCATCATCAAGTTAGAGGAGTTTCCTGTAAAGTTAGAGGTGCTGTTGAGCCACACCGCGGGCATGGACACCGTCACCTTCTACATGACGCAGGACGAGCTCGCCCGCTTCAAGCAGTCTTCGGTGCGGCAGTGGATTGTGGAGGCTCTGCAGGCGCGGAAGGATGAGCAGCGGCAGCACCTCCCGCAGCGGGCGCGGCGCTCGCCTGACTCCTCGACCAAGTCGAACGGGAGGAGTGCTCGGGCAGCGCAGGAGTCGACTTCCGCGGCGACGTCAGCAGCGGCGGCGCCGACGCAGTACGAAAACACCGCTGCTGCTGACGAGGCCGATAGCGCTCGCAAGAAGGCGCGGGTGGAGTCCCCTGCCAGTCGGTGGGGTGGTGCGATAGTCAGCAGCGCCCTGCCCTCCGTCGCGGCCTTCCTCCACGTGGTGGACGCGCTGATGGAGCAGGCGTCGACGCCGAACGAGGCGCAGGCGATGCTGCTACAGCTGCGGCGGCTGATCGAAGCTCGCAAGGAGGTGCAGCGTGGCAAGCTGATGGACGAGCTGAACACCATCATGGAGCACATCCAGTCACGCGTGGACGACGCGCGCCGCACCGCGCGGGAAAACCGAAGCGCCTGGCATCAGTCCATGCTGGAGGATCTTGCGAAGGTGGAGGGACTTGTGGTGGCTGTGCAGGACAAGACCGCTGAGGGTGTGGAGCAGCTGAACAAGGATCTGAAGAAGGTGAAGGCGAGCAATCAGGCCATCAACGAGCGCATCGCGTGCATGGACATCGAGCTCCAGCAAACTTTGGAGGAGCTGCGCGCGGAAGAGTTTCGTTGGACAAACGAGATCGATGCAAAGTGCATGCGCGAGGCGGAGCGGCTGGAGTTCGACGTGGATCAGAGCCTCATCAACCGTAACCGGCCGCTTGCATTGATTTCGGACTACATGCAACAGTCCGCACCCTACCGCTGAGCAGCAGCGGCAACGCTCATGGAAAGGCCACGAATGATCAGAGTCCGCATTTTTTTTTTACGGGACAGATAGCAAAAGGGCGACAACGAGACTGCAGAAGCCCTTCTCTCCACTTGTTGACTGCGCGGGGAGCATAGACCTTTTCCTGCCATCACGTCTGCGTGGGTGTACGGAGACGCGCTCGTGTGTTTGGTGTTGTGTGCGATAGATTGCTTTAGAGAAGACGCTACAAGGGCGCGAAATAAAATAGAAAATCCCTTCAATAGAAGGAGGAAAAGTTGCTTTGACCAAACAGTTCGCTGCTGAGGTTGGTGGGTGCTGCGCGGGGACGGGATGTGGGCGCTACATCACCAGCGCATGGACCGTGCTGGCCTTAATTGGTGTGTCGCCTTTTGCATTGTCGGTAGCCCGTTCCAATGACGTTCGTGCAAATGAGAAGACCGCTTTCCTCCTTAACGCTCCTCTCCGATCTTCGACAACTTCTTTCGCCTGCGATTTACTACTCCGATTAAGGTCGTAATACTTTGATTTCTACTTGCCGCGGCATCATCACAAATCGACGTCAAACCCCACTTAGCGCACCTTCGTATCCTGCCGCTGTTAAAGACAGCATTTACCCAACCCTCTCGTTCGCCCCCAGCAGCGTCCCCGTCACCTGTGTGAAGCGCGACATTGGCGACCTTTCGTGCAGAACCCGTTTTTTCCCCTCTCTGCCCTTCTTGACTTGAGTGTTTGTATCGTGCATTCCGTGTGCTCCACATCAAGTAACTGACACGCAGGAAGAAAAATGGCGTGGATTGGCGACGCGGTCGATGCGCAGTACACCGTCGACACGGTGTCGAAGCAGCAGGCGCTGCTGCCGACCTCCAAGGCCTTCTCCATCTTCCCCAAGGATCACGTGTTGCGAGTCTTCCAGCTGGATGCGCTGGCTTCTCAGCAGGAACTCGTGGAGGTGCTACGCATGGCGCTCTTTCAAGTGTTTGACATCCCGCCACTGCAGCACTTCCGGTTTGCCTATCAGGAGGAGCTAGTGCTGGTGCTAGAAGCGCTGCTGTACCGCATGTCTGTGTGGCGCATGGGTCAATCGATCGGCGACCGTCTTCAGAACTTAGTCCTCCGTGACGAGGAGCGGGCACGCCTGCTGGGCCTACAGAGCACCAAGTCGCTGCTGCCCAGCCTCGCCCCGTCGCGGCGCCTGCTCCTTGTGCACGCCATCATAACGCTCATCGTGCCCTACGTCACCCGCAAGCTGCAGCGAAAGATGTTAGAGGAGGGGTGGGAGCGGGAGTCGTCCACCAGCACCCGCCACCGCTTCGCAAAGGCGTTTCGCTACACCGTCATCACGTGGTCCGTGCTGTCCCTCGCCAACACCTTCAATTTTTTGGTGTCGGGTCAGTATCGCACCTTGACGGAGCGCCTGCTGTCTCTCCGCCTCGTCTACGGCAGTCAGCGCATGATACGCTTCACCAACTTGCTGTACATGAACCAACACGTGTGGTGGCACACGTGGATGTCGCTGCTGAGCGTGCTGAGCGTGGGCCGCTACATGAGTCGCCTCCTCCAAGGCGTGCGCTCCATCACCTCCTCCGCGGCGTCCTCCTCGACCAACGACAATTTGTGCTGCGCCTGTCATGAGCTGCCAACGGTGTGCCAGCGGTCCAATTGCGGGCATCGCTACTGCTACTACTGCATTAAGAGCCGCCTGCTGGACAGTGTATCGTCGGGATCATTCCGGTGTCTGAAGTGTGGCCAGGCCGTGCACAGCTGCGCACCGGCGTAGCGGCGGTTGAAAACGGAAGGAAAAAGGGGTGGACACTCAGGCAGAAGCGGCGTGTCGCTTTCATACACATACACTGCCGTCCCCCTGCATATTTCTGTGTTGGTGCGACGGCGCTTTAAAAAGAAAAGGGTGGGGCGGTTCGTGCGTGGCGGGTGTGCTGTTCCACATAATGCAGTTCGCGTTGACGGACTCTCAAAAACTTGCTCTTTAGTGTCTGCGAAAAGCAGCAGGGAAACGCCCGAGAACAGCCCTTTCCACTTTCTCTGTTTTCGAAGGTCATGCTGCGGTAACGAAAGGCGCTGCAGCACGTTCGGGCTTCAGCTTCTTTGTCACCCACGCGCAGCACGCAAAACGTTGCCGGGTGAGGGCACGGCTTGCTGGATCTGTGCGACGTGCGCGTTGATGTCTTGCGGTTGTTGAACAGTGCTGCAAGAGGGAGTCACGGCTGGAGCGCCTGTGTGTATTCCGTCCAGCCCATCGAAGTATTGATGCTTTGAATTCCCCCTCTTCTACCTACGCTGACCTGCTCCTTTCCTCGACGACCTCTGCGTTGTTCCTCCCAACGGAGGTGTTGCTTCCAAAGTAAAACTTTTACTCTGCACCTCTTAATACGTCTCCTTTCGTCGTCCAACGTTTGTTTTTGGGCAAGATGGATCCGGCGCTTGGCGTGATGTCGCCGCTACTCCACGAGGCCCATGGCATCGATGGCATGTTGGAGGACGCGGTGGAGGAGATCACCGGCAACGCTTTCCTCGACAGCTTCCCCATGGAGTCGCCCAACGCCGGCGGCGCGGCGGGTTCGTCGTCGCCCGCAGAGGTACCGGCTGGCACTCCCTGCAGCTTCTGCTCCCAGTCGTCCACCACGCGGCTGCTGCCCAAGGATGGCCTCTATGTCTGCGCCGGCTGCGTGGCGAAGCAGGGCGATGCTCCGCGCAGTTTCCCCCTCGGCACCTTCAAGTGCTGCCCTACCTCGACGGAGGGCGTGGACGGCGACGTGGTGCGCTGCGCCGGGTGCTTTCGCTGGTACCACGCCCACTGCGTCGGCATCACGGACGGCGTGCTGCGCAGCTACGTGACGCTGTCCACGACGTCGTGGTACTGCCCCGAGCCGACCTGCTGTGATCGGGTGCTGCAGAGGCACCTGAAGCGGTAGAAGGAGGTGCGCGTCGTTGCCTCCGTCACGTGAAGGGGCGCACCTTCCCATCAACGGAGAAGAGAGATTTGGGTCGCAGTGCCTTCATACAGATATATACACACTATCTGAAAAGCATAGGTGAATGCAATGAAAAGTGTCTTTCCCGTTGCTTTCTCGAGACGCTATCTCACCACTATTCTCACCATATTGAAAAAGAAAATAATTGAGCTCTCAAAAGCGCCATTTGGTCAATTTGCTTCGCCTTTCGGTCCTCATCAAGCGGCAAGCTGTATTTCCCTGCCTTTGCAGATGAGGCTCCCTTTGCGTTCCTTTACGTTACTTCCCCTCCACCGTCTTCTACCGACATTCTCGTACTCCGTTGACCTACGCATAATTCAAGCGCAATTCTAGCCAGCGCATATGACGACTGCCGCCCCCCCCCCCTTTCACCATGACCGCACGCCACTCCTGCCACTTCTTTTATGCTTCGCTACGTAGCGGTCTGTCGAGGACGGCGCTCCATCCGACTACGGTAGCTGCCGCCGCGATGAACCGCACCTCTGCTGTCTTCATTGACTGGATGCATGACGGCAACTCCGCGCTTCACGGCGATGTTGTGGTATGGCTGCGCATTCTCGCAGATACCCAAGACAGTTCCCTCTTGAAAAGTGCAGCTGCGTCCTCCTTCGCTCTTCTAGCCGGCTGCTCAGTTGTCCTTCCGTGCCCGCGTGGTGCCGCTGCGTTGGTACCGCGCGGTGCTGCTGTTTTTGTGGACGGGGCAGCGGAGAATGAGCTGCGTGTCGTGTACGCGTGTGAGGGTCCACGGAGGGTGTCCCTCCACGAACGAGTCTATGACTGGATGGCGCATCAGCTGGTGTATGTGAGGGAACGGGTGCTGCTCGCCGTGGACGGTGGCGCGCCGCCTTTCGCAGTCCACTTTGCCGTGGGGAGCAGCGCTCAGTCCGGTCTCGTTGTTGTGCAGTCGGAGCAGAACACAAACGTGTTTCACGTGCGCACCACACTCGCTGTGCACGAGGGCCTCGTGCCACTCATTGCAGAGTTGCAGACACGATGGAGTCCGGCGAGTGGCGAACGGCGGCGTCATTCCTTTCAGCACGGATGTCTCACAGAAAACATAATGGGTATTGTCTCGTACGACCCTGATCGACACACCTCCGCCTTTCACGTGGCGGCGTTGCTGTCCCCGCAGCGCCCATCTTCATCCTCCACGCCGACGCGTGCGCTGCTGGACATGACGACGCCTGCGCTGTACGACGCCGACGGCGACCTCCTCGCCTCCTGCGGTCTGGCGCAGCGGCTTGTCTACACTCGATGTACGCTAACTCGCACGCACCTCCAGCTCCTGCCGCTCATTGAGCACACCAGAGTTGCGTTGGAGGTTCGAGTGGAGGGCGCTGTAGCGGGTGGGATACACGCTCCTGGCAGCGCGACATGGCGTGTTTGCGGAAGGCAGCGATATGAAGGTGTTGTACGCAGGCAGCTGTTAGTGGACACGGCGGAGTGGTCGGTGGAGCCTCTTCAGAAAGTGTGGAGCAGTCCCATATTTGCTGCAGCATCAACGGACGGCTCTGAGGGTTCACGGATGGTACGGCAGCTCGCGGCGACGCCTGTTTTAGTGGGCGAGCGACGGGCTATTTCGTCCTCAGCGAAATGGCACACCGTGCGGCTCCCTTTGCCCTCTGCCCCAACCAGCGAGAGACGAGAGTATTCTCTTACCACCTCTTTCCTGCCCATCGTGACTCCCCACGCTGACGCAGTAGAAACGGTGTTTTTGTCAGCACAGTGCCGCCATATGGCAGCGACGTGGTGGCAGCCCCCACCGTTGCTGCCGTCCCGTATCCTGTGCGCTGTGACGTACTGCAGCATGTCCGAGTGGCTTCTGATCGCCGTGGCGGCCTGCGCGCTTTCGTTGCTACTTCGCCTGTCTCTGCGATGCAGCGTGACTCGGCGATTGCGCCGGTGTGCAGGCGTGTGAGGAGGAGGTGGCGTCCTGCGCGCTTTCGTTCTTGGCGAGGCTCCGTTCGCCAGATGGCGAGCTGAATTTCACTGCGTCGTCTGTATGGGTGAGGACGAGAGGGGAGGGGCTGAGTGCACAGGTGGTTTTGGATGCGCTCTTTCCCTTCACTGTGTCGTATATTTCCTCTGCTACTTAACTTGAAGCTGCACCGCTTTCATCTGCTTTTCTCTTGAGAAATGGAGTAAAAAAAATGTATTCCTTTTTGCTCAGCCTTTGTGCCTGCTTTGCGGTATGCTATCGCTCCGTTGCGCGCTTTTCTGTGCGCTTCTCTGTGCGCCTTACGGTAGGCAGCGAAGCAGACGAGGACAAGGAGCCAACCAACAAACGACTACACGCTTCTACAGCCCACCATCGCTCCGCATCAGCCGTCTTGATTCCAAACAGCTACCAACTGTTTTTTTTTTCCTGCTCAACGCGTTTCTGCTCCGATCTGCACCTCTCTCTTTGTTTCTTACCTGTTCACCATAACACTCGCCCTGTGTTTCACATCCCACTCTTGCGGCCGCCACCGATTCAGAGGAGCGAACGAAAGCAAGAAACTGCAAAGGAAGGGAAAGCATGGAGAACAAGGCACCAGGGACGGCCCCACGGCCCGAGGGGTACTCCGCCGCCTCCAACGCGCAGGGCCATGAAAACTTCTTTCACCCCAAGCAAAAGATGGGTGCGAAGAACGTGCAGCGCGCTGGTCTGCGCACCGCCAAGACGGTGAGCCTGTTGTTCACGGTGGGCATAATGCTCTTTGTGGTGGGCCCCACCTACGTGGGGCCGCTGTACGTGGAGTACGTGGTGGGCAACGAGTGGCTGGGGCGCGCCTCGCGGTCGATCTGGCAGCGCCGCAACGAGAAGGACTACGAGCTGTACATGACGCAGCGGAAGAACTCGTGGATGCAGTGGCTGGGCCTCAAGCGCTACAACATTAGCGGAGAGGAGAACGAGGGCGAAATCCAGCAGTACCGGCAGCCGCAAGAGCGCAAGACGATCCAGTAGAAGAGAAACCTGGCATCTGCGCTGTCTCCGTCTAGCACCTTCATAGTGCATTCTTCATTGTCGTCATGAAGCAAGATGAGGGACTTGAGAGCGTTGCTAAACACTTCCCTTTTTTTCTCTGAGTTCATTGGTATCGTGATTCCCACCTTGAGTTTGCCGTGGGCGAACGGTGTGTGCGTGTGGGTGTCTTTGCGCGTGGGTTGTTGGCTGTTGGTCTGCACGGCTGTTTACTTCGCTCGGTGTGTGTTGATCATTTTATCTTTTCTACTTGACATCAACGATCTTATGACGTGTGTCTAGCTTGTCGTCAGCACTCGTGTGCGTGTACACCAGTTCACGCGCCGCGCCGTTTCTTTCTTCTTCTTAAATCCTTCTTCTCCGTGGTCCGTTGTGCTCGGGTGGTTACCCTGGTGTTCTTCCCCGCTGGGTGTAGACGACAGAGGCGATGTGAAGGGACGGCGAAGGGTGCGTTGCAAGGTGCCTGTCCACAAAAATAATCAAAACATTTTTTTTCCCAAGAGAAATATTTCCAGACTGCACTGCCAGCAGTTTTTTTTTGGTTTTCGCGGCTTTATGGCGGCGCACATTGGCGTAGTGGCCAGAACGGAGCGTTGTGGTGATTGCTCCATTATCGCTGAAGAGGCGCATGGCCGTTGCGTGAAAAAGGCGTTCACACTCGAATTGACCAGAGGAGTTCGTCATGGCTACGGCCACCGTATCGATGCCAACGCGATGACCACCGCGGTTGGGGCCTCCACAATCAATCCATACTGTTCCTCCCTCCCCTCCCCCCCCCCCTCCGCCGCCGACCGACATTCATACGGCTATCTTATCCTCTCGTGTTTACTTGCACACCGCTGCCGCGGCCACCACAGTGCTCGAAGCACCTCACTTTACCCTCTCCACGAATGCACGAGGATAGCGAATAAAGCAGAGGCAGCTTCGGCATGGATCGGGAACGCAAGTTAGCGGAGAAAGAAGTGCGCGCGGTGGTGGCGGACTCGGAGTCGTCTCTCGCGCAGCACTACGTGCGAGAGTCGCTAAGGAAGAACAAATTTGCTCTCGTGCTGTTCACCGTGGCGATCTTCACTCCAGCCTTTTTCCTCATCACCTTCTACACGGCCAAGGCACGAGAGATTCGCGCCAACTTTAGAGACCCGTACGCGTTGCCGGAGGGCTTTGACCCCAAAACCGGCGAGTTCGTCAACAAAGATGCGGAAACGAAGAGCGCGCATGAGCTGCCGATGCCGAGTCCTCTGTTGATTGGCGACGAGCCGGGCAACTACGGTCCGCGGTCGCGTAAGCGCAGCATCATGTAGGCGGCGTTGACGTCTATTTCACACGGAGGCACTTCAAACACGTCGATATGCTGACCGAGCAGCAATGCGGAAGTCTGCTGATGGTCGTGCATCAAGCGAGCCCGTGTTTCGTCTCTTGCGCTTTCACGCTCGCCTCTTTTTTCTTCTCTTGAACTTGTGTTGGAGGTTTCGCGGCGGGCGATGCGGCACGTTGAGAACGGAGTGTTTTTTCGCTCTTTTCTTCTTCATTAAGTTTTGGGTCTCCACAGATGTCTTTTTGCTGGCGGTGAAGCGAAGTGAAGGACGCCTTCAACAATTCCCGCTGATTCGCTGAACTGCAAAGACGCACACACACACGCACACAAGCGTGAGAAAGATACATTAAAACGAGCAGGTGAAAGGGCGATCCGCTGATCTTCCTTGGCGAAATCGCCGTAGTGAGTAACTTCTCCGTTGTTGTCATTATTTCATGACACCGCAATTATCCTTCTAGAGGCGTTGGCACGGTTGTGCTTGTGCGCGTGTGTTCGCCGTGAGGGGGCGGTCGATTGCGTGATGTTCAACTGAAGGGAGAGATCGTCTTGGCTGCGCAAACTCCGCTGGCTTTCTTTCCCTTCATCTACCTTTTTCATTTGCCGGTTCCCATCGCCTACTCTTTTCCCACCCCCTCGAAAACAGAAACGCATAATTTGAAGCAGCAACAGCAGCAGCGGGAAGCTCGTCGCGGCGATGAGCACGCTTCTCGAGATTTACCGCCAGACTTTCCCAAAGCGGCTGCGCTTTGACAAGGCGAGTCAGGTGCTCTACGCCCAGTGCTACTCCATCGCGAGGCAGCACAAACACAGGAAGTACATCCCACAGCGCGAGATTCGAAATGTGCTGAACGGCTACGAGCCAATGCCCGGCGCCCCGTGGCTACAGCTGCCCATTGTGCGCCACATCCTCCTCATTCGTCTCATTAACGGCTTTCGCGGCTACTTTGGATACAGGTCGTGGCTGTACAACCGCAGCGTGGAGGCAGAGTACCGTGCCATTGACAGCTGGCTCGACAAGGCCGTCAAGGCGCCCATCGGCAGACGAGGGAGCAGCGGCGGCAACACCAGTGGTGGCGGTGTTAACAGCGGCAGTAACAACGCCTCTTCTTCGGATCGTGCCTTTGCCTCCAGAAAGCAGCCGACCGCGCAGGGCCGATTGGACGGCATGGTGGAGAGGGAAAGGTTTGAGAAGGAGGTGCTGATGAACTTCCACGTCGCGACGGTGTACCAGCGCATGTTCCGCGTCGGCTTCGTTGTGGTGCTCCTTCTGTGTTGTATCATCTACGCCTCGCTGCGCACGGACAGCCTGGTCTACTGGTACCTCACCTACTACCGTCGCTACGGTCGTTCGGAGGTGCTCGCGTATTTCCGTGACATCACTGCGCTGCACACTTTTTCTGAGGTCCCAACAGCGTACGCTGGCGTTCTCCCGCCGCCCTGTGTGCGACGTGTGAGCCCCACCGGCGATGTGTCCTACGCCGTAAACATCGTGGAGCTGGTGATGCCGGACCGCGGCGTCACCGTCTTCGCCATCCCGTGTCCTCAGATGGGCGAGCGGGCTTTCTTTCAGCAGGTCGGGGAGGTAGCCTCGGCGTGCGACGGCGTGGTGATGGAGGGGGTGACCTTTGAGAAGAGTGACAAGCTCCCCCCGGTGGTGTTTTTGCCCCTGAAGAACAACACCTTCCCCGTGATTGGCGTGCATCATCGCTTCCTGGATATCTTGCGCCGCTCCTCCGACGAGCCACCGATGCTGTACCCGGCCGGGGCGGAGGTCGACTGGAGGGCCTACGCGATGCAGGTCATGATCCCCTACGAGCTGCGGTGCGTGTACAACCCAACACACTTGTCCGCCACGAAGGGGGAGGCGCGGATTGGGTGGGGACGTCTGCGGCAAGTGTTGGAGGAGGTGGGCGAGACCGGGACAGACTCGGCGGAGCAGGAGCGGCGTGTGATCTGCATTCCCTGGACGCTGAACCAGATAGTGAACATTGAGGCGAGTCTCGTGAAGTACGGCTTTACAGTGCGCAATGTCTACCCCCTGCACTGGCTGCGTGAGGATTACATGGGAGAACACTTCTGCGATTACTTCGGCATCGTCTAAGCAGAGGGAAAGAAAGCTATGAATCATGCGCTTTCCCATTCCCCTCTACTTCGTCAATTTGAGCCGCATGGCATGCGTTCGACTTCCACCTATCATTGGCCTTTTCGTTCTTGAACGCGGACGCAGCGGCGAAACAAAGCAGCGCTCGGAACGTCGAAGGCGAAGGTTGAAGGGCGCTCGAAGTGGTGTTAGAGAGAGAGCGAAGCTCGCTGTTTTTTTTTATGCTACACGCAACGCAAAGCGGCACGGTGGTTGGGACCGGAGACTCTTTCCAATGATAATGAATTGCAGCGCTGCTGCTCACATCTTACACGTCTTATTTATCGTTTTTTTTTCCTTTTCTTCTTCTTCTTGCCGTTGCTGGCGCTGGTGCTTTACCTCGCGTTGCACCTGTCGTTTATCAGCTTTGTGAAGAAGGCAATGATGCGCATTCGCCTTGTTTTCCACTACAGGGCTGGCAGGTGTCAGGACTGATGCGAGTCACGAGCAGAGCAACAGCAACGAAACGGAAGAAAGCGAGAGAAACACACAAACGGCAGTTTGCAGTAATCGACGTGTTCCACGGTAAAACAGAGCTCAGGGGCGATGCAGCATGCTGAGGTCCATTTGCGCCTGTCCTTATTCCCTTTTGGGGTTTCGGGCGGCAAAGAAGGCAAAAGAACCATTTTCTGCTGCTTCCGACTGCGTTGCTGTACCAAAGCAGGAACATCCCATCTACGTTGTCGACGACGCACCGCCGCTGGCTTGTCCATTTTCTGATTGTGATATTCACCTGCCATCTTCCTTGTTACTCACCGGCATAGCTTCCGTAATTCGCCTCCTCTTCGCACCCGCCTCGCTGTCTTTTCTTCTCTTCTGTGGTGACTGCTCATCAGCCCCGACGCTGCCTTTCACAGCACGGCTGCCAATACCTCCTCTTTCTTCTGCGTTTAAAGTTGAACTTTTTATTTCGAATTACTTTGCATTATTTTGAGTTTTTTTTTTCCTTCTTTCCTGCTGACAAGCGTAATTTTTGACGCCGTTGTTTCGGCTGCGATATCTCTGCGCTTTCTGCGCTGTCATCGGGGCTGCGGTGGCGCAGGGCTGGCTGCTCTCTCTCCCTCCCTCCCACTTGCGGCGTTCTCCCCCAAGCGTTTCCCTCTCAAACCTTCTTGAGCGCCTTTATTAAACTAATACAAATTGGAATGCTGCCGTCTTTCTTGACGAGATACGAGCGCCATGAGAAGCACCATGTCTTTTGCAATGGCCGCATTTTTGTAGGACCGGACTGGCGCATCATGGTGATGAGCGTCGTCTTCATAACGGTTGGCACGCTGCTGTTTGTGTTTTTCACCAACAACCTCATGGCCGCTCGCGTGATTGTTGGCGTGTCAGCGGTGGTATCGGTGGTAGCGCTGCTAGTTTGCGGTTTGTCAGACCCCGGCATTAAACCACGCGCCGAGCCACCACCGCCGGACGCCATCCCACACGATTCCCTTTGGCGGGAGCGCGTCTACGTCGACAAGGACGGCACACCGCACCACACGCGGGTGGAGGTGAAATGGTGTTACCGCTGCAACATCTACCGTCCCTACCGGGGCGTGCATTGCCGGTTCTGCGACGCCTGCGTGACGCGGCGCGACCATCACTGCCCGTGGACGGGCACGTGCATCGGCGCCCGAAACTACCGTTCTTACTTCGCCCTCGTGTGGGTTCTTTCGATCATGTTGCTGGCGGCTTTTATTGGTGGTGTGCAGAGCCTCGTGCAGCGTTCCATTCGATTTGGTGACGCTAACGCCGGGGTGCAGGACGCACCGAGTGGTTTTACATCCGCTCTCATCGACACCTACGGCATTGAGCTGGCGTTGATTTTACTGTCCTTTTTGTTTGGCTTCCTGTCCGTCTCCTTGGCGGTGCACCACAGCTACCTCATCACGCAGAACCTCACCTCTGGCGATGTAACGAAGGAGCTGCCGGAGAACGTCTTCACCTACGGAAGCATGATGGCCAACATCTGGGTGGTGTTGACCGGCTGCAATGAGGAGGACAGAGACGACATGCAGACGGAGGTGGTGGTGATGGAAACGGTTGATGAGCCTTCCGCGGCCTTAGCCCAGTCTCCGTTGGGGCACGACGCGCTGTGCAGTGACGTAGTTCCCTCTGTTGGAGGCGACGCAGGAGCGGGGAGTGCGTAGTGTTCTCGCGTGCTTCTCGTTCGCCTCTTTCCTTGGTCATTTGATGTTCTTCCTCTTTTTTTTTTCTCTGCTTGTTTTACTAATAGTGTTGTTGTTCCACGATCGGCGCCGCTGTCTTTGCCGCTCTTTCTATTTTTATATGTTTTTACTTGTACGTATTCTCGTGTGTTTCTTTTGGTGTCTGCCGCAGCGTATCCCGTCGACATCCTCGCATAGTTCACTGCTCGCTTCACGCGGCCTCTTCCTTCCGTAGCAGTTGTTTTGGAAGCGTGTTTTTTCTCTTCTTTTTCTAAACTGTCAAAACAAGTAAGTCGTTGTGCTTGATCTTATTCTCCTGTTAATGAAGTGTCGTTTCCCCTGTTTCTGGTCTATTCTCTTTTCCCTCTACTTTTGTTTTCCACTGATGTGCGGTGCGCCGGCTCACACTCCGGAATGAAGCGCGTTGCGCACACACGCCCACGCACCTCTCTCTTTCCTCTACGCAGACAAGAGAGCAAGTGCGGTGTTGAAAGCAAATTCACAGACTCCATCATGTTTCTTTCTTTCTTTCGTGCAAGAACATCGTTCTTCTTCCTCTTATTGATCTCTGAGTTGTTGACGTGGGCGGTCAAAGTAGAGGATGTCTACGGAGAGAGGGAAGGCGCTGCTCCTTATGGAACGCTGCGTGAGATGATCGGCGCTGCTTTCATCTGCTCTGACTTGACGCTTTAACATGGTTGCTTTCACACACATATCCATGCAAAAGAAATCTATACTTGTATCAACAACTTTAGCGTTGTGTGAGTTACGCCACTGTACATGGGACCTCATATCGAGTTCTTATATATATGTATATATATCTTGTTGGTGGTGAGTCATCTACGCTTTCTGCACGAGTCGACTGTGCTTGTGCGAGTAATTGGTGCTCCACCGGCGTTGCCGTGGCAGCGAACGCCTTCCACTTCAATTTGTCTCTGTTCTCCCCACCTCTGCCTCTCTTTTCTGTTCGTGCAGGTTTTCAGCCGAAGCCCCAACCGGAAAACACCGATCTATCCTGATAGCTGTACAGTTCTGCAAACGCCAAGCGCTTTTACTTGTGACTGTAGAACTACCTCTCTTATTGGAACCAGGCGACGCCGCACACGTTTAGCGTCCTTTTTTCCCTTGCCTTTCTGCCGCCTCCTCCTGCCTCTCGCAAGGCGTGTTGGACCCCCCAGCCGCGAACCCTCCGTCTCTCGGCGACCATGCAGACCGCCTCCGCGCCTTTTATTCTACGCTCCTTATACAAGGATGAGCACATCACGGACACCCAGGTGGTGCGCCCCATAACGGAGCTGATGATCCACACGTTTGGGGCGCAGGTGACGAACCGCTACGACGCCAACATCCCCGCCGTCGCCCGCTCCCTCTACACCTTGTTCTCCATGTCTCGCGTGCAGACCCTCGGCCAGGAGTTCTGCGACCTGCTGCCCGTCGCGAAGGGCCACCCCTGGGTGACCGTCGGCCCGGCGCGTGTGTTTTTGCTGGCGGTGCTGCAGCTGTTGGAGCCGACTGCGGTCTTCGTTGCGGCGCAGCGGTTCTTCCCCGACATGGCCTCCCACGAGGTGGAGGCGATCCTCAACAAGGCTGTGCTGTGCGCGTTGTTTCTCTTCGAGCGCTTTGGGACGCTGCCGCACCGAATTGTGCGGATGCGCTTCCTAAGTTTGAAGCCGTCGCAGCGACTGCAGGACAGCGATGGCGCCCCCGGCTCGTACATCCCGCTTGGGCTGGTGATTCTTGTGGAGTTGGTGGTGCGACTCTGGCGGTACAGCAAGCAGCGGCGCGCGCGCGAGGCGAAACGCACGGGCGAGGCGGCCGCCCTCACGTCCAGCAGCGACGAGGACGCGGACAACGCGCAGTCGGGTAAGTGCATGCTGTGCCTCAGCAACCGCAAGTATCCGGCGGCGACGAACTGCGGCCACATCTTCTGCTGGCGCTGCATTGCGGAGTGGATTCAGTCGAACCCGCAGGAGGCCCTCTGCCCCTTCTGCAGACAGCACATCACCTCCCAATCATTAGTCCCGCTGTACTTTTACGCCGCGAAGGAGCCGCCACGAGTGGGGACGGCCGTGGAAGCGGAGGACAGCGCATCGCCGGCCAACAACAATGATGAGGCATCAAGTTAATAGGAAGTAGAAAATATACAGCAAAATTGTGTGCTGGGGAGTAATGAATGATGATATGCGTTCGCTTAACGGGCTTGCCCCTCCTTGACGACGTCCGCTGCGACGATGCTTTTTTCATATCCTTCTATTGGCTCTTCGAGTCAACTCTTCTACCGGTAGAGCGAGCCACCTCGCCTCCTCGGTTAAGCTGCGCGTGCGTGTTTGTTGCTGAAGCGGATCCCTTCCCCTCAAAAACGAAACGAACGAAAGAACTACAGCAAATACATTGCTTTTCTTTTTGGGTTTGGTGTGTTAGGGGTTTCCGCCCCTTCGGCTGCGGGATCCAACGCATCGGAGTCGATGATGCCGAAACGCAACGGGCAGTACGCGTCGTATGGAAAAGCGCGTTCTTTTCCTCTTACAAAAAAGGCGGTGCTCATGATTTGGCGGGCGACGGTGGGACGGCGTTCTCTTCTGCCCTTCAGCCAACGCAAAGCTGTGCGGTCTACGAGCACTCTCGACGGCGCGGCTCGAACGTTTTTCGAAGCGTCTAGTCCGCCTGGAAGCGGCCAAGAAGCGGAAGAAGTAAAAGCACAACCTGCAGTTTCTCCTTCTCCTCTTTCTCTTCTTTCGTTTTCCTTCTCTGCTGCGCTGGAAGCTACCGGTTGATTGAAGCGCCTCTATTGCCAACACGAAGCACTGTGTGTCGCTGCGCAGATCACGTGCAGCAGTTCTCAAACCGCCACCCGTCCCCAAAAAACTACCGCTATATTTCCTTTACCACCCCCACAACAAGTTGTTTTCAGCAGCATGTCCTCTTTCAAAGCTGAAAACGTCATTCGCGACCACCTTGAGGCGGAGGAGCTGTCGCTTACTGGGATGCACCTCACCTCTCTCGACGGCCTGCTGCCGTTGCTGGCGGAGATGCCCTTTCTGCGTCGCCTTGACCTCTCGAACAACGAGCTGCGTGAGCTGCCCATGGACCTGTCTGCCCTAGCAGGCGTAGAGGAGCTCAACCTCAGCTCCAACCCTATCTGGGGCCTGCATCACATTGCCCACGGCCTGCAGTCCCTGCCTCACCTGTCCCACCTTACGGTGACGTTACCCATACCGGCCGAGGAAGAGCAGCTCATTCTGCGGCTGCCGGCGTTGACGATGCTGAATGGGACGGCGCTGACGGACGTGACGGGGAGCGACGCCGCAGAGGCCGCGGCGACACCCCCGCCACCGCAACAAGACGGGTCGTCTGAAAACGAGAAAAACGACGATGCGTTTGCGTACTGGAGTTCGCGGGACTCGGAGGGCATCGAGGACCTGTTCGCGGACGTGAGTCGCAAAGATGCGCTCTCGACGCAGGAGTTCTTCGATTACATGAACCGCGTCGTGCAGCACGTCACCTGCCTCACCGCGGCGGAGGACGATATCTTTGCCCAGGAGGGCGAGGTGCTCAAGGCGCGCCGCCTGCTGTACGAGTTCTGCTTCGGCAACGTCATCCGCAATACCTTCAAGGACGGCCACGACGCCCTCGGGCGACAGCTGCAGGCCCTCCTGCGCTACGAGTCGTCCATGATGGATCAGTACGACATGCACTGGCGGCGTGCCCTGCGTGACCGCGATACGCGGATGGGCCACATGAAGCACGATATGCAGGACGCGATGGCGGACATAGCATACCTCATGGAGCACCCTCCCGCCGGCGAGGAGCGCCGACAGCCACAACCGCCACAAGAGCCACAGGAGCGCAGTCAGCTGCACAGCGCACCGTCACCGGCGCAGGCCCTCGCCACCAGCGCCACTCCACTCAGTCGCAGCGGTCCAGGCGCAGGGGCAGGGGCAGCGCCCGGTGCGTCTCCGCAGCCGCTTCCTCCCCCGCCCGCCGCCGCAGCATCCCGGCGCTCGCAGCGGCCTTCGTCCGAGTCGCAGAGCCGCAAGACGGGCTTCAAAAAAGTTTTAACTTTAAAGCAGCTAAAAGAGGTCATCGAGGACATTTACACCTCCAAGACGAAGTACGACGAGCGGTGCCGGCAAAATCAGCTGCCGCGGGAAACAATGGAGCAGCACATGTACACGTACTTGAACCAAAAGTACGGTCTGCGTGAGATCATTTTGGAGTGGGCCACCGCGATTGTGCAGGCGGTGCGGCGGTACGCGGCGACGGACAACGATGTGGCGGTCTTTGGCAAAATTCTGCGCAACGAGGTGGACGAGGAATTCCGCCTCGTGCAGCAGCACGTACGGGAAACCGCGAAGGAGCTGCTGCGGCTGCAGATCAAAGCAAAACGACCGCACAGCGGCGTTGTTGAACTGAACCGCGCGCTGCAGGAGGCGCTGGACGGCACGGTCACCGAGGATGTGTGGAAGGAGGTTGTGAAGTATATGTACAACGCCGCCGACGCGGCCCTCATCACAGGCATCCTTCACCAGTTCCTGTATCGTCAGTCACTGCCGAGGCTGCAGCGCCACCGCGCAGAGGAAATCAAACTGTCTCCCACCGCCGTGTTCTCGCAGCTCTCGTACAAGGACTTTGTCCGCCTTCTTTTGGACTTTCAGCTCGACGGGCACGAGCGCTTTCTGGAGCCGTACGTCCGCATCTTCAGACGACACGACAAGGACCGCAACGGCATCGTGAACGACGCGGAATTTGCGGCGATCGTGCGCGAGTTGGACGCGACCAAACCGGAGGAGGAGGTGGCGGCCATGGTGCAGCAGATTGACCCCTACGGCAGCCAGCTGATCACCTTCTCCGAGAGCATAACGCTTTTGAACGAGGAGCTTTTGAGGCTGACCGAATCTCCGCAAAACCCGCAGGAGTAGGCGGCCGTTCGACGGGATGACAGGCGTAGACATGGGCGACGCAGCGGTGCACTGCAGAACGTTCCAATGCGCTTTCCTCCCCGTCTGTTTTCGTTGTTCTCCTTTTCTGTCTTCCGCGCCACCGTTGTACCGGCGGTACTCTTCTCTTTTCTGCGAGTGCTGCGGGTGTTTTTTTTCTGTTGGCTTGAAGCCGGCCGCGTCGTTGTTGATGGAGGGCAAAGCAACACCAAACACCGCGTCGTTTTGTCCTCTACTTGCCTTATCGCCTTGTAAGAGACAACGAAAGATGTACATCGGGTTAAAAGCTATCAAAGGAACTCCGCAGGCAAAGTAGCTCCTTTTCTCCCCTTCCTATTTACGTGAACGGGAACCGTGTCAGTCCAACGAGCTGGGGGGGGGGGCTTTTTTATATATATAGGAAATTGTGCTGAGGAGGATTTCATTTAGTGCACCCACGACTACCGTTTTTGTGATGTCACGGAGTGGCGCATCATTCGTTGGTGAAGCCTTTAAGAAAACTTTTTTCTGTCCTCAGTGAGGATCAGCTTTTCTTTTCGTAATCGGAGAAGCTTCGCGTATTGTATTCTGTGACCACGCCCACGTTGCGCCTTCGTAGACTTACACTGCAGCCTTCTCTCTGCTTCTCCTCATCTGAAAATTCTTGGTACCGCCTTCACGCGCACATCGCAGCAAACTCTAGAAGTACCGATACGGCACCGTATGAATAGGGTGAGACGTACTGCACAGCCGTGGCACAAGGACAACAAATATTGAGCCTTCCCCCCGTCCCCCCGTCCCCCTACACCGCTGCACCTTATCTGAGTTTATTCTCTTGTTATCGATCGTTTATTTCCACCCTCTTTGGCCAGGCACGTCAGAGCTGAGCACCACAGTCTGAATATGAAGACCGCCACCGACTTCAACGCTCTCCCACCGGCAGTGAGTGTGAGCACCAACGTCGCCACGATGGTTCCTCCTCCCTCCCACTTCGCCCTCACCAGCGGAGAGCTGGCGGAGTGCTTCCTCAACGCACGGCGCAGCAGCATCCACACCCAACCCCCGCCCTCCGATGCGAAGGCCATCAAAAAGGCGCAAGAGCGCCTCGACAGCTTCCACTCCTCCCAGATGAATCCGTTCCTGTACGGGTACCTGTACCCCGGCCAGGATGTCCCTGATAGCGCCTTGAGTGGAATCCGCAACCTGTGCGTCAACACGAGCTCCGACTGGGCGGCGCGGTGCCAGCGTCTCGCCTTCGACGTGCTGACGGCGGAGCTGCAGGCGAAGGCGTCCAACGTCATCCCACGCGCCAACCACGACGACCCCATCGGTCTCGCCCAGCTGCGCCGCGTGCTGCCGACGCTGAAGTACGTGCCGAAGGTGTCCGTTTCGAACCCGCACTGCCGCTTCGTTGGCAGCTACGCCGACGACGCCGCCGACAGCGCCAAGGTGTTTTCGGCCAAGGTGAGCGTGCAGAACACCGGCTCGCAGACCTTCACCGTTGAAATCGTTCAGACGCAGACCGTCATTGACGGAGTCAAGGTGGAGAACAAGTTCATGGAGGCTACGTTGGAGAAGGCGGAGCTGCATCGCGGGGAGTCGGTGGACATGTGTCTGACCATGCAGAACCCTCCGCGTGCGGTGCTGTGGGAGTACGAGCAGGTCGTGGTGCTCGCGGTGAACGGTGTGCTGAAGTACTTCGTGACCTTCGCCGTCATCTCGCCAAGGCAGAATTTGTTCAAGCAGCGCCTGCCGGGGTGCCTGCCGCTGACGGTGCTGAACTCCCCGCTCGGCGAGTACAGCGCCCCGCTGATGTTGCAGGTCCTGAAGCACGCGTTCATCCGGCAGGAGGGCTACACGAGTCCTGCCGTCACGCACCTTCTTCTTGGCAAGGCCGTCAACTACCGTCCGCACAACGAGGTCGTGATGCAGGAGACGATGCGGCTGAAGGAGATGCTGTCGGAGCAGCTGAACCTGGCGGAGATGATCACCAGCTACTGGACCTCGTTGCCCGACGCACGGAAGGCACCGCTGTCACGACAATACCGCGCACCGCCCTCGTCGGCCCAGCCAGCCCGCTATGCCCCCGGCTCCGACAAGGCCGGCTCCTCCAGTAGCACCTCCGCTGACGCACTCTTTCCGAACGGCTTTACGCGCCTGCCGGATGTGCTGACCCGCTGCCCTCCCGCCGTCATCTTTGGCGTGATACTCATCTGGCTGGCCGAGATGGACATTGCGGTCTTTGACTCCTCGCTCTTCAACTCGGACGCAGTGGGCTACCTGCAGACCATGCCGCCCTACCTGCGCGGTATTGTGCTGTGGATTTTAGACTTGTGCTGCGGCCTGCTGGCAAATCAGGAGGTGAACGGCGTTAACGAGCGCGTCTTGGCGCTGACGTTTGCGGGGCTTCTCATGCGTCGCAACGCGCAGCAGTCCACCGCCGAGGAGTCGGAGGCGTTTTCGGATGCGCAGTACGCGGATCTTGCCGGCCCGGCGGGCAACTCGGTGTCGGCCACCTCCTTTTCGATGGAGGTGTCCTTTCATCAGAACGCCGTGACGGCCATGCTGCACTGGATCACCATTTACCGTGTGAAGTACATGAAGCGGATAAAGTGATTAGGGGGAGAAGGGAGTGGGCTCGACGCGTCCCCTCCGCAGCTCTCGCGGGCGGTTGGGTCTTCGTTTATGGATGTTTGCGAAACATGGGAATATGTAAGATGTGCGTGTGTGGCTGCTGCAGTGGTGGAGAAGGCACGCGAATCTGCTACCTTGATGAGCCTTGTTTACCTCGGCTTTCTTCCCGGGGGATTTTTCTTTTAAATCTGTTCTCAGTGCTTTCAGTTGACACAAGGATCTGTGCAGAGTGACAGGTTATGCCTGTGAGGCGGTCCCTTCGACCATCTGCTCTCTTCTTGACACCCAACGTCCGCTTGAAGGCGTGACGGCGCCGTCGAACCCGCTAAGGCATCTCCGGTCTCGAGAGTGGCGCTCTGGCGCATATTGTCTTTGAGGGATAACTTCTCCAATAAGCACCCGCCGAGTATGAGATGCCCTCATTGCCCTTTTCAAAAGTTGCGCATCAGAGTTGCTTGCTGACGGAGTCGCCTGCCCCCCTTCCCCGCGCAGTCTCTTTACGCTCTTCGCTCCTCCCTCTTGCTTTCTCACTTCTCCATTTTTCTCTACTGAGCGCAGCCGTTAAACAAAAGTAGAGATCACCGTTGAAGGGGAGGAAAAGCTCTTGCTTCTCTTTTCTTTCGTCCACAGCGCATCCATCGGTCCTTCTCCTTCGCTCGTCGTGTGCGTTTGCACCAATGGAGGCAGCGGCCACTGCTACACCGGCCGCCTCCGAGCCCGCCCCCACGGCGACTCCCCCGGCACCGGCCACGGCGCCCACCGCACGTGCCGTGCATCCAGCGGCGCGGTGGCTGGCACGACTCTTTTCGCCCATGTCGTTGAAGGACCAGGAGTACTGCAGCAACCGTTTCCAGGTCCTTTTGTGGGGCAGCCTCCTCGTCTCCTTCCCCGTCGCCTATTGGATGGGCAACGTCCTCATTACCATGGGGACCGTGTGTGCGTCCACCGTGGTCTGCTTGGTGCTCTTCGGACCGAATTGGTATCAGCATCCGGACCCGCTGCTCAAGTACGCTGACGACACCGACGTGTACGAGTATTATCAGCAGTATGAAGCAGCGAAGAAGGCGGCACGGGAGCCGGCCACTGCGCCTTCAACGACCGACACAAAGAAGGGCGCCTCCCGGGCAGCGACGCCGGCGAATCGGAAGGTGTAGTCTGTTCGATTGGGGCGGAGAAGACCCATTCGCGAAGCTGCAGAGAGACCGATGGTTAACAGCCGCGTCGCGGTGGTGCTGAAGGGGGACTCTGTTGGGCGTTTCTATCTTTTCTCTACTGTGGTGAGGCGGAGGCGCGCCTTTCCTTTCCTGCGCGTTTCTGCCACTAGTTGGCCCCGTGGCGGCGGGATTCCTTTCATCTTTGCATGTGGGCCTCCGCCTCTTCCGCGCACTGTGCGGCAGCGCGTCTCGACACCTGATAAAGCAAAGTCCAACCAAACTTGTAGAATACTCCGCTCACTTTTCCTTTGGTAGTGTATCTTTCTGCGGTGCTGTCCCGCTTTTGATGAGCGCTGCTTCACGGTTACGCCTGTCTTAACCGTGCAACCGCCCCGACTGCGCAGGTGTGCGCTCGCTTTTGTCGGAGCGCCGGCCGACCTCGCGCTCCAGATGGCCTTTCCTTTCGCCTCCTCGTTATGCCTCACTCCCTTTTTTTTTCCCACGTGCCTGCACATCCGTGTGCCGCGAAGAGCGGTGCATCTTCTAACACGCGATCACTTCGCATTATCGGTATCACTCATTTGCGATTTCTTTGAGCTAGTTTGACTGATCCCATCCAGACGGGAGAGCGAGAAGTCTGGCGGTGGCGGTTTTACGCACTCGTCAGCTGCTGCCCGCTCAAAACCAGATTCTTGTGTCTTCGTCGCCTTTGCCAATAATAATAAAAAGAAAGATGCGTGCGGCCGGCAAGGCGGACGTTCGGGCTGCACCTGGGGTGACCGCCGGACCGTCCGCTGTGGCGCTCAGCTCACCCTGCTCCCTCACCTTAGACTTTGGTGAAACATACGAAGGCGCGGTGCAGACGAAGAACGGCATTGCTCTCCCACACGGGCAGGGCGTGTGGCGCTCCGCGGACGGGGCGCTGCGGTACGAGGGCCATTTTGTGCAGCGCTGGCGTGACGGCTACGGGCGCCTCTGCACCCCCGCCTTTACGTTGTGGGCGCGCTGGCGGATGGATCGGCCCGACCTGTCCTCCTCCATCCGACTTGATTACGCCAATGGGGATCGCTACTGCGGTTTTATTGAGTGGAAGACGAAGTCGGAGAAATCGTCGAGGCCGCGGTCGAGGTTTGCGGTGTGGGCCACCTCGGTGCAGCCCACACGTCAGCGCTGGGGCGAGCTCGTGATGCAGAGCGGCGACGCCTACGTTGGGGAGTGGCGGGACGACGAGCGGGAGGGGTTCGGGTGCTACGTGTGGCCCTCGGGCAGCCGCTACACCGGCCGCTTCCACCGCGGTCAGTTCAGCGACGTGGGCACCCTCTTCATTGCGGCGGCCGAGGTTGACGGCTGCTTCACGCGTCTCAGCGGTGGCGGATGGCGGTGCGGGCAGGCAGGCAAGGCCAACGGTGCAGAGCGCAGTGCTCGGGCAGCGCGATGGCCGCCGCTGACCCGGCCGTCGTGGGACGGCGTCATCGTCGACGTTGTGTGGGCGGACGGGCGGTGCCGCGGAGAGGGACACGTGACGCTGCCGGGCGGCACGCGCATCTCCGCCGACTGGCGCACGGCCTCGTCGCCGGTGGATGGAGAGCTGGTGCTGCCGGCCCTCGCGCCGCAAGCCCGCGTCGACCCGGACGCTTACGAGTGGCACGAGAGCTTCCAGTGGGAGTCGCTCTTCAGCGGCGCGACCGACGGTGACGCAGGGCACCGTGCAATGGCAGAGAAGGTGCTAAGCACCCGCGTCAACATCCAGCAATCGAACTCGGCGGAGGTCGTGAAGAGCTGCCTGGTAGAGCTCCTCAACACGCACGAGCTGGCCAAGACCACCCTTCATGTGTTTCGACGGTGCTTCTACGGTCTTTACGGAACGTGCGGGGTCGAAACGGGAATCGGCGCCGGTGGCGGCGGCACGAGCGGACTCGGCTGGTGCTCGCTGCGCAACCAGTACGGCGGGTGCGTTCACCTTTCTTCTCCTGGGCGGCCGATCCAAGCAGCTGACTTGGACCTAGCGCTGCGTGACATCGCCTCGCTGGCTCGCTCCACGGTGCGGTGGGTGCTGGAGCTGATGGGGCCGGAGCTGCCGACGAAGGTGCTGGATTGTGGCGGCGAGGCCGTCGTTGGGCGATGGGTGGCGGACCGCGTCTTCCACCACTGCTATCCGGTTCTGTTGAACCTCTACCGGCAGGTGTACAGGTCAGAGGAGGCCGCCCTCGCCGCCTCCATCGCCCGCATGCGCGACGCCGTCTCGCTGGACGACATGGGGGTCCTCTTCGCGCGTCAGAGTGCGAGTCAGGCGAAGCTGTTCGACCCGTACACCGACGCCGTGCACTGCGTGGAGCAGCTCAACGGCGAGACGCAGACCCTGACGACGATGCTAAAGGTGCTGGTGCAGTGGTCCCGTGAGATCGACCTTTCGACTCGTCTCACGCAGGCGTCGCCGGAGCCGCTCTTGGCCGGGGCTGAGCGACGAACAAGCCAACCCAAGACATCGCTGGCGGGGTCTGCGGATGATCTGCTGCCCATTCACCAGTACGTGCTCAGCCAATCTCGCTGCCCTCACCTGTACGCGGTGGCGAAGCTGCTGTCGGACTTTGCGAGCGAGTCGCTCTTTATGGAGGCCACCTCGCAGGAGGCCTTCGGCGTCACCACCTTGCAGGTGTGCGTGCTGACCCTCCTGCGCCTGCACCCGTGGGAGCGAGACGATGCGAACATTCTGGTGCCTTTCTCCGTCACGACCGACCGCGTGGGGGCAGTGGCGCAGCGGTGGGCGAAGGTGGCTGAGTGGACGCGTGCTGCACTGGACACATCCGTATCGGCAAGTGAGGTAGCACAGATGGAGGCGTTCATGGTGCAGTACGCCAAGCTGTGGGTGCCGCGTGCCGTGGGGTGGGCCGGCGAGCACATCAGCGACGCTGCCTCGTCTTTCTTGGTGAGCGACTGCGACTTCTCCGCTGAAGAGCTGGCTCTTCTTCGCCTGCGCCCGGTCCTCTGCGGCGAAGCTGTATGCCTGGGCTGCTGGCTGTACGCGAGCTCGTTGCTGGGGGCTCTTCACTTGCGGTTGCACCTTGACGCTTTGGAGCTGCCGCAGCGCCTGCAGAGCGCCAGCGATGTGACGCAGGCATGTGGGCGCCTGCGAGGGTATCTGCAAAACGACCAGGCTGCCCTGCAACTGCGCGTGGGGGCGGAGCCGTCTGTGCACCTGATCCCTAGCCGCCTGCTGCGTATGGAGGTTCACCTGTGTGGTGTTTTGAGCAGCCTTCTGTGACAATCCAAAAGAGGCGTTTGCGCGAGTAACATCATCGCTTGTACCGTCACGGTGGCGGTGCCTTCTATTTGCATCTTCGACGATTAACAGCAGCGTTTTGGTTTTCGGTTTTCTGCTTCTTCTTCTTTTCGTACAAAGCGGCCGCTTTTCATCTTGTACTCTTCTCTTCGGATTATCGCCGCTGATCGTGTGCAGAGCACTCCTGCTGCTTTCCTTCCTGGGCTTTAGCATTCGTCTTGTTAAATACGTACACTCTGTAAGGAAACTGCATCTGGCTTCCTCAAACGTGCGTCTTCGACGCTCCTCTTATGAAAACCTCCTCTCTCCTTTGCCAAACCCCTTCCTCTCCTTGCCTTCGCTTCGCTTGCTCACGTGATGGCGCATACGCACGACTGCGCCAACACCGCACCGCGCTCGTGGCACCGGTGAAGTATACCGCATCCCCTCCCCCCTGTGCATCTTCACACACCGCGTCCTCGAGCTCATTTCTTTTCTCATACCAGCCGTTCTCTCTTCACCGCATATCTTCTTTCTTGCTTCATTTTTTCTTTTTGGATTTCCGAGAACACCAACCACCAAATTTGGCTGCTCTCGTTTCACATTTTATCAGTTTTTCTTCTCTCCTTCCTTTTCTTTTCTCTGCTTTGCGTTTCAACAGCGTGCCGTCGCTGCGAGCAGACACGTGCGATCCACAACCACGCAATAAACCCCAAGGTCAGTTCGGAATTTGTCGGAGCGGCGCCACCGCGGTGTGCAGTTTGCTGAGCGTTGCCCCTCAACTCCTTGTACGCGTTCTCACTCGTTGAAAACCAACGCCGTCTCTCTCCCTGCGCTGTCGTTGCATCTTTCCAAAAGGAGAAGCTCCGTTACCACGCAGCTCTCAAAGCGGCAGATTCGGCTGTATAAACACCCTCTTCCTTTCTTTGCATCTCCCTCTGCCATTCGTGCACTTAGTAAAACCCTTTCCTTTTACATTACAAAGGTGAGTTCGAACCCGATAGGAATCTCCTTGCTGTGCTCTTTTCTATTCTCCTTTTTCAAAGCGTGTCGAACTGCCCACATAAGCAGACCCGCCCTCCCTCAAACAGCGTTGACGATCGCAGTGCGCAAGAGACGAGGCGATTTGCATGTGAGTCTTTCTTCAGTCGTCTTAATTTCACTTATTACTATTACTATTGTTATTACACCTCTTCGCTACTCCTCTGCTTTACAGCGTACCCACTTCTTTCCACCGCTCCGGCGCTCTTCTCATCGGCAACATGTTCATGAAACTGTTTAAGAAGAAGGACAAGAAGGATAAGGAGGAGGAGAAGAAACCGGATGCGCGCTCCAACACCGAGGAGAAGAAGCCGGAGGAGCCGGAGCCGCAACAGGAGAAGCTCACGAAGGACGACTTCGAGACACTCGATGTGCTCGGCAAGGGTTCCTTCGCCTACGTGGTGCTGTGCCGTCGCATCTCCACCAACAAGTACTACGCCATGAAGGTGGTGAACAAGCAGGGCCTGCTGGACCACAAGCGTGTGCAGGATGTTTTCACGGAGCGCAACGTACTTACCCGCCTCTCCCACCCGTACCTGTTGAAGCTGCACTGGACCTTCCAGTCGGAGCACAAGCTCTTCTTCGTGATGAATTATATGCCGGGCGGTGACCTCGACAAGTACATGAACTCCGTCCCCAAGAAGCAGCTCGACGCCGTCACGGCACAACTCTACGGCGCGGAGATTTTGCTGGCCATCACGTGCCTGCACGAGCACAGCGTCATCTACCGCGACTTGAAGCCGGAGAACATCCTGCTGGACGGCGAGGGCCACTGCGCGCTGGCCGACTTCGGTCTCTCGAAGGACTTCCACAAGGACGGCCAGGACGTGTCGGACAAAGACCTGCGTGCCAACTCCTTCGTGGGCTCGCCGTTCTACGTCGCGCCGGATGTGCTGCGCCAGCGCGAGTACACCAACGCGGTGGACTTTTGGTCTTTTGGTATTCTGCTGTACCGCATGCTGTGCGGTCGCACCCCCTTCAACGGCCGCAGCATGACGGAGGTCTTCGACAACATCCTCTACTCGGACCTGTCTTTCCCGAGCGGGGTGACCTTGTCGCCCGAGGCGAAGGACCTCATCAGCCGCCTGCTGATGAAGGACCCGACCCGCCGCATCAAGGGACCGGAGGTGAAGGCGCACCCGTACTGGAACGGCATCAGCTTCGACGATGTGATGCAGCGCAAGATAGCCCCGCCGCGCTGGACCCCGCTGCCCTCGGTGGAGGAGATGCTGGCGGCCCGCAAGAACAACGGCGCGAACGCGGCTCCGTCGAAGAACCCGCACCAGGTGGTGAACACCCCGGCGCAGGCCTCGCAGCTCAACGCGGGTCAGCAGCAGCTCTTTGGCGGCTTCTCCTGCACGGCAGACTCCCACCTCACCAACCCCGGCAATTAATGGCGGGGAGACGCAAGAGGAGGACGAGCAAAGCACGCAGAAGCAACAAAGACGTGGGCCGCCGCATTCAGCTGTGCACGCGTTACAGAAAAGCACAATTGGAAAAGTGCAGCGACGCCGCATGCCCCTCAGAAGCAACGGAAAAACCGCCTTCCGGTGTAGCATCATGATGTTTGCGCCTCCATGTACTACACGCGAGTGCAGCCTTGTCAGGTGCGTCTGACAAGTCACAAGAGAATTGAAACGACGCCCGTGCTTGTCGCGCAGATACCTTTGCTTGTCCTGCTTGCATTGTGCAGATACGAGAAGCCTTTATGTGTCCCTGAGTGCTTTTTCTTGGGTTCGGATGTTTTCCATTCGTCGATGGCGCCTCGCTACTGCAGCTTCTTCTTCAACACGACGATAATGCTTTCATTATTATTGGTTAAAATCGCACCTGCACTGGATGGTGCGTTGGATGGATGTGTTTGGGATAACGAAGGAGGTGCTAACGCCCCCTTTTTTCAGGTGTAAAACGTTTGCTTTTTTTTTCATTTAGAACTTTCCTTTTTTGTTCTCTTTTATATCTGTGCGTGCGTCGTAGTTAGTACGCCTCCGCGGAGCGAGGAAAGGGAAGAGGCATCGGCAAGGCTGTGATCCTTTTCCGTTTCTATTGCTTCACAAGCTGGCGTCTACTAGATTCTATTAAGTGAAACGTGGTAGAGGCGAGGCTGAACATGCAAGGACGTCTTTGAATGGGGCAACCTCGCACTGTCGCGGAGAAAGTGCGATGCACATCGGCGGACGAGGAATATAAACATCGTGCCTGCTACGGCAATATCAAGTTTCGCCTGTCTTTCCCTTATGTAAACAACAGTATCAGCAGGTTCATACAAGACCTCGTAACGCAACGCGTGTGTTTACCTTCGCACCGATGTGCTTCCTTCTCCCCTCTTGTATTGATACGTTTTTCTCATTTTTATACTTTCCAAATACACCGTCTTGCGCCTCCGTATTGACTCCACTGCGTCCTTTTTCTTTTCTGGGTTTTCCACTTCCGATAGGCGTGCCGCCTTTTTCCTTTCTCTTCCTTCCTCCTTCTTTTTACAGTTGAAATGTGCCTTCGTTCTTTGTCCTGATTTTTGCAGCATCGTCTCCTTCACTCGTTGCGTTGTGAGCAGCGTTTATTCTTTTATAAATATATATCGCAGGTTCTTCCCCGAAAGGGAGCACCGTCGTACCACGCTGAACTACCACGCCGCCGAAGACAGGCGAGGCCCGGTGGGGCTCGTCTTCGCGTACCGCCTCTCCGCTGCGTGTGTGTGTCCGCTGGTTTTGCGTAGGAAACCCAAAAGTGTGCAGCAGTAAAAGGAACTGCACGAAGGATGCGACCACTAGGAAAAAGTTAGAAGAAAAGGGCTTCATCGAGTTGAAAAGAAGACGAATTAAGCATATATCCTTAACAACATGCTGCGAGCTAACGACACGTGTTATCGCCCTATTTTGTATTGCTTTCGTTCACCTATTTTGTTGTTCGGTACTTGTGATGGGGGCTTCTTCGTTGGAAAATAAGAAATGGCCCAACGCCAACTGAGGGAAAACTACATTACTGAGGAGAGAGAGACCTCCTTTGTATTTCATTGAAGATGATTGTGTGCGAGTTGGTGATGCGCAACGATCACTGACTGCGAACTGGCAGCGTGGTTTAATAGGGTTTGTTTGACTTTCAACCCCTCCCTCCTCCCCCTCCTCCCGTGGCCGCCTCCGGATACAAGATTGTGCCTTTCCAGGTTTCGAAGTGGTGCCGAAAGGATTCTTAGTAACGAGACTTCTTGTATCTGCCACACACATCCCCTGTGCGAGCGCTGTTGGGCGTTCTCTTTCGCTGCTGCGTCTTGCTTGCAAAAACGAAAGCAGTCAAACAAGCAACATTTCAAACGACTTCCAACTCGATAGGACTTTCCTCTTCAACGTTCCTGATCTTCTCTCGCTTTACGCCTTTTCTTTAACGTTTTTTTTTTTGTCTCCGGTTCACTTCAGCGCAGACAAGCGGTGCTCGTCAGGCGTGTTGCGGCTGGCGCAGATCCACCTCGCGTACACATTCCCGCCTAAAAACCATCTATCGTCCAACATAGGCTTCCTTTCCTTTTTTTTTTTTGGTGGTGCAAATGGTGACGGAACAGGCAGACGATCCCGCCTTCCGGTTCGGCGCCCCGGCCGACGTTGTCGATCCTATTCTGTCGCTTCTGTTCGATCTGCGGCGCATGGAGGACACGATGCTGTCTACGCTGGAGTACTTGGGCGTGTCGCGCCGCCACCTGCCCCCGCCGTTTGGAGAGGGCCGCCGCGACGAGGAAGCGACCGCTCAGAAAACGGCCACAGCGGACGGAGAAGCGGCCGGCGCAGAGGCAGAGACTGCCGCCACCTCTCTTAGCTCGTTTGACGCGTACGTGAAGAGTGTCGTGCTTCACGGGTGTACGCCTTCTGCTGCAGATTCGAACGGGGCCGTGCATCAGGTGCTGGCCTGGTTGGACGGGCAGCCGCCGTCTTCTCCCTTTCCTGTTTTGCCGACTTCGCCGGCAGCCCGCTCCCTTGTTGTCGCCTTCGTCGCAGCCGGAGGTGAGCGTGATGCCTTTTTGACGGACGCGACGACGGGGGCGGAGGTGCGCGTGCGACGCCCTTCCAAGCGCCACAGGGAGGACGAAAGCACCGGCGCAACGATGCCGCGTGGCACAGAGGCCAAAGGGGGAGAGAGGGAAGAGGCGTGTCACATCCTCTCCCTCTCGGCAGCAGAGGTGCGTACGGCGGCTGACATGTGCCGGCACTACGAGAAACTCTTGAAGAGCGGTACAGCAGATCTAGAGGCCACCATCAACGCCGTCACAACGTCGGACCTTGCGGCGTCGTACAGCTGTCACGCGAAATGGGTGGAGGTCCCTCGGGGAGATGCCAAGATGAAATGCGTGCTGCCCGCCAGTAAAACCGTCAAGAAAAACTATGAGCAGCTGATTCGCCTGAACGACGCCCTCGCCACTTGTCAGGCGGCCGTGCACCGCGCCTACGTGACGCTGGAAGAAAACGTCGATGTGTTGTTGGAGGAGGCGCAGGTGGTGGAGAGGGAGGAGCGCAACTTCCAGCGCTGCATTGCACAGGCACGAGTGGAGTGCGCGGGACTGCAGGAAGTACGCAGACGGCTGAAGCACACCCGATTGGCACTTGAGCAGGCATCTTTGGAGGGAACGTAGTGTTCGTCAAGAGGGATTGTGCAGAGGCTCCCCCGTTGTGGAGGTGTCCGTTCTCCTCGCTATTTTAAGAAGCTCACGCAAAGAGAAGAAGTAGTGGACGGACAATTGCGATACAAGTAGATTTCCGGCGAGCAGTTGCAGTAGATGCTGAATCCAAAATGAAAGCTGATGGAAACATCGTGGACTGCTGCTCCACGCGTTTCGTATCTGTTGGGCTGAAGTCGTTACTTTTCTTCTTTCTCCCTCTCTCACCTCTCCTTTTGTGGGAAACCGTACGCATGCGTGTGCGCTACGTGCTGCTGTACGTGACCACGCCCATTCCTTGCAGCAACAATACGAATAGTAGAAACCAGCAGCAGCAGCAAGAAACCGCTTCTCTCTCTTGTTTCACCATGGGCCGCACCAACACCAAAAAGCAGGAGGCGCGGATGGCGCGCTTGAGCAAGCTCCCGCAATCGGAGCGCCTGAAGAAGAGTGCCCTCATCAAGAAGAAGGAAGGCCGCGTGCTCGATGCAGCAGAGAAGCACGCGCTCAAGATGTCGTCTGAGCACGGCGAGATGATGAACCTGTGGGCAAAGCTACGCACCTTGGAGGACCGCAGCGAGAACGCGTCCACCTCCGCCGCTCCCGCCTCCGCCAGCAAGAAGACGGCCTACGAACACAAGTACCCGGTGGTGGACAAGCTGATGCACTTGATTGAGCCGAAATTTGCTTCCCTCATGCGCACCCCGAGTGCGAGCCGTGTGATCCAGTCCATGATCAAGTACGGCTCCGCGGAGCAGGTGGGTAAGATAATGAAGTGGGTCGCGAAGGATTTTGCGGCCAACGCGACAAACGCGTACGGCCATTTCGTGGTGTGTGCGCTGATCCGCCACGTGTCCCACGACGCCTACAATAAGCTGCTCGCCCACGTGATCCCTGCTGTGCCGCAGCTCGTCACGCACAAGTTCGGCATTGAGGTGATCCACGCCGCGTACAGCAGTCGTTGGTGCAACCCAGCGGACCGCAGTCTGCTGCTGTTGGCCGTCTTCAAGGACAACGTGGCTGTCATGAAGCGCTGGCCCGGCTACCCGGACATAGAGGAGGTGCTGCGACTCAACCCCGCCCTGCAGAAGCGCCTCCTCACCCGTCTCTTCGACCTCAGCGATAAGTTGGTGTCCCTGAAGGAGGCGGTGGGCTTCCCGTTTGTGCAGCGGCTCGTCAACGCGTTCGTGCGGTGCGGCACCCGCGATGAGGTGAGTGAGCTGTGCGATACGCTGCGGCCATACATCGCCACCATCGCCGTCACCCGCGAAGGGGCGCCGCTCGCCTCCCTCGCCTTCTCCTTGACGGAGCCGAAGAATCGGAAGGAGGTGCTGCGCAGCCTCAACGCACAGCTGGGCGAGCTGAGCACGAACAAGTACGCCGCTCCGGTCGTGGCGCGTCTCTTTGATCTCCTTTACGATGCGCAGATGATGAGCAAGTACGTCTCGAAGGACCTCGCGGAACACATTGGGCAGGTGATCAACAGCCCCTACGGCTACCAAATTCTTATGCACCTGCTGACCCCACACGACGAGCGCAAGTCGAAGTTTCTGCTGCCTAACTGGCAGGAGCACAACCTCTTCTCGATGGAGAATAAGGAGTGGAACCACCACACGTGGCTCACCGCCGACTACGCGAAGGAGACAGTAGAGATCTGCAGCAAGCCGGCGGTCACGTCGCACCTCACCGCGCTGCCGCTACTGGTGAAGGCCTTCCTCGCCTACGTGGCGGACGAGACGAACAGCGAAAAGCTGAATCGCCACCACGCCGCCCTCATCGCACGCGAGGTGCTACACGTCTCGCAGCACGAGCCTCTCTACGCCGCCGCCCTGCAGCTGACGGAGGCGGAGGTGCAGACGCTGTCGAAACTTGCCCCGGCACAGGGCAAGCGTGAACGGAAGGTGGAGGCGGAGGAGGCGGAGGAGGCGCAGGCGCTGCCCGCCAAACGTGCGAAGCGCGACAGCGGTGCGCCGTCCTCAGCTTCTTCCTCATCTGCTGTGGCGGCTGCTTCAGACAAGACGCCAAAACGGAAGGCGAAGGCGGACACGACGACTGAACCCGCGGGAAAGGACGTCAAGCGGCTCAAGACGAAAGCGAAGAGGGCGTGAGGGGAGCTTTTAATACGCGTTAATGAAGTATGGCGATTAAAACTGCAGGGCGGCTAACGTTCTGACTGCCTAATTGGAGTGCGGAGAGCAGGCGTAGTTATTCTTTTCGTTTTGGTAATCATAACACGGCCTTCTCGCATGCCGGCACGCACGTTTCTCCAGTCGAATAAATCTAATAAGACCCCCAAAGCTCATTTTGAGATACACAGAGCTTAGTGATGCATTCCGTGTAATGGCAAGAGCACCGTTTGGTTGGGAGAGGAGGAGCCGGCCCGTGCCTGCGATTCTTTCTCTTCTCTTTTCGCCGTTCGTTCAGACTGGAGTTTACTTCGAGCTCGTAGCACTCAACAACACCGACAGTTTTATTGGAGAACGGTGAACATGAGTTGTGCAGCCCTCACCTGTTGTCGTGCCGATGGGGCGCTGCGACCGCCTTCCTCTTCCGTGCGGTCACCGCCGACACCATACGTAGATCTGCCTCCTTCCCCCGTTGCTCTCTTCTTTCCCTTTTTGCCTTCTCTGTTTCCCGGCGCAGGGAGCCGTGGGGGACTGCAACGTACACACAACACTCTGCACACACCCACGTACACGCTTTCGTTCTCCGGTGCGTTTGGCCGCCGGCTATACATATTTTGAGCTGTTGATAAATGTCAAAGCACTTTCTGCGTCTACTGTTCGTAGGTGCGCCGGGCGTGGGCAAAGGCACCTACTCCGGCCGCGCCGCCGCCGCCTTGAGCTGCCACGCCATCTCCAGCGGTGACCTTTTGCGGAAGGAAGTCGCCGATGGCACAGAGATTGGCCAACAGGTGAAGAGCCTCATTGAGAAGGGGGTCTTCGTGCCCGACGAGCTTATCACCCGCATGGTGGTGCAGCACCTCGAGAAGCTGCGCACCGACGCGACGCGACCGAACGGCTACATTTTGGACGGCTACCCCCGCAACTTCAACCAAGCAGCAACGCTGTGGAGCTCCGGCGAGATCAGAATCGATCACGTCATCAACCTGACCCAGCCGCGCAACGTGATCATTAAGAAGATGTCGTCGCGTCGCTCCTGCCCTGACTGCGGGTTTGTATACAACCTGGCCGCCATCGACGAGGGCGGCATCAAGATGGACCCGTTGGTGCCGAAGGTGGAGGGCGTGTGCGATAAGTGCGGCAGCACGAAGCCCCTCGTCACACGCCAAGACGATGAGCTCGAAGTCGTGACAAAGCGGCAGGACGAGTACTTCGCCGTCGCAGAGCCACTTCTTCAGTTCTACAAGGGCAAGGGCGTGCTGCACGAGTTCGCCGTGCTCGGTGGCACAAAGGTGTATCTGCCAAAGCTGCTTGACCTCATCCACAAACTGCCGTGAGGCATCTCGCTCGCTGCCGCTTTAGCACGTTACTTTTGTTGCTGTACTCAAGCTGTTTTGCGTTCTCACGAAGCGTCGCGGCCGACACAGTTTATTCGGTGTATCGTCGACTGCAGGTTCGTTGTCTGTTTCTTCATCTCTTATCGTTTTCCCTTTTTTTTTTACATTATACTGTTGCTAGCGAAAAACAAGAATAAAAAACTGTCTTATCTGCGTTTGGGCCAATCGTTGAACAATGACGTGTCTCCGTTAAACGACTACCGGTGCACGTGGCTGTGAAGAAAACTGCGTCCCGTGAGAAGTGCTGTTTCTCCCTTCTTCTGGTCTTTGCACTGTGGAGCGACGAGAAAGCAGCGCGTACACTGCCCGTTCTTGCGTGGTTGTTTTCCCCAACGTGCTCCTGTGCACACGTACGTTCCGCACGCACCTCTTCCTCGTTTGCTTCCTTACTCATCTCTTTTGGTTTGCTCAGTGAGTATCGCAAAAAACCCGCATTCTCTGCCGTTTTCGTGTCATCGCCACCCTCTTCTTTCCGCAACAACGACGGAGCACTCGCCACACGTTGAAGACCGCTTTGTACCCCAGATAAAGCCAATTTTGCTTCGCTTTTGAGCTCATCCCGCCTTCGCCTGCTCCTGTCGCATCTCCGTAATGCCACCGCGTCGCCAGTCTTCTCCCAAGTCGCGATCTCGGTCCAAGTCATCGTCGCCGCGGAAGTCGTCGTCGGCGCGCCCGTCTGCACAAACCGTATCGAAGAGCCCGTCGCTGCCTCCGCCAGACCCGGCAGCGGTGCAGCGCCTCATCGATGAGGCCATCGCCCGTGCTCAGCGCAACCGCGCAGCCAATCGCGGTGCCGCAGCTCCGGATACTGCCTCGGTGTCCTCAAACGAACAGCTGGCTCGTCCAGGCTGCCTGAGTGCCGCGCGTAGCTTCCTCTTCGGCTCGCGCAACTGCATGTACTCTCCTAGCACGACGGCGGCGCTGACGGATGTGATCGGTGCCTTCCTAGTTACGTGCATCACCGTGTACTTCACGGTATCGGGGTACCTCTTCTACCGCGAGTTGGCCACTGGCGAGTAGAGGGAAACACCAAAGCACAACGGTGGAGCTTTCCGCGATGGGGCTGCTAGACGCGATGGCACTCAACACGCTGAACGTTACCCTCCTTGCAATTTTGTTTTTCCTTTATCCGTGTATCACAACTTTTTAGAGATGGCGACAGCCCTGTGGGCAACTCCTGTACGCTTTATAGAGCTACGTATTCTTGTTTTCTCGTTCAAAAACATCGCTTTCCAGTACGAGTGGTGCTGCCGTATCAGCACTGATGAGGTATCTTCTTATCTTTCGCCCTTTTCCTTTCACAGCTGTTTCGGGCGTGGGGTGACAGGGAATGGGTGAGTTTTAAAGGGGAATAAAGGCGGCCTGAAGGAGCGGTACACGTGCCGTATCCGGCTTCCGTGTGTCTCCGCGCTGGGGGGACACCTCTTTTTTGCGGTTGCATCCCCAACGCTCGTGTCGGAGAAAGAGGCAGCGACGAGTACAGCTTCTGAGGGATACTCTTTATTCCGTTGGCCTGTGTTTTTGTTTAACTGTATGACAGGGGAATCTTCCTGTTTTTAATTTGTTTAGAGGCACGCAGAAGACTCCGAAGCGACACGCAGAAAGGCTTTGTTAACGGCCCCCTCAGTTCTACGACGACTCGACCAGAGAAAAAGGGAAACGCCCACATTCCGGCTCGTTTTCTGCTGGAACTGTTCCATGACGACTTGCTGGGTTTTGCGAGAGGGACGTTGTGTTTATGGCCTTCGCGCTGTTGGCCTTCTTCGAACTCGCAGGCGCGCTGATCACACGTTGAGGCAGCACTTGAGCAAAGCAAAAGCAGGAACAAAAGAAAAGGGCACGGAAACTGCGGCAGAAGGTGCGCGACCGCTATCTGCTGCTTCGTCCCACTTTTGCCCTTTCTACGCGTCTCCTTCTCGAGGTTGACTTCCACGTGTGTTAACTTCTTTCTTCTACTCTTGTTTTTGTCCTTCCTTCACACCCCCGTTCGCACGCACCCGCACACTTCTTGTTTGGCTTGCCTCACAGTTGTGGGCACCGCCTCCGCTATACTCATTTGTACCGTCATTTCTCCTCACGTAGACTTGCTTCTCTGCACATAAGAAAGAAAGCACCCACAAGAAGAACGACCGCACTCACGAGTCCTTTTTGCTCAGCAAAATCTTCAAGTAGATATACTTTCTTCATCTCCCGCAACTCTGCATCCACACGATGACGGGAACCGATGCAAAGACCCGCAAGCCGCTGAAGCCCGGCTTTCTCACCAAATGTTTTGGTGACGCGGCGGTGCTGTTCAGCAAGACCACCACCGACCGCCTCACGGACCTCGCCGGCACCTTCTTGGTGATGTGCATTACCGTGTACTTCACGGTGGCTGGATACCTGTTCTACCGCGAACTTGCTCTGAGCAGCTAAAGTTTGTTGTCAACAAGAACGAAAAGGGAAAAATGTCTTAAGTAAAAGAGAAGTTCAATGAACTTCTCATTTGTTAATGACAACAAGAGCCTTCGACTCGCACAGAGGTGTGCTCTTCGTCTTCGTCTTCAAAAATAGCTTTGCTTACCTTAAATTGTATCTTCCATTTTGTTTTGGTTTTAAGCGTGTGCGCGGAACATCAGCCACGGAGTGCGCTCTTGTATACGCTCACACGCGTGTACCACCGCAGTGCGCTGGTGGAGCACATACACGAAAGAATACCTTTTCTCTCTCTGACAGATGTGCAATCACCTGGTGAGTTCATCAAATTAAAAGATTAGGACAAAGTAACAGGCGGAAAAAAAAACCCACGTCTCTGCCTTTCGCACGATGCAGTGACGGTACAGCCGCCACGTGGTAGTTTACTCTAAGACGCGCTTATGAAGGAGAAACAGCAGCAGAAAGATGCGCATTTACTTTACTTTCGCCAACTCGGCCTTCAGGCCCACAGCGAAGAACTGCAAATGACGTTCACTGCACACTTTCTCTCAGCAGCCGTTTTATTGTATCCCCCCCTCCTTCTGCCCATCGCTCTCGCTCATCTTCATACGTGCGCCTTTTCATCGTTCTGCTTTAGCTTAGGTTTTTGCTTTCTGTGTTTGCTGTCGCCTCGCTACGGTCTTTTCATACAACGCACTTGTCTCTTTATACCTCGCACGACCTCGTCCGTTCCCAAGGTTAACACCGCCCGAGTTTGCTGGTCCCGTTCGTTTTCTCGCCTTTCAAATAATAAAAAGGAAAGACTTCTTCTTTCATTTCGTGGCCACTCGCCACCTCACCTGCACCAAAATTAAGCGCCTTTCGCTCCGTCTTGCGGCCTCGATCGGCTCCATCGGTCCATCGTCGCAGGATTTTTTCCTTCGCGACCGCAACTTGCCGCTGGCTGAAATCTACCGCCGACTCCGCCGACCACGCATGTCGTCGCTGCCCCACGGCCACCACTACGAGACGCACCATCGCGGGACGGAGGTGGTGCCCTTCGATGAAGTCATCGGCACCACCCCCGATGGTGTCCCCGTCATGTCGAACGGCGACGAGTCGCACTTCAGCAACTTGGAGTCCATCACGGCGGCGTGTCTGCCGCTGAGCTCGTTTGAGCGTAAGGCGCCGCCGAAGCAGCCGTATAGAAAGATGGGCGTGAAGTGGCAATGCGTGGAGTTCGTGCGGCGTTACTTGGCGTCGCGGAAGGCGGTGTGGATGGCCTCGATGAGCACCGCCGAGGAGGTGTGGAGAGAGCCGAACATGTTCGTCAACGTGCGGGACGGCAGCCCGGTCGAGTTCACGCGGACGCCGAACAAGTCGAAGGGACTGCCGCCTGCTGTGGCGGACATCATTGTGTGGGGGGAGAGCATCGAGACCCCTTTCGGACACGTCGCGGTTGTGACGGAGGTGTGTGCGGAGAGCGTGCGGGTGGCGGAGCAGAACCAGGGCTTTGAGCGCTGGCCGGAGGAGATGCCCTTCAGCCGCGAGATCCCCATGCAGCGGACGAGTGATGGCGGCGTGGAGTTGGTGGACGAAGACCCGGTGCTGGGCTGGGTGGCGGTGCAGCACCCCTTTTACGACTTCAGCGAAGGCGACCTCGCCGACGACTTCCGCCTCGTCGTTGGCGCTGGTCAGATTGTGAGACAACCGTTTCCGAAGCACGTCGAGGTGCCGTGGCTGAGCATGAAGGAGGAGTGCGACGTCATCCTGAAGCACTCGCTCATGATTGACGGCAACATGGGCGAGGGAGCCAAGGCGGACGAGAGCGACGTGCCCGGTGCATTTTACTTCTTCGACTACGACATGTGGTGCCGCCTCGGCCGCGCGGCCCACTCGTTGCATCGCATCGCCATGGCGGCCACCGCGACGGTGCTCGCGGACCCCGAGTCGGCGCACCTGCTTGAGCACTACTTCGGTGTCCCGCCGGAGATCCAGCCGCTGCTGCGCCGCTCGTGGGAGATGACGCCACCCATGGGCGGCCGCTTCGACTTCGGCTACGACGGCAAGAAGATCGTCATACTGGAATACAACTGCGATTCCTCCGGTGCCCTTCTGGAGTGCTGCGACACGCAGGAGAAGATGGCGAAGTTTTACGGCGTCGCGCAGGGCACCTCCACCGGGTCATTTCTTGGTGCGAAGTGTGTCGCGTACTTCGCCCGGCTCTTATCGAACGACAGGGTGTGCCCGCAGCACAAGCTGATCCACTTCATGATCGACGAGGACGACGAGGAGCGCTACACGGCGATGTGCATGATGGGCTTCGCCCAGAAGGCCGGCTTTCGCACGAAGCTGTGCGTGAAGCTGGAAAACTTCCGCTACCGCGACGGCCCGCCGTGCAACGCAGCCCCGCTGGCTGAGCCGTGCGCCCACCCCACCATCATCGACGGCGAGGATGAGGAGGTGCTGATGGTGTGGAAGACGTGGTCGTGGGACACGGTGCTGCATCAGTACAATTCCCAGCGCTCGTCCACCGACGCGGTCAACGCACCGACCTTGTCAGACATCCTGCTGAACAACAACATCCGCGTGCTGGAGCCGCTGTGGAAGGCGGTGACCGGGAGCAAGGCCATTCTGCCGTTCATGCATGCCCTGGCCCCCGATCACGAGAACATGCTCACGGCCAGCTTCCAGCCGACGCGCGAAATCATCTCCCACCACTACATCTCGAAGCCCGTCAACGGGCGCGCCGGGCAGAACATCATGATGTACGACCCCGTCACCGACCCGACAGAGTTGAACGACGCCCCGCAGATCGACGCGCGCGAAAACATGTCGCAACACCTGGCGGCCCGCTCCCTCCTCAACGCCACCTCCCCCCCGCTGAGCCAGTCGGTGGACCAAACAAACGAGTGCTCCAACGGCAAGTTCTTCGACTCGGTGAAAGTGTATCAGCAGCGCCACTTTCTCAAGAAGTTCGATGGCAAGTACTTCCCCATCTTCTGCGGCTGGATGATTGGGGACGAGTTTGCCGGTGTCGTGGTGCGCGAGGACACCTCGAAGATCACGAAGCTGTCCAGCATGGTGGTGCCTGCGCGCGTGGTGCGGGAGAACGTTCCACTTGGCGTGTCGTACTCTGACGAGGGTGAAACGTAGAGTACGGAGTATATAGCAGCGGACCAGTGTGCGTCTGGCGTGCCTTTTATGTTTTCTGCCGCCCTGTGCGGGATGTGCGCTTTCATTTATGAACGATCTTTTCTGTTTGCTTGTTATTGACGTTGTCCTTCCGTGTTGTTGTCACAGCTCCTCCTCCCTCCCCCCCCCTCCCCCCATCATGCGGCCAAGAGACGGGCGGTTTGGTGGCGCATAGCAACACCTGTGCATGCGTACCGGTGCGCGTGTTTCCGTCTCGGTCTTCTCTATTTTGCTACGTATGAGTTCACTGCGACGTGACGGTATTCTTTTCTTCTTTTTCTTCTCCTGAGCGAGGGACACGGTGCCGGTATTCATCGCACCAACTGAACGTCTCTCGCAGCTAAAACATCGAGCCCTCTCTCTCTCTCTTGTTTATTGCTTCATTTTGAAGATGGCGATTTTTGCTGCGCTGCGATCAGTTGTGTCGTCTCGCTGCTTCCTTCAGGGCTCTTCTTACTGTTACGTTTCGAATGCGCTACTACACGTGAAAGTCTCAAACCCTTTTTTCTTGTATCCGGCGCTCTCCTGGTCCGAGCAGAGAAGGTGTCTGGCTGTGATGCTTCGTCAAGCGACTGAATTCGCATGTGCCTTGTCCTTGCAAGCGGCTTGGCTTCGTCACTGCGGATTCTGGCGGGGAGTGCCACGGGCAGGCTCCGCGTTCCCACCTTCTGCTTGCATATCTCCACCTTGTGCCCCTGCGGTTCTTCGGTCAGCATCACGAAGCGAGCCGGCGTCAGGTTCAGTGACGTAGAATTTGTATGTAATGTGCCAACGTGCAAGGTTTACTTGGTGCGTGTGCCGGTGTAGCCACTGTGTGTCTCAGAGCGTTGTATACACGAGCAGAGGCACAACTGCACACCCCAAGGCATTGGAAGTGAGGCACAGCATTGGAGGAAAGGTTTGTGTACTGCGTTACGGTCGGCTGCACCTACCACGAGGAATTTTTGTTCTCTGGAGAATATGGGACTCTTGGGCCCAGTCATTCTTCGTTGTCGACCCCGCAGCTCAACGAAGGCTGTTCATGAAGAGGCAAAACAAGGCAGCATCAACTTTTTCCCTTCTCTGCTTCTCATTGGGGTTAGACGGTGATTTCTCATTTTCGACCAATATTATTCCTTTTATTAACTTCAAAATTGTAACAGTTTTCTTTGTTTCATTTTCTTCTTAAAAAGGGTTGCGGGAGCACACAAAACTTTCCGAGCGAGACGGGGGATCGACGACGTGTAAGTGGGATATCCTCATTGTTAGATGTTTCAAAACAGCAACGGCGGCAACAACTGAATTGCTTTATCCATATTGGGCGTAAGAAGTGGCGTAGTCAGCGCTTTGCGTGCTGAACAGACATCACCTCTCAGAAGAAAGAGGAAAGGAGGTGATTTTTTCAGCGTAGGTTCCATCGCTACGCGTACTTCCGTATCACGGCGCATCTCGTAGAGGCGACCACTGCAGTTTCCGTTCGCATCGTTTCTTTCGGTGTTTTCATTCCGCATCGACTTCTTCTCACCTTTCGTATTACAAACTCTCTCTGATGCGCAAATGCTGTCCTACCAGCGATTCTTTCTCCTTTTTTTGGCAACTGCTTTCCCCATTTATCCGAGTGCAGGTAAAGTGCCTTCTGTTTTTCTCAGGCGTTGCGCCTCCTCGTATGCCTTTCCAAGCTGTTTGTTGGACTGCTACCAACTCTGTATTAACCATAGTTCTGACTTGAGACGACACTTCGAGTCTGCGCAAATCCTCCATGCCCGTGTGCATCGAATGCGGGCACGCCGTGCCGCGAATCATTAAGCCTGACACGGAAACGGTGGAGCGATGTGGGGAGTGCGGCTGCGTCTGCGACTCGTACTTCGAGTTTGGTGACGTTCAGGTTTGGATCGACGTCGTCTTGCTTCGTCGCAAGGCGTGGGCGCACGTTCTCTTTAACCAAGTCCATCGCTACACCATGCACGTCATGCTCGTACTCTGCTGCGTTATTGAGGCGGTTGTCGTACACAGTCTAAGGGTGCTCGAGGCCATCCCGCGCATTGCGGGTGGTGTGCAGAACAGCTCGCTTTACACGTCCGACCAGCAGGTGCGCTCGCTGCAGTTCGTGCGCATTTTACAAAGCCCTTTCCTGCCTCTCATGGACTACCCCACCACCATCCCATACCTGTTCATTTTTGCCATGACGGAGAACGCGCTGGTCGCGTCGATGGCCACCTGGCTCGGCCGCTTCTTCTACCGCAACTACGAATACACGGCACGCCCGTGGTTCATTGAGGCGGCCTTCGCATCGTACGCCAAACTTAGCTACGTTCTCTTTCTCATATGGGCCATGCCGCCGTCGTTGCTGCCGATGGTAGACTTCGTGTACGTGCTTTGGTTAGGCTGTGCATTCACCGTGTTGGGGTTTGAGCGGCATTGGCTGTACCCGCTGATTGCCGTTGTCGCGTGCGTGTTTGCGCGCTTTTTATTTCGCTACCTCACCAAGTGGAGCCCCCAGATTTTGTCGTAAGCACCCACCTATGGCTCTACGGTGGTTGATGGTGGCGTGGTCGCGTGCGGCGCAGCTGCCCCTGTTGAAACAACAACAACCAACAACAAAACGCGCCTACAATGCCTTTGCTGTCGCCGTCCGCCTTTCGTTGCTTTCAGCGGCCAATTAAAGAAAAGAATCGAGTGAACAGCCGAACGCTCTGCAGTTTACCAGCGCTATCTTGCATCTTCGCAACGATGCTTCCTTTGTATCGTAAAAGGCTGCGTAGCTGAAAAGGAAGACCGTGCTCTTGCGCGGTAATTATCACCTCTACTTCGGTGCGTATATGTGTAAATGTATATTGTTCTCTGTACCGCGGACGGGCCGCGCTGCGTTTACTGCGCCGGCATGGACTTCTCTTTCTCTCTGCTCCTCACACCTCTGCACTTTCCCCCGTCTTGTTGTGTATTTCCTCCGTTCACACGCACTTGGAAACGGCGGCTGTTTGTCAGTTCGACGCATACCATTTGGTGTCTGTGCGAAAGAGCTCTCTTCGTCTTTCTTTTTTTTTTTCCCCATCGTTGTCACATATCACACCGCAACTCCGCTGCTTTCGAGATGAGCATGGAAGCGAAGATTGTGGTATGCCTTCATGACATGAAGGCCCCTCGCCAGCCCACCGCCCTCCGAGCGTCCGGCAACGGCGTGTCCTTCACGTGCCCCCCGGTGCTGAAGGAGGCAAACTTCCCAGCCAGCGACACCACCTTCAACGTGGAGCAGCTGCTGGAGCGGCCAACGGCGAGCAATGTTCAGCAGCGCGCCATGACGAACTTCGCTTCGGACTTCGTGAAGAATCGCCAGAACGTTGTCGCCTTCGGCTACGGCGTGCGCTCTACCCCGAAGCGGCAGCTGATGTTCGGATCGCGGTCTGAGGAGGGCTACGCGTGCAAGGTGATGAGTGATGCCGTCAGCGGTGGCAAGGGCATCTTCTCCATCTCCTGCTTCGTCATTGGGATGGACGAGCACCTCCCCGACCTCATCAAGGCCGACAACGAGTTGGGCTGCATCGTGGAGTCGGTGAAGGAGGGCCCGCGGGTGCGCATGGTGGAGCGCGCGAGGGTGACCTCCGCTGCGGATGTGCGCAACGTCCTGGCGAAGATCGCACAGAACTGCGAGAAGTACTTCGAGGCGGTGCTGCCGGAGAAACAGCCAACGGCGGAGCTACAGGCCCTTCCGCCCTACAAAGGGGAGTCCGTCATGCTGCAACTCTTCCGCTACGAGTCGGAGGAGACGTTCACCGACTACGACGAGGCGAACTCCATGACCTTTGTGGCGCTCGGCGATGCGGAGCGGCCGGTGCTGTGCGGCCTCGATCCGGCCCAACAAGAGGTCTTTGAGAAGACTCACCGTGTGCTGGTCTCCGCCGCCGGCATCGTGTCCAGCATCAAGTGCAGCCGCCTGCGCATCCCCTTTGGCAAGTCGAAGATGAGTCAGCTGATGCGCCGGTGCTACAACGCCGAGAAGGGCAACCCAAACAACGCCGTCAACGGCCCCACCAACACCATCATGCTCATCCACTGCTTCACGGACGGCGACTGGGCGGAGGAGAGCTACCACAACCTCTCGATGATTCGCCGCATCTGTAATACGCTCGGCTCCTCCGGCATTGGCTCGATGCTGCGCGATTTGCCGGTGGAGAAGTGGCGTCTGGACCAAGACATCTTTGAGCTGCGGGACGAGCTGGTCATTGCACGCACCGTGTACGACTACAAGCCCTGCATCTACGAGTCCACCAAGAACATCACCAACATCAAGGAGGAGGAGGAGAAGCGCATCGACGCCATCCAGTCGAAGCGCGAAGAGGCACGTGAGAAGCAGCTGAACGCCATTCGCTTGCGCGCCAAGGAGGAGGCGGCGAAGACGATCAAGGAGCAGGAAATGAAGTGCGGCACCACGCTGGCCGCGCTGGAGAAGACGCTGGAGACGAAGAAGCGCGAGAACAGCTCGCTGCAGACCGAGCGCGACAACCTCACCCGCGACTACGAGCAGGCGCTGGAGAAGATCCGCCGCAAGAAGGAAGAGGAGGAGGCCGCGGTCACCCGCCTGCGAGAGGAGATGTCGCAGCTGGAGGAGGATCTCGTGAAGCGGCAGTCCGCCATCCAGGCGAAGCAGAAGCAGCTTGAAATGGCGAAGCTGGACAAGGCGAAGGGCCGCGAGGCGATTCTGCGTGAACGCGGCAACGTGGAGGCCATTCGCAAGTCCGTCCTGGCCGAGCGCCGCCACCAGCGGGAGCAGTGGATCAAGCAGATCAAGGACATCAACGAGAAGGTACTGGAGCAGCTCACGTCGATCGCCGAGGAGCGCAAACAGAACGGCGAGGCGGTCTCGGCGAAGGAGGAGGCCTCCGAGAAGGCGGTCGTTGAGGACATCAAGACCATCGAGGACTACTTACCGAAACTCATCTCCCTCGAAGACATCCCCGTCAACCCAGAGGAGACGGAGAACATTCGCCGCCAGTTCGACGAGGTCTTTGCACAGGAAAAGCAGACTTACCTGACGAAGATCGAGGAGGAGAAGACGCGCAAGGAGAAGCTGGAGAAGGGACTGGAGGCATACCGCAACCGCGTGCTGGAGGTGGCACAGGCCAAGAAGAAGGAGAACTTGCAAGACGCCGTGAAGAAGGAGCAGCAGCTCGGCTCGTTGGTGGAGCAAGTGCTCACCTACCTGCGCCACGGCGTAAAGATGACGAAGGTGTCCAGCAAGAGCCACCTGCGCCGTCGCTTCTACTTCATCTCCGAGGACGGCAAGCGCATCCACTCCTGCGAGCTGGACAATCAAGGGGCGCCGATCAACCGCCGCAAGCCACCGGTGACCATCCAATTGCGTGACATTCGCAAGGTGGTGCTCGGCGTGTACAGCGAGTCCTTTGTCTCCTTCAGCTCGGAGGCGCAGCTGGCGAAGGCCCGCGCGGAGGCCGTCACCGACAACGGCACCTACCGCCACGACCCGACGCAGAACATCACACCGGGCAACATCGGCCTCAACAACTATCGCGCCTTTGCCCTCATCCTGCGCGGCGGCAAGACTCTGGAGGTGATCTGCGACTCGGACACGGATTGTGAGGCGTGGATGGTTGGCCTGCGGCGTCTGCTGGGCATTAAGACGCCGACTGAGCGCCTGCTCGAGCAGCGCACGGAGGTGAACCGCGCCCACGACCCACCGGCGGGTGAGCAAGACGTGGAGATGAAGTATGGAGGCCAGCTGGACGTGCGCAACATGCGCGGCTTCATCTCACTCTCGGCTGAGGAGGCCATCGTGTGCAGCGAGAACCACATCCCTCCCGTACTGTTCTTGCGCGTGAAGCAGGAGATGGTCGACAAGTCGCACACCACCTCCATCACCGTGTACGACGTTCGCGTTTCCTCCGGTCTTGACCTGGTGCGCTCGGGCTGCATTTACAACTACCTGGTGCAGCGCCGTCTCATCCCTCTGCCGTTTTAGGTGGGAAAGACAGAAGAAGGAAGGCCACACTATTTGCCTGAACCTGCTGTGCATGTGGCTCACCTTTCCTCATTTCAAATGCGTTTTCTCCAGCGAACATTGTGTCAAGGGAAGGAAAGCGCTGCCCTCCTATCCAGCATGAAACGCGCAACATTCGCTTTCTGTGCTCGACTTCATCGTTTATTACCCTCTCGTCTGTGCTTTTATCGGAGTGCTTCCTGGAAGTTTTCTCTGTTTCACGCGCTTGGTGAGGATTTCTCTCTTGCTTTATGTCATTGCTGTATCGCCTGTGTCGAGTCATGATAGTAGAATCGTCGATGTTGCTTCTTCTCTTTTCTTGTTTCTATTGCGGGAGTCTTTTCAAGTTTCTACGAACGTGCACAGACCCAAAGGGCCTCGCCGACCCCGCTGTTTTTTTTGTTTGTTCTTTTCCTTGCTTCCATCTATAGTGTTGTGTCGCGAAGACACCGATGACTCGCGGCCTTTCTGGTTGCCTTCGATCACCAGCTGCTGATGTGCGAGACAGGTGATGAGGGAGAAGGGTGCGTTCGTCTTGTGAGGGTATGGATAAAAGACAAACAATCACCGCCACTCGCGGGCGAAATTTAGATCAAAAATACCTCCTTCTTTGAGCTTTGGACTTTTGAACATCGCGTGATTGTCCGTTGCGGACTGCGATTTCTGTTTCCTTTAAGTATTTCTTTCTGTGACTGATGCGGAGCTCAACAAACGTCTCTTTCTCTGGGTTGTTCTTATCTTCGTTTTCCTTTCCTCATTGACTGCCGTTATTGTTTCTTTCTTTGAATAGCAGGACTCTTTGTACGTGGTTGAACAGACGGAAATAGCATTCATGAGAAGCAATGCAAACCTTTGTGTGTGTGTGTGTGTGACGGCTTCTCCTCGAGTCCAGTGGGGTGGAGAAAGTGGAGTCGCATCAACGAAGAGGCGGGCGCTCTGGCGCGGCAGAATAAAAAAATGGAACGCTCGTCTTTGATCGTTACGGTGGAGTTTCCGATGATGATTGCACTGCAAAAGGATTCCCATAAAACGTAAGAAGGAAGCCGAGCGAGAGAAGCACGCGCTCTTTCTGTTTCTTTCTTCTCTGGCGACGGCGGATGGCCCACCCCCTGTATTCGACACCTGCTTTTCGATTTCCCCTCGCTCTCTGTCTGTTTGCTCCTCTCTTTTCGCGAGTCACACGTCCGGTAACCAAATTGCCTGCATCGCCGTTTCACTCACTCATCGTGATGAATGCATAACCGAATCCACGCCTCAACGCAGAAAACAGACAAGGTTTGCAGCACCATGTCAGAACTCTTGAGCAAAAAATCGTGGCGTCTCAAAGACGTCATCTTCAACGACGGAGCGGAGAGGGTCGTGCGGGTCTTGAAGATTGATCACCCATTTCGGCGACAGCGCATCACCATCGTGCCGGCCCCCCGCTACGCAAAGGAGGCGTATCTGACCGAATGGGTCTACCAACCCTACGTGAAGGAGCACACCCTGTACGTGAGCAACGACATCTACAACCCCTTCTACGTCTTTTTCTGCCGAGCGCTTCTGCGTAAAGGCAAGTTTCCCGACTACGCCTACTTCCACCCGATGGGGCTGCCCGACTGTGTGGAGGTGAACTTGAGTCGCCGGCGCTTTATCAAAAAGGAGCAGCCCTTCAAGACGCCGATGAGCACGATCCTGCTGACCACCAACCGCTTCCGCGACGGCCACCACCCGTGGGTCTCACGGCGGATCGTGAAGATTGTCGGGGAGCAGTACGTCGTGCACCCCAAGGAAGATAAGCAGTCGCTCGTCTTTGTGCTGCCTCCCGCCTACGTCCCTGAAGCGGTGAACGCGCTCCAGGGTCTCGGCTTCACCGTGGCGGACACGGCGACAGCCTCGATTGGAGAGACAGAGACGATTAAAAGGCTCGACAGCTGGAGCAACAAATGCCAGCTACTCGTGCTGGGGTACTTGTGGTTTCTGATTGCGCTGTTCATCGTTGGCGAGAGCCGCCACCTCGATCAGCTTTTTCAAGATTACAAGCGTGAGCTCGTTGAGAAGGCCGGCAAAGACCCTTCGAAGATGGGACTGTAGGCTGTCACGGTCGTGCAAGAGCCGGCGGAAAGAGAAGACAAGGAACACAGCTTCGACGTTGCTGCTCAACTGTTGTTGCTGCTTCATTATTTGGATATCACAGTTTTACTTGTTGGACTTTGCTGTAGCGCGTCGAAGGAGCGCGCATCCGACGAAGAAGCAGAAAAAAGAAAAGGGCGATCCTCCGCAGCTAGACGAATCCTGTTTGCCTAGCAAATAGGCGAGAAGTACAACGACACCATTACCCCCCTTTTTCGTGTTGCCTGAGAAGCACTCGGTGGCTGCGTTTCACGATGTCGCATTCCACTCGTCAAAGGGGACCACAGCTCACACCTAAGTTATAGATGCATTTATTTCAAAACGAGATGTCTACAGCACCTCTTCTGCTCTTCATGTTTGACCTCGCATTGTTAATTTCGCTCTCTCGACTTCCTCTGTGTTCCTCTCTGTGACTGTTATTTCTTCCAAAGTAACAGAATAATACTACACACACTCAGCTCTATCGTCCACTCTTTTGCTGTCAGTTTTGTCACACTGTTGCGAAGTCTCGGTCAAGAAAAGTGGAGCTTTCCATATATTTATATCTATTTTTCGGTTAGCAAACTTAAACCTACACAGATGCCAACGAAGACGTCCGGCGCCGCTGTGCTGCACCGTGTGCGGGAGAAGATGAAGGAGAGCAAGGTGGATGCGCTCATCGTCCTCAGCAGCGACGCCCACAACAGCGAGTACGTCGCGACGCACCTCCAAACGCGCACCTTTGTCTCCAACTTTGACGGCAGCGCCGGCACCGCCCTCATTACGATGGACAAGGCTCTGGTGTGGGCGGATGGTCGTTACTGGATCGCTGCGGCAGAGCAGCTCTACCCCGAGTTTGAGCTGATGAAGCAGGGCAAGCTGGAGGTGCCGTCCATCGAGGACTGGATCGCCGATAATCTTGGTTCGACGGCGGCGATTGGCCTGTGCCCTTCCCTCGTCACCGTGGCGGAATGGGAGCGCATGAGCAAGAAGGTGAACCTGCGCCCGGTGGCCAACATCGTGCAGGAGCTGATGCCGCCGGAGAGCAACATTCAGAAGATGTACGTGCGGCCTGCGGAGTACTGCGGTGCCACCTGCCAGGAGCGCCGTGCTGCCATTCTGCAGGAAGTCAAGAAGCACCACTGCAGTATGATAATCCTCTCCGCACTGGACGAGATTGCGTGGTTCACCAACCTGCGCGGCGCGGATGTGGACTACAACCCGGTGTTTTATTCATACGCTGTTATCGACGAGGCGGAGGAGAAGGTGCGCCTTTACGTCAATTTGGCGAAGGTGACGGACGAGGTGCGCGACACGTGCGCCGATTACATCGACTTTCTGCCCTATGAGCAGTTTCAAGGCGATCTGAAGAAGCTGCCGAAGGGCCGCAAGGCGCTTGTCGATGAACGGCAAACAAGTGAGGCGGTGTACCGCATCCTGCAAGAAGTCGGTGTGGAGACGGTGCGAGTGCTGTGCGGGCCGGCGCAGAAGCTGAAGGCGATTAAGAACGAGGTCGAGCTGAAGGGCTTTCGCGAGTGCCACGTGCGCGACGGCGCCGCGCTGACCCGCTACCTCGCGTGGCTTCATAATGAGATCGTCCACAAGGGTGTCACAGACCTGAACGAGTACGATGCGGCCACCAAGTTGGAGAGCTTTCGGCGACTTGACAGCCGCTTCGTGCAGCTGAGCTTTGAGTCTATATCGTCGACGGGCCCCAACGCGGCCATGTGCCACTACAGCCCCTCGGAGACGAAGTCCGCGCTTATCCGCAAAGATCAGCTTTACCTCATCGACAGCGGGGCGCAGTACTGGGACGGCACGACGGACGTGACGCGCACCATCAGCTTCGCGCCGCCCAGCGCGGAGGTGCGGGAGTCCTACACGCTGGTGCTGAAGGGCCACATCGCTGTGAACAGCGCCGTGTTCCCGAAGGGGACGAACGGCGCCCGCCTCGATACGCTGGCTCGCACAGCGCTGTGGAACGTCGGCCTCGACTACGCGCACGGCACCGGACACGGCGTCGGCTCCTTCTTGAACGTGCACGAAGGCCCTTTTGGCATTGGCATTCGACCCAACCCCACGGAGGAGAACATGGAACTGCACTGCGTCGTGTCGAATGAGCCGGGCTACTACAAGGAAGGCCACTACGGCATCCGGATTGAGAACCTGGAGGAGGTGGTGGAGTGTCCGACCAAGTGCAGCCCGACCGGCTTCTACACACTCTCCCACCTGACGATGGCTCCCCTCTGCCGCGACTTGATCGACGCTGGAGCCCTCACAGAGGCGGAGCGGCAGTGGGTGAACGACTACCACGCCAAGGTTGTGTCCGCCGTTACGCCGCACCTGCAGAAAGCCGACGACCAGTACGCGATCGAGTACTTGAAGTACCACACGCAGCCTATTTAGACCGCTTATCCAGCGCGCACTGGCCATATATATTCCTTTCCACTTTGTATTGTGTCCGCGCTCGTTGCACGAGGATGTATGAATGGTATAAATGTTTGTAAACATGCTGATCCTTTATTATTAGTTGTGCTTCACCCCGTACTTGTTGTGCTGCACGTTAAGTGAGTGTGGTGTCTGCAGCGCCGCCTGTTTCAGCCCTCCCTCACAGTGAAGAATGCCTTCTTTCCTGTCTTGGTTTATTTTGTATCCACTTATCTAAGCAACTCTTCTTCTCGAGTTTTTTTTTAACGTTTCCTTACGCTAGCGGCGAAATGGCGTGTGTTCGCATTTATCCGGGTCGCAGGCATTTATCGTGCCTCCCCTTACTTGACAACCGAAAGAACCTAAACGTGTTTTGTTTTGTAGAGGGAAGGGCGAATTCAGATTTGAAAGCCATCGTGGAAGACCCTCGAATGCCTTGACGGTTTCACGCACGAACCAGACGGCAGCAACGACACGAAACGGCCGCGCAATATAATGGAAAGCGATGCGATCAACTGCCACTCGCATTGCCGTTTCTTCTTCCATTTCTCAACGGGGAGCAGGGCCTCATCTGCCCCTAACGCAGCGACAACGGGGACCCAACAGCTGCAAATTCTCCTGTGTTTCTCCTTTTCTTTTACCCCTTTCGCACACGCAAGGCTCCAGCAGCTTCATTTGTGTTTCGCAGATTCCACTCTACCGTTGCTTTCATTCCATCATCGGTTTCTCAGCTCCGGTTGCTACAGAAGAGGGAAAAGGCGAAAGAATAAACTGCTCTGCGTGCGAAAAGAAGTTTTCCAACGAAGCAAATCAGCAGCATTCTAAAAACAAGAAAACAATGAGCTCAAGCGACATTTTGGTGGTGGGTCCCAACCCCGCGCTGCAGAAAACTCTGACCTTTGGTGAACTGAGGCTCGACGCGGTGAATCGTGCGAGCGCTATTCGGGAGTACACAGGCGGCAAGGGCACCAACTTCTGTCGTGCGTCTGCCTGCTTCAAGGCCAGCCCGAACTTCTGCAACACGACCCTCTTCACCTTTGTGGGTGGTGAGACGGGCAAGCGGGTGGTGGACTTCCTAAAGGGGGAGGACATCGCGGTGCACCCCATTTCCGTACCCGGCGAGACGCGCACCTGTGTCACCTGCCTGGATGAGAAGCACGGCACCATGACGGAGATCATCGAGCCGTCGTACCCCGTGCCGGCGGAGTCTGCGGGTGACATGGATCGCGTGCTGAAGGAGAGGCTGCAGCATGCGGGGGGTCTTGCCATAATGGGCAGCCTGCCAGACCATACGTCGCCGGAGCTTTATACGCGGTGGACGCAGATGGCCGCAGAGGCCAAAAAGCCCGTGCTGCTGGACGCCATCAAAGGTATCGAGGCGTCCCTCAAGGTGCCCAACGTCACGTCCATCCTGAAGGTTAACATGGAGGAGCTGTACAAGCTCACCGGGAAGTCGACGCCGGAGAGCGCGTTTGCGTATGCGATGCGGGAATGGACGGTGCACATCCTGGCAGTAACGGACGGCCCACGCAGCGCCTACATTCAGGAACGCGGCAAGGCCCTCCATACGCTGCATGTGCCGAGGCTGGACAGCGTCGTGAGTCCGCTGGGTGCTGGCGACACCGCCGACGCCATCTTCTTCGCGCAGTACATCCACGGAGTCCCCGCCGACAAGGCCTTCCGTTTCGCCCTGGCTGCCGCTTCTGCAAACTGCTTCCAAAAGGACGCCGGCAAGTTCGAGCACCGCGACATGGTGGAGATTGCCAAGGGCGTCACGATTGAGTAGGGCGACGGGGCTACCGTGAAAAACTCAGCCAAAAACGAAGAGACGCAAGAGTACGCAGAGGACGTACGCAGGTTAATATAAATACAAAACGTGACCTTCAAAAGACTTAAAAAACTAACAGACCTTCAACGTATTTTCACTGTTGAAGCGCATTAATATTTTCCTTTGTCGATTTCTTATCTTACGCCCAATGGTTTATCTTCCCCCTGTTTTCCTCAACGCAGATGTCGACGCACAACCGCCTGCCTATTTGCAAAATGCTTGAAAACATCACACAATACATACAGAAAGCCAAAGACCCTCTCAGCTGTGTGCGTTTCCGCCAACATCAACTGTTATGCCCTTTAGAGAATGGGGGTGTTGTAGAATTATCTTCTGCTACGACGCACCTCAGCCTTTCTTTTCTCCTAAAATTAGAATGCAAAGGACAACAGCCGGACTACACGTGCTGCCTATAAGTATGGCTTTCGCTCCTCCTCTCTTTTTTCTATCTTATGTACTTTACGTGCTGGTTGTAGTGTATTTTAGGCCAATTGACTGCATCTGGCTTTCATGGTATTTATCGGAGATATTTCCGTTAGTTCCTTTTCGACGCCACAACGCTTTAACAGCTAACACGGGTGAATGCGGCGTGCCTTCTTACGTGTGGCGGTGGGCCCTCCCGCTGCGGCTGCGGCTGCCGTGGCTGGGATGGTGCACCCTCCCTCCCGCCTGCTCTCTACCACTCTCGCCGTGAGACAAAACGCACCCGCGCAGGATCACTCGTCACTTCGCCAGAATTTAAGACACGTGCGCGGTGAGAGCAAAGAACTGCGCGCTGTAGCCGAGTACACGCACTCCTTCGCAGAGGTGGAGGGCCGCAGACCACGCATTCTGCTCTGCACCTTCGAGGACTGCTCTCAAGGGCGTCCAGATGACAAGTTTGCCACCGTGATGGCCGACCTCGGCTTCGACGTTGACATAGGACCGTCCAAGCAGGCCCCTGAGCAGATCGCGCGACAGGCAGTGGAGGCTGACGTGCACGGCGTCCACGTCAGCGTCCTCTCTGACGCCGGTGCAGCTCCTCTTCCCCACCTCGTCGAGTGTCTCAAGCAGGATGGGGCAGAGGACGTCTTCGTCACAGTGGCGGCAGAGGCCCCTCCGGCAAACATGCCACGCGGCGCCGTTTACGTGAAGCGCGGTGACTTTGTTGGTGTTGCACAGACAATTATGAAGCTGCTGCACGCCTCGGATCAACCCGCAAACCGTTAGAGCAGGCGCCGTTTCGATCCTTTCTTTCCCCTCCCGTTTTGTTATCGTTGAAGGTGGCGCACGCCCGCTGTTGCGGTGCTTTTTTGATCTCTTTTGCTCTTCGTCAAAAATCATGCTTTTGTTTCTCGTTCCCTCATCCCGAGTTCATCTACCGTTATAAAGAGTCGTACAGCGATGAGGAAAATTGTCTGTCGAGGAAACACACGATGTGTGTTGTCCTCAAGAAGGATTGGAGCACCTCTCACCTTTCATGTTTGACTTTTCCCTCGGCTCAGCGCACTGCGGGAGCGGAAGCCGTTTCTGAATCTTTCCACATTCTTGTTTTTAACACTGCTCACCACCGACACCGTCTCTCCCTGCCTGACATTCGCTATTAACATCTCGAACCTTTTCTTTTGCAGATTTCACGCGCTGTTATTCTCTCAGTCTCCCAGACTCGATTCCACTCTTCTAACTACCACCCCCACACTCTTCCACATCCCAGAATGGCCAAGGGAAAGCGCTCCGCTGATGCCAAGGGCAGCCAGAAGCGCCAGAAGAAGGTGCTCCGCGACAACATCCGCGGCATCACCCGCGGCTCCATCCGCCGCATGGCCCGCCGTGGTGGCGTGAAGCGCATCTCGAGCGAGATCTACGAGGAGGTGCGCCGCGTGCTGAAGGCCTACGTCGAGGACGTCGTGCGCTCCAGCACCGCGTACACCGAGTACGCGCGCAAGAAGACGGTGACGGCGTCGGACGTCGTGAACGCGCTGCGCAAGCGCGGCCACATCCTGTACGGCTACGCGTAAGACGTGTATATCCGCATGTGTGCGTGTGTGTGCCGTACGTGCTGTTGCACCTCTGTTGAAGCCACTTCGACAACAACGGAATGCAGAAGCACAGTCCATAGAGCTCTATTTTTGTTTCAGCCCCTTTTTTCCCCTATTGATTTACCCTTCCTACCCTACCTGACCTCCACCCTGAGGAGAGAGAACAGAAGAATGAAAATTCATCACAAGCGACTGCAAGGGCAAGAGTGCCTTTGGGGCGAAAAGAGGTTGGAAAATGACACCCACTGTATTATGATGCAGAAGTCTCGAGCATCAGTTATGGGAATCGTGCTGGAAAAGGAGTGCATGACAAGGCCGTGACGAATCTCATGTGGTTTGCGCTAACCTATTTCGATCCCACCTTTTCATTGATCCCGGCGCTGTGGTACTATGTCCTCCTTTCTTTTCCTGCCTTGATTTGCCCCTTTCTCTCCTATGCGTCCCTCTGGCCTGCTCACAAGCTGGAGGTACTCAAGAACTGAAGACTTATTAAGCACTCTCCTTTAACTGGCGACTTGTTTTTCATCTCGTGACATCACTTTCTCATCACCCTATTCACTGCAGCTGACGAGCCTTCATCGAGCAAAACCCACTTTAGTGGTGAGTGGTGAGGCAGGAAGATGTCCACAAATATCTTCACGGAAGAGACAACTAAAGGTTCATTGCTTTCACCTATTCTCGCCGTCAGAGCTCACTGCGGCTGGAGGGCGGCTGTGGAGGAGGTCAGAGTTCGGATTGAGGTCATCGCATAGCACGCCCCTCCACTTTTTCTGTTTCTTTTTTTTTGGTGATTGCTTTGGACATCTCTCTCTGCGAGTGTGGTAGGTGGGATGGAAGGCCAAGCAGTTGCTTTATCGTTTGTATTGCTTCGACTGTCATTCCGCGCTACAGCGTCACCCTCCTTGCTCCCTGATCAACTTTCTTCTTGTTGCTGTCTTGGCGCTTTCAGGTATGTCATCCGCAGCGACGCTAATCACCTCCACGTGGCGCTTCGGTTGGCTACCCTTCTCCAGGGGAAAGCGGGGAGCCAGCAGCCATGGCATTACGCAATGGTGTCGTTCTCTATTCTTTCCATTCTGGCCAAGGGACGTTCTCAACTCGGTGACGAAGCCAGCCGCATCAGCGGTGCCATCGTTGAGCGACTCGTGTTTTTGGAAGGCTTTCTTGTTCCTATTCTGCCGCTGAACGAGGTGTGCATCATGACACGGTATCCGCATATAGGTCAAGGACAGAGATGCATTGAGGAGGATTAAGACTTGTTTCTTCCTTTTCCTATCCCGTCTCAAGATAACACGGACCACAGGCATCGCCGGACCGCGATTGACGAAGTAATGCCGCGTCGTGTACCCATGGACCAGTACCGCGAGGAACGGTTCAACGTGGTGATTGAGAATTTAGCTTCAGAGCAGCGTGAGGAGACCGAGATGCCGACGAGTAGGTCCTTTGCAGAGCACTCCGCTTTTTCGCCGAAACGACTCACACACGGAGACAAGAAGCCCCTCTATTTTTTGTTTGCGTGCTCGGTGTCGTTGCGAGCGCTGCTGGATTGATTTGCTACCTTTGTAGTGTGTGTTTCCTTCCGCATGCCCGGCTGACGAGCGTGAAGCCCGTACCGTTTCCCCCCCACACACCCGCGAGGTGATATACTTCTCGCGCGTGCTCCTCGCACACGGGGCGTGCACGCGTCGTACGGATCCCGCCGGACCTGTGTTTGTCAGCCTTCAGAGACACATGCCAAAGTATAGCGTGACAATGGTGAAGCGCCAGGCGCAACTGGTTGCCTTTGTGCGGTCTTTCGTAACACGCGTTACGCAGCTGGTGAGTGCAGTTACGTACGTTCCTTGCTGCCTGTCTCCACTTCTGGTGTGACTTCGTGTCCACTTGGAGCGTGTGTCTCTATCCCTCCCTTTTCTCTTCTTGTGTTCCTCTGCTCACTCTTTTCGTATTTCTCCCTACCGCCTTCGTCGCCTCCGCACCACCGCGACACCTTCTCTCGTTAACCGAAACGCGCCCGTGCAGCGTGAACAACGAGACTCTTCGATAGTCCGTACGCAGACTAAGAGACGCATAAATAAGTAGTATTTTCGCTCTCTCGTGCCATCGTTTTCTTCATTCTCTTCAGTTCTCTTCGTTGACCTTATTTAGTGTTTTTACTTTGTCGGTTGTGCGTAGTCCTGTGCACCGTATGGCGAGTGTTGCGGTACTGCTTTCTGCAAAACACTACCCGATATATTTTTGAAAATACTGCTGCACTCCCACGCTATTCAGGCGCGATTGCACATATTGAAGCAGCCAAGCGAGTGCTACAACTCTACCACTTTTTGTTTTTCCTTTTGATCGAACATTTTTCTTCAACATCTGCAGATTTTTGGCCGCGCTGCGCCTTCTTTGCGCCAACCCCAGAGGTGTAATCAGGTAGGGCTTTTATTCGACACTGCTTCCTCTCTTCCGTGCTGAAGCTTACACACGGTGCGTTCTTCCCCAACGTGGGACGCGTTTCTCGCGGCTTTTCTATTTTGGTTGCTGTTAATTTTTTTTTCTTGCTTCTAGAAGCATTTCTGCAGGCACCATGCGAAAGAACAACAGTGAACTTTTGGGTGTCAGCAATGACGAGGCGGTGGCGGTGCCGCCGTCCCCACAATCCGGACCGTTTCAGCGCCTTCATCGTGACCATTCAGCGCGGGTGACGATGCCCTCGCTCAAACGCACACCCGCTGCGCCCAACAGATTATCCGCAAGTAGACGCGGATACTATGCGAAGCTTGTCTCCATCGTAGTTGGTGCGTTACTTATGATGTGCATCCTTTATAACTCGAGTCGATGCACTGGCACGGTTTCAGACGGAAAGATGGGGCGACTGCACCTGAAGGACACGGACGATGCTGCGCCCATCGTGCCGGTGCAGCCCGTGCAGCTGGAGCCCGGGAAGGCCAATTCAATTGCGCTCATTATGCCGCTCGTCGGCTACCCGCTGAGCAGCAGCACAGGAGTGGAGTTGCTGCGTGAGCTGCTGCAGCCGTTGCTGTTGTCGGAGGCGGCGTGCCGGTGGTGGCGCACGCCGTCGTCGTGAGTCGCGTGTCGGCCACTGCGGTGCGGAGTGCGGTGCGAGGCGTGTCGGCGAAGGGCTCGACGACGGCGGGGTCGGCGGTGGCGGCGGCCGAGGCGGGCGGGTCGCTGACGTCCGGTGCGCGGTGGCGGACGTGGGAAGTGAGTGCTGCGTCGGTGCGCTCGGCCCTGCGACTGGCGAACACGAGCGACGGCAGCGGTGCGCGGTGCCTGGCGGAGGCGGTGACGGTGGTGGCGCACGCGGTAGAAGATTGCGACTCGGTTTACGGCACGGAGCCGGCGGAGACGCTGGAGGTGCTGGTGGACGCCGGTCTGCGGACGCGCGGCGGGGGTGCGGGGACGCACTTTGTGGTGCTGCCGTCCTTCTTGGGCGCGTCGAGGATGGCGTACACGGAGCCGGACGATGCGTCGGAGGCGCGGCGCGCGGGGACGGGGCTGTTGGATGCGCTGCTGCGGACGGCGACGACGCGCAACGGCGGTCGTGT